GGGGGGGGGGGGGGGGGGGGGGGGGGGGGGGGTGTTGTGTGTGTTATTGTGGAAGGGGATTTGTATTTGGGCGGCGTAGAGTTGGGTATGTTACAAGGGATCAGAGAGAAATATACCCTGAGCTCAGGATGCCACGATGACAACTTGACAGATGAGTGAGGACGCCGATTATCGTTTACGTTTCCGCAGGTAACTACAGAAGATTCGAAGAAGAACCATGTTCAAAATACGCTTACGGTTATTATTAGACTCTCTAACGATGATGTCAGACCCACCGTTGATTCATATCAACATCTCAGCAGAATTTCTGGCGCAATTGGGGTTCCCTGTTGAACTCTTCGGGATGACAAGGACCCTCCATAGCATTTCCGTATAATTATGGGGTATCTATCCCCGTCCCTATCTAAATTTCTCCGTAAGGCTTAAAAAGTAGTTAAGACATATTACACCGAATGACAATAAATAATTGTGAAAGACAAAAACACTTCATTCTTTTTGTGCTCTTCTACTATGGTGCTTTTATCCATCTCACTTTTTATTGTGAAGTCTCTTATACATCCGGCACCATTTGCCATGCTTAGCTCTCTCAGCGCGGCAGCCAATCGAGCGGCCTGAATGCAGCCATTTTTGCGTCAGTTCAGCCTCGAGCTTCAGCTACTCTTTGCTAAAGTCTCCTACGAAAGACACCAATCACTCTCTCAATACAAGAATGTATACTAATGAACAGGTTAGTTATAGTTAGTTAACTAACTAACTGTATCTCCCCATTACTCAGCCCTGCTGACATAGACCAGGACCATATAGAATTCTGGACTACCGATTCTTCTTTTTTCTGCTTCTTCTCGTTTCCGGATAGATTTCTCGTTGTTTTTCTCTCTTGATTGTTCCCAGATACCCTTCAACCTCCTGTTTCATCTGCAAGTTCTGATACATCTAGTCAGCTACCTCGCAACTACACACTAACCACAAACCTAATATAAACCAAGATAATACCAACCAGAAAAGAAAACAGAATAGGGAGACAAAGCTTATATATAAGGAAAAAGAACTATGACTCTCTCACGAATACCGTCCCACCGGTCCAACCGAAGCTGGCGCTCCAGAAAAAGCACCCACTCGCTTTCCAATTCCCACTCCCAGTCCCATTCGCACATAAATGGACATCCCGAACATCACCCACCACTCACCAAAACAAAGTCCCGTGAGGCCGCTTCAGCAAAGGCCAACAATCATGCACCTGCAGGGAACCGTGACGATGAGCCCGATCCACTGTTGGGATTTGAGAACCACCTTTCCCCGCAACAGTCCGAAGCACTGCAGAGCCTCAAGGCGGAGTTGATAGAGAAGAAGCTCTATACGGAAGCGCATGGTGAAAATCCCGCCAGCCACGATGATTCTACTTTGCTGTATGCTCTACCTACTACCTACCTACACTCATGGCGAAGGAAAAGGAGGTGAAGGAATGCGGAAGTTGTTTTAATGGACTCGTTTTTTATTGTCTCAGCGAATTACTTTCGGAATGGGGAGGTTTGGGTTGGAAGCTTTTCAAATTGAAAAGAGCTATGGTCTAACATAGTTTTCGTGTCTACCATCATATAGGCGATACCTTCGTGCACGTAAATTCGATGCGCCCGCGGCCGTTGCCCAGTTCCAAGCGACAGAAGAATGGCGCAAGACGAACCAAATCGATGAGTTATATAAAAACTTCGATATCGATGCTTATGATGAAGCACGGAAAATGGTCAGTATAACCCACGGTTTCATATCTATAAATTTACCTTTCCTTTTGCTATTCCAATCGAGTTCTCATTTTCGTCCGGTTTAATCCAATCTATGAAAATAAAGCGCTCCATTGCTAACCTGGGTCCATAAAATTACAGTACCCGCAATGGATCGGCCGCCGCGACCGTCGCGGAATCCCCATCTTTGTCTACGTGATCAAGGACCTAAACAGCAAAAATATGACCGCCTACTCATCCTCTATCTCGTCGGGAAAGACAGCCGCAACACACGAATCTTCCACGGTGCCCGCAAGGCTCCTCCGTCTTTTCGCGTTGTACGAAAACAAGAGCCGGTTTGTGATGCCCCTGTGCAGCGCTCTGGATCGGCCGAATCCGGAGTCCCCGATCGTGAATACGGTGAATATTGTAGATATTGAGGGCGTGGGGTTGAAGCAGTTTTGGAATTTGAAGGGACACATGCAGGATGCGGGTGCGTTGGCGACGGCGTATTATCCCGAGACTTTGGATAGAATATTTGTATGTCCATTTCCCTTTGTTTTGTTTTGTTTTGTTTTTTTGTTTTTTTTTTTTTTTGCGTCATGCTGGGTTCAACCTTACCATTTTCCATCGACTCTCTCCTTTCACTTGTCATATGAACCACAATTCAGAGCACTTGGACAAAATCAGTCAGTGTCAAGTTTGGCACAAGACAGGGATGGAGAAACCATTCTTTCATTATATAAGATAAAGAAATAAAAGAAAAAGAAAAAGAAAAAACATCCCAACTAACCATCTTATTTATGAACCCAGATAATCGGCGCCCCTGTTTTCTTCCCCACCGTCTGGGGTTGGATAAAACGGTGGTTCGATCCAGTAACAACATCAAAGATCTTCATCCTCTCCGCATCCGAAGTAAACTCCACCCTCCGCAATTTCATGGAGCCCTGCAACATCCCAAAAAAGTATGGCGGCGAGCTGGAATGGAATTGGGGCGACATGCCATCCCTGGATGAACAGGCGAAGGAGCTCGTAGGCGCTCTGGCACAGATTGGGCAGAGGGGGGATAAAGATATTCCTGCCACCAATGACACCGCTTTGGGTGATACGAGGGAGGGATTTTACAGGGGTCCTGTGGTATGGAATGGGGAGACGGTGGAGGTTTTTGGGAGTGTCGATGGGGTTGAGCGGAGGAGGACGATTGTCATTCCGCGGAAAAAGCGTGTTGATGGCAATGGCGGTGCTAGTGCTGGAGCTGGTGACGCAGAGAAAGAAATAGAAACAGTGGTGAATACGGTGGAGAGGGTGGATTCAATCACCAAGGGGCTTTCGGCTGTGAGCATGGACAATGAAAAAGTTCCTGAGCCAGCATTTGATGATAAAGCTGCACAGGTTACTGCAACGGTATGAGATTTGAACATCTATCTGATATCTGATATATTCGATTGCCAGTGGAATCATGTGCAAATTTCCCTTGTTTGGATGACTGTCCTCTGTTCTCATCATCGCTCATCGCGGCCACTCCAGCGTTTTTATTCTACATCCCCATGGTTGCTTTCAGATAATTCTTTCAACACCAATGCTGAAGCCTTTTTCCCTTTGCCCCTTTGTACATACGCGTATCCTATTCCGGTTTTCTTATGTTATATCAATTGATTCTTTTTGTTTATATCTCCCCTGCTGCACTCCTAGACTAAAATTACACTCCCGCTGCTTTCATTTCATTTTTTGGCCTTTTTGACAGCTTTTCCCCATATGTTTGATGAACTTGCCGGAAATGAAAGAAATTCCCCGAAGGACGGAGATATGCAGCAGCCCATCTCGCATGTTCCTTTTGTCTAATAATTATCTGTCGTCTACTTCAAGAACCTTGTACATTTACATAGCAATGCAAAGTCCAAATGACGCTTTCTTGTAGGATTACATAAGCCTCACATGACCAAACCTTGGTATGTCTGAAGCTAACCGCTTTCGGGAAAGCACTGCCACTTGCCGAATCGGGAAGACGGCAAAGGCGCCGGTCTTTGCTCCTGCCCATTTTCCGCGCCTTGACCAAATCTCAGTTGTTTGGTCTTTTCTACATCTTTTTTCTCTTCTCTTATGAATGACTCATTTCTTCACTCTCTTTTCGATCCTAGCAATTGAGTAAGACAAGTCCTCTACGGCATCTATTTCAGCTATGGCTGATGTCGCTGCTGCCTCTCCTTTGCCCAAAAAGCGCGGTCGCCCTCCAAAGCTCGACGCGACAGGTGCTCCCGTGAAGAAATCCAGCGCCCCCGATGGTCCCCCTAGAAAAAGAGGCAGACCACGAAAGAACCCCAACGACCCCCCAAAACCCGTCGCCACGGGCCCAAAGAGAGGACGTGGTCGACCGAAGAAAGATGTTTCTGATACACCTAACAAAATATCGCGACTGAGCACTGATGCTTCTGCCCCTCCCGCCAAGCGCGGCAGACCCAGAAAATCGGATGCAAACCCCTCTGCGAAAGCCGTCAATGGCGCAACGGAGGACTCATCAGACTTGACTCTGGATAAAATCATTGGTATTTATTCGTTACAGTGTAGCGAGGTGGAGGAGAATTGGCCGGACGAGGCTGAGGAGATGGAGCTGACGATTACACGGACGTCAGAGAGCCCGCTGGGATTGATTGGCGGGTTCAATTTGGGAATTATTGAAGGCACGATGCTCTTCGCTGCGGACAAGCCTACGCTAGACAAATTTCGCGCCGTAATGAGTAAGAGCGGTCGTGCTGCGCCGGTTCGTGGTGAGGATGATGCGGCCAAATCTGCGACTGTGAAGGATCGTCGGGTTTATTTCAGCTGGCGTGGCCGGTCAACGAGTGAAGGAGAGATACATACTGAAGAAGGAACGTCGTCGCAAGATGGATACATTGATTTCACAAGTAACGAAGCTGTCACATTTCATGGGATTGCGGGCTTTCCCCGGCTCGGCAGCAGTTGTGCATTCAAAGGGACAAAAATTGACAATGATGCTGCGGACGCGCCGCAGCCGTGGACCTCGTTCTCTAAGGTAGCTGCTGAGCAATCTGTGGCGAACAGATGGAGGTGAAGGGAGAGATATATGTCCTGTTCCTTTGGTTTTTCTTTTCTTCTTCGATTGATGTCTGTGCTTCGCTCAGTTTCGTCTCTGTTTGGCTACAGTTTAAAAACACCTCACCCAAGGAATGGCAAGGCAATAGCACTCGATCTATGTATCATTTGCCCCCTGTTTAACGACGCTGGACATGATTCCATCCGATAGAGATGATTTAATCCTATCCAGGAAGACCGACAACGTCGGGGCTAAGCTACGAGAACAACCAAAAAGAACATTTATTACCACCCTGCTGCCACGTGTACCTTGATTTCTCAGGATTTCCCCCCCCGTTTCTTTTTCTTTTTTCTTTTTTTTTCCCCTTTTTTTTAACTTTATTTTCCTTTTCTCCTTTTCCTTTTCTTTTTTTCCCTTTCCCTCAGTTATAGGATTCCATCTTAACTTTGGACAAGGGCAAGGGAGGGATGGAAAAGAAGTTGGAATTAACTTTCTACCAACTGAGTGCGGAACATTGTATTGGCTATACGAAGCTGCCTTCAGGTTCATTATTCTCACTTTTTCATTCCCGCCTTTCGGTTTTTTTATTTTTTTAATTTTTAATTTTTATCCGTTTGATATTTGCGCGGGCGGTGAGGTTATCTATGCCTATAGTCTTTGCTGTTTTCCTACCGGAGGGTTCACACTGCTTTTCATGTTTTTCATCATTTTCTCTTCAAGGATTCTTCTCAGAACTCCCTACTTTTGGACGGGATTTTATATCATTCAATTATAAGCAGAGCCGGGAATTATCTGTATCTTGTCATTCATGAAAGTTTTGTTCCTTCAAATACTTTATTTATTTTGTAGTGGATATGATGTTATATGATCAAGAGATTTTACCATTCTCTCTGTCGTCATTGAGTAAGAATGCAAACACTCATGTCATTGTTTGGTCTCATTATACTCCCGTACAGTTACAAATTTTGAGCTAAACATCATGTTTCTTTAATCATCTATTAGAAAAACAGTTCCTACATATTGTGTGTAACCTTTTCAGAAGTTGTATATCTGTAGATAAAAAGAGCATGCAATAAAAGAGATACATTTATCGTGAAATGCAGTTCTTTCTCTTCTCCAAAATATAAATTATAATACAGCCATGTTCTTTCAAGATGAGGAGTTTCGGATTGGTGGAGGGAGTATAGTTTGTCGATTGACTTCACATCTCAACAAATGATGCAGAGTGAATTTATGGGTAGCATTTCAGGACTTCCATTTCATGTTTACTTGTTTCCGTCGGGCCTGTGGAAAAAGAGTGGAAAGAGTTAACTTAGAAGTATGGCTACGGAACATTAAGGGAGCTGTAATTCGGTTTGTTGGGGGGGGGGGGGGGTAAAACAGGGGTAAACAAATAGAAAAAGAACAACGAAGACGCACCATCGGAGCCAACATCGCAACTCCAATCCCCAGCGCAACAACAGTCAATAATAACTGCACCTTCGAAAATCCTTTGCCTAAGATGTCAAATGCCTGACTGGGATGCACTCGCGTACCAAATACATCTAACCCATACGCGAAGACAAGACTGGTACTTTCCAATAGCGTTTGGCTCGATTCAATGTCGCGAATCCCAATTACCTCGCGAGAGTGGGTGAGGAACCATCTGCCATCAAATTCTAGATAGGGAGAGTACTGCACTAGCCCCTCCTCTGCTTCGTTCGAGGTTGGCGCACGACCAACTGGACGGCGGGGATCGAGGAGCTGGCGCGGGATGCCGATGATTGCATTTGATTCGGGCAGGGAGCAGAGGAGAAGCTTGCTAGTGATGCCTTGGCGGGTTTGGGAGACGGCAATGGTCGAGATGGGTTCGGATATTATATAGGCTTGAGAGATTACGTGTGGTCGTGGAATTCCTGTGTCGGTGTGGATGCTGGAGTAGTTTGCAGTGTCACCTAATGGGCCACGGTCGTTGGGGATAGGGGATTCGTAAAGTTCGGAGATTACCAGCTGGTAGCCCTTTGACTCTGAGGTGTTTGTTACGTCGGCCCAGAGGGAGTAGGCAAACCAGTTTTCGGATAAGGCTGATGCAATGGGCTGGCTGGTATCGACCCCCGATTGGGTAATTGAGTGCAATATTTGTCCAGATATGGAGTCAAGGAGGTAGAAATTGGCTGTAGAATCCCCGACGGTGATTAGGAGGGCAATATTAGGGTTCAGATATTTATAAAGAACAGATCTATCTCCGAGAACTTTCCCAATCGATGCAACTTGATCATGAGCAGGACGTGAGATCGCATGAATGAGTTTCTGACCACTGGGTGGTATGAATTCCCAAATGGGCTCTTTGGTGTTGGCGGAATTCCAACCAAGAACTCGGCCATTGTTCAGCGTCACAACGAATGTGTTGATGTCCACGGAAACAGCAGATAGATCAGGAATGCCATCTTTCCCCACGCTGACTGGAACAGGGGTGCCCCCACTAGAGATCAGGGCTACTGATTCAAGGGACTCAGAGAGTTTTCCCTGTTCAACGATCTCCCCGGTAGATACGTTAACTTTAACGAAGCTACCGTCTTCGACATATACTGTCGCAACAGAGTGAGCAGTGCTGATAGCTTTCACCTTCCAGTCGCCATTAAGCGCTTCAACGACCTTGCGTTTCCACGCGACTTTCCCCTTTGTCGCATAGTCGATAGCAAGAACGTAGCCTTTCCGCGTTGCGATTATCACCAGTTTCCCCAGTCCAAAGTTGCTCAAGTCAGTAGCTTCGCTAGCTACTAAACTCGACAGGATACGAACAGGCAATCCTTGGAGCCATTCTGGCAAACTAACCAGGTCCTTCGCATGGCGTTTTAGACGGTGAATATATGCTCCTATCACCGACTCGTGACCTTCAACTTCCAACTCATGAGCAAGTATTTCGCCCCCATTTACATCAGCCCAAGAAGCGGCAACAGCTTCAGTCAATATTTCTGGCCTGTTCCATCCAATCTCTCCATTTCGAACAAGCATCCAGTCACCCGACTCTAAAACTTGAGCAAAGCGAACTGCGTAGGTAGAGCCGCGGGAAACAACTTCCGAAACTGCGTGGAACGCACTTTCAGTGATATTCTTGCTCATGATACATCTCGCAAGGAATTCACGGGAGGCAGACGAGACAACGCTGGTCTCAGTTTTCGTAATGCGAGTAAAGTAAACGTTGGCATCCCTGGTGCTCGTGGCAAAAACAGAGCTCTCGCCGACGAGAGGAAGGTCGTACGCTTTGTCTATCGATGCCGATTTAATATCTATATGATATACTTCCGCCCAAGACTTGGATTTCGTGGCATAATGTAGCAGGAAGTGTGGCTCTGCATTGAGAGATTGAGCCGCATGAACTTCGATCCTTTCGACATCTTCACCGCTGTTGTTCTCAACAATGATAGAGTGGATATGTTTAGTCCCAATTACATTTATCTTGATCGTTTTCCATGCACTGTCGACCCAAACAATCAAGGGTGATATCGAGTTGGCACCGACGAAAATGATGGACTCTGGAGATGAAACTTCGCTGTCAGAACTCAGTGTATACTGATTGGCGTAAGCCCCAGTCTTCAAATCCAGCGCGGTGACTTTAATTTTGTATCCCTTTCGCATTGCAGAGTGTAAAGAAATATAGTAAACCGCCGTCTGAGACGTTGACACTTGGAAAAGGACATCGTCACTGGGAACAACAATAGTTAGTTCTAAATTTCAAGAACCAATGGATAAAAATTAACCCACGTATTATCTATGTATTCCCATTTAATATTCCCCGACGCGCCATCTAGTCGTCTAACAATGCCATTCTTCCGACCAAAGAGCACCAAAGAATCCTTTGCGACCTGCTTCTGGTCCGTCGACTCATCAAGACCAAAGATCTCCAAATCGACAACAGGGCCGTCATGGAACTCATGCTCCCAAGCCAACTTCCCATCCAATGCGCCCCACGAAGCGACCTTCCCACCAATTGCGCTGACCACCGAATCTTCACCATCAACCGCCCTTAGGAAAGATTGTGGCGTTTGAGCATCCTCCGACGTCACGGAGCTAGCCAGGTTCTGCCGCCAGACAATCGCGCCATCTTTAGGATTCACGGCGCCCAGGACATGTCTTTCAGTAAGAGTGTATAGTAACGAAGCAGCAGAGGAGGTGCTGGGCTGGTGGAAGAAGGTCGACCGTTCTTGGGGGGTTCCCAGCAGGGCATGGTGGTAATCATTGTGGTAGGCTTCGTCTGCGAAAATTGCGAGGGAAGAGGGTGCAAGGGAGGCCAGCAGGATGAAGGCCGCGTGAAGCCGCATTATTTCATCTGCTTACGGCTGTCATTTGGGGGGAGGGTGGAGGGGAAGATATGGTGTGAGTTTGGCTGAAGAAATTATTGGAGGTTGGATGTTGGGCTTAGTTGAGATGCAGGTATAAAGGATAACGTAGTCAGCACGTTAGGCTAAAGTACATCCTTCTGGGGCGATATTAAGGAATTTCATGATGCAGTTTTTGATAATGATATTCTTATTGCGGATAGTAATACGAATTGGTTACGGACAAATAACTACAGGTAGGTAATGATTTTATTTTTTATTTAATTGAACAAGAATATTAGCTCTGAATGCTAACTATTCCAAATCACAGTAAATGAACAAAAGGGAATCTGCCTACAAGATATTACAAAACTCACATTACAACTCATTCTTAAAAACAATCCGGTTACAATTCTCAATAACTTCCTTCTCACCCTGAGACATACCTTCATGGACCTGCCAAGGAACAGACCCCATGCCCATTGCCTGCAGCCCGTCCTTGCTAACGAATGACCAGTCCACAGCTCCAGTAAAGCCAGACTCACCAGGTCCTCCAGCATCCGGGAAATCCCAAGGGGGAGACAATGACAAAAAGGCCTGGCGCTGCTTCTCAAGATATCTTGCATTCATTTCACATAGCGGCGTTGCGGGGATATAAAGTACGCTCGAGTCACCTTTCCCTCGATGTTCCTTGTCCACCGAATGGAGCGAGTCGCAATGCCATGCAACGTAATCCCCCAGTTCCACACGAGGTACGGATACCATGGTAGTGTCAAGTTCCAGATGTGGATGAGTGAGGTCCGAGTATTCCTGGCAAGCTCCCGGAACCGAGCCTGGGAATGAAGAGTCCAGCAGCGGCTCCGAGGTATTGACATCGAAGAATGGACGGAGGATGGTATATGCAGTACTGTGTTTTAGCATAGGGCATACGTGCAAGGTGCCCTCTCCGGGGCCCGTGTCCGACATCGATAGCCACCCCTGGAAGAATCGAAGCATGGAGCAGGCACCAGCTCCATTGTAAAGATCCATCTTAGCGTGAATGCGATGCTTAGCATCCCAGGGGTCATATTCCTCCCAAGAGCCGTCGAGGATTTTCTGATAAACTCTCGAGTATTCTGGATCCTCCCATCTTTCAAGGGATCCTCCATCGGCGTGAGGGCCTAGGGCAAACTTGGCATCGCCTGGGTCCCGAATGCGAAGTCGATCAGCGTAGGTGAGGGGATATGTTGTGGAGAGCTGCGTGTGGGGGTCCGAAGAGTGCCAAATCCCTTGCAGGAAGCGTTGGGTTTGCATCATATTCGGATGAGCCCTAGCTGTGACTTGTGGAGGTGACCAGTAAAGTTCATAGACAGCAGGTGAGGTGGGGGGAAACGCTTTCACCCTGTCTCTGTTAGCAGAGATATAATCTCTCGCCTGCTGTTTTAGGTCGAGAACGGTCGACCTCGGAATGACACCCCTTATAACTGCAGATCCACGATGACGAATCTCCTCTATCTTACCAGGGTCAACTTTCCCCGATACCACATCGGAGTAATCGATGCATGGTATAACCTGTAACATGTCCATGGCGTCAATCGTCTGATTGTTCTTCTCTATGTTCAAAAATTAGTAGCAACTCGTCAAAAACATACGCTACCACTGATTTCACGGATCTCTTGCACTTCATCCTTAAGGCTAGCTAATAATCTAGCCCAGCTATCCACCAGAGCACCCTCTTTGTTGTGGAAGAGGTTTATTTTGAGCTCCTGAAACCGAGACGGGAGGGGCTGAGGCTTGAAATCAGGCCTCAAGCTAGGGAAGACCGATGATATATCCCCTGCAGCTTTGGTAGGCCGTGAAAAAGTGGATGCAGCTCGAACGACCGCTCGGGATATAAATTTCGGGATCATCATGCTTAGAGCAGTTAAGTACCTTTAAATCTGAATAACGTTTGTGAAGTTCACACCCGCAGGCATTAGAATATATGAGGAAGAACCATCAATCTCGGGCCTGACTGTGAACTAAACAGCAGACTCGAGGCTTGTGGTCAGCTGGAAAGGAAAGGGGATAAGGGAACCGTGGGACCTTGGAAGCCAGAGTTGATCCACGTGACACCGCTCTATATTTGTTGCTGACAACAGGTTTTAAAAGCGCTGAACATAGTTTTCAAAACGAGGCTCTTCGTTGCTATCATCACATTCAGCTTTTGTCCTATTTGATGAATCATGGGTGTATTTGAATGCTGTTCTAAAAGGGTTGAATTTGTTTTTAAAATTCCGGTTGGAAAAACCTCGACTTTGGTTTACGTTGGAATGCCCCGGTTACCCGTGTCACGTGCACCTCTTACGGAGTTAGGTAGATAAGATGATATTAATAATATTAATTTTAAACTTTCAAAAACTTATAAATAAACTCTGAAAGATAAAATAATATTTAGTTATTTATCAACTTCTATTTAGTCAATCTAATACTTTGACTTGATGTATAAAATATATTCTTAAATATACACTGTTCTTTAGTGCAAAAAATCCATTTTTGATTTAAAAGCATCTTCATTCAGTTAGCTGTGAATATATCAAATTTAATTCCATAGAGAATCAATAATGAGATTATTAACACTAAACTTGATCTTTACTTTTAATTTTTAGACAAGATAACTAAAGGTCATCTTTATATATATCTAGAACAGGAAATCATTCCTTTGAAGACCTATCAGACAAGGTAGATGTAGGCGCATTGAATGTTATGAGGTTCAGTTCATTCAGTCAATGCTGCAGTTCAGTCATTCGTGCAGCTTGTTGTTGCATCAATCTTCAGAGATCAGCTGCAAGAGCATTGATGTCAGTGAAGATTTCTGCTGAGAATGAGTGCTCAAAAGAAGAATCATAATTCATGTTTAGGGAAGGAATTTCTTAGGCACTCTGGCCTTGTTCTCAGAGTGAAGGCTCTCTGGCCTTCTTCTCAGGACGAAGGTTCTCGGGTCTTATACACGGGACGAAGACTCCTAGGCCTTATAAGATATAAAGGAACGAATTCGTAATGTAACAGGCGTGCTACCAAATACATCCCTAGCACTTCCTTATATTAGAACAAAAAGATGAATTCGTTAGGAGAAGAGAAAAGAAAAGAAAAGAGAGAAAGCTAAAAAGGTGGGCGAAGAGTTGTATACGGGCCAGGCCAGAAGAAGGATACGGACGTAAACGTAGCAATGGGGAGCGGTAAGCAGCGGTTCAGCTCCCGGACCAGCGCCCGGTGGAAGCACAAACCGCCGACCGTAGAAAGCTGGGCCTGACAAGGTGTAATTAGCCCTATGGAAAGCACGGACCCCTAAACACAACAACGCCTCGCTGGATAATCCGGGCTAAGAGTTTCACCCAGGCGTTAGCCAATTTCACAGACAGAGCCATTCAGCTCGGAACTTCTACTCTCTCAGGTAGTCAGTCATATATAACTCTCAGTTATTCTAAGCCCTTTAAACATCTAAATAGCAACCTTAGGCAGGTGAATACTTAAGGTTAAGAATCTTAGAAAGCAAGGCCTGTAAGTACAGGAACACTGCTATAATGAAGAAGCAATGCCAAGATATATTTGTTGTGGAATGAGATAGGGAGGCAAAAACAGAAGAGATCTACACGCGGGATTCAATGTGATGGGGATCTCACTAGGGATAAAGCTCATGAACTTATTATTCCGCTGCTAGCTCATCATTCAATCCCCGCGAGCCCGCACCCCTTGAGCCTGCAGTACGCTCAAGAGCTCCACCAAGGTGCAGCAATTGCATTGCACTTGAGCATAGAAGAACAGGGTGTCCGAATCCTAGTGTTATTTAAAATAATTTAATTGGGCGTTGGTGAGCGGAGATTAGAATTAAAATCTAGGCAGTTGAAATATTTCGGATTCGCTGGTTCGACTTGGTGAGTTGGTTAATCCTGAACTAGGAACCGCCGGCAGGTTTCGGCAAATGTCCCCATTCCGAGGCTCCAGGTTGTTGCCATACCTTTTATGTTCCCCGCTAATATAGGACATGTCAGCGAGCGATGGCTGTTGAGAGGGGCAAAGATAGATAAATGTGCATAAGGCTGCAATCCGCGGTTGAGGTTGGATGGATCTATGGATATATATACCCATACGTTTGATAGGTGCTGTACAAGCTGGACATACTTCAACTATGCAGTAGAAGGGCAGCCTCACATATCTGAGAAGTTGTCTTTTTATTAGATCTTATCTTTCTCCTCACACCTCCCGGAACAAACTATCCCTGACAATGGCCCAGAGCGTGAAGGGGAAGACCGCTATTGTGACTGGTGCAGGTTCGGGTAAGCTTCGAACTTCGGACTCTACAAGTAGTTATATCTCTAATATAGGCAAAATTCACACAAAGGCATCAATTTTTGCTTTGTCAAGTTGTTACTCCAAAATGGCTGCAACTGTCTCATTGCAGACCTCGCCCTCCGCCCTGAAGCACAGGTTGTTGTAGATCAATACTCCTCTGCATCGCCCAGGGTCATATTCCAGAAAACAGATGTCACAGATTGGTCCCAGCTAGAGAAGATGTTCGAAGTTGCGGAGAAGGAGTTTGGAGAAATCGATATCGTTTGTCCAGGGGCTGGTATTTATGAACCGGTATGCCGACTTTGCGACGCTGCAGACTCTTTGATCCCCGTTTTTATTTTCTTGGCTTGCTCATATAGCCCCAGTTATTTTCAAACTTTTGGTACCCACCGGGCTCGCCAGAGAGTAAAGACTCGAGCTTCGGGTCAAAATACAGTCTGATTGATGTTAACCTGACCCACCCCATCCGAACCACCCAACTTGCCATCGCACGATTCGCAAACTCCAAAACCCCGAAATCAATCATCCACATATCGAGTATCGCGGCCCAGCTTCCATCCCTCACCACCCCGATGTACATCGCAACCAAGCACGCGATTAGTGGCTTCGTTCGATCCCTAGCAAGACTCGACGCAATCGGAATCCGCGTAACTGCCGTCGCGCCTGGGTTCATAAAAACTCCGCTCTGGACCGAGCAACCGGATAAAATGCAGATCATCGACGAAAGCAAGGATGCATGGGTAACCCCAGAAGAAGTTGCGGAAGTGATGCTCGCACTGGTTGAGCGGGATCAGGTGAATGAGAATATTCTCGGTAATTCGAAGGAGGAGGGGAAAATGGTTCCGATTAGGGGTGGAACAATTCTAGAGGTGTCCAAGAGTGTTCGTGCTGTGCTGCCATTCAATGATCCGGGCCCGCTTGGGAGACCAGGGAATTCATTGGGCAATCCAAGAGCGGCAGAGGAGAGCCTCTTGAGTCTGGTGCAGTCGGGAAGCTGGGTGAAGCTGTAGATTTGATTTAAGCTACGTAAATTATCACGCTTTTTGCAGGGTGCGAGTTTCTGGGAACGGATCGTAACTTTATTCGGCAAATGCATAGGTAGCTAACTACCTAAACAGGGCTCATTTGCTGAGGATGAAAAGGGATACAGTCGAGTCTATTGCAAACACGTTGTTCTCCTCATATTGATACTCATCCCATGCCACAACCAGAGACCGTCCGTATATGAAACTTGAATGTTTCAATGAACGTGAAGAATTGATTCTCTACTTGTTCTTAATTAAGTGGAGGTCCATAACTAATTCTGTCAATGGACAATTTTGAACTATATGATTCTACTACTAATTTACACTTATATACAATTGGTGACTAATGGTTGATAATACTTTATTTCTCTTCGCTATAGCTATATGAATATAATTTAAAAAAAGTATCAATATACTTATACTTAAAATATTTCATTGAGATGTGATAGTTATCATTAGACATATATTTATTTTATTTATTATATAATTAATAATATATTAAATATAAAAAAATTATTAAAATAAGTAAAATATACTTATTTCTATCAATATAATTAAAAAAAAATAATAAAACCAGTTAATATATATAATAATAAGCAATAACTGCAAATTACCATATTAAAAGAAGTGTACTAGAATAAGTAAGTCTTTAAATCAATAAAGAGAAGTGCAATAAGAAAATAAAACATGTATATTCAAAGCAGAATTGCAACTGCAGGTGTAAAACGCAACGCCCAAAGCCTTGACGTATCAAACTCCGCCAAGCCCGATTTGGAGAAATCCGCCTCGAGAAATAACTTCTTATCGTTGCTGGCCAACCAACACTATATCCTCCGCAAAACAATCCACTTCATTTCATTTATTTCTAATCTTCATCACCACTTATAAATAACATATAAACCAATCTATACCCCCCCCCCCCCCCCCCCCTTTCCATACAGCACTCTTCCTCCTCTCGTTTTTGTTCCGCGATGCCTCGAGACCGTCACAAGTGCCATCGATTGTCCGGATAACAGGGGAAGCTCTGTCGATTTATATATTTAACTGCTGGCAGAAACAGTGCCTCTTGTAGGATGGATACCGAAGCATCGCCGGATGGGATAGCTGTTGGTGCTTCTTACAGCAGGAGTCGTCGGTACGGAATATGAATTTGCTCTTTTAGCCGCAGATGTGCCACTGTGGTCTCCAACCGCCAACTGGAAGGAGTGGGAATTATTCATGGAGAGAAGATAATTACTTGCTAATATATGTAGCAGGGGAAGACGACACCATGCGGGCAAGAGAGAAGTCGGAGGAACCGGACAGGCAAGTTGGATCAGCAGCGTTATCAATCTGCTGAATACGAGTGAGTCAAAACGCAGCTTGCGTAACTCGGTCTGTCTAAATACTCCCAGGGGAATTTGTCACTAAGCCGGCCCTCACAGTTATCGGTGCCGGTGCTCTGGCAATGCCAAATGCCCTCGCGCGCATGGGAATCACACTCGGTGTCATTATTATCCTATGGTCTGGAATCGCGGCTGGTTTCGGCCTGTACCTGCAGTCTCTATGTGCACAGTATCTGGACAGAGGGTCCGCATCCTTCTTTGCGCTCTCTCAGTTAACCTATCCGAATGCTGCGGTAATTTTTGATGCCGCAATCGCTATAAAATGCTTTGGTGTTGGTGTAAGTTACCTGATTATCATCGGCGATCTCATGCCTGGAGTTGTCGAGGGCTTCGGTGCGAATTATGCTGGAATGGACTTTTTACTTGATCGTCACTTTTGGGTTACAGCGTTTATGTATGTGTATCCATCCATCCATACATCCATCCATCTGATATTATCATGTTTTTCACTTAGTGTCATTCCGTTAATATATGATTCCATATCTTTAGGTTGGTTGTTATTCCGCTTTCATTCCTAAGACGTCTGGATTCATTGAAATATACAAGCGTTATTGCTTTGACATCTATTGGCTACCTTTTGGTGTTGGTTGTGGCCCACTTTATCAAGGGAGACACGATGCATGAGCGAGGCGCTATAAACTACTTCAAATGGCAGAGCGGAGTGTCAGCGCTAAGCGCATTTCCCGTCATGGTGTTTGCGTACACCTGTCATCAAAATGTATAGTTTCCCTTGCGACCTTGCCGTTGATGGCGCACCGCTGACACTTAATATTCCAGATGTTCTCAATCCTGAACGAAATCTCCAATAGCTCTCACTTCAGGACCACAGTCGTGATCTTCGTTAGCATTGGCAGCGCGGCCATGACGTATGTTCTCATCGCAATCACGGGATATCTATCATTCGGGAACAACGTTGGAGGTAACATTGTCGGGATGTACTTGCCATCATTGTCATCAACAATAGCGCGGGCGGCCATCGTGGTCCTCGTGATGTTTTCCTATCCTCTTCAGGTTCATCCTTGCAGAGCATCGCTAGACGCCGTTTTAAAATGGTGCTTGAACCCTAAAGCGCCAACCACCGTTGCCAACGTCTCACCAAATCGCAACCCTCTCCTTCCAAGACCAAATAGAGCCCATGATCCCATGGGAGATGCCCGCTTCGCAATTCTCACCACCATCATCCTTGTTTTGAGCTTCGTCGTCGCCATGACCGTGTCATCCCTCGAGTCCGTGCTAGCCTATGTTGGAAGCACTGGTAGCACCAGCATCAGCTTCATCCTACCTGGCTTGTTCTACTACAAGATCTCCTCCCCTGAATCTGCCATACACCAGCAATTAATGAAAGAAGACGACGAGGCAGAGGACGACGTATCTGATAATGGTGCGGAAAACGAAGGCCTTCTCAGCGCCAGTGGTTTACTGTCGGCTAGCGGGATCTTAGGACTCAACAATCGTCAATGGCGAAAGGCTCTGTTGCGCAAGCTGAGTCTAAGCCTTGCTATATACGGAGTTGTTGTGATGATTGTTTGCCTTATTACCAATACCTTCTTCCTCGCCTCTCACCAATAACTACCCACTTGCACATAGAAATATCTATGGATACCTATTTAGGGTCTTGCATATATCTTCTCCCCCCTCCCGTTAGCACCTAGTTCTGAAAGACCCTCATTTCCTGGAATCATACGGTCAAACGACACAACGGATTTTCTTTTCTATTTTATCCACATCACATTCGGGCGGCAATACCATGTTTCTCGATATCTTTCTTCATTGACTAAAGTTTGCGAAGAAGAAAGCACAAAAGTATCAAGGAACCTAGGGTTTTACGATATGGGAATAACCAGGTTACGAGGTTTTATCTCATGGAATAGCCTTTTTTTTCTTCTTTCTTTTCTTTTCTTTTCTTTTCTCTTTTCTCTTTTTTCTTTTTTCTTTTTTTTTTCGTTTCTTTCTTTTTTTTTGAGTGGGTGGGGGGGGGGGGGCGCCCGCTGTTTTGTTTCCCATTCCCCAATTTATTTATTCTTATAATCCCACCTCCTTTATTCTAGGATACAAGTTTCTGGGGCTGAGTTTCGCAATCACCCTCCTCTACCCCCATGTCCCTGGGAGTTATGTTACTTTGGATTTGGGTGCAGGCGTTCTATTTCTTCGATCTACTCGTCATTCTCTGATATCTCCTCTTTCATTTTGCTACCTGCTACTTCGCTTGAGTGATCTGTGGCCTTCAAAATCCCCATCAAGCCCATTTCACTCCCACTTTGTTTTATTTCCTGTTATATCGCTTCTCTTTAAGCTACGTATCTTTCTCTTGTCTTTCTTCGATCTTCTTTTTATCAACATACGATTTCTTTTCTTCCTTTCTCTCCTTTTTCCGGCGTCGTGTTTCTTTTCTCTCTATTCTATAGAATTGAATCTCATTTCTTTAAACTCCCATTTAATCCGTCGCGAGTCCTCTGCTAAATGTAGCGGTGACTTATTTAAAATTGTGATGAAGTAGTTCAAACCCTCTGCTCAATCTGCTGTCGTTTCCACTATTATCTATTCAATTGTCGGGTGTATATTTCTTTACATCTGAATTTTTCCAACGGGATGGAGTTAGGCTGCCGTGCAGGTAGGAAAATCGTGCTACCTCAAGCAAAATGGATGATTGGATTCTGATACAGGTGCTATAAACCAGCGGTTTTCATTTTTGGAACAGTTGAGAAGTATTCCACGGATGACTATGAGTTCTTAACAAGGCTCCGATAACTATTCTCCTCTTTCTGCAGCATAGAGCCATCGAGTCGTTAATTAATGCCAAGCTTGAAAAGAAATAGTGGACTTTAACAGGAAATATATAGTTTGTTCTGTGAAACATTTGCTAGCAGCCCAGTGTGTAAACAAAAATAGACGATAATTGCTATCAAAACATTTAATGTATTGAAAACGGCATGCTACAAAGGGAAATAACAGAATAAAAGGGGAAAAAAAGGGGCTAAATCGTTCAGTAAGCCAGATTTCTTTCAGACATAACCTTGTCATTCAGCTGTTCTTCTCTCTATCTCGAAGCAAGTAAGGAAAGCCGAAATAACCTCCGCTTTGAGATATCCTTCATAAGTTCTTGATTTAGTTATCGTTCTGGCTGTTCAGAATCCGCAGGATGGCAAGGAAGAGGTTAATGATGTCCAGATAGAGAGAGATAGATGCAGCAATCTCCTCTTCAACATGGTAATGGCGCATCACAAGCTGGGTATCCACCAGGATATAGCCACTGAAAAGCAACGCGATCACGACACCATATACCAAGTCCATTTTGCTGCTCTTAGGCAAGAAGGCAGCCATGAAGCCAAAAATAATGACTAACCAAAGGGCGCTGAATAGGTATGGCATCCAGCTTGTGAAATCATACTTGGTCTGGCAGGCGAAAATGGTCAGGGCAACGAATATGCCTAGGGTCAAAACAAGGGCTTGAATGACAATGCGCGCATCGTAGAAGGAGGTCGTGACGCTGATTGCGTAGGCTTCGAGAATGGTGAAGCCGCCCAGGAACATGAGGTTGGTGGGATAACTTTTGCGTTTCCAGTAGGTGAGGCCCATGAAGACCAGGGCACTGATGGCGGAGACGAGCATAAGCCAGGGATGGGTTTGGATCCAGGTACGGTAGTTCTCGCTGAAAAAGGAGATGGAGCTCAGAACTGTGGTTAGGAGGAGCTGGATTGTTCTGCGTGGGGTGTCTTGGTTAGTTTCCGGGATGTATAAACGAGAGGCAAGGCTCGCTGGGTATCAGATCTAGGCAATAACACAACTGTAGGCTTACAAGATAAAGTAGACCTTGCGGACGAACTGCATCCGGATGGGAAGAGTAGCTTCAGCGACTGAGCCACCAAACTATTAGATTGTTAGCTCCTGTCAACCATATCTTCAACAAAAAGTGATTAAAAGGTTTTTTTTTTTTTTTAATCCACCTAGACTTCCACATACCTTGAAATCATCGGGGACGTTGTCATCCTCTGTGCGAGGGGCGCCCAGAAGCCCATCCGATGGGTCTGAAATTGTCTGATAAGACGGAGGGGCTTGGGTATAGTGGCGGTCGTCGAGCGAGTCCCGCTGCGGTACGGGGGAGTATCTGGTGTTTGCTGCCATCCCGACTAGCCCAGAGTGGATGGGATGTTGTAGCTTCAGCGTTGGGTTGAATGAAAGTAGGCCGTATTAATTCGATGCACGACGCACGATGCAATAAGAATCAGTAACTGAGAGTAGGAATGAAACCTTGATGTCATTTTAGAGGAGCTGATGAATAAGCATCGCGAAAATCACATGACGTTCTTGACCCTAGATATGAATATCACATGGCCATAGCGCCAAGATAATGTTGGACGTCTAAAGTGGTTGTATTGGGTAGCCTATCTCAGGGATGCTATATACTATTGTGCAGTGCGCTAGTCCATAATAGGAAACCTAGGCTCCAACAGATAAGGCACCTGCCGAGATCATGATAAGGTTCTTTCCTTCCTTGTTTATTTGTTTATTTGTTTATTTGTCATCCTTTCCTATCAACCAGATAACCAACTTAGCTGAAAGAATTTTAACGGTTTTCTCCTTAGAAGCTCTTATAATTTAAGAGTAGATCGGTGTGGATGGCGTAGTGGTAAGTGTCATCTACAGAATACCTTGCAAGTAGGCACTGAATGTTGGGGAGCACTCCTCTTGAGACATAAGGTTCGTGGGTTCGAACCCCACATCTCACCAATTGTATTTATCACCAGAGGAAGGTTGAATAGAAAAGGATTTTTGATTGACAGGACCAAGACATGTTCTTTGTGTGATTCAAATCTATAAGATCAGTTGTCAAAAGGAGGTGAGTAATCATACGGGGCCCAAGGCCTCCCTTGAGACTGGGATGGTTGATCTCGTACTGGAGGAGAAAGCTAGCTAGTCTATATACGAGGAGGTACTCGGGATCACACGTCAACAGAGACGAATTCAAAATGGCTGTGATTGAAACCCTCCAAGGATGCATAGAGGTATCTAAAGTACTCAGTCAGTCTATCATAGACTCTGACCACATATAGCCAAGAAAAAAATATAATAATAATAATAATAATAATAATAATAATAATAATAATAATAATAATAATAATAATAATAATAATAATAATATGGCAGGGCTTTGGCTTCTGCAAAGCCCAAACTCGAACAGGAAGATCAAAGTCGATGATGTCATTTTAAGACATATGATATACATTCTTAACAAAACTGCTGAGACCGGCCAACTGGGCCCAGTGTCAAGATGAATGCCAAAAAATTCCCCCCGAACTCTATCAGATGATGTCCTCTTGCAGAACGGCGTTTTGTCACCTGGTGCTGACTTCGACCATCGCAAAATCCGATAAATTTCGAATAACTCCGTGCGGTCCTCCATACATTCAGGGGCAAATAGTGGATTGATGGCAAAATATAAAGAAATTATTGGCTAGTCACAGAGAACCTACAGAGTAACCAAGAAACCCCCCAAGGCAGGCTGCAACCTTTACCTGGTTAAGACTTTGAGTTAACCAAGACAAAGTTCGTATCTTTTGTGCTGGTTAGCGGGGCGCCCAGACCGCCGCGCACCGTCGTCATTGGTCCGCTTCTTGCACTAGGCCCGTTGCGGTATCACCGTTGCCGCTTCGGGGATGGCGCGCCCGCTCGCCGCTTTTGCGCCCTCTCACGCCGCTTCAACGGACCTGCTCGATCTATAAAAACCCATCCCGCGCCCCTCGCAACGACCACACAATCTCTCATTCTCTTCTTCCTCTCCCTCTTTTTTTCTCTTTCCCTCTCGGTCGCTCGCGCGTGGATGCACGGCCCCTTCCCCCTGCAGGGAGACGCCGCCGTCTTACCCGGCCCTCTCCCCCTTTTCTTCCTGCGCCCGCGGAGTCACAGAACGTCTGTCTTCTGACCACCTCGCGGGCTGCTACTTCATTGGTTTCTGAGCCATCCACGCCGCCCCTCGTGGTGTTACTTCGCTTGATCTGGAGCCTAGGCTGCTGGGACATCTGCAGCCATGTTGCAATGGCCTTCACCGTGTTGTACAATCGGCGACAGTGAAACCGCTGATTGCCAATGGTTTATGTTATTTTTATTCCTATTTTTTATTTTAATTTTTGGTTTCCAGGCCAAGAGTTTCCACTCCTGCCCTCTCTTTTTCTCTTTTCTCTTGCGGTTTTATTCGCTCGATATGCTCTCCCGTTCTCTGTTGTCTTGGGGCACCTTTCGTCTGTGGGGATCTGTGCGGAAAAGCAACAGGCGACAATTGATTGAGGCCACGGGGAGACCAGCGTGCGAGCCGGAGGGCTTGCTGAGCCTTGAGTGATGGAGGGTTGCATCGCCCTTTGACCCACCAAGGCTGACTGCCTCATTTCCTTTCCCCAGCCAATAGCAAAATTGCCGCACTTCCTTCTTGGTATCGGTGTGACGCCTGCAGGTCGGACCAAAGAGGGGTGGTGGGGGGGGTTCGTGAGGATTGCATGCTCGACATGTCAGGGTTGGAAGTGGTGATAACCATATGCGATTGTTGCAGGGCGCCGGTTATCGACCTCCAGGTGGCTTTTCTGACGAGGACGGACGCGTCAGCAGTCTCAGGGAAAGATTCAGGGATCAGGGGAATTCGCCTGAGGCAGTTGAAACCTCTGCGCTGAGAGCAACTATAAAGGGTGCCCGAGCCTCCTACGGAATCGCTGGCACTTCGTGATCTGTTTCTCTCGCCCGCGCACGCTCTTCCCCTCAGGCCCAATTCCCACTCTCCTTCCTACTCCCCCGATTCACCTCTGACTCAAGAATCTCCCGTCTCAGATCCCCAATCTCCTACCCAGATGGCCCTCACGTTTCATGTGGGCAACTTCAACCCGTGGAAGCCGTGGACGCCGCGGCACCCCAAGTCATTCTCACCGCGCAAATGCCCCAATTCCCGCACCCCAGAATCCAGAAAAACCCCCTCCCCCTCCCCCTCCCCTTTCCCCTCCCCTTTCCCTAGCCCCGCGTTGTGATGTCTCCCCCAACACCCTGCTACCCCCCAAGCATGGCCTTCCTTCGAAGCCGCCGGCCGAAGTTTGCGTGCCTATCAGCGGTAATACTCAGCCGTGTGCGCCGTTGAGCTCCCCCTCCCAACCAGGAGAGATGTCTAGACCACCACCCAGTTCGGAGAATCCCCGGCATGGCGTAGCATCTCTCTGTGATCTGGCACATCATATCCGGAATTCGCATCCCACCCCTGCCTGTGATGTCCAAGATAGTATCTCTGATACGCCGACCGAACCGCCTCCCCTTGGGAGAGGCGCCACAGGGGCTGATTCGTCGTCGCCAAACATAACCAGCTCAGATGGTAGCTTAGAAGACTTCTGCAGGCTCCCGGATCTCCAGAACAACATCCCCATTGACCCAGCGATCCTTGCCGACGACGCGCCTTGGGACATCGGCGACCTTCACCTGCCTGTCCAGCAAGGCGATGATCTTGCAAACCCCAAAGGCCATTTATCCCTATCCTGAACCCCCCCCCCCTGCCTATGTCCTGTGACCGCCCCAACCATCATCAAGGATCCGGAGAGAGGCTTGACAGCTGGAATAGATATCCTCAAACAGATGATGACAATGACACTCACGTTCTGGATCATTGGCAGATTCACCCCGCCCGTTGCGGCACTGTCGTTAATGTGCCTTGCTACTACAGCACGAGCGACGACTTCCTCAGCGACGAACAGTCCACGGGACGCAAGCGGGGCCGACAGCAACCAGAAGAACCGGTCGCAAAGCGGCTTCGCGTTGCCTATGCATCGTCTATGGAAGGTTCCTCCACAGCCCTTCGTTCCCATTTCCTGTCGCTACAGCTCGACGATCGTCTGCAGTTCCTTGCTTGGCTGTTTGAAGGTGCTCTGGCGAGTTGCATGCCCGACTCAGCGCCGGCAATAAGGGGGGTAGACGAGAGTGTGCGGCCAGCCGGCCGCTCGGCTCCTCGCAAGGTTGGAGAAAGTCAGCGTGGGCGCGGCGAGGGGACAAAGGGCCACAGAGACAGGCTGTGGTGATGGCTCCCCGAGGATTACGCACGGCTCCTGAGCATGATGGAGGAGCGCCGACCCTGGCCGGAGATAGAGAGGTGTTTTCCGGAAAGGACGGAATCGGCGCTGCGCCAGCGGGCGTCTACGCTTCGGAAACACGAGAGGGGAATGCGTACAGCCGAATCTGCAACCCCGGAGTCCCAGCAGCATCTGCCAGCCCCGGAGGGTGAGGCATAATACTAATAATCCGTGCTAATGGAGAGGCTAGCCCTGTTTCGCAGTCTCCTTATCTTTCTCCTCCTCGGGGGCGACCCCAGTTCGGCACAGGTATATATAACCGGAGAAGGCATGCCACCTGCCCATCGCACTGCCATGCGTTCCCCTCTTCTACTGTACTCTATCCGCAGCCACGGCCGAATGATACCTACGCTCTTGTCTCTATTGTTGGCTGCTGCGCCGTGCTTCAATGGCTGGAGAGAGCACCCCGGGACGAGTACCCCCGTTACTATCCCCATTTCTTGGTATACACAGAGGGCTCCCTCCGCCTCCAGATCCATCGTTCTTCTCACTCTAAAACATGACCCGAGCGTCCCCAAGTCCGGGGTTAGCAACTGGAGCAGCATCCCGCATCAACGCCCCTCTCCGCCGTCCCTATAAGCAGCCTATACGTCAATAGAGAGGTAGAATCGTGACCTCTCCTTCTGCCGTTGGGTATATGTATGGCCTTACCCCCCCTCTAACTCCATCTTTCTTTTAATTTCTTTTCCACTCTCCATCCACCGCCGCAAGAAACCCACCGAGGGGTCCTGTTTGCATGGCCCAAGGTGACCCAACATCAACGAGCGCGTTCAGCCACGGCTTCTACCGAAGCTGAACCCCGCAGCACCATTGTCAAAGACGATACGGATGCAGAGACGGACGCACCTTGATCCCTGCCGCGAGAGCTACGGAGAACGAGACGCCTTGTGGATAATAACCTCATAGAGTATGAGGTTCTATTTGATGGCCCGGCGATCCTTAATTCCTGCGTATTTACAATATCACGTCCTGAGACCTAGAGATTTGTGGATCATGTTGTCGAGATTTTACTTGCTATATAAAGAGTTATTAGGTAGCAATGTTTTGTCTACAGCACTAGATTCGTACGATCGTAGTTTTGTAACAGGGACCGGCCATTTGCCTGTGTTCGCCAATCCGTGGATAGGGGAAAATAGAAATCTTTTCAATTTCTCTCTCAGAATTGATACCATACTACATACATAGGAAGTCATGCTGAACAAAGAAGACGTATGGACGTAAAGAAACAAAAGTAGCCGACACACTGGCTTCGTGAGTACATGAGCTCACATCTGCCAGTTGTTGACTCCCTGATCATGCGATGCAAGCATACCAATGTACCACAAAGCAAGCATAACAGTCAATCGCGGTTGGGTGGCAGTTCCTCCTGTGGTCCAAAGGATTGGTTGAGCGAGCTCAAGATTTCCATTTTCGTCCAGCTTCCGGATTGCGACTAGTTCTTGGTTGGTGACAAGGAACCCATAGCGACTGTTGTGCTGGTTCATATAAAAATTAACCTGGCTTAACGCCTGGTGATACTCATTTCGTTGACTGACAATTTTGGCTCCCTCCCATGTCGGTTCTCCATTTCCACGAGGGCTTGACATCTCCAGGAGCACGGTTGGGTGCAGTCGCTGGAGCCGCATGAATGTCGAAATATGCAGTATTGGGTTTATAATTTTCAATTGCTCGTGCTGCTTCGCCAACATCAAAACACAGTTCTGTGTGACCCTGCATTCCTCCATTGTTTGCTAAAAAAAAGAAAATCCAACTCACAATGAGCGTCGAATTGCGTGGTCTCAAAATCTCGCAGATTTGCGCTTAGAGAACATTTTCAGCAGTAATTGGTCGTGGTGGAGAGGCTGGCATAGGGTCAGCCGCGATCACCGCGCCGTTCAAGACATTTTTGGTACTGCTGGAGAATTGTCTCGAGATTAAAGCCCTGCCAGATCTGGAGCCCTTGGATGTCGAGATAGCTGTATGCTTGATTCGTAGTGTTGCGGCCTAGCTGGGGTGGGGGGTGGACCGGAACTGCCGCCAGTGGCTGCTGCAAGAACGTGATAAGCGTGACCTGAGCCATAAGATGAAAAGAGAGATTCAGGCCTGGAGCTTTTTAATAACTGCACACATCCAAGGGGAATTCTTTTAGGACACTGAGAACACATTTCGGCTATATATATGTGTGTGTTGAAACCAAGAAAAACAAATTATGTCTCCGTAATAAGGCGATGCCGAGAAGCCGCAGGATATGGGGTGTTGTTGAAGCGGCACAAACCGAATTCAATTGGCTAACTGAAGGGGCCAAGTTTCATACTTGTTGCTGAGTGTTGACACATCCAAAACCACTCGATGTGTCTAGCATTTGTATCGAATGACAACCAATCGCTCCTCCACAAGATTTACGTGCTTGACATAGACTTGTTAAAATCGCAACTCAGTGGAGCCATAAGGTCGAGTCCATTGGGGTAGACTCAAAATTTCTGGAAGCCATGTACTGATCGAAATTGAGCAAACAAATCAAACTATTCCCTGCTCTCTTCTCTCTTAAGGATCAACCTCTTCCCGCAAAACCTAGAATTTTGTAAGGGCGACAAAGCAAACTTGAAGATCGAAACACAACATCTCATGGATTTTACTGATGTTGATCCCTCTGAGATAACATTTAAGTGAAAGCTTTTCAGCTCAGAATTCTCAGAAATATTCCTTGTTCATATTCGCAACAAGATATGTATAATGAAAGTGGTCTGTGTACCTGGGGCGTTTCAAAACATCGGTTCATTCTAACATTTGGGACAGCATCATGACAACGGGCCAGTCCAGCCCGCACCTCCTGAGCGCGAAACAAACATTCACATCTGCGAATCGACTGCCTACAGACGACTAATGAAGCACAGCCTTTGCGACCGCGGAATCGTGCCTCAGTTCTATGGGACAATGGAACGGATGGACTTATCACACTATCAACCTCACCTGAAGATGTTTCTTAATGACAAGAATCCTCCTAGCGCCATCCTCTTGGAGTACATTCCAAAAATGGAGATGATCTATCCGCACAATTTTACAAAGGAGCGGGGAGAGGCTTTGATCTGTGGTATCCGAGAGATTCACAGAGCGTTGGTTCTGCATTGCGACGCCAAACCGAGGAACATGATGATTGTCAGGAATGACCCGGAAAGAGTGGTCTGGTTAGACTTTGACAGAGCTCAGACATATCACGCAGATAGCCTTACCGAGAGACAACGAGGATTTATTGAGGATGAAGAGCTAATGTTGTCTCAACTCGCAGATTCTCTCGTGAGTGATCTACTATTCACAGCAACTTAGGTCATAGTCAAACACTAACCAGGACCATAACTTTCTTCTTAAAGGAAGCTGATCATGCACGAGGCGAGATTGCTGAGACTTATCTCTACTATTGCACCTAGCCAATTTTCTCTGCATTGGAATATGCACCTGCGGAGATTGTGCGATAACCTTTCGGGACTGTAGCGTGAGGAATAGCATTCAATGATCGAGGAAATATTGGTAGATCGTCGAAGGGGCCATAATTTTTAGAGTCCAAACCATGAACAGGTCTGAGTGCTGAGGAGCCGCCAAGGCGATCGTTATGAATATCAAAGGTAGTTTCCTGTCAACAATATAAGGTTATGACAGTCCAGTGAAATTTAAATGCATATCTATGTCATTCACTCCTCGCATTTCTTGTACGATTACTTGATTGAAAACAAGCGAAGGGTTGATCCTTTTTCAGCAACTCACATACCACGTCGAGTTGATGAATGCCCTACCTCACCAATACTTTCAGCCTGAACCTCGACATCCAACCATACGAGACTGGATTGATGCGGCCTGCTTTGGTTCAGGCTGGCTCAAGTAATTTGTGATTTACGTCAAATCATTGGCGGCCTTGCCTGGTTTGGAATGGTTTCAGCTGCCGCCTGGTGAGTCACAGCAGCACAACAAGCTGGCTATTTCTCTAGTGCATGCATGAGGGTCCGGCGGGCAGCCTGGAAATGATGTCAAACACTATCAATATCCGTTGCAAGCCAAGAATCCTGGAGCAACAGCATTTAGGCAGCAAGTGTTATTATCCTTGTTCATACCAGCTCACTTTTGACATGGATAACAGTTTCGCCACGTCCAGGCCACCAACTGTTGGAAATTCTGAGAAACGAGTCACGAGGCACGAGCATTGTGTCTACAGATAGGGTCGTATAGCTAATCGAGTTTCGATTTAACTAGAGCATCCGACCTAGAAAGTGCAAGTGTGATATTCAGTTCTTCTAATTCCCTTTCCCATTTTGAGAGATATTCAAGTATACAGCTGTCTATCGTCGCTTAGCACCATGTGCAAATTAAGCGCTTGTAGTAAGGCCTGAAATTGTTCACCTCTTCGGCATGCTGTGCCAGTCATGCAGGATTCTAAGAATTTCCCCTCCTTTCAGCAAGTACTTTTCCGAAATAGTTTTTCCCTAGAACCTTTTGTGTGATCCAAGTTACTGCTTCTTTCTTGGCCTTTTGAATATTTGTGTTTCTTCCGTAAAGGAGGTAGTTGGCGTAACACCTGCTGAGGCAATATGGCGCTGACTTGGCTGGCTGTCATCATCCTCGACTGCAAACACCGATTCGGAGTTAGATTGTTGGGAGTATTGAAGTTCCGACTGCGAAACGTCAAAATCCACATCAGGGGGTATCTGATCAATTGCAGAGCATATTCTTTTAAAATGAGTTGGCATCCATATATCATAGACATTTCTCGTGAATTTGTACGCCGTCCATTTCTCTTTGCCATCCAGAGCGGTAAAATCGAACTTGTGGATTGGGTGGCGATAGATATTCGTCTTCTCTCCTTCAAGAACTGCATAGTGAGCGTAGATCCTCACTGCCGTATGGTCATGCGAGACTGAGAAGGTGAGTATTTCTCGGTCGATCTCTTTTTAGCTTGCGGAGAGGCCAGCGGGTTTTGAGGAGCCTTAGCTTTGAGTTAGTTTCATGGTGTAGTATAGCAAGAGGAAAGTAACAAGCCTCTTCTCTGGAATGTTTGTGGTGGTTTTGTTCGGTTTTCCTGTCCTTCGATTGAATTTGCTCGTGGAGGCAGCTGAGACGTGGGCTCCTGCGGACAGGTTCTTGTGGTCGTTTCCTGACCCCTTGAGGTCGCTTTCCTTATCAACGGTCAGTCAAAGTAGCTGGTAATGAACATGAATAGCGTACCTTGGTTTTGATGGCGGGCCATGATGACAGGAAGGGGGACGGTAGGAGGTGGTTTTAAGCTGCTGCAGAACAGACGTGTTGGCGCTGATAGACCCTTTGAGCAGAAGATGGCAGCAATCAGTATGGTTGTATCACGTGTCCCAGCTGCATTAGCCCTGCCCCTGGTGTCATTAACCACTATCCTTGTTGCGAGGACCATTGACTGACTCATATGATGTATTTGACGGTTATCGTAACCCTGTGCGCTTTGCCCCTCACCTTCCCATCACCCTCTCCTGCGATTAATTACCAATGAGCCTGACGCATTGATGCCTAAGCTGTGTAATTTTGACGACTGTGGATATGACACAAATTGATCAGTCCTTCCCTCTTTTCTTCCTATGATTAACAGTGAGTTCTGTACCATGCCATATTTCTCTCTCAGAGCTTTTCTACCTGCTGAAGACCCCGTCTGCTGAAGAAACCACAAAAAAATTGGAACTTTTGTGTATGAATTTGAATACAATGAGGGGCCTTTTAACAGGGTTGAATTTGTGACGTGTGTATCACCATTTGGCTACTTTAGGTCTCTATTGAAAAATGCTAATATCATTTGGTGCAGATAAAATTTCAGCCCCCACTAGATCCATCAGAAGCCCCGGAAACCGTTCACGAAACAAATCATCCAAGAACCTTTAGCTATGGTGAAAGAAATAACAAAAATTCGAGCCAAAACATCTACGGATGATGAGTTGCTGAAGGAATGCAAAGAAGAGGTACACTGTTTCTGAAGTGATTCAATAGTTACAAGAAAGCTGAAAGGCATTCAGGCCGAATGCAACACCTGCGACTCCATCACTTGGACTGAGCCAATGAAAGGCACTCGAATAGATCCTCCTCCAAACACTGTTGCTGTTGTCGTGGATCTAATTCATACCCGAGGGGCAATTCGTATATACGAAAACCAGGGCGCATATGTTAATGGCGCTCCCCCCACCCAACACCACCTCCCCAGCGAGCACCCGCGACACTGACCACGGCAACAATAATCTCGATGAGGTTTTCCCGTAAGGGGTGGGACGATGTCCCGTGCCGCCGCACATCCTCCACGCGGAGAAGCCTCGGGGTTGTTTTGAGTGCGGAACCACCCACTCTTCCCTTCTGTAGAGATGCCCGCGATGGTTTTGCATTGCCCAACTAGTCACATCCGACAGAAGTACACATTCAAAAAGCGACTTTTGGTTCGATGAAGCAACACTTCGTAGCTACATATCCAGCCCTCTCCCCATAATATCAAGTGAAAATAATCAAGTCCCAGATCCTTCATCTACACTGGAATTAAATGTTACACCATGCAAACATCAGACTCAAAGCGTGTCAAGAAGCCATGGACTGTGCACAGTAGCCTCATGCAGATGCGTTATCGACGGAAACGCACGCTGCAGCGTATGCTGCATAGCTATTTCGATGACTGTCGCTGCAAAGGCGTCTACCTCCTCATCCATGAAGACAATCGGTACTTTACAATTAATTTTAACAAAGTCTGATGCTTCAAAGAGCCACTTTCCACCAACAGACAAAGATATAGTGAGTGATATGTTTGGTACAACCCTGGAAAAACACGTAGCTCTTACAGAAACAGGAGAAGCATTATCCCCCTCCATCTCGAACAACGTGTGAGAACTACAGGAAATATCAGAAGTCCAGAGCGGGGAAAAAGGTAAAGCAAGGGAAACTTGAGCAGAAGCAGGATGGATGAAAGATGTTGTAAATTACAATGAACCTGAAACAATCACTAAGCTCTTTTGAAGCGTAAATCTAGACTAAGGTTTACTGGCTGCATCCCCTGTTGGCTCCTTACGGACTTTTAATTTCGTGGCGTTTTATGGCGCCCCTCACTCAATCAGAACCTTGACAATGAGTTAGCTGACTTTAAAGTTAGGTTAACTGAACAATATCGGTAGCAATGCTAAATAAAATAAAGTGAATCAGGGGTGAACGAGGAACTATGGAAGGGTAAAAGAGATGAAAAATGAAACAATGGAACTTTTCTTCCTTATTACTAGCTTTTTGAAATTCAACCAGCCATAGGGCCTAACCGTTTCTTGGCGCAGTTATGCATTCTGGCAATTTTGATTGTTTTTTCTTGGCTTTCGCGTGGCCGAATTCAATTGCGAATCAAGATGTGGGCCAGGGATCGCAGATCGTGGCCCAAGCATGCAAGCACCGCGGCAAAGCGACTTCACCTCAAGGATTGGCATTAGCAGTGGGCCTTCACTTAAAATTTATGACATTCCACATGGGCATTGTTTCTGTGGCCTTTCACTCAGCATCGTGTCATCCCCTGATGGGTGTTGGCTCCCTATGGACTTCTAATTTTGTGGCCTTTTCCGCTGAGATTATGGCCCTCCTCAAAGGATTTTAATAGTTCAAAACTGTGGCATTCCCTAAGGGCCTTACCTCCCCAGAGATGTTGACACCGCATGGGATTCTATCTTTGTTGCCTGTTCACTCAAAATTCTGACACTCCCCAAGGAGCTCACTCCCCCAAGGGGCTTACTTCCCTAGAGATGCTGACACCGCATGGGATTTCAGTCTTTGTGGCCTTTTCACTCAGAATTTCGGCGCTCCTGAAGGTGTTGAGTAATCACAGTGGTTGAAACACGTGTAAGAGATCTGAAACTTGTACGTCTGTATGTATATATATATATATTGGGGATCCCACCTCTGCTGAATAGAAGAATAACAACAATGAACACAACTACTATCACTTGCTTCAACAGAAGGAGCTTACTTCCCCAGGGATGCCGACACCGTATGGGGTCCCATCATTGCTGCCTTTTCATGCAAGATTGTGACACTCCCTGAGGGTTCACCTTCACCAGCATTCTCCCAATTCCCTAACTCCCATAGGGGAGCTATAGTTTTGGTCGTGGGCCACCACTTCACTGACTCCCGGGGGGAAACAATATTAGGGCGTTCCCGGCAGATGGGTAAGACGTGGAGCAACAGGCTGACTCGACTATACTACCCACTGCTTCAGTATCACCTAATTAATGCAAGAGAAGGCGGATGAATAAATGACTCCATGTTATAATATCAAATGAAGAAATGAGTGGTTTGAGATCCCATCTTCCATCACTTGTGTGATGATGGTCGAGGGCGTAAAGTGCTCAGACGTTCCTTTCACTGCATCTCATTCTCCCTCCTCTTTTGTTTCTCCTCCTGCTTCCGCAGCCTGAGCCTCGCATTTTCAGGGAGGCAGTTGTCTGGGAGATATGTTTCCACCACATAAACAACACGGTGAACATATTTATTATTTCGCCATACTTTATCTCCAATATGATGAATCTTAGGGCTCTTTTCAACCTGCCGCGCCTCACACCAATAGTGACGATTTTCCAATTCATCATGAGCCAAAGGTTCTGTCGTAGCCCCAGAATCTGGGATATTGTCTCTGTCTTCGGATTTAATATCGCCAGAATGTTGGGACTGGTTATTTGAGGTCCTGACTACAGACAGCCGCGTGGGAGGGACATTGAGAGGAGCCGCCGTCTTGGATGAGAAATTGAAGTAGAAGGATGGAGATGGGGTGTCATTAAGCACTTACCAGAGGCATAGGTTTGGAAGGGCGCCTTCTGGAGAAAGTCACCCAACTCCTTGTGATAAGCTGGGAGAGTGGATTGTTGCGCACCAGACGACAAAAGTTGACTGGGTAGTCGCGGAGGGCCCTCGGTTCCTTGTCTATCCATGTTGAGGATGTGCAGATATGCAGAGTAGGAAGAGAATATTGGAAGAAGACAAAAAGATTTGGAGAAGGGCAAAGACTGAATTCAAATGAGAGGGAAAGCGTCATTTATAGCCCTTTAAACCTCAACCCCATGTTGGTTGGACTGGCTGCACTGTCAGTCAGCAATGCCTTCCACTTGGTCCTTACTTCCTGGAGGGAATGCTAGGGCGGGCTGACCTGATGCCCATCTCGCTGCGCCCTCTCGCAAAAAGATCACAGGGGTGAAGTCAGGGATGCTTCTGCACTGGTCCATGCGCAGGCGATTGGCTGCGGGTGTAGTTCCCTCTTTCGATTACATGCCAGCCAAATGACCCTCACTTATCGACTGGGTTGAACTTCCTGGCGTATCAGGAGGGTTGGGGAAGGGCTTTGGCTGGTATGAGTGCTGATTTACAGTGCGGGGGAATCCCTCTGGTCAATGTTGACTGGATGAGAGCCCAAGTTTGCTTGATCTGACGCCCACCTTGCTGCGCCCTTTGGAGAAGCCGGCATGGATGATAGGTCCGGAGGATGAGCTGCATTTTGCATTTTCCTTCACCTTGCTTTCGTGTATAAAGCCCCTATGGGATTGCCAAACCGCACTCATGGGGGTGTGGATCACAGAATGATAAGCCTCGATGCAGGTGGCGCATCGGATATTGCTGCATGTTGGTGTTTTCGCTTAGAGTCAAGACATCCATGGGCTCGAGCACAAAGGAGAAGCCAGGCGCACTTTTTGACTGGCACACATGGTTGGGTGAAGTTCGGCCGTCCTCATGCATGCCACCCGCGTGCTCCTTGTCCCCAGGTTTAGCGGTTTGTCGATTCGACTTCCTGGCGCATGGCCAGGGGGAAAAGAGGGGGTGGGGGGTTAGGTTGACTGGCTGATATTCACTGGATGAGAGCCCATGTTGGCCTGGAGGTGGTGGCCAGGAGCACTCCTGCGTTGGCCCACCCCATCAATGCAACATTGCCCGGTCCGGCGGCTTCTTTGGTGTGGATGATTGGCGATCCACGCAAGACGCATCTCAGCTACTATTTTTCCTACCCTCCTCGATTAGCCTCGACCTATTTTTGTCCGCAGGCGGGGGTTGATCGTGAGACATATAAAGACTTCCAGTGCCTCCTGGATCGAGATCGCGGGAGAAGAGCATCCCATCATCTCACCTCACAACATGGCTACCTTCACGTACGATATCACCTCCCCTGGACCTGCCAACCGTTCTCCCTCACCTCGGCTGCACATGGAGCACCTCCTGTGGGCGTACACTCCTGATCCTCAGTCAGACGAAGTGCACCAGCACCTCCTTCCAATGCCCATGCCCATGCCCGTGCCCCTCTTCTCTGCGTCCGGTGACCTCTCTAAGGATGCAGCAAGTGAGGTGTTTGCTGATTTTTCTGCCCTGCCATCCACCATCTCTGGTCTCAATGACATTAACTGGGATGAATGGATCCTGTTCGACTCCCCCTGAGTCAATGTTCCCCCACCGTCACTACAACTGTCGGATTTCTCCGACGACCCCATCGAGGAGGCTCACCCAAGCCTGAGTGATGTTGCTGATGACCCACCCAATCAACGAGAGCCAACACTTCCCCTGGCCCCAGAAGATGGCAAAGGCAACACATCGAAGGAGCCGTTGACCTCCGATGATTCCATCGAGGCTGACCCACGCCCGGGCGAGGAACATCACATCCAAGCCCACCGATCAGAGCAAGTTAAACCCCTGGTGTCCGACCGTTGGGATGCGTTGAGGGAGCTGGATAAGCGGGAATACATTATCTTGCCCCTTTCTCAAGTGAAGATACTGAAGCTGGTCTATGAGCGAGACGGGGATGAGATGTACCAGATAGTAGGATGGACAGATTTACAAGAAACATGGGGCACGCAAGAAAAGCCTTGGAAGTACTCAGGTTCTGCTGGTAAGGCTCAGCACCCGTGCTGTGAAAAACATTTCTCACACCTCACTTCTCGCAGAAGACCCAATCATCATTGATGAACCAATGATTCCCACCAGCTTGCCTTGTGGTTCTGATCGGTTTATCGCCATTCCATCCCTTCGACGGAATATAGAGAGTGTTCCAGGGGGTTTTGAGGTGTATGCCGATATGACATTGGACGATTTGCAGGAGCATGGAGGGTTGGAACTGCTGCCAGCTTATTACTCCTGGAAGAACAGCCGTCGTCAAACAAGGTCACGTGGATTACGTCAGCATTGATGCAGGAGATGGCCGAATCTCATGAAACCTTTCTATTTCTGATTAATTCATTGCTGAGATTTGTTTGTATGGTCGGGTGGGACATCATCTTCTGGGATATTGAGTAATTAGTAATAATTCAGTAATAATGGCAATTACAATAGCGGTTGGTATCAATCTCAAGCAATAATGATACAGCAACCCGTTGTCGTTTGCTGAGATATATACATACCGGGATTAGGGTTATTAGTCAGCATTATGTTCACCACCCTTGGTAGCTCATCGAAGTACAGTCTCTGTCCAAACTCGAGGGCCGAAGTCCAATCAGGCCAGAGGCACGGTGGCAGAAGAATATTGACAAAAGGCCAGGGCCTACATCATGTGGTCACTAGCATAATCACCAAGGGCCACTGACCTAGGTTGCCATGCTGGAGGCAGGAGACAATAAGCCTGATGGGTCCATGGAACGCGATCCATGGACCTGGTAGGCCCAAAGAGGGCCAACTTGTGGCCGTGCTGGGCTGTAGACGGCAGAGGCCATTGAATCGATTTCTGTGGTCCTGTGGCGACCAAGGACCCTCTGTCAAAAGCCCCAGGATTTCTCAGCATTTTGCTACGTGCGACGCTTGGTCTTTCTCTCTCATTCTCGTTCGCTGTCAGCATACCACAGACTCTCCGAAGCTATAACAACCGCTGCCCTCGACCCTTTCACCCTTTTGTCGCCTGTGCAGAGCCCCCTTCCCTTCTCTCTGTTCTTTGGAGGCAGGAGGAGAAGTTGACAATATCAAATTTAATAAGGAAGATGTGACAGGTTCCGCTTCGTGAAGAAGTCTAATAATAATCAGTATGGGTGAACTTGTTAGAGGATCTATGCCGGCGGCCTTCTTTGCAGGTATCAGTTGTAAATGTTGGTAGTTAATGCGAAGAATTTCTTGTGGCAGAGGTGGCTATTCTCTATTATGTGATGGCTAGGATATTGTTTAATAGAGGGTGAATGCATGTTTCATATCTAAGCTAATAATTTAGTGACACGTGTCCGCATTTGCTAATATAAAAATGGAATGGCTTCATTATTCGGTGGGCGGATTAAAATTCATCTAAACGATCTGCGTGGCCACTGGACACCTCTGCTACACGGATATAAGCGCGTAGGAAGGAACTCCAGCAGCAACCATTCATCATTCAAGAACTACAAGATGCCCAGTTTCAAGACACGATGGATCGTTGTGAGATTAATAGTGTTTTGTGAAATAAAATGGGTTGATGATGGGGACTTCATTGACCGATACGGTGCGGCGCGCATTAGAATGGCCAGATATAAATAGATGAAATTCTCAACTTTTGCTTGCTTTTCATTGGAGCAAAATAATGCAACCGCCATTTGCGCACGCTGCCTTTTTGGGACCAGAGACACAGAATCCATGATTATGGCAAATATTGATTGGCGCCATTTAACGGCAGCGACGCTGCCCACATCCGCTTCCTTGAACACTGGCTAGCTCTGATGCCCCCAATTTCCAACTCCAGCCTCATCAACTGGCATTCTCAGTTGAAATGAGGAATCAGATAGTTCCAGATGGTGATTTAGGTTTCTCAGCATTTTGTAGCAAAAGTATTAGTGGACGGATATGAACTAATTCGGATTCAGTGTATATGTTGATAGGGCAATGTAGCCTAGCTTGCATTTCATTTCTATTTTGATAGAGCATGCGTTTGAGTAAGAGTGAGCATGGCCATGATGTGTGAGGACTGCAACTCCTTTTATTACATATATATATATATATATATATATATACTACAAAACTAGTTCTCTAGGCTCTGTTGATATTCTAATGCCAGTTTCTCCCGAGCGCGACCCCGCACAACAGTTCCATGGGCCTCCTCTGCATGGTTGAGAAGAGCAGATTTGGCCGGGAGCACCTTCCCCTCACAAACATTGCACTCAACCCCAGCGGCCGGCCATGAAGGGTTGATATGCCTTCGTAGAAAATGCCTTGTAAGTGATCCGGGTGTTGCGTATTTTTTAATGCGGCACTCCAGCGAGCAACTAGGATTCCCAACGCAGAGAAAGCAAACACAAGGCTGAAAGCAAGCCTGAGGCTGTTCAGCTGTGGACTTGGCCTGCACAGACTCCATTGCTTGGTGCAAGAGGACCTCGGTGTTATCCTTTACCAAGCACCTCTGCCGCTTGGTTGGAGGATAAGGGTCATCATCGACCGCGGGCCGGCGCGAGGGCCGCCCTTCCTCCACGCCACAGAATGCGACCCCTGCGTTGATTGTGTTGATCCTCCGCTGATATTCCGCTTCAAGACTAGCACCCGGCAAGGTCAGCATGCAGTCAACAAACATCAAGTGCTCCAGAGGCATGAAGGCCTCGTGCTCGAAAGTGTCCATGACTTTGGTATCCACCAGCTTCCCGGCCAGTTGTCGTTCAAGGTCAATCACAGGTTGCTCATTCTTATAGCGCTCAAGGTTCTCACGGATCCGTCGGTTCCGCTGCCGCTGCTTCTCATTACGCAGCTCACGGACAGCGCTGTTGTACACCGACTTTGCTTCTGCTGTCCGATCACGGAAAACCTCCAGTCTCTCCAGCACCTCGGGGTTGGACTCAGCGAGTACTCTGTCGTCAAGATGCCCTAAAGCAGTCTTGCACACCTTGTTGGCACGTTCTAACTCAGCTTCACAGTCATCCAATTCCCGCTTGCGCTTCTGAACAGTATCCTGCCGGCCAAGGACAACTGGAAGGTATTTGAGGGACCTTGATTCTTCTGGAGAGAGCTTAAACGGTCGGTTGGGGTCGATTGATGCACTCATTGAGCAGGCAAATCGCACCAATTCTGTTTGGGAGCCTGTTTTCCGGACTATTCCCTGCGCGTCAATGTCGACGTCCACCTGATAATGCTTGACGAAGGTGCGAATATCCGCGTGTTGGAGCATGATGTTCTGAAGAGCCTCTGATACTTCCTCTGTTCATCATTAGCCTTCCGACATGACTGAAACATGAAGAAAATGGAGGGATACTTACCGCTGTTGTTAAATGCCTTAGCTCCAGCATAGCGGAGGTTGTACGGGTGGGCGACCTCCTCAAAGCCCATGATCTCACCGGCCTGGCGCATCCAGGAACTCACCATGGATGGAGTCATCCTCTTATCCAGGCAAATTTTAAATCCAGTGGATGTTAGCTCTGTCTGGCAAAACACAAACTTATCCAGTAATTCATCCTTCAGTAGCAGTGGCTGCTGTCCCTTGCCATCCAGCACTTTGGTGCTGTAGAGTTTCTCTGCAGAATCCAACACTGGTCCAGTTGTTGAAATTGACTTGAATCCTCCAATGTGAAAGAGCATAGTCAGCAGACAGATATGGGGGCTGAGAACCAGAGTTGGGTCAAAGATGATTTCTGGAATCTTAAACTCATTCCTATCATTCTGTCAGTCAACCAGCCCATGCTGTGAGGATCAGAAACACATACAGTGCCTTATCTCCAAGAAATCTTTTGGTAAACTCTGGTTTTAAGAATATGAACAATCAGGGGCGTCCATTGTCTGGAACTCAGATCAGGGTTAGCATGATATCTCAATACTGAAGATGAAGGATTGCTGAGGGATGGCTGGCAGTGATGACTGCAAGCTACAAGAAGAAAAGCATTTGAATGCACTGCCAATCAGAGACAAATGTCATCTCAGTGGTGGTGAGGATGACTCAAGTGAACTCAGCAACATCTTTGATATACATGTTCTTCTTTGGCTGTCTGACAAGAGTCAGCTTGTTTTCTGTGGTCACCTGTGCAACAACCTGCGAGAGATTAGCAGTGCTCCTGGTTTAGTGACTTGAGGAGAGGGTGCTCACATCTTCCACCTTGACAATTGTATCTTTGTTGAGTCCTGATGCTATTTCCTGTTTGAGGACAAGGTGCCACCACTTCCAAAATGTCTCCAGCAAGCTTTTGCATTTAATGCCTGGACAGTATCAATTATTCTTGCCATGACAGATATCACACTGCCAACTGAAGAACACATACAGGAAATGAACCATCTTCTCTGAATCAGAGGTTCACTCCCATTGCCACTCCATGTTAGTCTTGATGTGCTGACAATACCTGTCCAGCACCACTGGTGAACTTATAACACCATTGAAGGGTCAAGCAAGTCACAGCCTACCTCTCCCAGTAATCACAGGTCTCATTGAGTTTTTCCTGGGTTTTGGGGCTGTACTGCTTCTGTTGAAGCTGAGTGATATCAAGACTCTCTGCTAAAGCCAGGTAGTGTTCAGTGGGAAGTTGACTGTCATCATTGTCTTCATCATGGCTGATGGAGCCACTTTCATACCTGCTGTCTGAAATGATGGCATCCAGTGTGGAGAGGGAATCCAGAGCAGCTAAAACATCCATCTTGCTGCTGCTCTGCCTGTCAGGTCCAGCCAAACAAGACAGAGACACCATGATCAGAGTGGCCCAAGGGGAGCCAACAGTAGAGAGGGACAGGACAAGTAATGAATGACTTAAGACACTTTCATGGATAGAACTGGCCGGGTAGTGCTGCGAAGGAGGGGAGGAAAGAGAGGTGTAGACAGCATGATGAGAGTGATGGGGACTGGAAGCAGAGAGAACAACATGGATCTTCAGAGGGAGCCAAAACTGACAGAGTGAAGTGTCAAAAACAGCTCCCCCCCTCCTTCCAAAAGAAGAGCAGTGGGTGAATGTTGGTGAATGAGGGTGCTTGGAAGCGCGTGAAAACGCAGCAAGTTCAAAAATCATGGCCATGCGTGGAGGGAAGCGTCGCGGCCGTGGGGATATATTCACGTGATGATTGAGGTTGGGCGGTTGGCAGGAGGCCAAAAGCAGCCGCGAAAACGGCCATTTTCAGCTGCTGGCGAACCGTCACATCGTTATATGGAGTATTCAAATCAACTTTAAAAATTGAAAAATAACTATAAATATTAATAATTGAATTACTACTATAGTAAATCTATACTGATTTGAGAAAATATTTTAATTATATTTTGATTGTTACTTATTCTATATAATCATAATAATCATCTAACTATAAATTTTGACAATTTTTATAAAGATAATATAAATTATCTGTTTCTATATCTACTTATATATTTAATTTTTTTAATTATTAAATATTAAAATTTTTAAGCTACATTTATATATGTATATAAAGCTAATAAAAAAGATGATGATTGCAGAAAATAATTATAATAATAAAGATAATTTTCTTTCTCTTTATTCCCCCACACAATTTATTAATATTTTCAATATTTAAGTGTGTTGGTTGTTTAATAAATTGAATATTTGATGATTTCAGAGAGAATCTGCCGTTCAGTGGTGAAGTTACTGCTTACAGAGTCAGAGTTGGAGTCCAGTCATCCTGGCATTTTAGATAGCGTCTTGCTTTAGGGCCAAAATCTTGAAGAGTATTTTATCAAGCAAGGGGTCGACAATGGTTATGTGATCGCGGACTCCAAAAATGCCAGTTGTGGAACATAACGTAGCTATCTGCTCCCCCCTCGATGCTTGGTTTCGAGATGTCTTGGGTTAAAGGCCTGCTATCCACAAGGTTTCCTTCCTCCCTCTACCTCCTCTTTGCCCTGATCGCCTCTTTCACCCTTCTCCACCAGTTTTCTATACCTTTTTGGTACCATCCACCCCAAAGGTCCTCAATCCGCCATAGTTTTTCCAGCCCTCATCCTATAAACTCGCTCATATGGAATGCAGAAGAGGAGTGGAGACGGTTGCGGGAGAGCCAGACACACGATGTCAGATCTGCAGCAAGAGAGTATAGGCGGCGTCGGGGTCGACACCCGCCTCCTGACTTCGATAAGTGGTTTTACTTTGCAAAGGAAAACAATGCAGTTATTGTTGAGGACTTCTTCGACCGGATATATGATGACTTAGCTCCCTACTGGGCTTTTAACCCTTCCGATCTGCGGCAGCAGGCTGCCAGTCTCGAGTACCGCGTGGTTGTCCGAGATCATAAAACATCGACAATCAGTCCCGGAGAGCAGTTTTGGGTTCCAATATGGACCAGGTTGATCGAGTCCATCCAGGAATATCTTCCGGATGTCGTTGTGCCCCTCAATGTGATGGATGAGCCCAGAATCATAGTGCCATTCGAGAAAATCCGAGAGTACGAATCTAAAGGTCGTGCGACTCGAAATATGCCAAAACCTACCGACGTTGTACAAAATTTCACGAAGCTCCCTGAGACGAAGACACCTGATCCTCCCTACGACCCTGAGTATGAGGGACCTGGTCAGGGCCCGTACTGGAAAATGGTTATCCGGGGATGTCCAGAGGACAGTGCCGCACGCACCCAAACACTCTCTCCTATCGACTTCGCCAAACCACTACCCCCACAATATCACAACTATCTCAACTTTTCATTCGAAGGGTATGTCTCCAACTTCTCCCATGCCAAAAACCTCTGCAACCGTCCCGAACTCCAAGTCCTTCACGGCAACTTCATCGAACCCATCTCAATCTCCAACTCTCAGAAACTCTTCCCGCTCTTCGGAGGCTCTAAGCTCCCCGTCAACAACGAAATCCTCCTACCAGCAGCCATGTACTTCGCGGAGAATACCATCTGGTCCGGCGACGAAGAACATGGCAGAGCCTGGGCCTTGAAAGCGAACAAGCTCGTCTGGCGCGGCTCAGCAACCGGCGGCCGCAACAAGGAGGAGACTTGGCGCGGCTTCCACCGCCACCGTTTTGTGGCCATGGTAAATGCCACTGCTGTCCGCCTGGCAGAAACCGGCCAGTCACCGTCTCCCAACTTCGCGCTGCCCAACTACAACATATACCACCTCGCCCAGACAGGACGGGACGGGCATATAGCCGACCTGCTCGAAAAACACTCTGACGCAGGCTTCACAGACCTAGTCTGTTTCCCGGACCAAAAAGTCCGGACATGCCCATACACTTCGCCTTTCTTCGCCATCAGCAAGTCCATCTCCATGCCAGATCAGTACAAGATGAAATACCTCGCAGACATCGACGGCAACTCCTTCAGTGGACGGTACCGCGGCTTCCTACTCTCCTCATCCCTCCCATTCAAGTCAACGCTGTACAACGAATGGCATGATTCACGGTTGGTGCCCTGGGCGCATTTCGTGCCCATGGATTCAACCTATGCGGACATCTATGGCCTTCTGGAGTTCTTTTTGGGTCATGATGGTGGGCCGGGAAGGGATGAGGTGGCGAGGGATATTGCGTTGGATGGCAAGGCGTGGGCTGAGAAGGTCCTTAGGAGGGAGGATATGAAGATTTATACATACCGGCTGCTGTTGGAGTATGCGCGTGTGTGCGACGACGCGAGAGAGAAGATAGGGTATGTTGGAGATCTATTGACAAAGTCGAGGGTGACTATTTTATGATATGACTGGGGAGGTTAGAGGGTGGGAGAGCGGTTTATTTATTTATTTATTCATTCATTCATTTATTTGCTTTCTTCTCTTTGGCTTATTAGATATCTTATTTGCTTCGCATGGAAATTTACCGGAATATCATGTGCTGTGAATATATCAGCATAAACGTGTACCTGCATGTGCTGCTTGCTTTGGACATACATAGTCATTAATTTTCTTTTTTGGAGTGTTTCTTATCTTCTGTTTTGATATATATTCTTACTTCACACATGATGATAGATAGGTTATGATGTTATAATTATAATCCTCTTCACTATCTCTTGGTCCCTATTTTATTACCCTGCTCACCCCAAATCTAACCCTTTTTGAGGAACAAGATGACTATCTTAGAATAATGCCTTGTCCATATCTGAAATATCTAATACCATGTCAATACTTATTTTGCGCTGTTTGTCTACCCATATTAGAATGGAGGATGGGAAGCGAGGGCATTGGGATCCTGGAAACATGCGGGATGGGAACTGAAAGAAACCAATCACTTAAGCTGCGAATTACTCTCTTACTTGTTGAGATTGAACCAAGCTGGCACAACCGGGGGGGGGGGGGGGGGTTGGGGGAAGACATGAGAGCACAAAATATGAGAGGCGAGATAAATGAAAAGCACATAATTTATGGATGAACACGTTGGTTACGGAGTGGAAGTATATATTTGCGCAAAGAACAAGATGATTTGCCGATGTAGCAGAGAGAGAAGTGGAAAATAGATCTAAATGTACGGCTTTTCGAGAGTGAACTTGGACAAGAGGCAGGCAGAGAGGGGAAACGCCAGGGAATGTCGCTAAATATAAAAATCCAATCTCAACGTGCTGAGTAGTGGAAAAGAAGGGTCGAGAGTAATCGAGGAACCAATAAGTGATGATAAAAAGGTGGATGAAAGAGAGAGCAACAAAATTCAGGAGACTTGCACCACGCCATAAACGCTCAAATGCAACCGCTTGCTGCTATGCACATGCATGAAAAAATTAGATGGGATGGGATATATCAGTTACTTGGGGTGGAAATGGGTTGGATTAGTGGAAGGGGGTTATAGAAGCCCATGAAAAGGAGTAAAAAGAAAAGCTACCCTTGCCAATCAAACAGCCTTCTTAACATCTCCACCCTCACTCCCCGTATTCTCATCCTCATCCTCATCCTCATCGTCGATCCCGATCTCCTTCTCCGAATCACTTCCCCGAAACATATCATTCTCATACCCATCCACATCACTATCGGCCCAAAAATCCTCATCATCCATCTTCTCCACCGCTACTCCTCCAACCCCACCCTTCCCCTCCACCTCATGCGCCGTCGGCATAACAAACCCATCCGGAATATCCTCTTTACTCCTCTCCACGTCTCCCATAACAGTCTTCTTATAAGCCTCCGGATCCTTGCGCAGCATCACGCCTGCATCCACATTGGCAGGAGACGATACCTCCGCATCATCGAGAAGAGAGAGGATGGAGATGAGGACTGATTCAACGCGTTGGGCTGGGGACCAGCGTTCCGCGGCGGATTCGCCGGACATTTCGTCTTCACCGGGGGAGTGGAGGATGGAGATGCAGAGGCGGCCGTCTGAGTATATATTTGGGTGGAAAAGGGGGCGGGTGAATTTGAAGCCTGGGTTTTTTTGGTTTTATTTCTTTTAGTTCATGTTCAGGATGTACTGTAGCTGGTTCGATATAAGGATTGGTTTGAAAGGGGGAATTTATTGCGCGCATAGACAAGAACTAGGCTCTTCTTTTTGCCATCCGCGGCTGTGAGATGTGCAAGATTCATCTTTTAATATTTATTTAGGAGGACGTACTAGGCGGTGAGTAGGGGTAGTTTGGCGGGAAGGTCATGGTGGCCTTGAAATAGCCGCCGTAGTAGAGCGAGTCGGGATTTAGGACTATGAGTGCAACGTTCCAATGGAAAATGTTGTCATCTTTCAGCTATAACAACATTGCACACGTAATGATACTCGGTTGTTAGTCATTTGAATAAATACGGAAGAACTTTTGGGGCTGCTTGAAAGGACGGTGGGATAAGTGGTAGAAACCAAGAAACCGCATGAGCAGAAAACCGACCAACCTCGATATGTACCCATTTCTCTTTTGCCAGGCTTTTAAACTCATTCATCAAGATCCGCTGCGCCATTTTTTCTTTTAACCAGCACCTAGTTTGGTTTGGAGATCACGGTGAGAGGATTTGCGGTGGACGGTTTCGTGTTGTACAGCGAAAGAGGTGTGGGTTGGAGATAAGCGGTAAAGACGGAGGTGAGGTGGACGGATGGAATGTAGGAGCGGAGAGAGGTGAGGATATGGTGAGTTACAGTTGATCTAAGTTGAAAAGGGTGAGAGTCATTGTGTTGAGTAAGTGTGTGAATATTTAAGTTAGTTGATTCGTGCCTTTGTGTTGTTTCGAGGAGGGAGTGAGTTTTATCAAGCAATGAAGATGAACTTGCAAATTCAGTGCTGTAACCCGCCAACCGCCACCAGTGAGGTATCTCTGCATACAAAATTGGCGTGCAGGTACATGCCGCATGGCGTTTGGCCTTTGCCGCTTCTTGATATTGTACAGTAGTTACCTTGGATAGATAAGCAGAACTTTTTTTTTTTTTTTTTTTTTTTTTTTTTTTTTTTTGTCTTCATCTTCCGTTATCTCCCTCGTTTCAGGCATAGATAACTACTTCCTGTACATATGGATGTATATAGCTACATCTAATACAATGCAGCCCTGCTCCCACAGTTCCAATGCAAAGTGTATGTAGCGTTTCTGTGATGATATTAATACCCGAAACCCGCCCAGGTCCATCACCAGGACATAAATGAAATCCCGAGAGAGATACAACGTCAAAATATAATTCAATGATCCCAATGCTATGTATATCCTAGCCCTCATCCTCCGGTCTCATCTTCTTTCCTCATCTCGCTTATTGGCCTCAAATCCACCGGCGTTGAGTTGCGGACTGGAATGATCTTCAAAGCGAATAAACACGAGCTCTGTGACTGTATCCTCTGGTTCTTTGGAGAAATGTTGCTTCTTGTCAAGCAGAGGATCCAGGCCATATGCGGACCTCCGGGTGCATGTTGTCTCCTCCACAGCTGTTTCTGAAAAGAGCGGTGGGATGCCTCATGGCGGGGCATATCGTGCAGTGTAGACGTAGTGTAGAGTGTAGGCATCAGAGTGTCCGCAAAATATGAGGGGTTGTTTTACGAACTGCCGCAGTGGTATTTAACTAGTTATGTGCTCTGTAGTTAGTTAACTACTGACTAACTAGTCAACTAGTTAGTCAGTTTTACGGCTCAGCTGTGGGGTCAGTTAAGCGGCTCCTATAGCTAGCCGAACACAACTTCTTGACTTTGCGACACTCGGACCTTGGGAACACGCAACAACCATTCTCCCAACTCAACTCACAACCGCCGTAAACCTGCAAAATCCCACCTCCTACCTCTTCACCAAAGTCGAGGCTCTGTATTCTGTCTCTGTCTCTTATCCAACTTCTATCCGGCTATGCTTCCTTAACTACCTCATGCAGCTTGCTCCGGTTGACTCACCAGTGCTGTCACCCAAGCTCTCTCTCCCTGTAAACCAATCATATCTCTCAGTTTCTGTGCCATGTTAATTTGGAGGATTCGCTTTTCGGGAGCTGATGGTATGTCGTCTGCAACGTCGTCTTGTCTACTGCTCACCATTCTCTGATACGAAATTTTGTTTTCCTACTCCAAAAAGGCACCATATTACTCATTAAGTAGTGTGTCTCCGGACCCACTTTGCAGCTTGCCCGGGGAGAGGGGGGGGGTTGGGTTTTTTTAAATTTTCTCCACTCCGCCGGGGGCATATATTTTCTTCTTTTAACATTTCCTGTCCTCGTTCTTCTGTTCTTTTTGCAGTTTAGCTTCAAGTTCAACCATGCGACAGGACTGTGAGGGTCCCGCCTGGGTCGTTGATGACCTGACTCCGTGTTTTCAGCAAAAGTGAGTTCCGCCAGAGAGATATTCCACGTTTGCAATTGTCAATCTCCTACTGATGCCCCTGTTACATCTTCACACAGGTTTCTAAGGTTAATATTCCCACTTACGGCGTGCGGTTTCTCGCTGTTGTTGATAATTATCCATATCTTCTGCTATAATATTCATATCCCTTGGCGCCATCACCGCTACAGACCTATCCCTTCCGACGTGGTCGAGCACAGCAATGTAGAAGACGAATATGAAGGTGAAGAGTATGAAGAGGAAGATGAGGGAGGAGATGTGGACAGCGATTTAATGCTACGTAAGGTCTTAAGTCGCACTGCAGATGTCACCGTTGAAGAAGACAAACCCCGGGGACAGACCGTTGTAACAGTATTGGAGATTGCTGCGATTCTGGGCGAGCTCGCCATTTCCATACTGGGTCTTGCCACATCTTCGAGGGCCGCCAACGAAACGACCCCGGACATTGCGAGGCTCCTTTCATGGACATATCTGTTCCTTCTAGTGGCTGCCAGAGTTCTCTTTTCAATGTCTGAACGCCGTACACTGCCCAAATTATGGAACCACACAGCTGTACTCTATGGCTTCAATTGGCTATGTAGCGTCATGATCTTTCGGTCTGCCATAATCCATCCGCCACCGCAATGCATACGCATTTTGACCATCATGGATTTTGCACTCTCCTCCTTCCTTCTCCTCCTAATCGTCACCACCCGCAAGGGAAACGAAACCATCCTTGTTCAACAAGAAGATGGCCTTATCCCACCCCGGGAACAATTTGCCAGCCTGTTATCCCTGGCTTCATTTACATGGTTGGACCCATTAGTTTGGAAAGGCTACGGAAAGTCTCTGGAGATGTCGGATGTCTGGAATCTTCTCCCAAGTTACCAGGCTGCGGCGGTTCTTGCAGATTTCCGCCAAACTCGCAGGACTTCCGCTCTGGCATGGAGGCTGTTGCGATATTTTGATCGCACGCTTCTCCTGCAGGGAGCATGGACTATCTTCTCAGGTTCCTTTTCCTTTGTACCAACTTGGTTGCTCAAACTTATTTTAGAATACCTTCAGGATCCCGAGAGCACATCCAAGAGTACTGCTTGGTTATACGTTATCCTCCTGTTTTGTTGTGCTGCTACGCAGGGTATTGCGGATGGTCAAGCTCTCTGGATGGGGCGAAAGTTGAGCGTCAAGTTGCGCGCCATCATTATTGGTGAGCTATATGCCAAAGCGTTGCGACGTAAAGCCGGTTCAATTGCCAAGGTCTCCAAACATGATGCCGATGCCAAAAACAAGAAACAATCGAAAAAGAAGAAAAAGCTTTCGTTGTCTTGGAATAAACAGCAAACTGATCCCGCCCCGGAAACCAATGAGGAGCAGAATCTCAAGGAGCCAGATACACAGGCCAATATTGGCAAAATTATCAATCTGATGGCAATTGATTCGTTCAAAGTTAGTGAAGTATGCGCCTACTTACATTACCTCTGGGCCAGTTTCCCAGTGCAAACCATTATTGCCATCTATATTTTATACAAGATTCTAGGATTTAGCTCACTGGCCGGCATTTGTGTGATGGTTCTTATGTTACCTCTGAATATGTACATTGCATCGCGGTTCAGAGCCCTTCAACACGAAATCCTTGCCGGAACTGATGCTCGCATTCACTCGACCAACGAGGTTCTCCAAAACATCCGTATCATCAAATATTTCGCCTGGGAACAGCGATTTGAGGACATCGTCAATGAAAAGCGTAGAGCAGAGCTGAAGAATCTCCGTCGGCGGTATATCCTGTGGGCATTCGCTGCCACTCTTTGGTACGGAACACCAGCTCTGATCACCCTGATTTCCTTCTTCCTCTACACTGTTGTGGAGGGCAAGAAGCTAGTTCCTTCAGTTGCATTCCCTGCCCTCTCCACCTTTTCGCTCCTGCGCATACCCTTGGACCAACTGGCAGACATGATCGCTCACGTCCAGGAATCCAAGGCCTCCATCGACCGCGTGGAAACATTCTTGAACGAGGAAGAAACGGAAAAGTATTCCCAGCTACGACCGGATGAGCACTCGGGCGCTCCGCCCAAAATTGCTCTTGAAAACGCGACGCTTTCCTGGGGTTCTTTACCTACGAAGACCACGGGAGGTCCATCTCAAGGCGACCGCGAAGTAACTGAGTCATTCCGCCTCATCAACATGAACGTGTCATTCCGCATCGGCCGGGTCAACGTCATTGCCGGTCCGACAGGTTCCGGCAAAACGTCCATGCTGATGGCGCTGTTGGGGGAGATGACACTTCTCGAGGGATCAGTGTTTCTTCCTGGTGGAACGAGTGATCGAGCCGATTTGTGCGTGGACCCGGCCACGGGACTTACCGAGAGCGTTGCGTACTGTGCGCAAGAAGCATGGTTGGTCAACGCGACTATCAAAGAAAATATCTTGTTTGCATCTCCTTTTGACAAATATCGGTATGAGGCTGTAATTAAAGCTTGTGGTTTACAGAGAGATTTGGAAATATTGGATGCGGGTGATCAAGCCCTCGTGGGAGAGAAGGGCATAAGTCTTTCTGGAGGACAGAAGCAGCGGATATCGCTGGCACGGGGCATATACAGTAAGGCCCGACATCTGCTCTTGGATGACTGTCTTAGCGCGGTCGATTCGCACACCGCCAAACACATTTTCAAGGAGGCGATTATGGGCCCATTGATGGAGAATCGCACATGCATCCTTGTCACGCATAATGTATCCCTAGCCGTTCCTCAAGCTGAGTACGTTGTTGTTCTGGATAATGGCAGAATCTCTGGACGGGGTACACCGCAGGAGGTCGTTGCTGCTGGTATTCTCGGGGAAGAAATCCTTAATTCGCGACCTGCATCTTCTTCGTCGAGAACGCTAGCGAATTCTCCCTCGAGCTCCGAAAGGGAAGAGCCTGAATGGCTGGATAATCAAGCGGACGCGGCCGATGCAGCTAACAACGGCAATATTAATGGAAATGTTAACGGGGCCACTGTAAAGGACAATAATAAAAAAGAGCAGAAGATTGCTTCTCAGTTCGGGGAGGAAAAGATTGTGGGCAGCGTCAAGTACTCAACAATCGCTATGTATCTTCGCGCGATGGGCCCGTGGTATTTTTGGGTTGTGGCCCTTGTAGCTTTTGGTGCTCAGCAGATCGGCTCACTTGCCACCAATCTGTGGATTAGGGAATGGGCAAACGCATACCCAGTAGATAAAGTCTCTGCGGATGATGCAGGGCGCAGTGCTGCTCTAGCAAACCTCAGACTTCCCACAATGGTGACAGCATATGTTCCGAGACCGTTTTCGTGGAGAGCGCCAGAGATATACTACAGTTATATCGACAAGAACGATTCTGTTAATGACGACTTAAATCCGTGGTATTATCTAGGTACATATGCTCTACTAGCGTTTGGTTACATCTTCATAACTTTGTTGAGGGAAATGGTTCTGTTTGGCGGATCGTTGCATGCGTCGTGGCGGATCCACAAGAAATTACTAAAAGCCGTGACCCATGCGAAGTTTAAGTTCTTTGACTCCACACCTCTGGGCCGGTTGATGAATCGATTCTCCAAGGATATCGAAGCTGTTGACCAGGAAGTTGCAGCTACTGCAATCGGAATGCTGCACAGTTTAGCCTCAGTCATACTCATCGTCATTCTTATTTCTGTTATTACACCCAAGTTTTTGATTGCTGCTATTTTCATTACGGCTATTTATTTTGCGCTGGGTGCTATATACCTTAATGCGTCCCGCGATCTGAAAAGGTTGGAATCTATCCAGAGGAGCCCGCTGTATCAGCAATTCGGAGAGACCTTGACGGGTATCGTCACGATTCGTGCATATGGAGATGGTGCACGTTTCATCACTGACAACCATGCCTTGATCAACATGTACAATCGCCCATACTTGTATCTATGGGCGAGCAATCGGTGGCTTGCGTTCCGCGTTGATATAGCTGGTGCCCTAGTATCATTCTTCACTGCGTCATTTATTATCATGAGCGTTGGGAACATAGATGCTGGAACCGCTGGTTTAGCGCTGACGTACGCAGTTACGTTCACAGAGAACGTGCTCTGGCTCGTGCGCCTTTACTCCCAGAACCAGCAGAATATGAACTCCGTCGAGCGCATAGAGGAGTATATGGAGGTTGAACAAGAAGCTCAAGCTGTTATACCCGGCTATCGACCGCCGAACAACTGGCCAACTGACGGTGCGCTGCGGTTTGAAGATTACTCCACCCGCTACCGTGTTGACCTGGAGCCTGTGCTGAAGCATGTGACGTTCTCAGTGCAGCCTGGTGAAAGGGTTGGGATTGTGGGCAGAACCGGTGCGGGCAAGAGCTCGCTTGCCCTCGCTCTGTTCCGTGGCCTTGAGCCAGAAAGTGGGAGGATTGTCCTGGACAATGTCGACATTGGCCTAATTGGCCTCAAGGATCTCCGAGAAGCAGTTACCATTGTCCCCCAGGACCCTACGCTTTTTACCGGGACGATTCGCAGCAACCTCGATCCGTTCGACCTGTTAGCCGATGAAGAGATTTTCACAGCTCTCCGTCGAGTTCACCTAATCGGTAACTCAACATCTACCGCAGCCTCCGGTTCCTCAACACCCATAACCCACTCCACCACTGCTCTAAACACCAACAACCGCGACAGCGACAGCGACAGCAACAATGACGACAATGACCCCCGCCACTTCCGGGACAACAAAAACATCTTCCTAAACATCAACTCCCCCATCACCGAATCCGGCTCAAACCTCTCTCAGGGCCAACGCCAACTCCTCTGCCTTGCCCGCGCCCTGCTAAAATCCCCAAAAGTCCTCGTGATGGACGAAGCCACCGCATCGATAGATTATGCAACGGATGCCAAGATCCAGGATACCCTGCGCGAGCTGAAAGTGAACACCGTCATCACCATCGCACACAGGCTGCAGACTATCATCGACTACGATAAGGTGCTTGTGCTGGATCACGGGGAGGTGGTGGAATATGGTGGGCCGTGGCAGCTTATCAATACGTGTGGTGGTAGTTTCCGAGCGATGTGTGAGAATAGTGGGAATTTTGAGGCGTTAATGGATGGGGCGCGGAGGGCGTGGGAAGCGAAGCGGTTGGTGGATGATGAGTAAAATAAGTGAGACTTTTGTAAGGAATTTTCTCTCCGATTTCTTTTCTTCCTTATTTCTTGGTTATTTTCTTCTATTGGATTCTCAGTTGATAGGCAATAAACTGCTGGTCCTGGTGTTTTTGTACATTGTTACAATTATAGATAGCAGGTTTATTTTACACCTCTCCCCCAATGGGATTATTGTAATTTAGTTACTTATTTATTTATTGATTTTTTAATTTTTTGCCTCTCCCTCCAGTTGTTAAATACATAATAGGTTGAAACAGAGAAGAGAAAGATTGCATTTTCCGTTCCTTTTCAATCTAGTGTGAACGACACTTGGTATTCGCTTTGATCATTTACTATTATTATTCCTACAGGTACCTTTGAGCTTTTTGGAGACATTTTTCTCCCTCAGTTCCCCTTGTTATTCGGAGCTTAAATGGGCTACTTAGAATATCATTATTCGTTGCGATTCACTACCCCTGAATCCTGTGAGTGGAGTTGAAAAACTTTGACAGATTATTATTATTATTATTAATGCACTGTGACCCTTCAGCCCTCTTCTCAGAGCTCGTCTACACTGCGGACAAGGACCAGCAATCGAACCAGGCTGGAGGAGTGGAGAGGGAGAAGAGCTGTGGTGGTGACATATCTGACAGCGAGGAAGACCCACTCCGCAGTCTTTTCTCTGATGATGATGATGATGATGATGATGATGACAATGCCGCTGATCTCGACTCTCCGGATACCGAAAACGCTATCGGCCTGGATGAGGCGTGCCATCCTTCAAAAGGCAAAGAGGTTACGGAGAAGCGCGTACTGCATAATCACTTAGGAAGCGGTTGTGATAGATCTGACCACGACCCTTCCCGGAGTTGTGGGCTTTGGTCACGTATATAGGGAGAGCAAGAAAAGGTACTTATATAATTAACTACATGGACGACGCTGCCTGAGCCGTTGCAAATCACTTGAAAATCTGCTCCCAAGGCCATGACCCTGAAACCAAAGGAGGGGTTAAGTCGTTTGTTAGAGCGGGTACAAGATGGATGATTTCAACAGCAGCGATATGTCCACGAAAATTTTGCGGGTGCTGGTTGGTCCGTTTGACTGGACTTGGTCCTGAATTTGCGACCGAATTCTTTCATCCAGATATCCCGCTATCACTGCGCAAAAGTGTTCAGATGCATCAGAACTGAGGAGTGGAAGTGGAAGTTGTTCCCACCCGGCTCTTCTATAACTAATAACTTTGCAAAAAATTTAACACCCCACTATCATTCCCTCTCCTTACACCAACAGGCCTACGTTCACTGCCTGCGGATATATAGTCTAATGCTATTTATTTATGCGGAGAAATGCAACACTTGATGCTTGTCTATATGCATATTTTTAGTTGACTTCATCTATACTCTGAGCCGACCCTTTGATCCATCATTTGTTTAGGAACGCGGCAAGAGCCAGTTTTAGCAAACATTTCATTGTCAAGTTGCGTCTCCCAGCGTGTCGCTTCATCATGAGAAGATCCTGCGGTCTTTTGTAACATTCATGATCCCTCATCTTGACCAAAATGCTTACCATCTGATTGTAGTGCACTCGCTCTGCGCCTTCTTCACTGCCGAGCTTTGACATCTTCTCTACCCTTGGCCTCGAGTAACTATCAATATACCGACCACATTTCTGGTTTCACACTCCAAGAGCCATAATAGAGCAAGGGTCATACTACTGCTATGGACAAGGCCAAAGCAATTTCTTAAATACTAATCTGTCTAAAGCGCTTGACAGCAGAAGTGCTAATTTTTGTCAGATTGGTTGTGGTGATTGTGAGTCCTTAAACCTGGGTTCCACTGCCGAAGGCGGTCCGAATAGATCCCCCAGAGATATACAGTATACAGTAGCTATTATCGTCGACGCCGTCCGAAAGCAAGTCAGGACGCGCTCTCTCATTGACATGTTCATTTATCTCGAGAAGCTCTGTCTCTGAAGCAAGTTGTGTGTCGTCCCTTTCGGCACCGCCGTTGACATGCTCATTATAGTCCTGGAGGAAGTTGGCGTGTTCTCTAGGGCTTTGAGTGCGGATACGAGAACGGGTACGGCCACCAGCTAGAGGGGGATGGGTGTTTGACGTAGGTTGCGCATTTTCCTTCCCCGCAAAACCCATGTTCGGCAAAGCACAATCATTGTACTGGCATTTACAAGGAAGTTGACAACCTCCGACACATGGATGCCCGCATGGAAGATGCTCAAGGCATGATTGTAGACATTTAACTTGCGAATGCGGCATGCTGCAATAAAATGCGTTAATAGACCCTAGTTGGAGACAGAGCTTCAAGGGGCGACTTACACATGACAGAAAAGAGGGCAGTTATGGCCGCATGTCAGTTTTTGCCCACACTTCAGTGAGCAACCTCCGTCCGTCGATGACCACTCCCCTGGCTCCGCGAGATAGGTTCTGGTTTGGTGATTGTCACAGGCAAGGGGAACATGGTATCCAATCCTCTTGGGACCACAACTGACGATCTGAACAACTTCCCACCACAGAGGGCTCGCTAGGGCCAGGAACTCAGCGTTTCCGAAAATATAAAATCCCCGTTTTGCGCGAGATAGCGCCACGCACACCCTGTTTTCAATAGAAAGAAAGCCGACATTTCCAATATTCTTGTTGCTCCTAACCAGTGACAAAATGACAATCTCATTTTCCTCCCCCTGATACGAGTCTACTGTGGATACTTTGAGATATTGCCCCTGAAGCAAAGGAATGTCTCTCAAGCCTTTTAAGATTTTCTTTCGTTGCCCGTTGTAGAAGGTTAATATTGTGATGTCCTCCACGGGGACTTTGTTGAGGTGGAGATAGAAGAAAAAACCGACAATCATCTGTGCCTCATTGTAGTTGTATTTGGAGAGCAGGCTATCGGAAGATTCAGGCCATCCATGGCAGAAAAAGAACGAATTGATGCCATCCATGCCAGGAACTTCCAGTTTATCATTCACAGACGGGTGATCATCCAGATTATCATATATCGGGGCAAGAACTATTCGGACCTCAGGGGGCATTCGGCGCTGTTTGGTTAAAGATTTGAATCCAACCCCATTATGAATAAGGCGTTCGAACAGTGAAATTTTGAGAAAGAACGGCTCATCTTCTAGCTCTTTGACAGCACAACTTCCCTGAAGCTGCTTGTGGTCACCAACTAGAATCAAATGCTCCAAAGGTTTTATACAGGCGGCAGCAATTGAAGCTTCTATTACTTCAGCTGCCTCTTCAACCAGGATTATCTTTGGCTTAATGCTTGAAATAAGTGCACGATATTTGCTGAGGCTTGTTGTTGTTGTTGTCATGCCAATCACCCTCGCAGATTGGAGGATGCTGCAGTTACGCTCCCATCTCCCAGTTTGGAGGTCCTGGGCAGTATGATTGTACCTCTTCACCAAAGACCGAAGGGAGTCTAGAATGGCCTTTTTCGCCATTGCCTGCAACGCTGCATAGATGCCACCACGGGCAGTCGGAGGAATTTCCCAGAGATCCTCATGCTCTAAAACTTGTCGACCACACAACAAAGCATGTGTTGGAAGGTGTCCCCTCCCCTTAAACCGCTCCGCCAGTGACATATAAGGTCCTCTCAGACTTTCTGAGTCTTCCTCACTAAGGCCTTGATCAAGCTTGAGTTCCTTAAGCTGCTCATATTCAAGGTCGATTTCATCTTCAGCGAAACCAAAGTTGTTCTCTTTGTATACAACTTACAAACTTAACTTTGCTGTCTCCAAGCCAGGCAGCAAGAGGTTCTAATTGGTCGCCTGCGTGAACCCATCCCTCGGCGCAACTCACTAGAGAATCGTACTGTGATTGGTTAATGAGGTTCAGTTTGAGAAACACTGATGCGGGCAATGGTGACCAAGAATTTTCCGGAGAAAATGGTGCTAGAAGAATAAAGATATCTTCTGAAAGCCCCCGTATGTGCTTTCTAGAGGGTCCGGATAGTCCACCTGGAATTACTGGAAGAGAAAGGGTTTTCCGTAACTCAAATATCGTCCGCTTCTTGATATCCACGTCCGTGCTTCTTCCGCCAAGTCTCACGTAATTTGTCTTCAAACTGTGAAACATGACGAAGTAACTGGTCGAGCGCGTGATTCGTTTGAGCTGCGATGATAATTGGAGGATCGGTGCATGGAAGTGTTGATAGTAGCGATTTCAATGCAATGGTAGAGACATGGGTTTTACCAGTCCCGGGAGGACCCTGTATTATAGCCAGCTCTTTTGTGAGAATTTGACGTAGTGCAGCCCATTGAGACGAATCCAAAGATTTGGGCGGCGGTGGCCAGCTGCTGAGGACGTCTATTTTCGCACAATCTCCGTCGGCCATTGCAGATGACATATCGACAAAAGGATTCAACTTAATGTACTCTGGAGGATCTATTGTAGGCTGAAGCCCACACAAATATTCCGAAAATGGAAAACTTTTTTTAAAATGTCATCAGATACATCACATCTATAATCACAGAAATGAAAGAATTGACTTACCCGTCTCTCGCCATTTTTTGTAGTGCGGCCAAGGTATGCCGGGCTGCTTCGTAATAACCGCTCTTTGCTTCTACCATAACAAACTCCTTCTGTGGATCAACTCCGCCTCATCAGCTTGTGCATAGAATATATCTATTTCGGAAGGATATTTTATTTCTTCCAGAGGCCTAGCAGCAACGACAGCGACAATACACTTGGATTTGAACATGTCATTTGCCGGGGTAAGTGTGACAATGTTGCCCGTAATTAACCTGGAAGAGTATTCCCAGACGATATTCTTTCCCGCGCGAGCTGTCGAGAACTGAATTTTCACAGCTACTCCAGCATCTGCACAAGTTAATCCAACAATGTATACCTGATAGATGCGTATACATCAGTATAGAATGCCGTATGTTTGTAAACATAATATTTTAGGAGGATTACCTTTTCATAGATACAAACATCTGTGGAATCCTTCATGCGCGGATCTTCCTTCGCATAGGCCACAGCATCCTCTCTAAGGAGACCGTAATGTGTGCGCAAGTATATCTTTGTTGATGGCCATGAACCTTGGACTTTGTTTGCCAGCAAATTGACGCTTCCATCGGCACATCCATTGTTCTCATCAATCCCGAGAATTTCATTCGCTGTGGGGAGTTCTGGTTTTGCTGTCCAAGAATGTCCTGCTGCGGCACGTCTGGTCTCTTGAACATACTACCATATGTCCGTATTTAAAACCATGCTGGGGCCAGGAAAACAGGTATAGTTTAAATGCCTGTCCTTCATATCTGCTTGAATATAGAGAATAGTCAATCGTAATTAGGGGAATTATCCAAATTCCAAGGCGTAGATAAGAAGCGGAGATTAATTTCAATAGACAAGAATTTCCACTCGTTTGCTATCAAAGTTACAATGTATGTCTACATGTAACGAAAGCAGTGGGTTCCCAAAGGCGTGGGTTAGACTGAAATGAGAAGAAAAAGCTGATCAAGCACAAAAGCAATGATGAATACTGTTCCTGCGAGCAACTCACACTCAAAAGGCTCTCACGAGCTCATGAGTGAAGATGCAATGTCTTATCAGGAGAGCTTTAGGGAACAGAGAGTATGACCAAAAAGGTGTTAAAAAAAGTGGGAAAATGGTAGTGGGCAAAAGCATCAAAACAACAGAACAGAGGGGGACGAAACACTAGCTCTTTGTTTGGGACTCGAGGGGGCTCCACAGTCGGGTTGTGAATTGGCTCTTTGAACTGTTGGATAGGAAACGAAGAAAAATAACACGTACACAATAAGTGCCCAATGGGATGTTATTGCGGCTTCCCATCACCCTGCACCCATACGCTCCTTGAATGAAAACAATGAGATGCAGAATCTTCCAACACAGATGACTGTTCGGATTTAGCTCTCCCATTTTTAGATGAAAAAAGAGTTCGATGTTTTCTCTCCATTGGTCCTCTTCAATCCATATAGTTTTGGTGGGATAAAGGTAATATCAAGGAACAGTAGTCAGCCAGGAATTCAGGCTGCGGTAGCCATGGAAGTATATCTGGCATGTATCTGTTACAAAAAGTGAAAGACCACTGCAAAGCACTCGCAATTTTTCATGTCCGCTGAATATAGACGGAGTATATATATGAACCAAGCAAGCACAGGCAATGTAAATGGTATCAAAATTGCGGGAGCGTAAATGGGTAGTTTGAATCTGAATAGAATATGGGCTACCAACCCAAGGGACAGAGAGACATGAGATGAAAATTGATGCGGGCCAATGCAGTTGAAGAGGGAGAAATTCAGGAGGGAATTTGAGTCCATCTGAAAAATGGGCAACTACATATGCACAATGAAGAGCTCAGCAGTTGGATATTTATACGGGTATATCCAATAAAAATGAGTAATGAGAGCAATCGGGGTTTCTTGTTTTCTTGATAAAGTGCTCCTTGAGGGTTGTGAAACATCAATATGCCATGCATTTCATATCACGTAAGAAGCTTTGCCAACGAATTTACTTGCTCCCCGGGGCTGTTCATGAAATGGGAAATTCTGTACAAAAGCTTCAGAGCCGCAGGCAAACCAGAGCATGTCCGCTAGACGTCCTTCAGTTGGACGTTTGTCATATTTGTCAAACATGGCTCACCGTCCTTAAAATATCCATTTATTACCGAGCTCTCATTAGATTTTCGGAGTTTCCGTTTGTTCTGATTTGGTACCGTGCCCAGTTTGTGGAATTTCCAACGTCCTTTTTCAAACGGACACAAGCATGGACACAAAGGTTTCCCACTCAATGGAATATATTCCAGAATTCTTCACTGTATACGGACCACCGTATACATAAGGACAAGCAGTTCTGCCGAGGTCTCTTAGTATACTTTTGTCTCAGATGTTTCTAAGGGGGTCACATTTTTTCAGTTTCCACATATCTTTAGAAAGACCACGTCCCATGGTTGCTCCCATAGCCCGTGGCCTGGCAGCACACCGACAAACTAGAATAATGGCTCGTACTCTCTGGGACGTGCTCATTGTGATCACAATGCAATTCGATGGACCTTTGAAGCAGCGTTGAAGGACGAGACGTTGTTTGGACGCTGGAAAAGGGTTGTTCCGACCATAGCTTAGTCATCTCAATATTCTGTTTCTATGTTCATCATTATCATTTTTGGTTTTGATGATTATACATCTGATATTTCTATATCTTCAAATTTCCCTTCTTTCTAGCATGTTAATGGGCCCCTCACTAGCATTCATTCACTTGATGCTGTGACCTTATTTTCTCTGCTTTCTACTAGTGACTGCTATTTTACCTCTATCAATCAGATACGGTAAGCTAGCCTTCTGCTGGTATAGAATTGGCTGGGGAATAAATAATTAAAGATGCCGTCGATTGGCGGCGACGACGATGCTGATCGCTACATGGCAGGTAGGGAATTTCTTTCCGTGCATCTTGGAATATGACATTTCCACATCTAACGTTGTCTTATTTTAGGCTCTCAAGATGGTAGCTCCGATAACGACATGGATGATACCATGGGGGATATCGAGGACGTCGATCCGGAGCCAGACCCCGAAAGCCCGTCCAATTCTAGCATTGCATCGGACGGCAATGCGGCAACAATAACCCAACCCAATCCTCAAGCCCTTCTGACCTCACCTTCTCCTACCAACGGAGTTCCCGACCATTCGGGTTCGCTCCGTCCGGTAGTGCGCCCAGAGGCGCTTACAGCATCTACCTATGATATTGTTCCCACCACAGCAGCTCCGCATAGTACTTCGATTAACGCAGTAACCGCAACAGCTGACATGAGATGGGTATTTAGCGGCGGTTCGGACGGATACGTTCGGAAATTCAATTGGGTTGATTCTATCAACAGCAAGTTGATGCTGACGGTTGCACAAAGACATCCGTTCGTGGACAGCGTAGTGAAAGCGGGGGTTTTGATGACATACTGGGAAAATATGGATGGAAATGCACTATCACACGTTTATTCCCTGGCATCTCATAGCCAAGGACTTTGGCTACTCTCTGGCCTTGAATCGGGGAGTATTAGACTGCAGTCCGTTCGCCACGACGAGGGGAAGGAAATTGCGCTTCTCCAACAGCATACGTCAGCGGTGTCGGTACTATGTCTCACATCAGACGAAAAGTCTCTCATCTCAGGAAGTTGGGATAAAAGGGTCCATGACTGGGACTTAAATATTGGACAGCCAAGGCGAACTTTTGGATCTAGCGCAGGACAGATATCGTCCATTGAAATACGGCCGGAATCCAATATACCTGTACCACAAGAAAGTGGAGAGCCGTCATTGACAAATGGGACATTCTCATCAAATAATCGAGCAAATGGCACATCCAGCTTTGCCTTTCAAAATGGGGGAAATGGAGTAAATAAAGTTGAATCTGGTTCTAATGCAGAGCCACCAGCTGGATCACCTGCAGATTCACTTTTTGGCACCGATGGTTCTCTTTTTGGAGATGGAGAGGGAGGTGAAGCAGAGGCGCCATCCGGTGGTGCTTTTGCGATAGATGAAGATGACGAATTTTCCCAGGCTCTAGCAAACGGCATTCAGCAACCTGAAGACGATAAGTCAGGCGATCTAGATGTACCAGCTGCCCAGCCAAACGGTGGCTCGAGTAGCCAACATACAACTGACACGGGATCAGATAAGGGAGACCTTACAGGCTCATCTTTGGCTGCGGTGACTGGAAACGTACCCAATGGTACACCTTCGGAATTCTTAGTGAATGGGGCACCCCACGTAGAGGATCTAGAACGTGCCACACAAATCCAAGATAAACCCGGCGCTTCCCAAGTTGAAATCCAAGATGTAACCTCTGATACGACCTTTTTCTCTGCTTCTATCGATGGGACGATACGAGTCTGGGATCGACGGCAACCGAACCCAATAGCTAAAATCGTTTCTCGAAATGCCCCACCATGGTGTATGAACGCTTGTTGGTCGCCAGACGGCAACTATATCTATGCCGGACGACGTAACGGGACTGTGGAAGAATTTAGCCTACACAAAGGCCTCCGCACCGCTGAGCGGACATTTAAATTTCCTCAGGGTAGCGGTCCAGTCTCCGCAGTCAAAGCGATGCCTAACGGTAGACACTTAATCTGGTGCGTCTTCATGACTTTGCTACGCACTTCATTATCTCGTTGGTTTAGCAGGCCATTCGTCACAAACTTGGTTTTATTTACTAACCACGTCTAATAGCGCTTCGTATGATATCCTACGGCTCTATGACCTCAAGGACGACCATTCGTCGGTGCGCTCAACGGTGCCCTTTCTCATTATTCCAGGTCATCGCACTGGCGTTGTCTCACAATTATACATGGATACGGCATGCAGATATTTGATATCTACTGGCGGCAACCGAGGCTGGGAAGGTACCAATACCGAAGTATTGCTTGGTTACGAGATAGGCGTTCTCTAACTTTCATTTTTCCCTGGAAACTCTAATTTTACATATTGTGCAACCCCCCCGCCCGTTAAAGCTTTATATTGCCTAGAACCTCGATCCGTTTTCACCAGGCCGCTCCAAATTTCCATGTATGCTTATTCAGCGTCTTTTTAGCGTTTTGTGTGCTTTTACTATTTATATACCCAATTACTTCATTTACGTTCTATCCAGTGTCTAATTGTTATTAGGATAAGATGTCTTTACTGTGTCTTGGGGATATTGTCTGGAAATAATCTCTTGCCTTCTTGCAAGTGGGTATGGCGCGGGCACTATCCTACGTTTGAGTCAGTGGTGGAGTTGATTTAGGAATTATGTCAGTAATGACTGATGTATTCTGTTGGTTGTTGTGTCTATCTAGACATAATTCAAACGAGTATAACTGAAACATAAGGAATCCTTCTCATTTGATGTCATAATTACGCAACAGGCTCGACAAAAAGTCAAAGGGTGCTCTGGTGATTCAGAAATTCATAACTCCGGGTTAAGCTGACGTCGATGCCACCCTAGGAAAGTTGTAAATATTCACATGTACGTTAAAACGAAATGACATTTGCAATAACATAACATTTATCATAAGGTGTACTAATTATATTCAAAAGATACGTATCCATTCTCCCAATTAAAGAATTCAAACATGGGCAATTATATAAAGAGTAAAATGCAAGTATTTATCACCTGAAAAGCCTCCACAAGCTTACCCAAAATTCAGTGTGTTCGCAAAAATGAAATCAGTCATTAACATCAATACCCTGGCAAATGTCTTCAATATCTTTCTTCCATTGTTGATAATACGCAGTTTCCATTTCCCGCAACCGATCCCTATCTTTTTCAAAAAACACATAGGCAGGATGTAGCTCTGCGCCTTTTTCGACAGCAAATTTTGGTACCGCCGGAACGATCAAGGACTGTTTCACTAAAGGAATTGGTACATGAGATCGAATAGAAACACCGCCTGACGAAGAATGATCCGTTGTAACGAGAAACGCGTACGGGAGGTCCGCGTTCACGGTTGATAAGCGAGTTGGAACCCACTGATCACTCTGCGAACTGTCTGTAGATTTTCTTTTATTTTTCCGGAAAGAAAAGGGTGAGGACGAGGAGAATGAGGAGGATGAGAGTGTTGGTGGTGGGGAGAGGAATAATTGGTTGAGCCTCGAGGAGTCGAGAAGCATGCCAGGGGAACGGATGTAGAAAATCTTTTTATAATGGGTTAATTTATGTGAGGCTCTGCTGAGGAGCCTTGTATTTGATGGGAAGCGGTAGTTGGGATCTGACGTATTAATGGCGTGCATTATTATACCATATTTGTTCTGATATTGTCGGAGGAGACTCAGCGCATTTGAAATTCCTCTAGATGGCGAGTGTAGGTCCCAGGATTGCGGATATAGGAACACTTTGTCCGTTTCAATGTCGCTGTTCGATGAGAGGATTTTGAAGAATAGAAGGCTCGAGCAGATACATGACACGCTTGGTTTTGAAATAATTTGGACATAAGTGTGGCTATTTCTCTGCCCATATTTACCATCCAGTTCGTTCCGAGATGTCTCCCCCATCTCTCCACCTTCTCCGTCTCCTCGTCCTCTGCTATTGTCGGCTAGTACAGCATCAGGGGTCGAGAATGCTTCATTACCTTGGTTGGCAACAACATAGGCGGCTGCGGGGGAGCCACCTGATAGGGCATATTGTCGCCCTGCGAGATGGTATACTGAATCAGGACTAATGGAAGCTTGTATGTGACGAACAGTTTGTTGCTGGAGCACGTAACCTGATAGGAAAAGAAGACCTGTAAATAGGCTAATGACAGACGACGATATTATAACAGAGATAGTCGAAGATGATATGAGCACCATATTTCAGTTGCTGGTTGTTTTGAGATGGGTTTGTGAAGGAAAGAGGAATCTCGACTGCTTGTTTGGCTGGCCATGAATCATTCGTTCGATGGATATTGGATGGAGGAGATATTCCTCACAAAAGGTTTTTTTTCAAATTGATACGCCAATGAGTTCACCGTTTGATATAATCTGTCATGCTGCGGGTTGCGGTGTTCAACTATCAAGCGATATGACATCCTTAAAAACGATGCAGTTATCAATGTTTACATTCTTCCGTTGTGAGGGGCAACCTTATCGAAAAGCCTCAACCTTAATTCCGCCACAACTCTAAACCACGTGATATAAAGCTGAACCACAACCTCATCCAAAATTATAAAGATGATCGAAATAAAAAAAAAAAAATAAAAACCACTTCAATCAACAGGCGGACTTCGGCTTGCGGTTCAGCGTCCACAAGTACTCTACGGGGATCTCTGAGTCATGGACTTTTGTGCTATTACCTCGTAGCGTCCACGATACAACGTTCCTCAGAGATTCACCCCCAAGGACCAGAATGTCCCATCACCGCGCCGATGCTAGCGCCCTCCTCGATAATCGGGGGTATTCCGGACCCCTAATCCGCGGCGTCAACCCGGCCACATTATTCGAAAAAGCTGTTCGTGATCGTATCACTGAGTCGTACTACTGGAAAGAACAATGCTTTGGTCTCAATGCCGCAACTCTCTGCGATCGAGCAGTTGAGTTGACCTATATCGGTGGAACATATGGTCTAGCACAAAAGCCGACGCCGTTTTTGTGCTTAGCTTTTAAAATGCTCCAACTTTCACCAGAGAAGGAGATTGTGTTAGAGTATTTGAATTTCCACGACCCAGAGACTGGCCATGACGGAGTTTACGGCGAAAATAATGTGGAGGAAGACCACGACAAGGATAGCGGTGTCGTTAAAGCAGTGGGAGATTTCAAATATCTTCGCGCTCTGGCAGCTTTTTATATCCGGCTTACCTTTGATGCCGCGGAGATATATACGACTCTCGAACCATTACTGGCAGATTATCGAAAACTTAAACGAAGAACAAAAGATGGCTTTCTGCTCACATATATGGATCAGTTTGTCGACGACTTGCTTACAAAGGATCGAGTGTGCGCTACCAGTTTGTGGAAACTACCTTCGAGGACTCAGTTGGAGGACTTAGACATGCTTGAAGAGAGGGTCAGCCCGCTGGCTGCGGAACTTGAAGACATTGATAAAGATTCAGACGGAAGCCAGGATAGTGGTGAACGGTCGAGCCGCGGGGATGAATGACTGAATAGCCACACCCTGCCCAATTGGGTTTCGATACAAACCTCGAATTTTTTTTTTTTTTTTTTTTTTTTTTTTTTTTGAAATTTATGCTGCTCTTGGCCTGCAGGTTGTATGTTTGGCCGTCTATTTGCGCATTCGAACCTCGAAGTACTCACCCTGCAACCCTCGCAAACACGAATATGCCCAGCATATCGCCACGGCAATACATAACCCCCTGCCCCCATGCGGAAATAGTTACGAGACATGGCATTTAAGATGCTAGCTATTTTAAATCTTATAAATTTAATCGAACATAGCTTATGTTATGGGAGGAAAACAAGATTGGAAGCAACAAATATTATTTTGAAATATGGTTATTCGAACGTCTTATATACCACTGTTTCACACCAGAAGGACAGTGATAAGTAACGCCCTCGACTAGCCCCACATGGATCAAGGCCGAACGATTTTGTGCTTCTAGCCAATGACCAGTATCATTACTATGTTTGACGAACAAAATGCCAATAGGGGAAAAAGCAACACGAATTCCGCCCAAACATATCGCAGAGAATGCATAAGTCAAAATTTGGGAATGATTGTACCGTCTCTAAACCTACTTTCCTCTCAAAATCCCAGCCGCCTATGCCACTTCTCTTCCCACCCCTTAAACCATGGACTTTCTCCCAGAGTGTGTACCTCCCAACCCTTCTCCATCAAACCCTTCTCCTCCTGCTCCTCCGACCACTTCTCCAACTCTGGCAATACAACATGCTCGACATGCCGTGTATTCTTATACTCCATAAGAGTCTTCTTACCTCCTTCAGAGTCTTCGCAAGAATTTCGGTACACAAGGTTCATCCCTAAGTTCCGACATGGGTGTGAAAAGCGCCTTGGAATTGAATACAATGGCAGAGGAGAGGGTGAAGCGCCGTAGCGTCTGCCAGTCGACTCGCATATAGCGGTTGGAGAGGCTGAGCAATCGGCTCTGCGATAGCCGGAGAAGCTCGTGAGGGTCGCCGGGAGGCATGAATAGTGGTTGGCCGACTTCGAGACCCCAGGATCCCCGTTGGATGGGCTTGTCAGTGGCCATTTTGGAAAAGTAGCTAATGATGTTTTGATGGTTGTTAATCTGAATCTGCAGAAGGTGGAAAACAAACTGGAACTGATTAAACAATTTTTTTTTTGGAATTATATTAATAGACCTACGAGTCCATGGAAAACTGTATTTTCTCTCTACAGTCTGGGAATTAGGGCGTGAATCTCATGCAGTTGAAGCCCGATTTTTGTTCCCTGGTTTGACTGCTAGATAACTAGACATGCTAACATTAGCAGAGAAAATGCGACGTGGGGAAGATAGGAGAATGACTCTTCAGCGGAGAAAGAGCTCACCAGCAATAGACCTCGATCTCCGGGGTGAAGGTATTCAGTGCGATGAGAAGACTAGTCGGGTGATCGGGTTATTGATCTGATGAAATTCGATTCTAGCTTCTTACTGTTGCTACATACACTGAAAACACCCTGGAAATAATCCCGGGAAACAAGATTTAAGACATTGAGATACCTTGTACCAGAAGATCATACTTTCGATGAATCATTTTGAAGATGTTGAACTAGACAAGGAGATGTGTCTAGACTTCCATTATCACTGAAAAATCACGAACCATGAGAGGGGGAATTGGAGGTCTCGTAATAACAATTAGTGTGGTTGTGTCGCCTGCACAAGAAGAAAAGGAAAGAAAACATTAAGAAAAACAAGTGCGGCGGCGTAGATCGTACCATGATTTAAATCGCCCGCAGACACCTCCTCAGATACCTCTCGGCTCGTTGCACGTCATCCAAAGCAGCAAGCACACCAACATATCCATCTGGCCTTACAACTGCAATAACCCCCTTATCTGCAGGCACTCCATAGGTAGCATAGACATCCTGCAACGCACTCCCATCATAAAAACGCATCTCCGCATGCTTTTTCAGTTCACCAGGGACCTCCTCCCAAAGGAAGTCCGGTTTAAGCTCCGGATGAACAACAACCAATTCCAAAATGGAAGCGGGGAAGGTATTAGTGAGAAGTGTCCCTGAGATACTTCTGATGGCGGCGGCGGATATGCCTGTTGGAGAAAGGAGGTCATTTGAGGTCAGAAGTAAGATGCGGAACCTTGCGGTGGAAGGGAAATCTGGCGCCAGTCGGTTAGCTCGCATAAAATAAATGGTTTATGTCAGCTAAATCTCAGACATATACGAATACACTCGTTAGGTGGACATGGAAATGAGAGATGTCGTACCGTCCTGGAGATCTCGGGGACTCCCATCTGCATGGCGCTTCGCCCGTACGTTCAGAAGTCTCCGTCCTGGACGTAGAATCCCTGACAGATAGTCTGTATTTTCGATAGGGTTCATGGCATAGTTCTTCTCGACGAGGGGGTTTTCTGGATACTCAATACCGCAACCACTAGTGAAACCATTTCCGGTATTGAAAACGTCGAGAAACTGATCGTGCGATAACCCGTTGGCACCATTTACACTTGCGACATTCGCTGCGCCAATCTTCCCGGAAAACATGGAAGAGAAGGATTTGTCAAACTCAATAAGTTGTTGGGCGACGGTATGTCGTTCTTCGTGGTAGGTGTCAAGAATTGGGTCCGGGAGGTTATCTATAGATGCGGGAGTAAGGCCATTGATATAGTAGGCCAATTTCCATGCGACATTATAGGCATCCATCATTGAAACGTTCATTCCTTGTCCCGCCTTGTTGAAAAATTAGTGCTTTGAATACCAAATAGGCAACCAAAAAGGGTAATTCTCTTCATATCCTACAAAGATTGGGCTCAGAGATAGTCTACCAACCTTCGGGCTATGGGTGTGGCAAGCTGAAGACATGTATGTCAGCTATGCGTTAAAGGCTTGACAGCTTAAACCGAAATCAGTACGCTTGGAAGTTACATGTGCTTACCGTCTCCGACGATGAACACTCTTTGCACTCCTTTTGAATCCTTCACGATGAATTTGTCAGCCACCCGTTGTCCAATCTGATAAGCCGTCCACCAATCCACAGCTTCATTGTCTTTCGGCTTGATGTAGTACGGCTTCAGAACAGATTGAACCTGCTTCAATATGCTTTCAGGGGTAACTTTGTTCCTACGAGTCTTCGCGTCCGCTGCCGACTCATTGCTGCTTCCGTCATATTGGCCATTCTCGGGGTTCACATCTTCGTGAACCTGCACATATAGCCGGGTAAGATAGTCCCCATTTGCAATTTGTTCGCGAGGGATGACCATGACTGATCCAACAGGGGAATGAATTGCAGTTCGTCTTCGAATATCAGGGAAATCCGTATCAGCAACGAAATCAACAACTCCCCAAACATGGTCTGTCCAGTCACCCTGCAACCGGAGGCCCATGCAATTGCGAACCGTAGATCGCGCGCCATCTGCCCCGACGAGATGCTTTGTACGGATCGTGCGCCGTACACCATCCACGTCTATTTGTGCGATTACTGGAAATTCTGGATCCCCTTCTTCATCTATCTTGACGCCAACCAGCATGCTAGATCTCTGGACCCCACGTTTGGAGTACTTTAGCAAGTTATCCTCAAAGATACGCTCGATGCGCCCTTGATGGATTGTAACTTCGTGCGGGAAGCGTGCTGGGACGCAGATATCAGGCACAATAGAGGTTCGCTCAATTAGACGCCCTTGAGCTACCAATTCCGGGTCCGCAGTAGGATTCCAGAAGGCAACTTGCCACATCTGACAACCTTCTGTGAGGATCTCATTGGCCAGTCCCAGGCTCTTCAGCACTTCAAGTGTGCGGGGCTGAAGACCATCAGCCTGGCCAGATTTCAGCGAACTTGGTTTGGGATCCAGGCAAAGAAGGGATGTGTCAGATAGGCCGTAGCGAGCCAGGAGCAGCTCAAGCATCAAACCTGCGGGACCCGCCTGCAGCAATTCACCGTCTGTCAGATCTCGATTCAATATCACGTAGTTATTCCCGGAACGTCCACATTAAAAGACCTAGGCCAGATAATTGTCCCCTTTCCAGAAACTTCACGCGCGCATTTCTAGTCTCAACTTCAAGCAAACAACGCAAAAGCAAATATAGTTCTCGCACATACCCCAGAGATAACGACTTCATACTTTTCCACTCCGTTGTTTTCTCCACCCAGCTGCTCTGGTAGCTGCGGCTCGAATTTTGGGCTCAGGCGCGGGAGTGGTGACGCAAACAGAGGCAAGACCCTTAGCTCTCTGGAAGTAGCTGAGAAATCCGACAGGGTAGGCATTGTAAGGGTTAGATATGAGGGGAACGAAGTAACTAGTTAAAGCGAAAGAGGGCTACTCCAATAAGGAGCCAAACGGTCAATTCTACCTAGGAGCAAAAGTGTTCACGAGAACAGCCGAACTTCAACCAGAAGAATGAGTATATGTGCGTGTTTCTGCCTCCCCAGCACCAGGTCGTTCGGAAGTCCGTCATTCCAAACAAGCTAAGCAACTGGTTAGAGTAACTTGGTCGATTTCAATGCTCTCCTTCGACTGACCCAATGGCCTAGCGCAAGCATAGTCATTACTGCCCGACTGCCTGGCATCTTCACAGGCTCTCATTTTAATGTGTATGGGTTCCATTGTTCATAGTTCCTCGCCTCCTCCAATACGCGTTTCGACAAGCGCAACGCCCTGCCACTGTGAGCCAGGAAAAGCCAAAAAAAACAAGGGTCGAGCACACCCCAATGACCTTAGCGAACTGTTAAGTTACTTAGTTCTTAGTGCTCCGCTTACTCAGTCTGGAGTGAGCGGAACATAACCAGCTGTCATGAAATGGAGAGCTGAAGATGTATGGATGGGACTCCAGAGCCAACTTCCACACTCGTTTTTTGCTGCTGTGCCCTGCTGTGCCCTGCTGTGCCCAAGTGTCCGTATCATTGTCCCCTCCAGGTGTGAGAAAGAATTACTCATTCCTGTGGCGTTGAATTTACGCCCAAGTTAGGGCTCCGCTTTTCTTGATTGGCCCCTCAAACATCTCGAAGCTCCTCTCTTGTATATATATGCACAGTTAAATACATCGAAGACTCAGTCCTGTAAATGGGTTAAAAGACCCTGTATAAAGATGGAAAGAGTCTCTTCAGTTTATCTGAATAGTATTTCAATCAATACATACTATCTTCCTAATTCCACCTGAACTTCCCTCCCAACTCCATTGTGTCGCAAAACGCCCATCATTCGCCCTGCCCCTTGTTCTCAATTTGTTTCCATGTCCATGTAAACGCGACTGATCTAAATGCGTGTCCCCAAGTTGCCACGGCAGTAAGTTGTAAATACCGCGCATGAACCCTCTAGCTACAAAGTCTACCCCTTCAACCCCGGTAGCACCACATCCTCAGGGTCGGTCATCAACTCGGTTTTGCGCATGCCCTGGAACCCCGTCCGTGCAGGCGCCACAACGCAGAACCAAGAACAACAGGGATGCTTCTGTAATAGAAAAACTAGGTGCAGGGGAAGCGACTGCTGCTGGTAAACCCGAGCAAAATAACCAAGAAGCTGGAAACGAAGAAATCGACGATAATGATCCAAGGCACCTCGGCATATACAGACTCTCCCTGGTCTTAATTAGCCTAAATCTGTCAGTCTTTCTAATTGGCCTCGACAATACAATCATCTCTACCGCCATTCCTAAAATCACCGATAATTTCCATGCCCTTGGCGATGTGGGCTGGTACGCCAGTTCCTACCTGCTCACCACTTGCGCATTCCAGTTGATGTGGGGAGATCTGTATACCTTGTACTCCATTAAATGGACGTACATCGCAGCCCTGTTTGTCTTTGAGCTGGGCTCTTTGATCTGCGCTGTCGCCCCGAACTCCACCTCTCTTATTGCAGGTCGTGCAGTTTGCGGGCGTTGGGAGCGGAGGCGTCACCAATGGAGCCTTCCTTTTAGTTGCCCATCTAGTTCTGCCGCGCCAACGACCAACTCTTGTTGGGATGATCGGCGGCATGTATGGCTTTGCATCCATCGCCGGTCCTCTCATGGGAGGTGCTTTTACCGACAACACGAAATTCACGTGGCGATGGTGTTTCTACATCAATTTACCGCTCGGCCTGATTACCGGGCTTATCATGACATTCGCTAAGGCAAGAAAGATCTCCCTGATCGGCCAACTAAAGCAGATGGATCTCCCTGGGAGACTGCGGTGATCTTGCTTGGCGTTATTTGTCTGGTTGCTTGCTCTACGGTGGGATGGTACGAAGTACGAATGGAAGAACCGGCGCATCATTGTCCTCCTAGCCATCGTCGCGGCTCTGCTAGTCGGCTTTGTTATCATTCAAGTCATCAGTGGAGATCGCGCCACTGTTCCCCCACGTGTGTTTTGTAATCGAAACATCTGGGGCTCTACACTCTTTGGCTCTGGCGTCACTGCCTGCTTCTTCACAATGCTCTATCATGTATGTATGTATGTCTGCTCTGCTTCTCCTTCTCCCGACCCCCCTACCCAAATCCACTTTATCGAGATAGAACTGACTAACCGGGAACAATAGATCCCCATTTGGTTCCAAGCCATCAAGGGTGTCAGCGCCGTCAAGTCCGGTGTCATGACTCTTCCCATGATCCTCAGTTTCGTCATCTTCTCCTTTGTAGGCGGAACACTAAACCTCCCTGACTGGTTACTATGTACAATTCACCTATCTTACCGTTATTCTCATGGCCATTGGGACCGGTCTCCTTACTTCTCTAAACGTAGATTCAGGCCATCCTGAATGGATAGGGTACCAATTCATTCTAGGCGCAGGTATCGGGTTGGGTCTGCAGGCCGCATTCGTCTCCACACAAACTGCACTTCCACTTGAAGATATCCCGATTGGCACTGCAACCATAATGTTTTCGGAAAACCTCGCTGCCGTAATTATGGTATCAGTTGCGCAGAACGTGTTTGCCAACCAACTCATGAGAAATCTAGGCACACATGTACCCGGTTTTGATGGACACAGGATCTTGACGATCGGCGCCACACAGATCAAGAACAAAGTTCCTCCAGAGCTTTATGATGCGGTTCTCATCGCGTATAATAGGTCATTTGGCGCAGACGTTCTACGTCGGGGTTGGGTTGTCGTGCATAGGTTTATGGGGCGTCGTTTGGCTGGAATGTCTCTCTGTTAAGAAGGTGAAAGATAAACAATCGGATGCGGCTCAGGGGCCGTAGAGGGATGATTTTTGCATATAGATATTAGACACAAATTTCTGGACGGGATTTTTCCGCCCTGTATAAGGCTAGAGAACATTATCATCTTCAACAGAAACGTCTTTTATTTCATAGTGGCTGCGAGAGTTGCCAGGAAATTGTTCAGGCTTAGGATCAGCCTCACTTCGCAGCCCTTTTCCACTTCAAACATTCCAGCCATGCCATGGGGTTACTCACTATATCGTAATTACATTTTGTAAAACGCCGTTTTACTTTCCGGCTCCTCCCGCGGACACGGGAACGTGGAGGTCAGAGCGGAAATTTTCGAGACTGATTTAGGTACAGATGCTATGTATGATAGGGTGGTCAGCAAGGTAAAAGACATTATCTAACTGCTCCCGCCATTGGTGGTTAAAAAGCGTACCAACACCATATTAGAGAAATCCAGCCGTTCCTTTAAGGTACGTTACCAGAATGACTACTCCGTAGTTAGTTCGCTGTTAGTTATCACAACAAGACTGACTGGCATATCATTGCAACTTCGAGAAAAGCTGACACACGCAATTCTCCAAACCTGGCACACAGCTTGCAGGGTCAACAATTTAGTTTCGTTTCCAGACCCTTATGTCCAAAGCCCCTCAGCAAAAACCTCCAAGGCTCCCTCCTTCAGCTATCAGATCATTCACAGGTTCAAAAGTTAATGCGGCGTCTAAGGTGCCTCGAACCCCTTTTCTGGAAAGACAAATCTCACCACCTTAGCGCCTATATATGAAATGCGTGGGTGGGAGTTCGTTCCGCCGGCCTAAACTAACACCACGTTCATCCCTAAAGGCGCAACGAGGTGAGAAGAACGACAAGCATCAAGTGACCGGGGGGGGGGGGGGGGGTGTCTTGTCAGCATAATAATACCCATGAGATATCTCACTGGTGTCATGTTTGTTATCCTGGTCCGGTCCCTCTGCAATCGACCCATCTAGGTACAGACGACAGGTGCCTGAGAACTCCTAGTCATCGGAATTTGTTGTTCATTGGATGGGGGGTTTTTTCTTCCTGAAGTTTGGAAGTATGAGAGTTCCCTTTATCTAGCTCAAGACGAGCAGACCTGCAATGTTTGTCATTCCTCGAGAGCATGTGGGGATTATCCTTCAGCGTTTAACATTTCTGCTTGCATTCTCTTAGTTTCTTTGCTCCATCTTCTTCATCGTCTTTCGTTAAACTATTTTTTTTACCTTCATTCCTTTTTTATTATTTTTTTCTTTTCTTTCACCTCTCTATTTCTTCTATATCTATTCTATATTGTTAGCTTTTCTTGCCCCAATATCTGCTTCCTAGAGGACTACGTTTGGACAACAATGGCTGATCAAGAAAGCCAGAGGCAGCCATCCTCTGAAACCGCTTCCATCCAGAGGAAAGCGGATGTCCACAATTTAAGCCATGCAATTGACAACCTTGAAGCTGCTGCGGAAAAGGATGGTTATGTTTTTGATGCTTCTCTTGCAGGAGACAACGGATTAAAGACCACTGCAGATGGCAGTAAAATTCTCATTCCCCAACCTTCTGCGTCGCCATTGGATCCTCTCAATTGGTCATGGGCCAGGAAACATCTCATCTTGATCATTATCTCCATGACCGCCTTCCTTCCGGATTATGGAAGCGCAACGGGAGCCGTAACTCTGCTTCCGCAAGCTGGGTAAGATACACTCCTTTTGCATCACGGGAAATGGGGGAAGAGAAACAAAAAAAAATCAAGAATCTAATATATGAAATTTAGGATCTGGGGTATGACTCCAGATGAGGTTAACCATTCGCAAGTCGGCAATGTTTTTATGTTAGGGGTCGGTGGTGTGTTCGTCGTGGGACTGGCAGCTTACTTTGGCCGGTACCCCGTCTTCTTCTGGTTTACCGTTATCGCGACCGCGACAGCTGTTTGGTGCACAGCGGCCCAGACTTTTGAGTCCTTCATGGTATGCCAATCTATATATCCATGGCAGATGAGTATAGACAAATCTAATCAGTTTATTCGTCACAGGCTGCTAGAATTCTTAACGGGTTCTTTTCCACTGTTGCTCAAGGGGTTAGTTCAAAGCAACACCATTATTATTTTTAACCATCACTCTGGAGAAGCCAAACACTAAAGATCATGTAAAACATTCTCCAGGGTGGTCTCATGTACATCAAAGACCTGTTCTTCTTCCACGAGCACGCACGAAAAATCAACATCTGGTCTAGCTTTATTATTGTCTCTCCTTATCTCGGCCCGCTCTTCACAGCCTTCATTATCAACACACAAATCTGGCAGTGGGCTTTTGGCGTATACACGATAATGACTGGGCTCTGTTTATTTCTTATCATCTTCTGTATTGACGAGACGTATTACGATCGGAAGCTCCCCGAATCTCAGCAACCCGCTCGTGGACCTAAATGGAAGCGGATGGTTGGTATCGAACAATTCCGGTCGCGACATCTTCGCAATACGTTCAAAGATGCATGCATGAGGCCTATCATAATTATCTGCAAGCCGCCTGTCTTCATCTCCATGATGTATTACCTATTAACCTTCGCCTGGGTTGTTGGGATTAACACAACACTCTCCATCTTCCTTGGGCCCCTTTACGGCTTTGGCCCAAAACAGATAGGCAAGTACTCATCACCTCTTTCCAAATTATTTCTTCCATTTCTAACCAAGCGATTTAAAAACAAAAAAGGATTTTTCTATTTCACCCCAGTCACTGCTGCTATCCTTGGTGAAATTGTCGGCCATTGGCTACATGACTTGATAGCCAAAATAGCCGCGCGGCACAACAATGGGCGTCTGGAACCCGAGGCCCGATATGTAGCGGTCTGGATCTCCACTCCTTTCATGATCGCGGGGCTTGTACTACTTGGCTTCGCGTTAGACGGCAAGTACCATTACATGCTAGCGTCGCTGGGATGGGGTCTGTATGTTTTTGGAATCATGATCACAACCGTTGCGGTCAACGCATACGTGCTGGACAGCTACCCCGAAGCCAGTGGAGAAGTAGCTGCATGGATCAATTTCGGCCGCACAACTGGCGGATTTGTTGTCAGTTATTTCATGGTACGGTGGGCAAAGGAGCAGGGAACTGTGCGCCAATTCGGGACGATGACGGGCATTTGTGGGTTTGCATTCTTGATGGTTTTGGGATTGCAGTATTATGGGAAGAGGATGAGACTTTGGGCCGGACCCGCGAACTTTAAGACTATTTAAATAGAGATCGGGCTAAGTTAAAGCTTGAAGCCGCGGCGATGGACGAAAAGCTCGAGATTTATCAGGGGGCTTTTTGGTTGAGATATTACTTCTTTTTTATCCTTCTTAGTCGCGTAGTTTGCACCAACAATCCCATTGGGTATAAATCTTGAGTTTGCAGTTGAGATTTCTATCTGCACGCAAGTACAAAATTAATGGGCTGATTCACTACCTGCTTTCTTCCGCTCTCGACATATTTCATGGCTCCTGCTCTTATTCCGCAGCATTGCACGCAGAAGCTCACACAGAACCCCTTGATTAGTGACTCTAGCTCTCAGAAGCCAAGGGACCACAGGAGGAGAAGACATGTTCCGTGTTTAGCCATCTGTTACAACGACTGGGATGACAACTTCGCGCTTGTTCAAAGATGGTCACTCTATTCCCTGATTAACCACCCCACGACAAATACTTAACCGGAGAGCAAACCCATCTATTCGAGGACTTAGATAAACCATAAATCAAAGACTGATAATAAGAACTCTGATAACGACGTTAACGTCGTGCCATGTTCTTCAGTTCTTCAGTCCTCCCTGGTCGGGGCCTGGTTGGCGTCAAATCTCACAGGAGTATGTAACGGCGGTACGGATATCAAAGGCGGGTTAACTTGAGCTTCTGCCGGATAGCCAACCAAATCGGGTAAGATTGTAGGCAAAAAGTGCGTGCAATGAGCTGGGATGTTGAGATTGAAACCTCGCTTAGCTTTCTCTCCCTGGAATTTATATATATATATATATATATATATATATATATCTCCGTAGCGGGAGACTAGACCACCAGGAAGGAGTCAGATAATATGCAATGGGCTCATTTCATTTTAATATTGGAATTGCTATAATACGGATCATATGGGAGAATACAATTCCTATCAATCCTCCCTCTCGCAAGGGCTGATCTAGAGAGAAGTCAATATGTTACGTAGCGGTGAAACTTTCAATGGGAATCTCGGCTTGCCGGTCGAATCTTCGGCAAAAGAAGGGCTAACGAAAAGCGGATGCTGTGGGTCCTTTCTGTAGGGATCGGACTCCACCCAAATCTCAATGCATTGGGACCCGTGGCCCAATTGGCAGGGCGTTTGACTACGATTAAAACCCTATTCATCAAAAGATTGTGGGTTCGAATCCCACCGGGTTCATTCGAAACGTATCTTTTTGTTTAATTCCCTTACCACGCATTTCAGGATTAACATCGGGTTAAAAAAGAATTTTTAAAAAAATATAACCCTTATCGGCATCCACAATCCCAGATCCCTGCAACATCATCATCGATTTAAGGACCCGTGGCCCAATTGGCAAGGCGTTTGACTACGATTTAAAACCCTTCTCATCAAAAGATTGTGGGTTCGAATCCCACCGGGTTCAGCAGGATTGCTTCTTTTTGCTACTCGGATCATGTCATTGGAATAAAAATCCGGTGCTGTGTTGAACCAAGAGACCCTATAATCACACCTATCACTATTCCAATATGAGATTTATGTTTTTTTTTTTTTTTTTTTTGGCTGGATATAGCGGGTCAAAGTTTTTGACAGCGACCTTCGAAGAGTACTACGTGAACACGTGTCGATATTTTCTAGAAGGTATTTAGATCCGTGGAGTGTATTAAAAATATTGGACTGAAAAGTTCGCATGGGGATTGGAGTGTGTCGGCAAATGAAGACACAAAAAGTGAACCCGGTGGGATTCGAACCCACAATCTTTTGATGTGAATAGAGAGATTCAATCGTAGTCAAACGCCTTGCCAATTGGGCCACGGGTCCCAATTTGATGCAACCTAATGGCTAACAGCACATTAAATGCATTATATACCACACCCCACCATACCAAAACTCCCATAATTAACCTCCATATAAATTATCGCCGCGAATGTTCGAAAATTGTACTTCATTCACTTTTGTGCTGTGGACAGGGGCCATCCAAATTTCTTCTACCCCTAATACCTTCCTTTGCGAGAAACCCAGCTGCATTTTGCGTGCTTACTATGTGGTATTTGGACAACTTCTCGGTTTGTTCATTTGGGCGCATTTCATTCAGAAACCTTCCAAGGTAAGGTCTGTGTATCTTTGCTTGAGAATATCCCTGAGGCCAGACCCCCATGCTGCATTCATAGAAGCCATCATAACAACAATCTAAAGCAAGCATATGCATATTGTTCTGTTTAAAGTTCACGTGTTTGGGATGATCGAATGGGAATGGCTGTATTAACGACGCTGCTGCCGAACTTTTATCATCAAGAGATTAGGGGAGATTATTTACTTACCATAACTTCCTTGGAAAGTGTCACAGTTCCAATCCCAGAGCTGGGATATTTGGCAAGGTACTGGGATTTTGGCGAACTTTTACAAGAGGCAATATCTAATCTAACCTTCTAATACAGGGATTGAAAAATTGAGCAGCTGAATGGAACCAGGTCGCAGGAAAATTATCTGTATCCCCCTGTCTTCCTTGTTTGTTCCCTGCAGCTCCTGATGGCTCATTTAACTAAGAGAGAAAGGTTTCTTGCGGGCTCTGCCAGAACCACTCGGAGAAATCAATCAACGGACTCATTATGTGACCACGTGTTTATCCACGCCATAAGCCGAACCGGCGTGGATTGTTGCGTTAGTTGCACTTATCTCCGACAACTATGAACGTATCAGAGCGTCCCAAGGTTTTCACACTGCTCGCCACGTGGCTGGTTGGTTTGGGTTTAGTGAACCCATCTGCCTGTTGAATTGGTGACCTTTGAAATAAATCATCCTCCTTCCCTGAAGCGAGATTGTGGCTTTGCCATAATCGCTGTGAACGCATGTTCGAGGTTATCTACCCTAGGGATGTAGATCTGACATCAGCAATTGGCTATCTGGAAAGGAGAGATACTCTGTTTATTTCTCTTTTCTGTCATGAAATTCCATCTCAGCTTCACCCTGAACTCCCAAATTTAGGGGTGGTTTAACATTTAGAAATCCGTTGACTTTGGTTCTCTTTCTGTTTCTGAAAGGAGAAGCTGGTATTGGCATGAACTAGGCTGTTCGAAGGGTATTGGGAGAAGTACAGTTTACAAATTTCTACAGTTGGTTTCATCAATCCACTTCCCGCATATTCTTCACATAAATCCGATGATATATCCTTGGCTTGAAATTTATTTGACATTGATACAATCTTTTTCAAAACTCATTAAATGCATATCCGACAGTTCTTTGAAACCAACGCAATCCAAATCTACCAATAAGGCGGCTCTAGTTCTCATATGAAAACTATGGCCCAACTGCTTTACTGGATGATATCCATACCAGGTATCTCCGTTTTCCAGGGTTGGAAAGGTCTTGCAGATAGCATTATGATACCATAAAATCGAGGAGAGTTATTCGAGGAAATGGCAGCTTAGAGAAATTCACTAGATACTCTGTAAAATACTCGGAGGACTTGAGAAAAGTATTTCTGTCAATATTTTTGTCGGAGCCAGCCAGGTTTTGTATCGACAAATAAACTTTTCGGGAAGAAATAAGCATAAAAGTAAGGTTTAGTGTTTTCTGGGAACAGTCGATGATCATCGCTGGTCACCATCTAAATAATCATAAGTGTACATATATTACTATGTAAATACAATCTCTATTCAACCCCACTTCAATAGATTAGATTAAAATCAGGATTAGGGGTTATAAGGATCTGAGAAATATGATAAGATCACTCCCGCATATAGAGATGTGTGTGGAATATGAGTGAGGTTTGACTAGTGTATTTAATGGAAGGAAGTGTTTTTGATAGTTACACCACGCCGAATGTTTTTCCGTCCCAGTTTTAAAACCATTGGTCGACTCTTTTAGATCCAACATTCAACTGTTCGCCCGCAATTCCAACTCAAACCCCTAAATGCATGCTTGACTTTCGCCAGCGCAGGTGGCTGAAACTCCACGCTTTTTACACACTTTTTTGTTTCTATCCTGGTGGCAACATTCCTTAAGAACTACAATTTTCTCTCGTGTAGTTAGTTAACTACGTGTTTGACATGGTTGTGAGGGGCAACGAACGCAGGATCAATGTTTATGAGAACCGCCTGCATGGAAATCCAGTTGATTTATAATTCTTTGATGGAATTCAATGACTTCATACTCCGAGGCTTCAGGGATAGACATGAGAGTCAATTTCTTTGACATTTCTTCCTTTTCAGAGTGGCGCTTGCAGAAGTATCTTAACATTCAAAGGTCTTAACTCGGAGCCCGCTCAGGCGAAACCTCAGAAGTTTCCGCCATCAAAAATAAACGGGCAAGGAGAATAACCCAGATCCAGTTTCAAATTCCATTAATCCGGGGAATAGTCAGTGCCAAGCCTCAGAATACTTTCATCATACGAATCCCGTCGCTACCCCGACGTCGAATGCCATGTTTTTTCAAGAGTTTCAATATATGTAAGTTTGAATTTGAAGGTTTTCTTCCACAACCATTATCGGGATGTTTCTTTGATAATATGTCGGCGAAAAGGCTTCGCAGAACTCCTCTAATCCAAGGTATACCAAGGTATAATAATGCCAATAGCAGAGACGAACCTGAACCTTTCTTTGCCTCAAGTTGCGTTGCGGGGTGCCACTCAGTCTAGTAGTGCTGACTCGGGGTCAGGATAGGGTATGATTTACACAGTCGTGGCTCATCGAAATGTGGATACTGTCGAAGATTTATATTCTCGATTCTCAATTAGCGCTATTACCATCCTGAAGCGGTGAATTAGCAGAAGCTAGAATTATTGAGTTGCAGCGAGCGGACTTACTGGGAAAAGAGCAACCCAGAATGCTTCTAGATAACTGGAGTGGATTCCAGTGTCCATGATGCTTCCTCGCGTACCGCTTCTTCATTAGTACATGAAATTCGGATCACCTAGTTCTAACCTCCATTCGAAACCTAAAGATAATGTTCTGCAGGCAACTAGTCGTCTCGAAGAATATCTAATCCCCTTCGTCGATCATATCTACCTCTCTCACGGGTTTGATGCGAGTTTTATCCGCTAGAATGCGGATAAGAAACTTTTGGTTTAACCTGTAGGTTGTTTATGTCTAGGTCCAAGAGAAATTTCCGCAAAGAAAGATAGTCGGCGAAACATACTTTGATCTCGTCAGTTTAGACAGGCTGGGGGGGGGGCCCTCTTTGCTTCATGGGTGGAGAAATGATGACCAACTTTGTTGTCGCCATCAACCAAACCACTTAACAGAAAACATTACGGCCATGGGTTCAACTGGCCTGAGCCAAGCAGACATGGTGGTCCCGTTTTGTCGTGTCCCGCCAAGAGTTCAAACAAGCAAGGGCATCTCTTTACCTTCAATAACGCAATGGTAAGCGCACTTCCACAGCCATTTCATGTTGCCAGGGTTTCTTCAGTCAACACCCGGGAGCAAGGCTACCCTTGGGGTGTTGGGTTCCCTTCTTCACCCATGGCAGAGAGGCGGAGAGAAAGACATGAAGGGTGAAAATAACCAACGGGCAGGACTGGTAATGAATGTTCAAATTATTCATTTCGGGTTGTTTATCAAGTCACCATACGCCAGACAACATGCCGACAACCAGTCTACAGCATTATGTTCTGCTTCCACTCGAGCCCGAAAATTGATTAACTATCACTAGAATCTGCTTTTTGTTGTCCCAGAGGTGCTTGAATTTATATATATACATATAGATATTTCTCTTTCCGCTGCTCCCCTACCGTTAGCCTCGCGTGGATGGCGTTTGGCAGACTCATAATTGATCATTTGACTTGAGGTAGAAGCGGCCTGCATTGCCATGGACAATCGGGGACCGCCCCCTCCAGATGGAGATGTTAATAAGGGTATTATGCTCAATGCAATAACGTGGTCTGAATGCGGTCTTGCGCTCGTTTTGGTCCTGGCAAGAATCTTCACCAAAACTCGACTAATGAATCGTTGGGGGTGGGATGATGCGTTTATGTGTCTCGCTATGGTATAAACTAATTTTCTCCCTTCCGGTCATGATGGGGAAGTTATGATATCTAACACTTGTCTTGCAGGTTTGCGCGCTGATAAACACAATTTTTGTAACTGTATGTGTCTATTATGGCACTGGCCGACATGTTTACTATTTAGACGAGCACCAAAAGTTTCAAGCGAACAAGTTCAACTGGATCTCTCAGGGTTTTCACGTCATGTCGACAAACTGGGGCAAGGTCTCCGTTGCGCTTTTCCTGCTTCGAATCGTCGATAGAGCGAAACAGACTAGATACATCTTCTTCACAGGCATGGTCATGCTGACATTGGTCAACTCTGTTTGCGTCTTCACTATTTACGGCCAATGTACTCCAACCTCAGCACTTTGGAAAGGAATTGGTCCAGGAAAGCCAGGGAAATGTTGGCATCCCCATGTTCAGAGGGACTATGCTTTTTTCCAGGGATGTATGTTGAGTGTCCTTTTTACATCAATTCCCTGGTAGCTAATGCCCTCAAAACGTGAAACTTACGATATCGATCAACTTTCTATAGCATTCTCCGCAGCGTCCGATTTAGTTCTCGCTCTATATCCTGTGTTCATTATCTGGAACCTCCAAATGACCCGAAAGCTGAAAGTAGGTTTGACATGTGTCCTCGCCTTGGGGGTTATGTGAGTACATTTTCATGCATTTATTTCTGCGTCATCTCCCAGTATATCATATGTGCTGCCTCGGTGCCACAATTCAAGGGGCTAATTGTGCAAAATAAAAATGCAACAGCGCCACGGCCGCTGCAGTGGTTAAAACAATATTCCTAGCCGAACTCGCCGCCCGCGAAGACTACACTTTCGAAACGATAAACCTAACAACGTGGATCTCAACAGAGCAATATCTAATTATTATCGCTGCCTGCATCCCGACCCTGGGGCCCCTTTTCACCGCCGCTTCTGGGCGCAAACCCATAGGGAAAAGCAGCGGTTATACACCCGGCTACAAACCCTCCAGCTTTAACAGACGCTACGTACACCACGGGTCGAACGGCAGAGGTGCGAATGGTGCTGGTTACAGAAAGCGTAGAGGAGATGACTTGCTCACGTACACCATGGATGAATTGACGACGACAACAGATCTCTGGACGCGGTCATCTCCTAATGGCCGGAAGAGCGATGGCGAGAGTGAAGAGGCTATTATTAAACCTCACGACGATGAAACTATGGATGGTGATGGAAGTCGTGGTATTAGTCGTCGTGGTGATGGAGGCGGGCAACAACAGAACACTGAGGGGATTGTAAAGACGATGGAGGTGCATGTCAAATCTGACCGTCCGCGGGATATGAAGAGGGATGCGCCGCATGCGATTACTCGGGAGAATAAAGGGTTTTCACCGTGGGAACCTAGGGGGCCTGCATGATTTTCTGTGGCATTCGGCAGCAATGTATGTACTATTGTTTTACTTTTCGTTGGATGTATATGTGCACGACGCCATGGTGGCTTCTAGCATAATAACTGGGGTTTAGACTAGGTTCCTATGCGTCTTTCCTTTCCTATTCGCATTCTTTTGCCTTCTGAGGCCGAGAAAGAAGGGGAAAAGGGATACCCTGGGATATAATTTTGTATAGCTGATAACATTTGTCCGGTATTGTGTTAAAAAGAGGGTCTCTATTACCCCTATTCAGACTACATTTGCTTTAACTCGAAAACCTTGTTCGGCATATCGTTTGATAATTATTCACATTCAGCATCCTTCATCTTCTCTAGGTACCATGTCAAAAAGCATGACGAAGAAACCAGTGAGACAATAAAAAGGAGGGTTAAAATCCCTGATATGAGAGGCACATGCTCTCAATGGAAAATTAGAGCACATAGTCATCCTCCCCCGCCCCAAGGGGGGGGGCTTTTAAGAGAGAATGGGGGGATATTTTTCAGCTGACAAAACTGTGGAGAGAAGAGACAAGGGAACTCTAGGGCAGTATCATTTTAAGCACGATCGTATCAATCTGGACAGTTATGTTAGACATCGAGTGGTGCGACTTGATCGTATTGTAAGTGCTCACACCACGGGCCCTTTTCATATCTAGCTTTGTAGAAAGAAAATAGATTTGTCCTATCAAACACGCCATTCAACGGGGAAACAAACCCCCTTTGTTGTATTGGCTTAGAAGGAAAGAAGATTTTAGATTGACCTGGGGCAATATACTATATAAAAGCAACTGCTTGAACACGGAAGGGAAGAAATGTATATAATACAATATTTTGTATGGTTACGCGCTTGATTATTTTTAATGCGTAAAAGAAGTTGCCAGAAGCAATCAGAAATGAAAGTAGAAGTCAACACAGAAGACCGTCCCGTCCCACCGATGCCATGCTCCTTGGATACTCAAACCCATTCCATAAAACGAAAAGATTGTAATAACAATTGGAAAAAGAAACGCCCACCCACGAGCCCCATTTTGTTTTGGGATGAATTATGAAATAGCGAAAGCGTTTGAAGAGAAATAAGGAGAAAAGGAATTTATGTAACTTGTTTTGAAGGAAATTCGTTCAGCTTCACCGGAAAAGAAACATATGCTTGCACCGCGGCATAGTCACTTCAGACCAGGTTTCAAGTTGAAACACTCAGATTTTGGTTTTCAGGCGTTGAGCCCGTAGCAAGTGGTAAGAAAAGGAAGCAAGGTATGATTGTGTAATGACATCGAAACGCAAATAAATGAAAAGGGTATCATGAACAAAGTAGTTTGACGCTTCATAATGCGACATAAAAAATATATGCAACTCTGTGACTGTGGAAGAGGGAAATAGTGGTAGAAATTAACAATCAGACTTGCTTAATCCGGGTTGGTTAGCTGTACGTGAATAGTTAGGATGGCAATGCTGGAATATTATAAGTTGCTGTAAGAATGGTAACAGTAAGAGTCACTTACTCTCAAAACGGGCCTCGAATAATCCTGATTGTCTTGCAAAGAAATATTGCTCTGCCGATTTCCATTCGAATAGATAGCCACGTCATTTGTCATGCGACTATCCGTAAAGGCCGGTACACTTAGGCGACTTCGGTCGTTCGAACCCACTCCACCGTTCATTGGTTTGATGCCTCTGTGGTTGTAAGCCATGGCTGGAGTCTGGAGCGTCGTCTGGAAACTTGGAGACGGCACGGAGCGCTCAAATGGGTCCATATCATCATTCATATTTTTTTCCTGGCGTCGACGGATACAGAAAACCCATAGCATCATTGAGATGATAAGGCCAACAGCTAGTAAAGTTCCTATAACAATGCCGGCTATCGCACCACCACTTAATGAAGAAACTTCTCTGGGTACGGCGGTTTGGCTTGCGTCAGGGGAAATTGTCTGAGTAACAACGGGTCCAAGTACGGTTTGAATAGGTTTATTTGCGCCGGATGTTGAAGCTGATGAGGTGGTTCGACTCTTTAAATGGAATAAGATTAGCACAAAAATTGAACTTAGATATACCAAAGTAAACTAAGATGACTAAACAAAGCGCAAAGGTTCAGAAAATATAGCCAATTCAAAAAGAGGTATGTTTTCGTACAGAGGATGAGATGACCCCGCTCTGCGAATTAGTGACAGTCACGGTAATTGCAGATTGAGAATTGGCCTGTGTAATTGTCAAAAAGGATGAATACGTATCCAGCTTTGTCGAAGGTTCAGGGCCAAAGTGCTCATTGTTGAGAGCTTGATGCCAGGAAAGGGATAGGGAAATTTGGGGTGAAAAGTGTAGTTGCACTAGTCCGGAATCCAAGAGAAGGAATAGTACTAACCGACTGCAATGTTTGACTTGTCTGGCCTACGGTTTTAGACGGTTTCTTGAGCAATATATAAGCGAAAAGATCTTTTGAAGAATTTCCGCACTTGTCTGATGGGTACCCAGGACATGATTCGTTGCAATCGTCAATTGAGGTTGTTCCGCCCGGTACGGCATTAGAACACCAGCACGATCTGCCCTGCAGGATTGCAACCGCGTATCCCTTGGAGCAAGTATCACGACAGGCCCCATTTGATTGAAAAGTGCTGAATACTGGTTGGATCAAATCAGCACTTCATTGTCCATCAGCCGGAGAGGAACGAGGTGTAATACGTACTGGATTCGAAGCCCGCTCCAGTGTTTGTAGACGAGCAATAGTCTAACGACAGCGCAACAGCCGAAAGAAAGACGTGGGGGAGGGCGAGTATATAAAAAGCGAATGTGAAACGAGAGGCCTGGGCCATGGCGTTCTCGTAGTCTGTTAAATGGTGGACGGCCTTCCTCGTTCTGTAAGAAATAGTTCTTCTGGAGCGACAGCACAAATGTCAGTTCTGGATTGATAGGCCTATAAGGGGTTTGAGCAGCATGAATTGAGCTCCGGTGGGCGTTGATTGGGAAACGGAATTGAGAACGGAGTAATAATAACAACAGTAAAAAAGGGGCAACAGAACCAAAGAAGGGGGAATCCAGTCCACCGAGGACAGAGTGTCAAAGGAATGAAAGGATACAAGATGAATGAAGATGAGACAAAAATCATGGACAATAGAGTACCTAATAGGTATCTATTAAAATTGAGCGGACAATAACAATGCAGTATGGTGCTTAGTCGTCATGTCATAGAATTGGAGATATCAAGGATGCAGAGAACAGGTTCTCTCAAGAGTCCTGACTTTTTCACACCCATCACCATACCATGTTCAGACACAGAGCCAGACAACAAAACCTGAGCAAATGGGTATAGCCAGGCAGAGAAAGCTTGGATTGAAGAAGACATATACGTACCGTTCTAAGGTCCCTGGTTTGAACCTTGTCTAACTTCCTTGGTAATAATACCTGAAACCCGAGTCTAGCCCTGCTGCGGTCCCTCACGGAGGACAGCAAGACATTGATTGACGGCAGGCAGAGGGCAGCTGTTACATCAACGGAGGAAGCGCATTGTCGACTTGAAGGTCAAGATCTTAGGCGACACAACTCGAGAGCAATTGGTCTGAGGGAGTGACTGGAGACAAAAGACAAGCACCGATGTTAAATTAAAGGAGGGCTAGACACCAAAGATGGGGAAATGCAGAGCTGACTAGGACGCACAACGACCCCGAGCAGAAGAACTAGAACAAGAGGGAAGACGGGAAAAAGAAAAGAGATGCGAGTTGAATGAGAGACAAGACACGAGGAATTGAGGGTTGGAGGTTGTGGAGACTCAGGAGGGAGAATTTTGGGAGAGTGAGGAACACAACAACCGCCTGCAGCAACACCCTGCAACCACGTAACCAACTTGCTCTTCGCTCAGTGCTCGAACTCGAACCTTCAGGCTTTTTATTAGAGGCCATTTGGGCCAAGGCTTCCGCCAAGCAGATCGATGCCCTCCTAAGATCCAGCGCTATGATTTCCTACCCCTTGGCTCCGCTAAAAAGCTGCCAAAGAGTCAACCAGCACCGCCAGAGAGTGTGCCCTCAAACACCCAGGGCAGGGCTCGGGGGGGGGGGGGGGGGGGGGGCTTGATGCTGGTAATTTTCTCCGCAGCCCCCATCCTGAGTTGGGCTAATCAGATGAACATCGTAATCGAGTCCAGCCAGGAGATAAAACCTTGCTCGAACATCCCACCCACCCCTTATCCTGTCCATTATGGAAGAAAAACTGAATTGGCAAAGCACAGGAGGAATGTTCGAAATTAATTCTTCCAACCACAAGTCTTAACAGTCGAGATCATATTATTCTACGGAAAGCAACGGTCATGGATTCGTTTTGCTCAACAATCGAATTATCAGCCACGGTCCGATTGGTCGTAGCCCAAGCAGGAGTCCAACGACCGCATCTTGTGAATATGCTGGCTGCCACGTTTGATGGCATCATTAGATCAATTATCTAATCCATGGAATTCTTTAAACTATCCCCTCTCTCCAGACAGAGGATAACCTCCAACCTTCCGGGTCCAGGAACCTTACAGGCATTGTTAACTCGGCAAATATCAAACATTATTGCAAAATACAGTTACAGCAACATTGCCGCGAAAAATCTTCCGTCCTCTCATACGTCAGAATCCGGCTCGTGTTGATCGTCTCGGGTTAGCTTTCTCCCAAGCAGTATTCGATAGTGTGAGAGTGATTTGGCTAAAGTTTGCCACTGGCCTATGGCAGAATAGCATGATCCTACCGAGGTAATGTCGGGCTCCAGGGTATCATTATTTTGATTGGAAGCTCTGGAGTACAAATTTCTGTCCCTTGTTTCATACGGGATTATTAGCGAAGTTTCGATCGTCGATTTCCCAATGATTGGGCGGACATGTCACCGATACACTGCATTGTGATGAGAGTCATGAATTTGAGGGCCTAGGGGTGCTATAGAGTCGGCATGTGCACTGTACATCCTGAGAGATGTGCAAACCCTTTGGCTGGAAAATACCTTAAAGAGTAAATATTCACGTCAGCAGCTACTTAGTTACCTCAGAGTAAAATATTTTTGGAGGCTGCCTGAAAGACTCCAATTGAGTTTTCAACGAGGTGGTTTAACCGTAAACTCTCCTACCTCCACTTCCTGTTGATTCGGGAAAGCAACCCAGAAGAAAAGAACTGAAAATCATAATGGAGAGGAGCAAGATTCAAAAACCTCTTGAACCGTTCCATTTCACTATTCTGGTTGCTCTGCACATGCTAGTGAATATCAGTCCATGGCTACCATCTCCTTGAACGTCAACAGGAAGCATTGAAAAGAAAGGTATTGCCCGTGCCGTAGTACCGACAGCGGAGTTTAAACAGATAAACTACGGGCTACCCTAATCACGTGCCTCCCTATAGAATTTTGATGCCGTTAGTTCAACAACTATGCCATCATTCCATCATCGATGAACACCACTCGCTTTTCATATATTGAAGTGTTCCAAGCCAGGAATCTAATATCATTCTACTGCGAGCCAATCTCTTGCTACAAAATGCGGGATACATAGCAAACCTTCATCCTTCCGACAGCAGTTGGAAAAGTGTCCCCGCATACACCGTTCCCGATCTCCGCATCTGATTATCTGCAGGCCTAGGAAAGCGGCCATCGTGCATAAATTATGAACAGCCCAGAATGACCTGACCGTTGTTAGCCCAACCCTGTCGCCGCTAGCTACATGCGGAGCAGAGACTCGACTCCACATAACGACCATACACAACCGACACACCATCTGAGGTTCAAACAGATCAACTTTCATTGGCTCATGGTTCGGACTGCTCTGGTCACCACAGGCCACGGCTTCAAATATCCTCTACGTCACTCTCCGATTTTCTCAACCTGAAACCAGGAAACGCAAAAACCCATCACTGAAGCAAGAGAAACTACTAGCAGAGTTAGGCTTGTCATACCCTCCATATATCAAAGCGCAACGGTCCCATTTTTCTTTTCTTTTCTTTTTTTTTTTTTTTTTTCTTGTCAAACCTTTCCCCCTCATTTATTTCAAAGTTTCCTGTCTTCCTCTCTAGTGTGTATCCCCTCCTCGCGACACAACTGTATGGAGGCGACTGGACGGAAAAAAACTCTTATTCTATCCACTTATATAGACAATTTGGGGTTTTGTTTTTTTTTTTTTTTTTTCATATCGGCATTTTCGGTCATATCTCGCTTGCCTTGCCAAGTCGTCTTCCCGGGGGAAAAAGAAGGATTTTTCAGGATATTAGATGCCCAAACCCAAGTTGCTAGCAGGAATTTGATCAGGAGGAGGGTGGCTTTTCGATGAGACAGAATGAGCAATCTTGCGAATATGAGACTGGGGTAAAAAGAGAAGCAAATGGACCCGGAGAGCGAAATCTTCTGAAGGCTGATGGATAAGCGCCGTTTTTGCATAAACCTTGGCTACGCGCCTTTAGAAAGAGCCAAACAAAACCTTGACTTTTGGTTGGGCATACGTGACGAAGCGCATCTATGGACGCACGCTATAGACGTTATGCGCGATGCTGGGTGGTTAACAAGTTCAGTAGCTTTCGTTATTCGATCCAAAGGCATTTCTTTACAATTTCCCGCTCTTCTTGCTCCACCATTGGGATCCGGTATTCATTTTTATCCCAGCTGCATGAAAGTATATCTATGAAGGCTACACCGCGCGTATATGAACCCATTTCCGTTCAGACAAGATTTTTAGAACCTTCGTCTATTTTTTCCTTAAGAAGCTTTATTTCCCCATTATTTTCAGCCTTCAAAGTGTGATATCCGTATAATTGCTACCAATCCCACCAAAACTGGGGGAAAATAAATAAATATAAACAAAAATATAAATATAAATAAGGTTCACTAGCATCTTACTCGTAATATATGCTTTCCCGAGCGGTCGCATCATCGCAATGGCAATTGATAACTAAGAGTCTCCCCTTTGCTGCCACGTACGGAGTCTGCACATACGCACATACCGTCTTCCTTACCACGCATTCACAAACATCTATCATGCAGAGAGGAAGTGCCCATCAAAAATGATGTGACATGTTGAGGACACGGATTTTTTATTTTTATTTTTATATTTTTTATGGGCATCTACTTGGCAGTCAGAGGGAGAGAAAGATGCAAGAGATATAGCAAACTTTCAACTAGTGTGCGCTGGAACCGTCCACGGCCGATGAAGAGCAGAGGGCTATCTTCCTAGGTGTTTAATATATCCATCCAAAGTATCTAAGGGCTTTTACTTCAGTCTTGGCGTTTTTGGACTGCTGTAGAGCATCTGGCACTCCATCTCTCTGCTATGGCTGTGAATGACGTTGTGTGACGGTGACACTCGGAGGCGGAATGAGAGAAACTACAATAATGAAATGATACACGAAACTGGTTGGATTATTGACCAGACTAATATCCTTATCGAATCCCGACACAAAGGCTACACAGAAAATTTCGATAAAACATAGCTTCAATCGTCCTTCTCTGAATCGAATACAGCGGGCCTAAGAGTAACTACAGTACATACTAGTCATGCCGAATATAGCTCCCGCATTCCTGGAACCAGGTAATCGACCCGCGTATATAACAACAATATAGTCTGCAAGGGATAAAATTTTATGACAAAATGATGAGAACCAAATAGCAAGAATGAACTCACGTCATTTTTGTCTAGAACATCTCGGGAAACTTACCCAGCTTGAATCTATTTTAATGTTTAATTATGGAGAAGTTCATTGTTAAATTTACACCTCTCCAGCCCGCCTCCCGTCCTTGTAAACGTTTAAAATAAGACAGATCGGGGAAAACAGAAGAGCTCCACATGTTTTTAGAGGTGTCTGGATTCGTGACAACATGGAGCCAAGCATAACTCATGTTCCAGAACATTTTCCTCTCTTTGCTCTGCACAGAGCGGTTGACATATGCATATTGACGACGTACAGTACGTTGAGACCTCTGGGATCCCGCTGCTGCTCCGGAAGCTTTGCCCCCATTTCTCCCATGCCTCTAGATGGCCTGGCATCTAGGGATTCAAGAGGTATCTACGTCTGAATCTCAGCGTCAATAATGGATGTCTGCATAAGCAGTGGCAGTAGGCCACTTACCAGAACGAATTCTGGGATTAAATATCCTGGCCACGAAACGGGTATAGTTACTTCACTCACAGGGATTGGCGAATGAAGCCCTGTATAATATCTTAACCCATTAATTTCATATAGCTGCACTAAATCTGCAGAAACAAGGAAATCAAATTTCAGTCATAGCTTTTTATTATTATTATTTTATTTTTTTTTATTCCGTGTCTGGTCTAATTGGACAATAGTTAACTAATCCATGGTTGACGTGCATGTCCCTCAAAACAGCATTATAAAAAGTTGGCAGATAACTAATTGAAGTGTCTTAGATCAGGAGCTACGCGGCGAAAAGAATCAAAGCAAGAAGCAACCCCAAAAGATGATAAGTTTGGTATTCATTCTTTAAACTAAAAGTCATTCCAAATACCGGGGTTTGCCGAGGAGCTCAGAAGGTGAAGGTGTTTTGTATGCCATTGGTTACCTAGCAAATAAAGTGTACTCGTTGATGATGGGCCATGGTATCTTAAACGTGCTACAGCGGTATAGGTGAGATAAATTATTTTTCCAATATATATAGAATTTTATTCTATAATTATCCGTTATATGGTAAACGCTGCGTGGTTGCATCTGGAAGAATACTAAATATTATATAACACTGAAAGAGGATAGCCAGCAAAGTCATGCAAACTTCCTAGTTTTGGGCTCCATGCTGACCACAGATGAATACTCGTCTTTTGGACTTAATAGACATGCTTCGCAACTCAAACCTCATACAGACACCTGCCTCTAAAAGGGCGAGATACTCAAAACGAGAGATATCTCGGGGTCAGATTTGGTCTTTTGCCAACTCTTCCCAGATATAACTTACAATCCTGCTTTGGAGCAAAGCTCTAACAGGACAACTTTGTCGGCAACATGGGCATTTAGGAATCGAACCTTTTTCACAGGACGGAGATAACCAGCCTTTGCATGAATTTCTCAATGCCGAGAAGATGGAAGAAGAAACGGGCCATCACTGCATACCAAAACGGGACAGAATAAACTTATTCCTCCTTTTTACCCACCGTTCCGCCCTTCTTCAGGCCAAAGAACGAAACAACTACCACAAATGCCGTGGCTACGAAGATCGTCCAGAAAGACGCGCGGTATCCTTTCATGAGCGCTGCCCGATATTCAAGTATACCAGAATGCTCGGTGACAGAGGCGGCGATTGAAGCCGTTACAGCCAGACCAACAGAGTTGCCGAATTGAGCAACTTCATTGAAGACGCCGCCAGCAAGGGATTGGATTTCAGCTGGGAATGCATCTGAAATCACAAGGTTGGATATAGTGAAGAGAACTGAGATTTGCATTAAACAACAGGGTTAGGAAGCTTCTCATAACGGTGCTTTGAACGAGGATAATCTATACAGTGAGAGCATTGGTAGGCGTCTTACCGTCGGGATTTACGGGGGAGAGAAACAAAGCCCAGAATGGGCGGAACCAATAGTTTTCTTTCACTTCAACCGTGGCCATCAGAATGGGGGCAATCATGGTTGCTAGGGCAGAGACGACGGCGAGAGTTCGCACTTTAACCCGGGAGATGAGGTAGGCCGTAGCAATGTTGGCTGATACGCCCATGATAACGTGGGCAAGAAAGCGGAGCGAGCTTTGTAGAGCAGAAAGCTCTTCGACTTGTTGGAAGCTGTGAACCTATCAGTTACGTTTATATTATGTCAAAATGTTGCTTCCTATTTTTTCTCTGGTCTCGCAAAGCGGAATAGGACATAATTCATCTCAGAGAATTAGCACATGGGACTCATACTAGAGGGTAATGAAATACTCAATTCCATTCATTGAAGCCCAGCAAAAGAAGACAGACACACATATGGAGGTGAAAGAAGCCCTCTTCCATAGTCTGTTCGGGATCAGCGCGGGCTTTCCTCTCTTAACTTGATAATGCATCCAGCAGGGAAAGGCAGCAAGCAGGGTGCATGATACAACGAGCAGAGCAATATTCTGTGGATCACCGATCCTGTAGTACGAGGAGGTCGTCATAGCTAGGACATACAACAACACTCCAAGAGCACCGCTAATAATAACAGCACCAAGCCAGTCAATATCTTCCAGAAGACGGCGTGTCCACGGTTTCCTTGCATCCGAGTTCTTATGGATAGATGGCAATGACCAAATAGATACCAGAGAAAGACAGATGTTGATCAATGCCATCATATAATAGGCCCACCGCCAGCCAATGGTGTCCGTGAATATTCCTCCCAACACCAGACCAACAGCATATCCAAGAGGCTGACCCATCCCATTCATTGCAAATGCAAAGTTGCGCCAGGAGCCCTTGGGGAAAGTGTTGGTAATGAGGCTAACTGCCGTCGGCAGACACATGGATATCGCAGCACCGGCGAAAGTGCGAAAGATAATGATCTGAATACCCGTCTTCGCCACGCCAATTGCGACAGTGAAAATGACGAAGAGAAAGCTGCCCACTACCCACATCAATTTTGCCCCAACCACATCTGCAATGGCTCCAAATATAATGAGGAGGCACCCAGCAGCAAGGGCATAGACAGCTGCCGGCCAGAGGATCAGTGCTTGGGGTATCCCAACATCTTTGGCGATTCGAGGCAGGGCAGCTATGAGAATACCTGAGCCCATAGTGTTCAGGAAGCTCACACAAGCCAAAGTGATAATGACTGCCACAGCTTTTGGCTTAGACACATTGAGATCCGTCGGCATCATTGCTGGCTGTGATCCATCTTCGGGAGAGAAGAGGGAACCGGGAAGGTCATTTGTGGCTTGAGAGATTGCCCTTCCTCGCTCGTCAATAGTCTCCCGGGCTTTTGGAAGGGATGAAGGTCCTGGTGCTGATAGAAGAGAGAGCCCGATCATCGATGTAGTTGTATGCTTTCCAACTGCCATGGCGGCGGTGTCTGCAACAAGAATAAGAGCAGAACTTCGGATTCAAACGCAGCAGAAGAGAGGAGAAAATAAGTAATCTATCCGATCAAGTTGGATAAGAGAAAACTCCATTTTACGGCTGAATCCCCCCTTCCCCCCCCCCCTCCCCTTGTCAGCAAGATAGTCAGCGAAACTAATATTGAGCAGTTCACGCGAGAGACTTGCAGCTTATTTAGTTGAAAAGGATTATCCATCATTCACGCTACTTCTTAGTTCACCTTCAGGCATACAATCATCTCCACCCATCCAGAACAACTCCCACAGATGATATCTGATCCCTGTTCATTGATTTTCTTTATTTTTTTTTCGGTATTTAGATAGTTATCTCACTTGAGAAGAGCTGGCGCGTTTCGAATAGAAACAATCGCTGATCTTCGATGAATCAAGAGTTAACTAGGCAGCATAAGGCGTTGGAAGGAAAATCTTTAAACTCATTGGCCGACTACAAAGTCAAATTGACGAAACACATTTTTCCGCAGTATAGAGATAAATCCTGGTAGAATTGTTGATGAGATATTGAAGTGGTCTGAACTCTGTAACGTTATCAAGTAGAAATTTCTATATAGTTCCACCAAACTAGATATTCTTATTTAGCCTCCAGCGCCGCATAAAAGTTAAAACTGTCAACCCTATCATTAATAAGTAGAAAAATTCCTTCAGAAAATGCAAAACACAAACATAATAGAGAATTAATCAAAAATGTCCTCGAGGTCATAATGCAGATGGGTTATCCGGGATTGGGAAATGTCATGTATATCACATTGCATGTAATAATACCAGAGAAGTGAAATGAAAAAACCAGAATAGACATAAGGGGAAATAAAACCCAGCTGCAAAAACATAAGAAATGTAGACATTCTGGGCAAAAGAAAGCAAGGATGCTAATAGAGGGAGTAATAAAAACTACCCTTGCTCATTAAATTATCTAACCAAGCTTTGCCAACTCTCACCATCTCCGCACCCTCAGCGGAGGGAGAACCTTGTCCTCATTAACAAATATCTCATGTTCAATGATCCTTTCCTCCTCATATTCTGGCCTCTCAATCAGCAGAGTCTCAACCGGTGGCGCGGGGACTGGAAGAGGCAGGGGAGGAGGTGTCATGATCCATGCCCGTTCGCGTTCGATTTCTCGGACTCGCATGCGGCGCGCCTTACGGTAGTCTTCCGAGACGGCTACGAGGTGCTCGACGTCGTCCTGTGTTGATGGTTCTTAATTTGAAGAAAATAACGGAATGAAAATGGAAGCGGGAAAAGGGAGGGAGTGGGAATGGAATCCTACATATTTCAAATAGGCGAAAATATAATAAAAGTGTTGCGTTTCCTCGTAAGAATACCCAAGCCTTTCGATTGCTTCCTTGACAACGAGATCTTTGGTAATCTCCGTCCAAAGCCCGTCCTGTTTATCCTTCACTCCCACGTAACGTTTCCCTATCCGGCCGCCGTTTCGAACAGGACCTCTATCTGAGATATATTCATCCCCGTCCAGGAGGAACTTTGATCGACGAACGCCGTTATAACGCTGCCAAGTAATCTCCTGGCTGGCGCCGCCGACACCCTCCATCTCCACTCGTTTAGTCCCGGGTGGAACATCTATAATCGACCAATCTTTCGTTGCACCATTGTACGCTTCGCCAATATGACTGTTTTTGTTAGCAAGACGATTGTAGTATTCCGCTTCCTCGCGGATATTAGCAGCTTCTCGACGATCTTGGATGCCACTTTCCCGCTCGTGCATTACCACGAGATCATGATGCCGTGTTCTGTCCAGACCACGACCACTAGATGACCTATGTGAGACGATTCGTTCTGATTCATCTCTATCCTTGTAGTGACTGGGACTCGCCCGTCGTCGGGGTGGAGAAAGCGAATGAACGAATTTTGCTCCCTCCTTTCGACGACTAGATTCACGGTCGATGATGATTTGATTATCGTATCTACGACCGTTGCGTTCCCGCCTAACACAAAAGTCAGTATTAAATCCATAATACCAATATAAGTAGGTTTTCAAACATACGTCCTCCGAATTTCAATTTCATCATCAGCATGCCGTGAGCTTGTCTCTGAAGGAGGTGGGAGTGGATGAACAATCTCGTATCCTGAGAAACCGTTAACTTTCCATCATTATCTTACGACAAAGTAGATTATTTAGGTTTTCCCACCGTGATCAACATGTCGATGATGAGTAATTACATCCTGGTGAATAGGAGGGGCTCGAATAGGAGGCGGTTCAAGGGGACTATTGAAAGAAGACTCCGAAGAAGAAGAAGAAGACGAACTTTGTTCCCTTCTCCTAATGATAACTTCGTCTCTCTTAATCTCATCCTTCCCGCAACCAGGACTCCGTTCCCGCTCATCCCTGCGAACGATAATCTCCTCTCTATCTCCTCGTGCGTTTGGTCTTTCCCTCACATATGAACCCCCGAGATAATCGTGTTCACTCTCACCTCTTTTCCTTTCCCATTCCCGATCATATCTCTTGTCAGATTGCTTATCAGACCAAAAATCGCTCTCTCTCCTGACAACATGCTCATCTGTTTCAAAATTTACCACACGGCGTGATGGCTTAGATCGCTCCCTCCTCCTCACTAACAATTCATCACGCTTAACCTCTCTAGGTGGTAGCGCGGGAGAGAATTGTCTCTCTACTACTCTCGATCGTTGTAGATGGGATGGATAAATCCCAGCCCTGCCGCGTTCATGTTCATGTTCATGCTCGTACTCAAACTCATAATCATCATCTCTGACCTGTGGCCGCCTGGCCAGTGGACCAGCACTGGAGCTACGCCTGTGTGATTCTCGAAGGATTACTTCTGGCAAATGACGCCGTTCACGAATCCTCTCTATATCTCGAACATCAGGGGGATCAGGAGCGAGGGGCCGCCGACGGTGCTTACGTTTCTCGATGTCCTCCTCGAAGATATGATCGTATTTACTATGGCGGTCGCAGCGGTCGCGGTGGTAGGTATCCCTTTCGTAGAGGTCGGTCCCTGCAGCGCGACTTGGCATGATGGAAATGGGTAAATGTTGCTATCAATACTTTCAACAATGCCAGTAAGGACAAGGGCCAAAAAATGTAGTAAACAACCTCATTAACAATTGTGAAGCAATTTTCGAAATAATACCGATATTTTGAATTCAACAACAGAATGAAGTCAGGGATCCAGTGTACTAGTTGGAATCCTGTTTGGAATTTCTGAAAAAAGATGAAAATAGATCAACAAAATCAAGGGGGATATTGGAGCAGGCAACCACAGGGTAAAGCTGAAAACAGCACAACGGGGATGAATGAAAAGTGAACACGGCTATGAAAGGGGGGGGGGGGGGGGTGGAAGTAGATGAGAGGGAGAAGGGGTGTTAATTAATACTGGCATTCAATCTGTTTCGCATGAGTGTCCAAACCTTGCCAGGTCAAGTGAACGATGAGATGATGTCATTGCTTGGTGAATTAGTTTGTTATACAGTGGAGAAATTTCAAGGAGGTTGAAGAAACATCTGGAAAAATGTTAAGAGGCTTTTACTTAATTAATACCACAAATATAAATCACACGGGAGAGGGAAGCAAAAACCTTTATTTGGAAATCTACTATTTGTTAATCGAGTATCTCCCGTGCAAGTCGATTTAATGGGGAAGATGTAATATATTAACTACGTGGATAGCTGCCGTGAGTAGATCCATGGTTGCGTGTGGGGGTGTGCAAGAGAGTTAATGTCACGGTCGAGTGTTCAAGAAAACATTGGTAGAAATTTATCAATTCAACGTATTTGCAGAATGAATGGTGTGAATCTACGGAGCAAACAATCTCATCACTGCTATTCAAACGAGATGACACCAAAAAAATAAAAGTAAAAAAAAATAAGAAAAAAAAAAGAAAAATAAGAAAGAAACAAAAAAAGGGATTTATCCCCGGTAACGTCAAACCATAGTTGTCCATTCCGGCTCCCTTACCCCAGAAAACCGTTATTGACAGACAAGCAAACCGCCCAAAGAGCCAAAAGTTTGCTGGATGTAGCTCCACGCAGTTTTCCCAAGTAAAGCAGCTGATGAAAATAAAAAGTAAAACAACCAAGTCCAACCTCCCAATAAATAGGATAAAATTGTTAAAACAGAAAATATAAAGAGTGATAAAGCCTTCAAAACGCGAGTCGACTTTGTCGCTTATCGGTCTTCCCGCGACCGCGACCGCGACCTCTGCTCCTCAAATTACCTCTCTGCCGTAAGGTGGGGGGAATAGTTGTCGAATGGTGCAGTCTGTCCTGCTCATCTAAATCCTTGGCGAAATGCCAGTCTTCATGCTCGATTTTGTCGTATTCCATTATCGTCTTGCCGCAACGGGTGCAGGGGAAAGATAATTCCTGTAAATCAACAGTGGTCCAGTCGTTGTGTTGTGTGACGATGGCGTTTCCGTTCAGTGGAGGTGTAGCTGCTGTTGTAGATGTAAGATGCGAAGGATGATGAAGGTCAGGTTCTTGGAGGAAGAGAGATTCTTCTTCGTCTTCATTTGCACGGTCAGAGGATCGGGTGCTAAGGTCATCGTTGACGTGATCATCTTCATCACGATCATTATCCGACACTTTTCTCCTCTTATGTGGTTCAGAGCCATGCATGAATCCCCGTTGGACACTACCACCACTCTGCTCTTGTTGCTGTATGGCAGCAGCTGCCGTTTTCGCGCCGCCATCCCCGCGACCAAAAAAGGAATCCAAGCTTCGATTGCCCGTAAGCCCATCTTCAAATCCGCTGACGTTTAGGGACAAATTCGCACACGGCCAAATATTGCCCTCATTCACAACCTGGGCCAGCAGCGTCTTAGCAAGATCAAACAACATCGTATCGCTCATCGGTCTCCCCGGCGGAATCGGAATCTGACGAGACCTCGTCTGCCCCTTGGTCCGATGGTGTATAGTGACAACCTTGGGACGACGTTTATTTTCCAAAACCCCTTCTTCCAACAGCCTGCCATAAATATCCGCGACAAAAATTCGTAGCCACTTCTCTGCCTGTCCCGATGACTTGATACCTGGCCGAAATGACTTGGTTGAGAGCATGGACTTAATTTTCGTCCGCATACTAACCTCACTATACTCATAACCTCTGATAATCTCATATAGCCATGTGCCCGTATCATCACCTAGTTTTAACTTCAATTGCTCGATGGGGATTCTTAAGAGATCGCCAACCTCCTCCGTGCCAAAGGTAGCGGACACCTGTTTCCCCAGCTTCCCCCCCAGCATCCTAATCTGCGTAAACCGAAATCCACTCAGAAAGTGCTGAATAGCTCTATTGCGCACAATAGTCTGCTTGTTCGGTTTATTGCACGAGCTTCCCAATTTTGCCATCATCTTATTTCTCGCAATCGCAGCTGAGCAGGTATATTTCAACCTCTCCCAGATGGCCGCACGCACAGAGCGGACGATATCCGCTCCCACAAGCATACACATATCATCCCAGTCAGGGTCATCTTCCTCCGCCTCACCAACATCCAAATCAACCAACATATCCTCTTTACCCCATTCCAACACCGTAGTCGGAAGACCAGGTAACCTCTCATTCACATCGAGCTCCACCTCCCCCTCCCGCAGCATGGGATACCACTCCAACAACGTCTCATACACCAACGCCGACAAATCAACAAAAACTTCATCGATCCCTGCCTTCTCAACCCTCACCAGCTGCTCCATTCCCGGCCCCTTGGCAGCACCCTCAACACCTACATCCCTTATGACCTCCTCCGCCCGCTCCGTCAGAACCGTCTTGATAACCTCCAGAATCTTCCTACTTTCCATCCGATACGGTTCCAACGATACCTTATCTGTTGCTATGCACTCCGCCGCATCATCCCTATATTTCCACTGTTCACCCTCCCCTTCCCGAAACGTCGCGACGTGCTGCGTGATGAGCTGCGGACAGCGCTTGCGCGCCTCTGCCGCCGTCAGCATGCGTGTGATGTTGAACGCGCGCGCGGGATAGTTGACTGCGATGAGGGATTCCCATTGCTGGACGGCCAGTGGTTGGGTGAGCGGCGTGTTAAGGCGGACCATTTCGCATTGCGCGTAGAAGGCGTCCAGGTCAATGTGGGCGACTACGCGGAGCGGAGTGCGTGGGGAGTTGGAGCGAAGAAGGGTCAGGTGGCGCCGGGTGAAATGGGAGGGTAGGGACATCGTGGGTGCGATGGTGGGTGGAGGATGCAGATGGGGTTGCTGGGCGGGGTGATGGGAGGGGTAGGCATCATGAGGGACAGATATTGCCTTCGTGATGTTTTATAGCCTCTATTTTACTTCTGGGAAATCTCTTCTGAATTGTGTGAGAGGAGCTACCATGTGTAGTTAAAAGTGTGAAGTGTGCGTGCTTCTGTTGATGCGATGAGGCGTGACTAAGTGGCAGTTTGTGAGGGTGAACTTTTTCCCGCGCCGGTTAAATATTTATTGACCGTCATTCAATAGTTATGCCTAACTTCTCGGTCAACATGTTTAATGTCAAAACATCCCTTCAGTATTTCACCTGAGATGGCCTTTGCCTGATTTATCCCAATAAAAAATCGATATTCTGCTTTTCAATTAATCAGGGAAAGTCAGATAACTTCAAGATCCTAATACCTTTAAGGCAGCTCATACAAAAGCGGGGTTAGAAAAGTGGCATGTTTCTTTGCCCCTCATCCCCCACGGAACACCCCTTAAGCTACAGATAATTGTGGACATTCAACTAACTCAGTAGATACCAGGTAGCTCTCGCGCCTAAAGTCGATTTGGATCCGCAGCGGGATCAAAACATCGTCTGCTGGTGGATGTAGACTAGCCAAAACAGTCCGCTCTCCCTGTGACTCCATGAGACTGTAGATGGCTGGCTCCTCGTTTACCTAAATGAAAATCCCTAATACACATACGGAAGAAACTAAAAAGGACAGTTAATCCATTGTTAATTCAAAGGAGACCGGGTACCAGTTAACTACCTGATAAGTCCACCAAGTGAGCTATGGTTAAAATCATGAGGTCAAACCCAACAATCAATCACATCTTATCCTCTTCCCATAATCCTCCACTGTGAGCGGTATGAAGCATCAGCGGGGGGAAAGGAAAGGAATAACATCAATCATAAAGACGCACCTGGCGTGCAAACCTACTTGGGCGGCAATGTTCCAATATTCAACGATGCATAAGAGCAAGGGGAAAGAGAAAGATATTAGTTAAAATATCTATTAGCAGCAGAGATTGCTCGACCCTGTGTGGAAGGACATGCAGTTGCAGCACTCTCCACCTCGATCTTGTTTAGCAAACCTGATATATGCCTCTTCGCTCATCTTTGGCATGAAATATATCAGCTTCGATCGGCAAAGCAACCGACCATGAAAGGAAGACATGTAGGAAAACAAGGAGTGGTTTTTGAAAGACGAGGGATCCAAGGAGAAGGCAAAAATGGCAGCGTACTAGTTGGTGCTGCTCCAGTTTGAACACTCAATATAGGCAAGGCGGATCGTTTGGTGAGTGTTGTCTCGTTATTTTTATCTATTGCTCAGTTGTATAGGGATGAAATGACGAATGGTTGGCAAGGATGGTTAACAGGGCTTGGTGATCTTTGCAGATTCTTCAAGCAATTTTATTACTTGCTTTTCTTCGCCGTGTGTCCAAGGTAACTATCCTTCTCTCCGTGGTATCGAATATGATTAATGCGTACGCAATTCATACCGAAAAGGCAAAAGAGACGACATGGGGCAGGATAGATTCAAAGAAAAAAATGCCAGTTAAACGCATCCTCAAAACTTCAATGAAACATTTATGTCCACACCAGATCTTCCATGCTCCAGGCGTTCAATGCTTCTGCAGCTCAGTCCTCACTATTGGAAAAGACATCTACTGCGGCACTCGCCTAATCCTGAGCAAAACTTGATACGCTTTTCATGTCGACCACTGACTGCAAGACGCTCAAAGCTTGAGACTCAGACACGGCTCAAGCCGCCTTTTCAAAAATTGGAGATTGGACGTGTGGCCGTCTCCATCTGCGCCTGGCAATTAACCATGCCCTATTGGGTAATCACGGCACAACAACTTCACGAAGGACCGTGACGGTTCAAGTGGCCTGAGTTTTCGATAAAGGAAATGATTATGAACAGGCCGGATGGCATGGCACATAATCAGGAGTGTTTTGATGTTTTGGAGACAGCGGCATCTATTGGTGGATTGGAGGGAGTGAGAGGCAGGACAGATGGACCGTTGGTGGCGGATATTCATGTTACGTTATACATGCATGATATGATATGAATGGTCTCTTTGGGTCATTAATACGAGCCATTTCAATTCGAACTTCAATGGCAGTGTAGAATTGCGGAGAGGGGCGATCGGTGAAATCGTTTTGAAAAGATATAGCCCGCCTGGTGGATAGCATGGAAGTCATGCTGAACCGAGACATTTTCATTGAATCCCGCTCCCTTGAAGGCCCTAATGAGACATCCCGATTCAAAGGCGGGGGGGATCAAATGCGAAATCTGTCCTTCCAAAAACTATCGGAATGTGCTTACGAAAACCAAGTGCCTGCAACCTATGACCTATACAGTTGTTTTGGGGGCCAATGAAGGCACGATCAATTGAATTGGGTGGTTTCGATGAAGAAGCCTGTAAGGGCAGAAGGCTGACGTGTGGCCGACGTATACTGGGTATAATTCAAGCGACAGAGGGGAGTGGCGGTGGGGCGGTGGCTCTGTTGAAGAAGGAGGTTGTGCTGCAGAGAAAGCTGACGGATTTTAGCGGGCTGATGTTTCAAACTCACGCTGACGAATTTTAAAATTGTGACATTCTCTGTCGGGTAGAGGGCACAGCATAAAATGCTGCATGGTCTGCTTCTACATGACTGGATGACAGTTTTTTTGGCCATTGGCTTACTACCTCGTCCACGGCCCATTCCCCTTTTGTTGGGGATTTGACTTTCAAAAGAGTTTAGCTTGGAAACATCAGCTTGATGGAAAACATCTTGGGAAACGGAGACAGCAGCTCCACATTAAAATGCAGGTTTCTAGAAAAGGAAACAAAAAACGAGCAGTGGGAAAGGCCTACGAGAGTGGGAACACATGTATGGTTCCTATTCGATCGGGGATCGATGGGTGAACCCGGCCCCAGGTGAAGGGCAGTGCATGGGCATTCGACTGTGGTGCAGAAATAATAGACGATTTGTAGTAAGACACACTGGGTCCTCTCAGAAAGAACTCGTGTTGCTATCTGTGAATTGGATTATTCACGCAGTTCTGTGGTGTTCTCGGACAAAAGGACGATCTATATCGTTGAGATGACAACATATTCATAGGATAGGATGCAGAGAAATCCAGTCGATATAGGCGAATCGAAAACGAAAATGGAGCAAAGGAGGCATGCATGCATTATCTACCAATCAGAGCTGGGAAAGGAGAGGGCTTTCCGTGCAGAAAGGCCAGCAGCCCAGACAGAGACGACATATTCGGATGGGATTTGTCCATTTGCTATGGACATGGGTTTTGTCGGGTACCATATGCTGCTCAGCAGCGACAGGAGTGACTGTGAAGTATCACAAGTTTGTTGACAACAGTACAAGGGAACAGAACAGCTCTGAGTGGTAGCATACAATGTAATGTTGATTCCCTGCCGACTGAGTTTTGAAGTTAACAATCATAAATTCAAATACTCTCTCTGCATTCTATGTTAACATAGTCAATCCGCTATTTACTTGTATATCGTGACGGTATGTATGACCTGTTAATTTAGAGATTTCAACACCAGTGTGACTAGTGTTTTCTGAAGAATTATTCTCTGCTGTTAGACTGCTGAAGCATTCTGCTACAGGCAACTCAGTGGACATCATTGTGGGCATCTCTGCAGATGTCACAAGATCTTTATTCAACAGTTTTTCATGCTCAACCTCTTCATATTTAATGTTATAAAGAAAGAACTGACTCTTTATTTTGTCATTTCCTCATCACTCAGTCCTGAATATTGCAAGATGATGTCAAAAAACACCTTTATTTTATTTGATAAAAGTATTAAGATTGAATTGTGAAGGCCTTACTATGTCAAGGAGTTAACTGAGCCGATTGACAAAGTAGTAAATGACAATCATGAGAATAGAAAAATTCAGGTATTTTTTCCCCATAGATTAGGATAGAATTGAAATGTTCTGTTTTTAGTGATACCCTTCTTCATTATTCAAAATCCCCCTCTGGGGGTTTGGTGCTGCTCTCAGAGTTGGCAGTTAGGGGGTTGGGCACATACCGACTACATTGGAACGCTAGTTATTGGGTACAACAGCGGTGTTTACGCTATGTTTGATTTAGAATAGTGTATTTTGAGGAGCGCATCTGTAGCGAGTGCATTTATCAATACCCGTGACGGCGGGTATTTTGTTATCTCATAGATAAACATACAATAGTCTGTCTACCTTTACATAGAGGCCTGGATCCCCTTCCGTTTACTTGATCTATTATTCTTTCTTCCCCTCCCGTGTCATAAGGTAATTTGATAACTCTCAACCTGACTGATAGGTCCTAGAAGGTTGGCCAAAAGGAAATCCGGTTTGGCGTCGTTTCGTCCTCAGCGAGTCAGCCCTCGACGCAATAGGGGTACTCAACGTGAGATTCGACCCAAGGGTGTCTGCCCAAGCAAACTTTGGAAAAAGCATGTCTGCCCAATGACAAGCCATTTCCACCAATCAGTAGTCTACATGGGTAGTTTTGCAGCAGACTCTGGGAATCCCTGTTTGACCTGACACCATTTTTAGCCGCCTTCTGTTTGGAACTGACTAGCACTCACCAGCAGTAAAGAGGGCTGGTTTGAGGAGGGGGTGGTGCCTCCAAGCCAGTTTTCCAAGATTCTAAATGGCGGATTTATTGTCCATCGAATTCGAGTTGAGGTGCGCGAGCGGTTGGGTTTGGACAGTTATGTTTGGACTGGAGCCGGGCTCAGGCGAATTATTGTTATCAAGCTCTTTACAGAAAGACTGCCTGGCTCCAAAATTTGAGAGAGCAGCGTGTGTGAATGTGATAGAAGAAAGATTAGTTTGCGATGATGATTATCCCACTTCGGGATTTTTCTCGTCCGCCTAACCAGGTAGTGTAGAGTCTGGGGATATTTGTATGGTTTGAGAACCTGTAGAATGTTGTACGTGAACAGTGGGGAAAGACATGACTGCTTGCTTGCTGTGACTGATATTGAACGAGCATCCCCATGGCACCAATATCTGCAGAGCATCGAGCACGGTAAACAAATAACTACAAGGAAAGCCAGCCCGGCCCCACATCCTCTTCTGCACGTTTAACACCTGTTTGATAGGATCAGATGGATTGGGTACAAAGGGGCGAAGGCTCCACAGATTCATTTTTTGCTCAGGCGCTGGATTTCCATTCATTTCATTGTCGTTTGGAAATTCGATGTGGGTTAACTGGGTACCCGATCCAATAATGGGCGAGGAATATAAGAAGTTGTCCCGAGGTTAAGAACAGGGAAGACTGATGGATACAGACAGCATTTCCACATTTTCATTATTGAGATTGGAGATGCAGCATCTTTGCTTTCACCACTCGTCCTTGGCCGTAAGTCTCGGAGAGTGGCAGGGAAAGCTAGAGCTGATTGGAATGGAGGCGCTGCGAGTGCTTGGTACGTTGGGAAGATCCATCTGACACAGGCCCAATGCTGTGTGTGTGTGTGTGTGTGTGTGTGTGCAGTGGCAGGAATTGGGCAGGCATTATTGCATCCATTAGTGAAATGCCTACCTACCTACAAGGCAGCCGGAGCGTCGCTAAGCAGCGCGGTAGCCGAACTCAAAGCATCAGCATCAGAATTAAAATCGTGGCACCAACGAACCGACCAACAGCAGCAGAGATAGAGATTGGGCTAGCGGAGTGCCCCGTTGCCCCTCTCTCGCAGCCTCGCCCGTTCCTCTGGGCAGCCTGGTCTCTCTGGGTTTCTTCATAAGCTCTCTGCATTCCCTCCTTTCCCTCCTCTTTCTCGTCTTCTTCTTCTTCATTTTTCATTCTTCTTCTCCTCATCCTCCTTTTTATCCTTGCTCCTCTTCCTCTTGCACTGCTTCCTCTTCTTCTTCCCTTCTCACGTGTATCAAAACCCCTGTTAATAAAGGAGGCGATTATTGCCCCTCCCAACACTCGCTCGGCCTCCCATCTCCCATCTCCCATGATCAGGCCTGTTGAGCCCCCCATTTCAAAACCGCATCAAATAATAAGCCCGACCATTGTTGCCATCTGTTCTTTTAATTCTACTCTCACACATATCTTACTTATATACCTTATATCTTGTGCTTCTCCTGTGCTGCTGTTACTCGTCCATCAAGCCTAAATAATCACCGTCTCTGCCCCTAAATCTCTCTGCCTGCTGTGACCCTTTGCAAGCCGCCTGGTATTCCTCTTCGTTGTCAAAACGACCTTACTCTCCAGAGTTTCCAAAAAATCGGGCACTTGCTTGCATAACGTTGCCCTTCCGAGATTCATCTGATTCTCGCCCTTGGATTTTATGATATACCCTTGGAAACTTCTACGTGCCTAATCCCAAGTCCAGATTGTTGTCAGCTGCCCGGCTTCTTCGGTTCCCCAACATCACTTCTGAACCCTGATTTGAAGAAGTGCTTTCTTCGCATTTGAAGGGGCTTGTGATTGATAACAAAACGGAAACATAACAATTAAATAATAAAAAAAAAGGTTTGTTTGACTGTCATTGTCACATCTGCGTTGCGGGAGTAAAACGTCACTTCATCCAACTGCCATCCAGGATTTAAGGACCATTTACCAGGCTCAAAAAGGATAAGGCCATCATCCCATCCCGCGGAACATAATAGTTTTCTAAAGCTATATTCTCTTTCTACTCTTCTCTTCAACACTCCAGTTTACCTCAGGATCAGTCAGCCTCTTGCCTAAGAAAGACAAACACCCCCCCCCCCCCCAACAAACGCACTCAGCAAACACCAACATCAGCAAATCTTTCGTCTCCAGCCTGAGGATTCTTGCTCTACTTGGACTTTACTCAGCCTACCCTCAGCCCAAGAGGGTTCACAACATTCTGCCATCATCTGTGGTAGCGTCGTTTGTTCTGCAATATTGTATTGTTCGTTTTTAAGACAGATTTTGCCGTAATCTGTTGGCCAACATGTCTCGCATTCATGGAAGAATAGATGAACCCCCTGAACGACAAAATGAGTACTTCATTGAAAAAAATGGCATTGCTCGCGAAGTTATCCAGTCTGATATTTGCCGTTACCTTGGCAATCAAGCTCTTGTAAAACCGGGAACTCACCAGGTCCGACTTCTCCCTTATATCACCATGACCCGTTGCTGACCTATTATTTATAGGGTCGACAAGGTTTTTATATTCGTGCCTATCGCAACCTCACACCCGTATGTTATTTCCCCCTAAAGAAATCGCGTTTGTCCGCCAAAATGCGACATTGCTAGATAATCAAAGCTGACGTTCGCTATTTTTGAACAGGAAATGATTGCTGATCTAAAGGTCGATTCCTCACGATGGGAAGCTGACAGGGAAAAAGAGAGAGAGAGAGAAAGGGAGAGGGAAAGAGATAGAGAAAGGGATAGGGAAAGGGAAAGGGAAAGGGAGAGAGAGCGGGAGGAGGCTGCGAGGGGACATCCGTTGAATGCCAGCCCTCCAGGTAGTTGACGGTACCCCAGTTCGCCTTTTATTATCAAACTCTAACAATCATTTTAGTAGACTTCCCGTACTCTAGTTCTGCGCCTTTTGAAAGGCGTCAGCAAGCCGGACATACAGCAGCCTATCCGTCCGGCTCATCCCAGTCATACGACACCTACCCTCCTACCATGCACGGCCAATACGGGTCAAATAGCCCACCGTATCCGGTCGTGTTTTCCACTGCGACAACATATGGATCCATTCCGGCTTCGTATGCTCCAGTAGTCGGGAACTTCGCCGCTCACACGCAGCCGCCTGTGAGCAGCCCTGACTATGTGTACGAGGGTTCTGCCGGGGTCTCGGTATATAATGACCCAAGGGCGAATCCGAGGTACCCTGGCCCAGGTTTTGAGAACGAAGCCGATTACCCTCCGCCAGTTTCAGCGGGTATTGGCTACACTCCGATTTCTGTTTCGGAACGGGCGCCGGTCATAGACTCGAGGCTCCCGTCCGATCCCAGTTATCGTGCGAGTGTGCTCCCCCCACTTAGACGGGCTCGTTAATTCTTTGTGCCGTCAAGCGCCAATCTTGTCCGACATCCAAGTTAATACACTGTTTGTCAACCAGAAAAAATGGACAACTCGATGGCGCCATTAAGTGATCCTTGACAGGATGGAGAAAGCTTTGTTCTACAAAACTCACAGCTCTGCCTCGCCAGTGGCCTTGATACTATGTTGTTGCTCAATTTCTTGATCTCAATTTCACCTTGAGAATATCTTCCCAATTTTTTTCAATACACCCAGCTTCTTGGAGTCGGAGAACCTTTGGAACACAATGCAAGCTTCATTGTCCAAACTTACCACATTTAGTGCAATTTTCCTGGCCATAGCGGTATTGTCGCTAGAAAATTACTTTGATATGTACTTTTATTTCTTTTTTTTTCGTTGTTGTCGAACCACATCGTTTCCGTGTCATCCTGGACCCCCAAATTATGAGCTTAGAAAGGGTGATGCTGTTCTGTGAATTGCATGGGCAAAACAAATGTTGCTCACATCTTTAGCGTTATTTTGCGATATCAATTCCTTTTATATTTTACATACTCTTTCCCCCCCCCCCCCCCCCCCCCCCTGTTTTACCAAGTTGCCCTGCTATTCTAATCACCCCCCTCATGCGCCTCTCTTCTGGTTGTTTGCTGTCGTCTTCGTGCTACCATGTCAAAAAGATCATTTTGCCTCCTGTATATAATCTTGGGACTGCATCTGGCGGGCGTTTGGTTTACCTGTTTCATTAGAAGGAGAGGATATTTATGTTCCATATAGATAGTGCATTGGGAAAGGCGTTACTCCATTTGATCCACAGTGATGTTTTCAATTATTTAACTCGCGGGTTATTCTTTTTCAGTTCTTGTTTACGTGGATCATTTGGTTGCTGCATTTGCTGGACTGGGAGTTGGCGACTGTCTCTTGACCAGGGCTTGGTCCTTGGTCTTTGTCTTGGGTGTGGGTGACACTCTGGCGTTCAGAATGTTGGGAGCAATGTTTATTTATGGTAGACCTTTTTTTTTTTTTTACATTTTCAGGTCGGTTTTTGTTGTCACATATACATACCTAGGTGGTGATGCATGGCTATGCTCTCGCGGAAATGAGAGAACTGTTTATCTTCTATCTTCGTTTGATACTCCGTACACTCGGAGCCTTGATCGTACTCTCAACCGTCTCTTCTGTGATGCACAAGAGACTTGTTAACTACTCTTTCGCAGCAGCAGCAGCAGCAGCATCACAAGGTTCTGGACTTCCATTGCTCTCTTCAAGCAAAAGTAAAGCTTGCCATCGCAGCATCGAGAGAGGTCGTTTTGATGTATATGTTCAATGTTTGTTGGAGTCTTGAGGGAACAGTGTCATAAACATACATATTTCACCTGAACAGCATTCACCAAATGTTCTTCTCTGACCGCAATTGTGATTGGCTTCAGCGAGGGTAATACTTGTACCGGGGCCTCTGAGAGCCTGACCATGTCAACCTTTTCATAGTTTTGCCCGCACTTCTCTGGTGGATCGATGAATCAGGAAAAAGTAAACCTTTCTCCACTTAAAAGTTAAATAAATATCAGCTAATCTGGCACTAAATTTTGTTTTTAAATAATCCAACAACTAACAAACATCGCTTTGTTTAACGAGTTCGCCCCTCCTGTCAGTAGCATATTTATGCGAACACACCATTCAATTGATGGCTTCACACTGCTCTCATTGTGCTGCAGGCTACACACATATATCCCTGTCATGATCGAGGCCGTCTTGCCATGTTGGTCATGGATTTTATGACTCATTCCTGCGGGACTTGTCCTTCTATCATAAATAATATGTGAGGGATGGGACCAGGTTTTCAGCCTTGTATCAACTCCGAAGCCAGGATTCTGTCCCACCCATCCATTTCAAACCACAAACGTCAAGAGTTAAAATTTGCTGCCCAACATGGGATCTCTCACAATCAAGGGCCTGGAGACTCTCCTGCAGGGTTTGGGATTGACAGTTCCTATACCTGCATTTTCCGCCGCGAATGTCGTGGTCAACCCGGTCGACATATACCGATGCTATGTTGCTGATGTCGTGAAGCAGGCAGCGGAGTGTGGGGAGGACATTACCTTCAATGCAATTGAACGGACACAGGTGTTAGCACATGGCGATGTGGTCCTGATTGTTGCGCGCCTTCGTCTGAAAGGCGACAGTATAGGTCAGGTCGCCGCCTACCTATTCATCGAAGGTACCAGTTGACGATATTTTGCCTTCCAAGTCTCTTCCTCAGGGCATTGATTATCATTAGAACCATGCTTCAAAAAAAAAATTAACACAAGCCGCAGCTGTTTGCCCTGCCACTCATTTCTTGCCCCAGCTCCAAAAGTGTCTTCATTCCCATACATTTCAATGAAACTATTCTACCCCGCCTCATCCTGCCGTATATTTTCGATCGTCGACATCTATATGGGCAGGATATGTTTACTGGATTAAGAGACGCAAAGAATGAGGCAGCTGGCCGAAAGAAAGTAATTGTGGAGTTTTCGTCACCAAACATCGCGAAAGAGTTCCATGCAGGTCATCTGCGCAGTACAATCATTGGTGCTTATATCTCGAACCTCTACGGAAACATGGGCTGGGACGTTCTCAAGATAAACTATCTCGGTGATTGGGGAAAGCAGTTCGGGCTGCTTGCTGTTGGTTGGCAGAAATTTGGCTCTAAAGAACTGTTCCAGAAGGAACCGCAGAAACATCTGCTTGATGTATATGCAAAGGTTAATTCCTTGTTTAATCCGGAAAAAGAAGCAAGCAAGAACGCCAGAGAAAATGGTGAGGACACCTCGGAAATAGAGAGCAAGGGAATTTATGCTGAACGGAATGCATTTTTCAAGAGAATGGAGGATAGAGAGCCGGAAGCGCTCAGATTGTGGAAGCGATTCCGGGATATCAGTATCGAACGCTACATCTCTACTTATGCGCGGTTGAATATTGCTTTTGATGAGTACTCAGGGGAATCGGCCGTGAGACCTGAAACCGTTGAGAAAGTCGAAAGGATTCTAAAGGAGAAAGGAATCTACGAAGAAAACCAAGGATTGTGGATCATTGATTTCAAAAAGCACTGAGCTCGCGAGCTTGATATTGCGATTGTCCGGAACCGAGGCGGAACGTCAACCTATCTTCTTCGTGACATCGCCACTGTTCTAGAGCGGGAGGAAAAGTACGAATTTGACAAGATGATATATGTCGTTGCTGCTGAACAGAATACGTACTTCCAGCGTGTCTTCAAGACTGTGGAAATCCTAGGCTATCCTGAAATTGCGTCTAAGCTTGTTCATATCAATTTCGGCAAAGTTCAAGGGATGACATCGCAACTTGGGGCCGTGAAACTACTCGGTGATATTTTGGATAAGTGTGTCAATTACATGCACGAAGTTATGCGGGCCAACGAGACCAAGTATGCCCAAGTTGAGGACCCTGAAACCGTGGCAGACGTCGTCGGTATAACTGCAGTTATGGCTCAGGATATGAGTGGGAAAAGAATTAACACCTGTCCCTTTGACGTTACCAGAATGACTTCATTCGAAGACGATACAGGACCCTTCCTGCAATACTCACACGCGGGGCTTTGCTCGATCATGCGAAAAGCGAAACTAACCGCAGACGACGTTGTGAAGGCCGATTTCTCGTTACTCAAGGAGCCTCACGCCATTGATATTCTTAGTGTTGTGGCTCGATTTCCCGACATGGTAAGCCAGGCCTATAACACTTTGGAACCAACAGCTATTCTTACCTATCTCTTCCGACTTACACGTCAAGCATCTTCTGCGCATGAAGTGGTCAAAGATCTGGGAGCAAGCGTAGGGCCTGAGGTTATGTTGGCTCACTTAGCCCCATGCGAGGGCGCCCGTCAAGTACTTGAAAACGGCATGCGATTACTTGGGTTTACTCCCCTAGAAAGGTGTGTCTTTTTCCCATCCGTGTTGTTAATCCTCCTTGTTGCAAACCTAATTACTCACGAGCAAGAAGGATGTGATTCATTTGCTGGATTGATAATCTGTATCTGATTCTATGATTTCTATCCCTTAAAACGATATATGAGAAAGACGAATGTTGGATGTGCTTTTCAAATTTAATGTCAGGAATTTCCATTGTTTAGCTCCATGATGAATTAACGCGGGGGGAGGAGATAATAATAAACAAATAATAAATAAATCTTTCCTTTTGGTACAGCAATCAGCGCCGTTGGACATACGGTTTGTCAAATGATTCGGGTTCAAAGATCTTATTAACTAACTAATCTAGAGACGAATCCTACGACTAATCTGACCGGATCCGGTTGTACGGATCCGAGCAAGTGTTTAATCGTATAAATCGTATATAAGCAAATAAAAAGAACGATCATCTTCTTAAGTAGGAAACAACACTTATACATTAAAAACTCCACACAGTGAATCTTGTGATCAACCGATTTCACAAGATATGGTGATGGGCTTTTCAGCACTTTAGTTCATCCTCAGAGGGTAACAAAATAGAACTAAAACCGGGTATCTAATACGTCCCAATTCTTAAAGTTTGGGTCCAGACTATGTAGGATTTTCAAAGTTTGGTCCGAGGCTGAAGGTATGTAGAGGGAAATAGCTGTCGAGAAAAATATTCTTCCATACATTCAAACATTAGAGTTTCCATGAGTCGTATGTATATGGCTTTGACGAGGAAAGCCCCTTTATAGAACATCTCATTGGCAACCCCCAATTAGGGGAAGCTATGTTGCTCTTGTTTTGAGAAGATATCTAGGTGTTGTGGGTAAGCCATGGAATGAACGCTGAATAACAATATGGTACACAAAGGAGAGAGGCAATATTGTATAATCGAAAGCCTTCTTTCAATCACCATTGATTAACATCGCTCTCTCATCGTCAGAATAAGAGGGTAGGTTTGGAGAATTAGAATGTTGTTGCTCCGATGCCACGGTTTGGGCTTCCTTGGGAGGGAACTGTGGTTGTTGTTGAGGACTTAGTGGGACGTCGTTCTCCTTCTGATGAAGATCAGAAGCATCTTCCTTCACGAGGTAGTTTGGGTCCTTGGCTGACCAGCGCGTATGAACGAGGCCATATGACTCCAGAGCGTCGAAGATGTGAGGGAACACCTGATCGGCTACATCTTTTGCCCATAGGAAATCGAGGTGCTCGTAATGCCGAATTGGCGTTGCGACTGTATGGCTTGGTAGCTCGTCCAACATAACATCGATGTCCACTAAACTATCCTGACATCCGTAAACGAGGACAATGGGTGTTTTGATATTTTTAGTAGGAAATTTGGCGGGCTTGTAATAACGGTTCTTATTATTTATATTGATGAAGGTGCCTGCATCGTCGTCGTACATCTGGAAACTTTTGTTTCGAATGATCTGGAACCAGTGCACAACAGATTTGGTGCTCGTGAACGAATAGAGATGGGGATACGCTGCTAGTTTCTGTTCGCTATTGATATTGATACCAGTCCAGTTGAATAGGAACAAGAGAGACAGGTCGATGATGCGGACAAAAATAGGTGGGTAGAGAATAGTTTGCCACATGGGTGTGGAGCTGAGGATGCTTCGGCGTCCAAATGCTAAAAAGAGAACGTCTGGAGATGCTTTCATGAGGGCGTCCACGACCCCGTTTGAAAGTCCAGCAGGAGACATTGCTGGGGCCAGTGCAATGAATAGATTGATCTTCTGGTTCAGTGTGGGGTGGATAGAGAGTGTTGCAAATGCTTGGGCTGTCCCTTGGGAGAAACCTATATACGATAATGATTTTTGTGAAGTGACGGATAGTATGTACTCGATGCTATCAGGGATATCGTGGAAAGCAAATTGGTCCATGGAAAAATTCCAGAAAGCTGTCGATGCTGGTGCCTGAGATATGCATTTCTTCGAATATTTGTTACCCCTATTATTCCCCAGCCACACATCATACCCTTGCTCAACAAGCCGGAATGGAAGGCATCGTTCTTCGTTTGTCAGGCAGACCCATACTTCACTGTTCATGAGAAGCCCATGATGGAGATAAACAACTGGCTTATAAGGGGTCCCCTCCCCGGCGTTGACTTTGAAGAAAGGCTCCCCTTTCTTCCGTGGCAATCTATGCAAACCGAGAAGGTAGCCATCCCCTGTCTGTACGATGTGCTCTTCCGCCTCGTAGCCCCAGAGCGCGCACAGTTCGAGAAAGTCTGACGCACGAGCTATCGTTCCTGACGTAGTGGCGCGCCTAGCTCGGATTAGACGTCCTTGCGGCGAGGATAACACTTTGAAAATGCGTTTGGATTGCCGATAGAGGAATTGTATTATGGGTTGGGCTGTAGAAATATCAGATCAGCTCTTCCACACACTCGCTGCCGGAGATGATGATGTCAATGGAAGGACTTACGGAGGCAGAATGTAATGACGTGTAGGAGTCCTTCGATAGAAATTAATACAAGGGAGGTAAACAGAGCAAGATACTCATTCCTGAGCACAGCCAGACGCCGTTAAAATCCGTTAAAACATAGTTAAATGTCTCCTCGTTATCTCCTGGGATCAACCATATAGAATCCCCCCTGTGGGGATAACGGCGAGATAGAAAGTTTCATTTGTCAAAAACAGAGTAAAGAAGACACTTACCAAAACAGCCTCCCTATGAAAGGCTCCATATCCCAAACTCCCGGAATAATTCAATCAAGCACAAGGAAACATATTATACCAAACAAGTCAATAAAGAAATCAAAAATAAATAAGTTCGAAGTTGGCTCTAACCGATCCAGCGACGTCATTGTCGGAACGAGCCAACAAATCATATGCCCCAAGAGCTCAAAAGGGAAAAGTCAGGCGCCGGTTTATGTCTAACTATATGTAGTTTAGCGCCAAAAGTGACATTCTGTTCCTTCTGCGGGATGGGGATGAATTTATCTCAAATCTCCGAACACTTAAATCATTTTATTCCCTAGACATCTTCCGCATTATTTTATGCGAGAACCGGTTTTACCGATAATTGTTTGATTTTTATTCTTTTCCTCCATATCTCGTGCGGCCATAGATTGTGTTGGAAGAGATCAATAGACAGGATATCATTATAATTATAATGCCCAGCTCCTGCAAAGATATCCGTAAGTTCTCCATCTTAGATACCTTCGATATATCATTCAGTGCCCAAGTGCCTATCCAATTCCCGGTGCCCCTGCTTCCCCTTCGAGCATATTAAATTGTGCCTGCTAAGGTTTTTCCAACTAGGCCTCGCCCTGGCACAGTGCCTCCAACAATCCGACTGCATATTAGTTCAACAGAAAACACCGCATGAATGCCTCAGACCCCCGCACCTCGATGAGCTACCCGTGAAATGTCAGCAATTACGCAAGGGCCTCGGTGAATGCAAGTGCGTTGAAAACTCCCCGTTATCCCTCAAATTCCACTCTAGCAGTCAAAATTGTGCCGTTAACTAACCGGCCCATGTTGGAAAACCAATACAGACGGGGAATGGTAGATATGCGCAAGCGGTTCCGCGGTAACCAACCCATCGCATTGGGGAATGAAGTCGATTCCAAAACAGGTGAAGTTATTAGTAACAGAAAGCCGGTTAAACAGTTGTATGCGGGCAAGCCGGCGTTTCAAAGTGTCAAGGAGATTAATGGTGATGAGGTGCAGATGGATCCAGAGAAGACGAGGGGGCTGTAGATAACGGGAAAGGGAGAGGACGGATTGGAGGGACTATGATATCTCTGATGAGACATGTGATATGTGTGGGTGCGATCTATCGTGCCATGCACAGACAGCGTTGTTATTTCCCGGATTGATGTTTGGGCGTTGGAGTTTGGGCACTTTTTCGTTGATTTGTGGTGAGCTGATTTTACCGCTGGCAGCTACGATGTAAAGAATAGAACATTTCCTCTTCTCTGTAAGAGATTCATTTTTTAAATGTATATTATGTTCGTTATCATGGGTTGGCACTGGAATGTTTTGTCGAGTTGTAGCTCATTTCCATCTAGCTACAGGAAGAGTAAACTACATGCAACGGGTTGACACCGTCTCAATAGAAATTCAAACTCTTCTATTTTTTATTGGCCTGCAAATAAAATGCTTGATAAACATGAGAAACAATAGAAAACATACAGATAAGGTTACGATATTCAATTTTTTTTTTATAAAAAAAAAAGAGAAAAAAATGCCTGAAGGGAATCTCTCCGCGATTTAAAAATCCCACGCCTCCAAGCGCAGACGAAAAACCACGCCAAAGAGACCAGAGAGCAAAGAGAGAAACTTGGAAACCATTGAAACACAAATTCCGTATATTACAATCACATGCACACACGCCCACTTATTGCGCCTTCTTAGACCTTCTTTCCTCTGATTTTGGAGGTGCTGAGTACAACCATACAGCAACGAAGGCCAAAAAGCCACCAATGACTGACCACAAACCAGCAATCCAAACCCATCCTCCTGTAATCCTCCAGCTCCGTGGCCACTCATCATGAGCAAAATGTCGAACAGTGACTTCCTCCTTCACATCGACGTTGGTGAGAAAAGGCCGTTTGTAGTTAACGCGGAAAGTAAAGATACCATGCTGGTCAGGCAGGGTGAATGAGGTGCTGTATATGGTGCTGTTTGCGTTTTTCGCGATGGGTGTGAGATTGAGGCGGTGGAATGGTGAGAGCATAGTGAATTCGAGTTGGACGGCGTCGTTGTCTGGGGTTTCGAAGGGGATGTAGTGGTCGTGGTCGTATTCGGAGAGCTCAATGTTATATGTCTGGCGTGCATCAAGTGTCACTATTTGCGAATATAGATCAAAAAGCCTACGGACCTTATATATATATATTAAAAAAACAAGAAAAGAAAAAAAAAAAAACGTACCACATCATTCTTTATCCGGTATATGGAAGGGTTGAGTTCCCCAGAAATATCCGAAGGAGCCAACTCGCCAACAGCATCAGTTCTCAAGTAATGCTGGACTTTACCAACTTTAACCACACCAGTCTCCTTGAATGTCCAGGCACTAATTTGCTCCGCAAACTGCCTGTTGACTGTCCGCGTCTCCTTCCTATCCTTCAAACCCTTAACGCTCGCAGAGAACCACTTGTCCTCAAGACTCTCCACGGACCCCAACACCGTCAACCGAGCCGAGTTTCTGGCTTGCATTGCTGAAACCAACGAAATCTGCGACCCAAATGCAAATGAATCCTCAACCGTTTGCGCCTGTTCTTTCGTATCGTAGCTATATGCCGTCGCCGGAGCTCGAAGGATGGGGACAAGTAGAGGGCTTGCAGTTCCCAAGGTCTGGCCAGCAGCCTTGGGAAAGGCGACGACTCCTTCGCCGGAGAAGAAGGATTTAAGATCTGGACGGAGTGGCTGCGGTCGTGGGAGGAGAAGGACGTCATGTTGCTTGGGTGAGGAGAGGGTGTCATAGTTGAAGTGGTCGACAACAAGGGCATTGCGGTCAGGGGAGAGGGTGATTTCGAGCTCGAGCAGGAGGGAGTTGAGTGCACTGGGGACGACTGAGCCACCGGAGAGCGCGAGGAGAATGTTTCCTTCCTTGTTAATGAAGTTGAGGAGAACTTTGGGCGTTAATGCGGGACCGAGTCCTATAGATACACATGCATCGAAAGCTTAGTTCCGATCTCATCCCGTCGCAACTGTAACGGCATCCGCACTAACCTTTTGATTTTGGAGAGAAGATGATAAGATGGTCATAAGCTCTCTCTCCATGTTTGAAAAGCGAAAGGTTCCCGTCCTTGGGCGACTTAAATGTTATCGAATATCCGCGACCTTTTTTTTTTTTTTTTTTTTTAAATGGTGGTGAGTTTATATTTACGACTTGATATAATATCGAAACATAGAAAACCAATCCACAATATTTCTTATTTAAAATAGAAACATACCTTTCAAATCCTCCCAGAACGACGAGAACAAATCCTTTTCCGCACTATTTTCTAGAATGGCGAGCAGTCGATTTCCGGAGCTACTGAGCGCATGGACAACAGCTCCCCAGAGGCCTAAGAGCAATAGGGATAGAAGCCACCGCATAGTTGGTATTGAGTCGGCTCGCACAGGAAGGAGGACAAAGGGAGAGAGTATCGGAGGAGACAGCTATGTCTGAATTCAATAGACTTTTCAATTCCTCATGGAGGTGCTGTGTATTATCTCCCTCTGCTCCGATGTCTGGCTGTTCATCTCTGCAGTTTACTCGGCGAAACAAGCGACGTGGTTGATCCGGAAAAATGCCAAGACCTCAAACCTTCCTCCAATCAACCTACAACTTGTAAATGGCTCAATGGGTAAGCAACCAATCAAACTTCAGTCTCATCTTCTACTCTACTCAATTCCAACCTCCAGCTACATCCCCGTATCCTGCTCATCCTCACCCAACGCTGCTTCGCATTAGGCGGCCATACCATAAGTCACCCAATTGAGCTTTCCGCCAACCCCAAGCTTCACAGGCCTCAGGCCTTTAATCGGTATCCAATATGTTTGCACCACACTTCTGGTCCACACCCTTCCGATACATGCGATGGGCAGCGCATGAGAAGCCCGCAATTTTCTTCAGCATCGTATTGGGCTCTCTGGGACCTGTTGCTCTCTTTACCCTCCCGCCTATTCGACGGTATTTAGGAGACGTGGATCCCCCGCCAATTCCAATGACTTATCCAAGTATGTCTTAAGAAGTTTATGTTGGATTGTGATGATTTATATCCTCCATTTGTTTTTGCTTTCGATTTGATTACTTCTTTGATGAGTTCGTGTGTCTTCGGCTTTAGAGAAAGCTCTGGACTTTGGGTGCCTTTTTGGGTACACCGAGCCGTGAACAAACAACTAACACACTCTCTTTCCTTCTGCTTGTCTAGTTCCTCCCGGTCCACGACAAATCCCGAAGGGATATGATGACGAATAATTTATTCATCGAAATTACGCAAACTCCAGGCGGAGGGATGCCAGTCACGATGAACATGGGGCAAATTGACTCGTAATGCCAAAAAAAAAAAAAAAAAAAAAAAAAAAAAAAAAAACCCTCTCTTCTCCAATAGTTCACCCATTTTCGGAAGCAAAGCGACGTCGATATATACTTGTCTTTTAAAATTGAGTCTGAGACCACATTGCGCTTGGTTTATCCCCTGCTGAAGTTCATGACTGCTTTTTCCTGGGAGTTGCTTTTGATATTACCCACAGACCTCTTCCTCCTTTTGTACATGTACATACATACACCTCAAAATCTACTCTATAACATTCATCTCACTTTATCGAACGATGGGATGGACATGTTTCTCTAGGTTTGGCGTTCCTAAACTCAAACTATTTGATAATAGCAAACGTCAAGTACGTGGTCCATAGATTACGTGGAATTCGAATATCTCATTGATCTTATCGCCGTTACCGTCCAACATCCTCCTCCTCCCCCTCCTCTGTACAGTAGCCATGTTGGCATCCTCCAACCTAAATAGAAGGGAAGTCTAGGTAAAGCGTTATAATTCAGACCGATACGATATGCCTGGTCTCTTTTCGCCTGGTGGCATAGCTGAGATGCAGTCTATGCTGAGATGTATCCCCCCCTCATGGGTTATGACACCAGAAGCACTGGATTTGGTGGAGGATATTACTAACGGAAATTTTGAGGTTGGGAGGTTAAGAATTTGTTTTTCCTCTTTCCCTCCGCCCCAATCGATGTGATTCTAAGGCTGAACAACACCAAGATGTCATATACCTGATTTACTGTATATCTCAAATGGAGTCTCGTGTTTTTCTACGTTTGGGTTGATTAAGGGCGGGAAGATAGCCAGCCATTTCACGTCAATGCTGATATCAACGGCTTTGTTGCGCTGTTTGACGTATGGAGAGTCCACTAACTCTTGCACTCTACTATTTAGTTTCCTCGCCTTTGAGAGCGGTTAAAGCTAGAAAAAGAAGTGAAGAAAGGACGCAGATATATCTCAGTGCCAGCTCGCTGTCCACATATACAAGGGAATCGTACATTTTGTCTATCGTTGACTTACGAGTTTGCATAATCAAGAAGAAAACAAGGCAAAGAGAAATTGGGAAGAGTTTCCTGGTCGAAGGCAGCCAGATACAGGACCCACACTTAACAGGTTTGTTGCCATCATTGACACGTTTCTCCCTATTATTCAAGTCAAGGACAAAACAGCGGAACTTGTGATACAGAGCGCAAACCCTCCTCTCCAGGTGGAAGTACATTATATTTACAGGTCCGACATACATTACAATATACAGCTACCAGACGGTGTGATTTCATTACACTTTCTCTCTTTCGATACATAGCTCTATGAGAAAATCTGCTTTCCAAGTCTGACCACAGCTCAGTTTTGCTGCAGGTGTAATGAGCTACAGCTCATCTGGGGTTGGGTTTAGCACAGCCTAGATAGCTATCTAGGTACGCCCCGAGGTTGACCCCAGGGGACTAGATGCTGAAACTTCCATCAATAGATTGGTTGTAACTAACTCGCCAGCCTCAACAACACTCAGCAATCTAGCAACAAGTAGAGCAAACAGTGACTTAAGGCTGAGGGAATAACAAATTTGGAGACACATGTCATGAAGTGCTTGAACATGTTTGACAGGGAGATGGGTGATTGCGGATTTCTCCAGATATTCCACGGGAACGGCCCTTGCGAGGTCAGTTTTAAGATATTAGCAAGATTGGTGTGGGTGTCGACCTAACTCGACTCTTTGAGGACGAAATGGGTTGTCTTTCCGTAGGTTTAATAAATGAAAGAAACAAAGAGGCAAGCAACAGGATAAATAAGGGAGGTTGAAGAAGCAAAGAAGACATAGAAGGGCCAGCCATAAAGAGTCGTCGGCGCTCATTCAAAGAGTCTTGTGAAGCTCGGATGAAATAACGAACACCCTTAGGGGTTTAAAAAGGAGTGAAATTTCGGTTAGTTCAAACACCAATGGTCCAAATGTTAGCAATTAGACAACAGTATAAAAAATATAGAGAACCATAGCAAAATAAAATTCTTCTTAAACTCGAGGATCATCATTTACTCAGGCTCCATCCTCAATTTCGGCTCTTCTGTTTTGGCACTACGTTTATCTTAAGTAAGCTTGTTATCACCCTTTAACGTAAACCGCCACACAACGCACGCCGCCACACAACGCACGCCCCAAAAAGCCGATTTTTGAACCCAACCTTCCACCTTCAATCATCTACAACATGCCAACCAAAGAAGCTGTAGAGCTCGCAGTGGCTGAATTCCTTTCGCAAGAGGCTGGCAATTATACTACTGTTGCAAAAAAATACGGAATTCATCGAACTACGCTTATGCGACGCGTTACGGGCAAATCAGTGTCTCGAGAAACTGCCGACTCCCTATATAGACAGAAACTTACGAACTCTCAAGAGGAAGAGCTTATTCGATATATAAATCGTCTTACGGACCGTGGCTTTCCTCCTACACCTCGAATTCTTCAAAATCTAGTTGAAGAAATCCTTCAGGAGCCGATTGGCGAGCATTGGATCTCTAGATTTTGTCAACGCCACAAGGATCGCATCAAAAGCCTATATTTACGAGCAATTGATCAAAAACGCAAGAGAGCTGATAATTCTGAGTATTTTCAGCACTTTTTCCAGCTTGTATTTGATTGATTTTTATTTACATTGCCTGCAATTTAATGAGGGGTTGCTAATGCTTGAGCATCTTAGCTAGACGAAAAGGTCAAAAAATTCAACATTCGACCATCTAATACGTGGAATCTTGATGAGAAGGGCTTTCTTATGGGCGTCATGCAAATCAGCAAGCGAATAGTCTCTGTACAGCAGCTTAAGAGCGGGAGCTTGCTAGGCACGATTCAGGATGGGAGTAGAGAATTCATCTCTTTGCTAGCCGCCATATCAGCCAGTGGAAGGTCAACGCCGCCAGGTCTTATATATCAGTCAGACTCCGGGGATTTGCAAGATACGTGGCTAGAAGATTTTGATTCTAAAGAGCATGAGGTCTTTTTTGCTGCCTCCCCGAACGGCTGGAGCAGTGATCAATATGGATTACATTGGCTGCAACGGGTCTTTAATCCTCATACAAAGGCTAGGAATGGAGCCTGGCGCCTGCTCATCCTTGACGGCCATTCTTCTCATGTCAATATGAAATTCATCAACTACGCTGATCAAAATCGTATTATCCTTGCTGTACTGCCGCCTCATTCAACTCATCGCTTGCAGCCTTTGGATGTTGGTATTTTTGGACCTTTATCAAAGGCATACTCTCAGCAGGTGGATTTATTCTTACGCTCAGCAATGGGAGGTGTATCCATTAAAAAACGCAACTTCTTTTTATTATTCCACAACGCCTGGAAGCAAGCTGTCACGAAGTCAAATATAGAGTCTGGATTTGCTGCTACTGGCATTTATCCTCTCTCACCAGATCGGGTGCTTAGCAAGCTTGCTAGACCAAGCACTCCAGTCACAGCAGAGCCAGTCACACCCACTACCATACGAGGACTGCGACGGGCAGTTAAGAAGTTAAATCAACGGCGAAGAATCTCTACTGGGTTCCGAAAAATCGTTCATGCTAGTGAAAGACTAGTTTTTGAAAAAGAGATTTTGCAGCATGAAAATAAGCTTCTATACGAAGCTTTACGAAAGGAGAAGAAGCGCCGCCAACGTGGAAAGCCTCTAGGTCTTGTGGATAAAGAGAATTCGCGTGCTGCTCAATTCTTTTCACCTTCTAGGATTGCGGCAGCACGTCAGCAGCTTGAGACCGACGAGGCTGCTAAGATTAGTGAGGCTGCTGAAAAAGCAGCAGGCAAGCTTCAACAGGATATATTACGTCAAGAGAAAGCGATCGTAAAAGCTGCAAAGCAAGCTGCAACTCGAGCTCTTAGGCTGGCTAATGCTCAGAAGCGAGAGAGACAAAAAGCTGAGGTTGCTGCTCGCGTGGCTGCTCGTAAACTAGCTGCTGAGCGAAAGAAGACTGATAAGGAAGCTGCTCAGCAAGCTACTAGAGAGTTAAAGCTTTCTAGAGATCAAAATCTCGTTGCCGCCGCCAGATCAGCCAGGTCAGCCAAATCCCCTACAAAGGCCGTACGAAGCCAGGGGCCTGGCGAAAAATCTAACCAGGCCAACCCTATACAACCTTCCCAATCCGGTAATCAGTCAATTACACGCCTATCAGCAAGCTCCCTACGACCTACTTCTTCTAGCAGTTCCTCCACGTCGCCGTCAATTCCTTCTTCGCCCACCCCGCAATTATCACGTTGTGGCCGCATTATTCGACTTCCATCTAGATTTTTGGATTAACTATACATTTTTATATGATCTATTCCTTCTACTAGATATATATTTTTAATTTAAATTAAATAAATTCATGGGTGGTTGAGAAATTGGTGGAATTCCTTGGGTGGTTGCTTGCTTGTAGAGGCGTGCGTTGTGTGGCGGCGTGCGTTGTGTGGCGGTTTACGTTACCTCTTCAAGCATACTGTTGAGACACCGCTGAGAAACTAATTTTAATATGAAGAAGATTCTTCTGCTTTCTGCTCTGACTTCAATGCCCATCCCAATGGCAAATGTATTGTGCAATGTAACATTATGTAACCAGCACAACTTGCAGGCACCAAGGAGATTGTGAAGTGCTGGATTTAATAGATCAGCGAAAAAATACGTGTAGTTATGTCAGATGTACAGAACACTCATACACCTAGAATATCTATGTTAACGCTGCGAATTAAAAACTGACTGAAAATGTCGAACTCTTTTTAGTGGCTATTCCAATGGCGGATGTCAGTTCAATCTGGGTCACTGAACGATGCAACTGCACGTTGTTCAAATGTGTCAAGCAGCACTTCTTCCTATCCCTTCCCCTGAGATAGATGATCCAGAAGGAGCTGACAAAGTAAACAATACGCCAGGGATAAAAGAACCCACCTGCGAAGTTGAAAGCTTTGAGCCAGTGGGAAGACTATATCACCTCTAAATTAACTGATATGTACTGTTGTTCATGCCCCATTTAGGAAAGAATTGTAGTGTGAAGCCACTACCTGTAGTTACGTTTGTTTATAGCTATGCCCAAGGCTGGACAGAAGTTATCATATTGATTCTGATGCGGTGAAACCATCACTCACCATGATACCATCCTGAAGACAAATTGAAAAATGGACACCGCTCTTGCAATCAGACCGCTAGATTGTTGGGTGAGGTTGTTATGGAGCATCCTCCCTGATCCGGCCTAGCATTAACTAACTACCAGTGAGATAGTTATTGTCGGACTTAACTGGGCAAAGGGGCCATAATCGCCAGTAGTTTATACTGGACAATGGACGAGCACAATCCCTAGGGGTCACCTGATCCCTAGCAGTTTTCTGGCCTGACAGCCTCCAATGCAATCCATCGATATCCTACAGGTTAATGGCCCTGAAAACCATAAAAAAGACGGTTTTGCTTGTAAAAAAACATGTTTATATTAATCAATTGGCTTCATATCTAAATTTTAAATTATGTAAATGTGAATTTTCTTTAAATAAAATTTACTAAAAAATTAAACCAAATATATTTTAGAGATAAGAGATTAAAATATAAATGAAAAATTATATCTTAAAGTTTTGTATAAATGATAGATAATATATTAATTTTAGAGAATTTAAATTCTTTAACTTTACAATAGATTTACAAGTTAGCTTAAAGTTGAAAAGAAAAAGTTTTAAATATAATTAAAATTAAAATTAACTATAAGCTTAAATAATTTAAAATACATGAAACTAGTTAAAATAAAGATTTATATAATATTATAAAAGTAATTATAACTTTTATATAATATTTCTTTAATGATAATAATAATAATAATAATAATTACTATTATTACTATCTATACTTCTATAAAGTTAAGTATATATATAAAATAATTATATAGAAATCTAGTGTTAACAATACATTTATAAAACAAAATGAACTGTATGAAAACCCCATGAGAAGATATTAAAGAGTGACTAATTCTAGAACTTATAATGCATACTTTTCAATCTATATATAATGACAATTTATCTGTGAGGTAGACAGACTCACAGCTAGTTAAGCTATGTGATACTGAAGGTAACTATTAGTCAGATGCCATCTGATATGGGCCAGACAATATGTTTGATTTTAAATATAGTCTCATCAGATTTGAAGTACTCTTGGAATTTGAACTTATGACTCTTAGTTTCTCATAGTCAAGTGCCATCTAGCGGCTGCTAAACTATGCAAAACCACTAAGAGAGCTAGATACTATTATTGAGATGTTATAAATAAGAAATTTATTTGATTTATTTATTATATAAATAACTTCTTTTAATTTTTTATTTAAAAAATCAACTATATAAATAGATAATTTATCTTAATTATTAATATTTTTAAATAAAATATAATTTTTTTCTTATTTAAAAACTTTTTTTTAAATAAAAATATATTATAACCAATATAAATAAGTAAATATATAATAATAATTTTAATTTTTTTAAAATTAAAAATTAAAAATATAATATAATAATAAATTATTTCTATTCTATTAATAATATAATAATATAATTATATATATATAATATATATTAAAATTTTATTTATTTATTTATTTATTTATTTATTTAATCAATTAATTACTAACTGGATATTTTTTGCATTGAGTTGCCATGATAAGCAGTTGGAGTTGATGAGTAGAATTTAATGGAGTAAAAAACATGAAGCTCATTAGTAATAGATTGCGTTAAAGCCTGTGAGAAAGTAGAGCGATTAAAGTTTGTCAAGCAGAGAACTTTTACCATCTTAAAGCAGCATTAGGGGTCTTGACATTGAGAATCAGAGGAGATTAAATTCTAACAACATCTTGAACATCTGAACATCATCTTGTTGAAAACACCATGAACCTTTTCACTTCCCAAGAGCATCCATGGATATAATGATCTTGGAGTGAATATTTTGTTCAGCGTCCAGCTTACAGATCTTGTTCTTCATGTTCATTTCCATCGTATTTTAGCATTATTAACAGTGTAAGTTCCAGACTTCTACCGTGGATCCCAGTTTCTTGGGACATCCCACCCTCAGTCGTTGGAAACTTTCAAAGCTATATATACTCTCGGACAGATACTCATTCCACATTTCCTTGGAGAACCCGTTATCTGCAATGGTGTTACATCATAGATCATGGTCTTGGCTTTGGTGGCTCTTCTATAATCATGACATACGACTCATGGAATGTGTATCAGTAAAGATGCTGTCTGCACGAAGAACCGCTAGCAGTCGTAAGGATAAACCTCTCCAGTTCACCATTGAAACATGATCTAAATTGTGTTGGATGCCAGTTTATTTCATCCCTGCTCGATCAATTCCCCTGAATAAGCATCATTGAGCTTGACTGATAGAGCCTGCTAGCTACAGCGTAGCATATAATACCCCAAGAAGAACAGTGCCAACTCTACGCTTCAGCAAGATGTTGCAAACCCAATGCCACCCGGCTCCTCGTGAGATTGTCATATTTTCACGCGAATGGCTTTTGCCACAGATGGAGGTGAAAATATAATACATGGCTATATCCCACCGTTTCTATCGGTTTTTGTTGGAGTTGGGGCAACAAGACACCAGAGGATATGCTGAGAGAGAGCATGACGCCAGAGCCGTTGCAAAGAGACCGATGGCAGAGCATCTCTTGACATCCGAGCATATGGCTAAGTGTGCGATGCAAGTGTGGGAGAGACCGAGGCAGTGAAAAATCTCTTGAGCGGTGATAACGTAGAAACAGCGTTAGACTGACTGCTTTATTGCATCATGACATCTATCCCCAGAGCAGATTGAAAATCACCGCTACCTCCATGCACGCCATATTTGATCCAGAATGTCCTGGGCGGATTTAAACAAAAGCAACAGGCTCTGAACTTCAATGATTTCTCTTACTATCCGTTGAGAATCTGCTGGAACGGGCCCCATGTAAGCACCATTATACACCGTAAGAAACCGTATCCACATAGGGTTCGTAACGGAACAGTATGTTGTTGACCACAGGGCAGTGTGGAGGCATGAATCTCTACTGCGTTTCTAAAAAAGACCTTTTTCTTGTTACTGGTCCTAACCAATAGTTAGTTATTATGATTACCCTAAAATAGGGCAACAAAATTTTCCTATGTGTTGAACTGTTAATCTACCTACTTAGCTTTCAAATGCCATATTATACGTTTTCCCAAAAGCGCGAATGAGACCCGTAAACCTGTCTGCAGACCTGAAAACACGATATTTTGTGCATCACAGCCACAATCGATTGGTAGGCAGTTCATACCACTCCGATTGTCCTCAAGATCCCAAGAACCGCGCTTTTCTAGACTTTCGCAGGCCCGTCTCAGACCACCCATAGTTCCTGGCTTACCGAAAAGCTTTGGTAACGTGGGCGTTTATTACAGATCCTGGAACTCTATGCTGGATAGGCCCAATATTTACGCACGCGTGACCACGTGAGAAACTACGTCTGCCTGGCAAAAAAAGTTAACGGTATTCTAGCGATCCACACCACTGGTAGTAATAGGCTCTTCTCTCGATCAAAATATTAGAGAGACTGACTGAAGACTCCACAGGTCAAATATTTAACTGCACCAGGTAACTCCAGCGTTATTCTCTGACTTGCGAACTGTCTTCTGTTTTGCGTCCTAGCACGATTTATGGTTGGGTGGCGGGAGGGAAGAGGAATTGATAACTAGCTAAATCGGCGCTCTCAAGGTTTGCAGTAACTATTAGTTTAACCAGTTCTAAATTCTAATACTGAAGAATAACCATCTTAAGATCCGCCCGGAATCGATCAGTTCCAAGGTTTGAAGCAGATACTCTCAGATCAAGATCCTTTCATGCCATTTCCGGTCCAACTAAAGCAGCTTGCACCGACACCTCTCCAGGTCTAGCTGTGCGAGGGACCCACAGCTGCCAACCGGCTCCGATAGGATCAGAGCCGGCAGCTAAAACAGCCAAAAAAGACTCGCTCAAACCTTGGTAGCTGTCTTTGGGAGTCTTGGTTCAAGGTGGTTGGCGGAGATGCGCAGGCCATCCTCACCATAGCTCGCTCACTCTCCGCTAACCGCCAACCCTATCCGATCTAATTGTTGAACCTGTTCCTGATGCACACGATTGATTCAAGAGACACACGCAGAATTCCCCAACTTAACTAAATCTCCCTGACCCGTCTTTTCTTGGGTGTGTTTTTCTCTTTTTCGTCTTCACACCCACCAACCTCTCTCCGCGTGTTGCCAGCTTCTGATTTAACGTAATTTACATGTATACATACATATAGTTATTTTATATATTTCGTTGCCATTTCCTCCTCCTCCTCCTCCTCCTTCTCCAAATTCCTGTCATCTCTTGTCTCTTCCATCTGCAGCATCTCTCGCGACATATTTTCCTATCCCTCCTGTTGTCTCACCGGTGGCCAGGTGACCAATTGCTGCTGGCGTTTTGCTCCGTGGTTGATATTAACATCTCACTATATTCCCACACGGAACACACCGCTCTCTCGCATCAGCCGTCCCAGCTGTCCATATTTTCCTTACCGTGGTGCTTATTCTCCGTTCCTGGTACTCGTCCTCCCCCATTCCCATCAACATATCTCTCTACCGATTTGCCCTCCGCTTGCCACCGTCACCAATACCGAAGCTCGTTTCTCTTAACCATCCGCAATCAGCATCATTACCGCCAACCTAGCTCAACACTCCACTTTTCACGTCAACCCCAGTCCCTCCCCACCAATTCCCATTCGCAGGCCAGAAAAACAACGTGATCAAAACCTCCTGCATCCCGTCCCACTCCGCCAATCGAGTTTCCCCAATTGCTGCCAGTGTGCTGCTGACAACCCTGACAATAATTCCAAGGTGCCCGCGCTCTCCTGCCCTATCCTGGGAATCCTCTCGTCTCCTCGCCCCTCCTGATCTGCGACTCCAGAACACCCTGGATCCTTGTCCTGGTCGTGGCGTTGTCCTTCCTGCGCTACCCGTAACGCGCATGCATTTTGCTGATTCCGTGACCCTCGTCCTAAACGTGCTGTCTGTCGCGGGAGGCCGCAGCTGAGGGTCCAGTTTTGTTCCTGAAGGTGGCATTGCAGTCGGAAAGCATAAATAAACCTTCTCTCTGCGTGTGTATGTGTATGTGTGTGTGTGTGTGTGTGTTTGTGTGTGTGTGTGTGTGTGTGTGCCTGGTCTGGTTTATCTGGTTATCCGGTTAGACTTCCCAGCGGAGGTTTACGAAGCTGGTAGGAGACTGCGTCTTTTCCCTCTCCTTCGTTCTGCATCACTCCGATATCTGAAAGAGAATTCCCCGTGGACAAGACGAATTCATCATCAAACCTGAGGCAGTCAGTCACTCCAAGTAGGGATATTTTTTCCCGTCTCGATTCAATTGCCAACAATTCGGGCACTTGCTACATGACGAGACAAGGATTCAAAGAAGAATTCAGCGTAAAGAAGCAAATCTGACCGGGTTGTCTTGGGAATCTTGTTCTCTCTCTCACTACTTTTGCCCTCCACCAAAACTCCTCTGCTACCTTACCTGCTTGCTCCGCCACAAAACACGAATTTATCACAGGGTCAAAACAGCCAGCCGCCAGCCAGACAGTTTCCCCCAGGCCTTTTTTTATTGCGATCAATTTTCCTTTCTTTTTTCTTTCTCCGAGATATTATTCCCTTGCCCTCTCCCCAACGCTGGCACCACATACCTCCCACGCGATCCCAACTGGTCCTTGCGTGTCCTGGTAGTTCAGGAGCTGGCTTGTGCCCTTTGTCCCTTGGCTCTTATTATTATACCATCCGGCTACAAAAAAAATTATAGAATAATATCGTCTGCAAGATGACAATGACTCCGAGCTTGAGATTACAACCACGGTATGAAGCTCCCTTTATATTATCCGCCCGTCCCGCAATCCATCCTGTAAACTCTGGAAATGTGGCTGACGTTTGGCGCTTTACCTCAAGAAGAGAGTATCATATCGTGGTGCTTGGAGCTGGTATGAGGAAAACAAAATAGCATAGCCTTTCCCCCCCCCATGCAAGGAATATCAATTGCTGATACTGAGGACTGTTGATCACGTACAGGTGGTGTTGGAAAGAGCTGTCTAACAGGTATCTGCATCATCCCCTCTTCTCAATTTGCCCGCGATAACTCTATCCCGTTAAATCTATTGCATAAATAGTCGCATCTCTAACACTTTTCAATTCTCCATAGCTCAATTTGTCCAAAATGTTTGGATCGAAAGCTACGACCCTACAATTGAAGACTCATACCGAAAGATTGTTGATGTGGATGTGAGCGCAACACTGCAATATTTCCGGCATCTTCTGCGCATAGCCAGTTTTGTTAAAGCTCCTATTCACGTGCTTATTCTTATTCTTTCTTCTTGTATTTAGGGACGACAATGTATACTGGAGATGTACGTACCGGCATTTTAAACTACTCGGCCCCAAAGTCGAGATTCCCAATGAGGATTACCTCGAGAGGAGAGGAAAAGAGTCGAATATTGAATATAATCGCTTTTCATGCTCCAGAGGTGTATGGACGAACGGCTAATTTGACAGCTGTGCAGATTAGATACTGCGGGGACTGAACAATTCAGTGAGTGCCTTATCTACCTTTTTAAAATGCGGATTTTGCTCTAATTTCCCGTTTTCAGCTGCTATGAGGTAGATATTCCCTGCGCCCTTATACCAACTCCACGGGGTTCCTTCGCGAGCTCCATTCACCCCAAATAAACAATTGAGAATCAATACATCCCCAACTCCTTCGTATCAAACAACCAAATCTAACATTTTCTCCCCACCCCCTCTGCAACCCTAGAGAACTCTACATGAAACAAGGTCAGGGCTTCCTCCTCGTCTTCTCCATAACCTCCATGTCCTCCCTAAACGAACTCGCCGAACTCCGCGAACAAATAATCCGAATAAAAGACGACGAAAACGTCCCCATCGTCATTGTCGGAAATAAATCAGACCTCGAAGAAGATCGTGCCGTCTCGCGATCGCGTGCCTTCGCCCTTTCGCAGCAATGGGGAAACTCGCCATATTATGAAACCTCTGCCCGACGGCGTGCTAACGTTAACGAGGTCTTTGTTGATTTGTGTCGGCAAATTATCAGGAAGGACATACAGGCGAGTCAGGAGAGGAGCATGGAGCTGGCGATGAATGGGAGGAATGGCGGCGGCGTTGGTGGTGCGGACAGACACCGCCGACACCATGGCCGATTACGGAACCATCGGAGGAGAACGAAGGTAAAAGGGGACTGTGTGATTTTGTAGTTCCCCTTTTTTCGTTCTCTTTTACTCCTTTTTGGTTTCTCCTTTCCGATTCCACATTCCCTCTATTTTTCTTATGTTTGTTTCCTTTCTTTCCCCCTATATATGTGATACATAGTTTTCTACCCATTCTGTCCTGCTTTTCTATTTATTTAACGACTTATTTGGCTCCTTATTTTTATATTTCTTTTTATTTTTATTTTCTTCTTTTTATTTTCTTTTTTTCTTTTTTTTTTAATTTTTTATTTATTTTTGGCTACATGCTGGATTTTTCATACAGGTTTATCAAAAAAGAAAAAAGCAAATGGCAGGGTTTTCTTTTCTTTTCTTCTATTTGCTTCTGGTTTATGACTTTTCCACTTCGTTTTCCTATACATGTTTTTTGTTTTTTTCTCATTTGGTGCTTTCTATCTTTCCGACTTACTCCATGATCGATTGATGCGATCTGACGTCACATGAATGATTATATTTCGATTTACTGTATCCTTGACTTCTTTTGTGCTTCATATTTATTTTTCTTTTCTACCTTCCCTTTTCAACACATCATGATGTGATACGAGTGGAGAGTTTCCCTGTTCCAAATGAACGGAGAGGAGGGTTTTCTCGTTTCAGAAAATAAATTCCAAGTGCAAGACTAGAACCCAATGCCTGCCTGGCCCAAAACACGACAGTCTCTACGCTTGCGGAAACGGTAGCGTCGGTGTGTGAGTTACGTACCCATGATTGCATGTACGGAGGATGTCTCTTTTGTTGACGTTTCGTCTGGCCCCCAAAACTCCAACTGGCCCGTTATTGGCTTGAGTGTCCAAGACACGTTTGTTCTTGTGCCATTTTTCAACACAAGTAGGGGGAAAAGGATGCCGAATGGGGGCGTTAAAGACATTTTTTTTTTCCTAATTCTTTTTGATTACGTTTACACAGTTTATGTCTTCATCACAGGCGGTATTTTCTTTCCCTCAAACTCTGCAAGGGCAATGGATGACGATTTTTGCTAGCGCGTGAGAGAAGGGAGGCTTGGGAGAGATTCGATTTGGACTTGGAGCGGTGTGATTTATGATTGGATTTGAATATCTTCGTTGCACATCAGTTATTTTATTTTTATTTTTATTTTTGGCTTTGTTACATGATATGTTTGATATTTCTCGCAGGGATATCACTCCACCAGAACAAGAACGGGACAGGGATAATCGGCGCGGTCTCTTCAGAATTAGTTTTTGGATATATTACTTTTTCAAACTCATTTTCATTCTATGGAAATACAGGTTGCATCTCAAGTTGGCAGCCGGGAGCGGAGGGAGTTTACTGTGCCCAACTTTGGTAGCGTGCAACTCAAACACCAGAGTATAAACGAAATTTTGATGGGATGATTGTACCTTGATGATACACAATAAGTGTGAGAATCCATGTGACGCTGTAGGGAGAGAGTCCAGGTACAATCAGTGGAAGCCACATTAGAAGGAAACTATGATTTTGATCAATATTGAAATGAATATCTTTTGCTCACGAATATTACAAGTCACGAAACTCTCCACAGCCAACAAGTTGATCTCTGAACGTGGTTGGTTGTGAACTGTTAAGTTAGTTGATGAGAATAACTGCGATTAGATAACAAGGGAACAGCGGATATATATCATCCCAAAACACACACCCCCTATATATACTTTATTCTAGTTATAGGGTATGCGGAAGGAATATCATAAAACTATCTATCTAATTACGAACAAGAGTGTTTAAAAACAAAGGAAAATGAAATAAATGTAGGAAGCAGGGACATATCATCCTTATCCATCCGTAAGTTGTACTTATAATCTTGTCTAAACGAAAACAATTACATCCTAAATACACCAAACTTCGTCTTGACCTCTTCAACCCGGCCACCCAGTGCTGCCGCGAGACTCATCCCGAGCACCTTTCTCGTATGCGCTGGGGGGATCACACCATCATCCCACAGCCGTGCAGAAGAGAAAATAGACTCGGACTCCGCGTCAATACGAGCTTTCAGAGCCGGATCAGCCGTGCGACCAACCGCCTCCATGACGGAAGAGAGCTGTTCAGAGCCCATGACTCCGATCTTCGAGTTGGGCCACATGAAGAGGAAGCGTGGTGAGTAGGCGCGGCCACTGGTTAGACTGTTAGTCTGCAAATTTTATCAATGAAATGAGAGCCGCCTGGGGTAAGATTAGATCAAAACTAAGACATACCACATTCCATAGTTGCCCGCTCCAGCGCTAGCACCAAACACAACAGTGAACTTAGGAACGTCTGCACACGCCACGGCGGTCACGAGCTTAGCACCGTTCTTCGCAATGCCACCTTTCTCCGCATCAGCGCCAACCATAAATCCCGAAATATTCTGCAAGAAGATTAACGGGATATTGCGCTGGGCACAGAGCTCGATGAAGTGGGAACCCTTGAGTGAGGATTCGGAGAAGAGAATGCCATTGTTGGCGACAATGCCAACCTGCGTGCCGTAGATGCGCGCGAAGCCCGTGACGAGCGTGCTGCCATAGTCACGCTTGAATTCGGCAAACTCACTGCCGTCCACAATGCGGGCGATGACTTCGTGGGCGGGGATTTGGCGGCGTAGGTTCGTGCCGACGATTCCGGAGAGTTCGGAGGGATCGTAGAGGGGTTCTTTGATTTCCGAGGGTGTTGAGGTGGCTGGGAGCGAGAGGGTGGTTTTGGGCCAGTTAAGGTTTGATATCGATCTGCGGGCGAGGACGAGGGCATGCGCGTCGTCGACGGCGAGGTAATCTGTGACACCGGAGATGGAGCTGTGTAGACGTCCGCCACCAAGGTCTTCAGCGGATACAACCTCTCCTGTTGCGGCTTTTACTAGTGGTGGGCCCGCAAGGAAGATGGTTCCTTGGTTCTCGACGATGATGGATTCATCACTCATGGCGGGGACGTATGCTCCACCAGCAGTGCATGGTCCCATGACTACGGAGATCTGGGGGATGCCCATGGAACTCATTCTGGCCTGGTTAAAGAAGATTCGTCCGAAATGGTCTCTATCTGGGAACACGTCGGCTTGATGGGGAAGGTTGGCCCCTCCGGAGTCAACCAAGTAGATGCATGGTAGCTTGTTCTCCTGGGCAATTGCCTGTGCCCGCAGGTGTTTCTTGACCGTGATAGGATAATAGGTGCCTCCCTTGACAGTACTATCATTTGCCACAATCACACATGCAACTCCTTCGACAGTCCCAATGCCAGTGATGATACCACCCGACGGCACATCCTCGCCAGGGTAAACCTGGTGCCCTGCAAGCGGGGATAGCTCGAGGAACGAGGTTCCCGGGTCGATCAATGCTGTAACCCGATCCCGAGGGAGCATCTTGCCGCGAGCAATATGTTTTTCCCTTGCCTTCGGGGGGCCGCCTTTAGCAATTGTGGAATGCAGATCTGCCATCTTGGCCAGCAGCTCGTCCATTCGGGCGGCATTGTCCTTGAAATCTGCCGAGGAAGTGTCCACGGCCGTGGGGAGAACGGATATCGCTGACGCTTGATGTGCATGTGTGTAACTGGAAATTGATCTTGTCATCTGGCGGGGGGCAAATACTGCGCGGGTACCAGCTACTCGCAGTTGACGGGTGGATGCCAATGCGGTGCGAAGGCTGCGGAGGAGCATTGCGGAGGGAGCGCGGATTGAACCAGCCATAATGCAGGTTTTCAATCAATGGCACGGAAGAAGTTAGAATTAGATACACTGTGTCTATATCATGGCCAGTGCAAGGAGAATTAACCCCTAACACAATTATAACCCCTTTGCTGGGTATGTTAGGATATGTTGGCAGTCTGATGTTGGTGTGAAGTTCAGGTGTTGGTCTCGTTTCCACAATGTTTGACGCTTTCGTTTTATCAACGTGCCAGGGGGATTTGCGGGGTCCCGTGACCCGTAGCAACTACAGCCGACGGCAAGCGAAAAAGCTGGGGTTCGGGAGATGAAACGCCAATCCCATCCATTCCAGACATTCCCCGCTCTGTTCTGCTTTACTTGCTCACAACATATTTCTAGTTACCCCCATTGCAGCCAGGCTTCTCCTTTTCGATCGCTGGACCGACCATGGCTTCTTCCTGTCTCCCTCGTCTCCTTGGCTGCGCTTCCAGGACTCTCAACAGATCGCGAAGGCAGATTGTTCCGCCGACACAATGGCGGGCAGCGTCAACAAAACATCCACAAGGCTTCGTGCCACCAACAAATGCCGATCTGTTAGAATTGAGAGAGCGTGTGCAAGAATTCGCAAGTAGGATTACCATGTGACATGTTTGAGGAATTTAGCCCATTGAGGGAGAGAGACAGAGTCTAATGCTAGCATGCTACACAGGACGAGAGATTCCGGAAGAGGTTGCTGCCCGGACAGATCTTCAGAATAACTTCCCCGCTGAAATGTGGGGGAAGCTAGGAAAAGCAGGGTATGTTACTATGAGGACACTTAACTGTTGTGATGAAGGTCTTGGCCAAATTTTTACTTTCTTTCTCGTCGCATAGATTCCTCGGTGTTACTGCGGATGAACAGTATGGCGGCCTCTCAATGGGCTACCAAGCCCACTGTGTGGTTTTGGAGGAAATCAGCCGAGCATCAGGTGCGTACATATCCGCCAGTTGTTGGGATACATAGTAGAATATCCGTTGATCATGTGCTATTTTTGTGAAATTTCGTGTAATAGGCAGCATTGGCCTATCCTACGCCGCCCACTCCCAGCTCTGTGTTAACCAGCTTTCCCTGAATGGAAATCCGGAGCAGAAAGCAAAGTTTCTGCCGAGTCTTATATCCGGAGAGAAGGTTGGAGCGCTGGCAATGTCAGAACATTCTGCGGGTTCAGACGTTGTCAGCATGAAGACAACTGCCAAGGCAGTGGATGGAGGTTATCTGCTCAACGGTACGAAGATGTGGATTACCAACGTGAGTCTCACCGTTCTATGCACTTAACCAGCATCCATGCATGATGGTCAGAAGAAATGTTGGAACATTAACGTTTCCTTCTCCATAATTCAGGGCCCTGATGCCGATTACATCGTTGTGTACGCCAAGACAAAACCTGACGCGGGCTCCAAGGGCATAACGGCATTTGTTGTAGAGAAAACTTTCAAAGGTTTCTCTTGTTCTCGGAAACTCGACAAGCTTGGCATGAGAGGTTCCAACACTGGCGAATTGATATTCGACGACGTATTCGTCCCACAGGAGAATGTGCTAGGAGAAGTCAACCGCGGCGTGAAGGTGCTGATGGAAGGGCTTGACTTGGAACGTCTTGTCCTTAGCGCAGGACCCCTCGGGTAAGAGGCCCCCACATCCAACATAGGGTTAAAGCAAGCGGGGAAGCGGGAAGCGGGAAGCGGGAAGCGGATCGAAAAATCCGGACCAATAGTGATAATCATATGCTAAGCACTTAAACCCCGATTCTCTTCTCTCTAGATTAATGCAAGCAGCCCTCGACCTCGTGCTGCCGTACACCCACACCCGCAAACAATTCGACGCCCCAATTGCCCACAACCAACTCATCCAAGGAAAACTCGCAGACATGTACACCAAACTCTCCGCCTCCCGCGCCTATACCTACACCACAGCCCGCCAGATCGATGACGCTGCTGCCTCGGATAGTGCAAGGAGCAACAATGCCATCCGTAAGCAGGACTGCGCAGGTGCCATCTTGTATGCGGCCGAGCGTGCGACGGAATGCGCACTTGATGCCATTCAGCTGATGGGCGGGAATGGATATGTTAATGAGATTCCTGCGGGGAGATTGCTACGGGACGCGAAATTGTATGAGATTGGTGCGGGAACGAGTGAGATTCGAAGGATGTTGATTGGGAGAGAGTTTAATAAGGAATACTCGTAGTTTCGTTGGATCTGGTTTAGAGCATCAGGTTTTATATACATATATATATCTTTTTTTTTTTTTTTTGTGTGTGTGTGTGTGTGGGTGGGGTGTGGGGCGGAATTAGGATTTTTGACTTTTTCTTCGACTAGCGATAATTGTGTATAATTATTATTTATATTATTCTTGACTCTATGCAGTTAGAGACTCTGATCGCCTGACTGGGTCCTAACACTAAAGATACACGATATATGTCATTCTTGATGAGGGGGTATCAACCTCGCCCGTTTAAATGTAAGTCTCACTGGAATATGATCACTCATCTTCCTCCTGACAACTTATCTTTATACAACAAACTTCACCACTGAGCAGCGTATTCTCTCTGAAAAACATCAAATATTTAATGTATTCAACAACCAACACACTTAAATATTGAAAGTATTAATAAATTAAGACTATCTAATAGTTGAATATATAGCTATTTATTAGGGCAACTGTGTATAATATGTTCAATAGTCTTTCAGCCACTGCAGTGTGATAAAACTCATTTGATGAAACATATCTTTAACCTAAGCTTCAATCTTCATATTAAGCTGTTGAACATGCTCATGAACTTTTTGTATAGATAGAATAGTATTTTGATCTAGATTAGCATGACTTCATGTCTTTTTCTTTGTCATTTACTTATTCTCTACTCATAAAATTTTGATTTCTTGATTATAAAAAATTTATATTTATAATTATTTATGCAATCTTCTCAAGATATTAAAAATGAGATATTAAGTTAATGTAATCAATCATCTATCAATTTATATCATCTACTAAATTACTCTCATTCAAATCATTCATATTTATTAAAAAAAATTCAGTATGTCAATCACTCTCACTAAAGAAACTTTTAAGCAGAAAGTTAAATTTTTATTAATCATTAAAGTTTATAAAACTTAGTAAATTATAAATATTAAAGCTGCTTTTAAGTTATATAACATTTTCTCTGATCTAAAAAATACATAATTAAATTACATATACAAATGCTAAATTAAATAATTGAAAACTAATCTTTAATTGAATAAATAATTTTCATGAATAAGATAAATGAGAGAAAATAGTCTTTCTGAATTATGATTATATGAAAAATAATCAATTTACTACTTATGAAGTATGATTTCTATACTTTTATTATTGTAGAAGAATGTTGAGTTAATAAATTTATATAATCATATTTTAAACTAAAGATAAATTCTTATGCAAATATAACTATCAATAAGCTCAGTGCAAGAATTCAAATATTTTATATAAAAAATTTGTTTTAAGAATTATATAATAAAGAAGTAAAATTATATCAAAAATATTTACAACTTTGATAAGGTTAAAAAGTAATTACTAAAGCTGAGAAAGATAACTAAGTTAATGTAATTCCTCATTAAGCAAAATTCTCCAAGTAAAAGATTAAATTAAATAATTATAATTTTCTAACTTATCTACTTCAATGCACAATTATTGCTATCAATTTCTAATAAAAGAGCAAGAAACTCTATAGAAGTAGAGGAAAGAATTGAACTCACAATATCTACTATTAAAAAGTAAGAAATAATCTCAACTGCTGAAGCTGCATACTTATTCAATGTTCTCTATACTACTTTATATTATTGATTGAAGGGCCAGTCTGCACATATGAATTTATGTGCAAATTTAACTAAGCTGACTGAGGCTGAAGAGAATTTGATAGTTGAATGAGTACTAGATTTATCTAAATAAAAATTACCTCTCTGATCAGTCTTTGCAGAGAATATAATCAATCATCTTCTTACTCAATGACAATTCATCTTTACTTCTCACTATGTTGACAAGAACTGGGTTACAAGACTGATTAAATACTGTACTAGAGCTTCAATATCACTATATCAAACACTATAATCATAAGTGAGCAAAATATAAAGATAATAGGGTTATTCAAAAATAATTTAAGATTCTAAAGAATACTTTGACAGAGTATAGAATTTCAACTGAAGATATATACAACTTTGATAAGACTGACTTTGCAATAGAGATGTATGTCATCACTAAGATCATTACTAGTGCTGAGTGCTATGACTGGGAAAAGTTGCTACAGTATAAAAATTGTGAATAAGTTACTACAATTGAGTCTGTTAATATGTTAGACTGAGTTTTACCTTCATATATTATTCTAAAAGCTTAGAATCTTCAAGAAGATTAATTTGAAGACTTGTTAAATAACTGAAGACTTGATGTTAGTATCAATGACTGGACTACAAATGACATAGAGATGAAATGACTTACTAAATTATTTATCTCTATTGCTAATTCATATAGATTTGATACTTATATTCTTTTTATATTAGACAGATATAGTAGTTATTTTATCTCAAAATTTAATTAGCTTTATAAAAATAATAAAATTATTTCTCTCTGTATATCAGTATATTTATTTTATCTTCTACAGTCTCCAAATATTAATGTTTTTACTGTTTTAAAATAAGCATATAGAGATTTAGTGAAACAATATATGCCCTTTGAATTCAATACTATTAAGAAGAATAACTTCTTAGATGCCTATCCTGCAGTACATGCAAAGACCTTTAAGACTTAAAACATTTAAAATGACATTATAACTATTAGAATAATCTCAATTGAATCTGATCAGATTGTCCAGTAGCTATATATTCAGCTCTAAACTTCTATCCTCTCAAGTAGTTGATTTAACAACTTAAATTATCAAGGTCTATAAATATGAGATGATCAATACTACTATTATAAAGAGGTAATATTAGGATATATTCAACATCAATGAGATTGTAAAGTAAAAATAAAAGAGATCTAATCATTAAATTCAATCTGAAGAGGGTTTAACTAGGCAGAAAGCTTAGAATTTTGTTATTTCATTTACTAAGTCTGTTGATCAATCCGTCATTTAATCTTACAAGTCTCAGTCAGCAAACTTTTATCTGTGCTCAGAAGCTTTACAACAATATAGCAACTGCAACTTGTCTGATCATAAAAAAATAAGATATTTTAATTCTATTATTAATTAAATTAAATTAATTAGTTGTTATTAAATGTAGATATTTTAGATTAAAATCTAGTTAGTTGAGTTATAGTTATTTAATCTTTTACTTGATGAGAAATTTCACTTAGTGAGAAATTATATTAACTAGTTAATTAATTAATAAATTAATTTTTATATAATCAGAAAAAGTAAATAAAAAATTATGATTTAAGCAGTTAATACTATAAACTAAACTTTATCTCTTATAATTATAATAAAAAGCAAGTATCATCAATTCTCATAATATAAGTAAATTATTAAAAAATTGAATAATTGATATCAGTGAGAAAAGTTAGATTATAAATAAATTTAATTTAATATAATTATGAAAGATGCTCAATAAATCTATTAAAATTTATATAATTAATAAAAAAAAACTATTAATTCAAAATAAGTATATTAATTATATCATAATTAAATTTAATAACTTCTATTTAAATCACAGTATTATAATATATTATATATATTATTTCACTTTTTTGTTTACTATAGTTACTAGATGTAAGCTACTTTTTAATTAGTTATATAGTAACTAAATAAAAAATAAAACTAAAGTTATATATCTAATATCATATAATTTAAATAAAAATTTTTTATATTATATATTTAATTTTATACTTTTTTTCTTTAAAATAAATACATAAATTTTAATTTTTTTGAACTTTTAATATTTTGTGCAATGTGATTTAATTGAAACTATATAGTAATATAATTAAATATTATATAAAAAAAATTTTAATTCTATAAATTAAAATTTTATTTAACTAATGAATAAATGTTAGCTAATTATTTATAATTAACTAGTTAATTAATATTTATTATATCAATAAAGAAAAATATAGAGTTAAAAGTTATTAATATTAAAAAAATAAAAAAATAAAAAATATATTTATATATAACTAAGAAAAAAATTATATCTCAAAAATTTAATTAATATATAAAGGAAAAAATTAAAAATTTTAATTTAAAAATTAAAAAAAATAAAATCTTTAAATAAACAGTAAGTATAATATTTTTAAATATAATACTAAATAATATTAAAAAATTTAAATATTTATTTTATATAATTTTTTATATAGAAATACTTATGATTATTATTTATTTTAAAATTTTATTAAATAAAATAATAAAAAATAATTATTAAATTTTATTATTAATTAATAATAATAATAATATTATTAATATATATAATTAAAAGATAATATTTAATAAAAAAATTATATCTAATAATTTAAACTTTATTTTAGTAAAATTATTTTTTATAATTTTAATTTTTTTAATTAACTTTATATATATATATTATAATATTTTAAAAATAATAATATCTAATTATTATAAAATTAAAATATATAAATAATATATAAAAATAAATAATTATATTATTTTTATAAAAATTATTAAATTATTAAATTTTATAATTATTTAAAAAATTACTTTATTTACTATATAATTAAATAAACTAAATAATTAAAAACTAGATTTTTTTATTATTTATAAATATAATTTAAAAAATTTAATATATAAATATTTCTAATTAAATAAAAATATTAAAAAAAATGAATAAAATTTTATTAAATATTAGTATTGACTAATTTAAATTTATATTAAAAAATAAAATAATTTTAAAACTAATATTACACTATAAATATTTTAATAAAATAAAATATTTATTTTATTAATAAAAATATATTTAATTTCTATTTAATATATTATAATAAAAAAAAGTTAAAATTAAAATAAAAGATTTTAAATTTTTTAAATTTTTTAATTTTTTTTATTATAAATAAAGTTAATTTATTAAAGAATAAATATATATATATAAATAAAATATCTAGTTATATTAATAATCAAATTATATAAATATAAAAAACTATATAAAAACTTTATAAATAATAATAATTTAATTTAATTTAATATAAATAAGTTTAAATTAAGTTATTTTTATTAAAAAATAAAAAATAGAAATATTATATTTTAAGATAAAGTTATTAGATCAAAAAGTTTATATATTAATTTAATATTTATATAAAATCAAAGTTTAATTTTATAGTTTATATTTAAAAAAAATAATATAGATTAAAAATATTAAATAATAAAAATTATTTTATAAACTATAAAATAATTATAAATAATTTATATAATAGATATAATTAATTATATAGTTATAATTTAATAATAAATAAAAAAATTATATAAATTATATTTATATATTTTAAAATAAAGCTTTAAAAATTATTAAAAATTTTTAAAATATATATAAATTATACTATAAAAATTTTAATTTATATAAAAATATTTTAATTTATATTAATTAAATATATTAAAAATTTTTATGTTTTAATTTAGTAAAATATATACAATAATTAAAAATTAATTATCAATCTTTAAAATAAAAAATATAAATTATATATAAGTTTTATTTTTAAAATAATTAAATTTATTATTAAATATTTTTTATTAGTAAATTCTTTAAAAAAATTTATTTATTTTTTAAAGAAATTATAAAAATTATTAAAAAATTAGTTAGTATATTTAAAAATTTAAAAAATATTTAAAAATATTTAAAAACTAAACTAATTTTATTTTAAAAAAAACTTTAAATATTTTAATATTTTTAGTTTAAATAAATTATATATTAATGAAAAATTATTATTTAAAAGTTTAATATTAAAAATATTTAAATATTTATAAATAATTAAATTATTAAATTATAATTTTTAATTATATATATTTAAAATAAAGAATAATAATAGCTTTGATATTGATTTTGATTAATAGTTAATATAATTTAATAATATATAATATAAAAATTTTTTATCAAATAAATTTATATTTACTATAATAGATCTGATTTTATATAAACAAATTAATATTAAAATTAAGTAACATGTTTATTTGTATAGTACTGTAAATTCTATTATAAAGAGATTATTATTATAAAATTAATGATAAATTAAAAGATGTTAATTAAAATTATATCAAAGCATTTTCAGTTAAAATATTGATATATAGTTAAAATTATAAAAATAAAATTATTTAATAATGTAGAAACTTTGAAAAGATTTTCAAACTTTCATTTTTGAAAAGATATTTTCCCAACATGCTTTAAAATGTATTCCTCCATCTTAATATCTTTATAGCTACTCCTTGTACAAATATGTAAATTTCATTCAACCTCTTCCCAGATGAAGATTACATAACCCTATCTAAGGGCTTAAGTTAGGTATTCCCCAGCCTAAAACAACGGAAGTAATCTAAATCCAAATGCAGTTAGCCTGAACTTGCCCGGCCCTTGATGTCAGCAAGCAAAATAAAGAAGTTCGGCTCTCACTCGAGAGACTTGAATCCTTGAACATCACTATTAAAAGCACTGCAGTTGCGTTTGTGATCTGCCTACTGCCACACTTCCTGATATATTGCTTCAATTAATCTTTCTGGTGCCCTCTAAGAGTTGATTTGGCATCTGCACAGTCTTTCTACAGTCTTTGAGCAGCCACAACGTGCCCCGCTTTTTTCAGCTCTTGTCCCAAGTCAGCTCAGACTGCTCTCTAGAGCGTCTCTCACCAAAAACAGCATATTTCTACAGCCAATTTTCCATCTTTTCTTTGCTGATTTTATTCCAAATAAAATACTATTAAATTAACAGCTCTTAAGAAAAAAGACAAATTTACGCGTTATTGAGCAGCCATGTCGGATGATGACGACTACTACGACGATGTCTTCGATGGAGATTGGCTATGGATAGAATATGGTGAAAGGGAGCTTGTGGTCAGTCATGTCAAACCCATAACCCGATTCTCCTTGCTTCTTACTCTCAAGTACTTTTCAATTGTTTATCAAACTAAAACTTGTACCATTCCTCTTTGTTTGGGGTTACTTCTTTCAGGATGATCTTGCAGAAGGCACCGTGCATTCACCAGTTTATTACATGGATCATGGACCTCACGACGCAATTGACAGTGACTCTGATTGGGAATATTATACAGATGAGTACTTCGACGATGACCTGTCCGTAATGCATAAGCAGAACATCTTACCTCCTGGCACATCCAAAGCGAGGAAGCGGAAGCAGCAGGTGAAAAAGCAGCCAAGTCCTCCAGCAACTCCAAAAACAAAGGAAACGATGACAGCTGATGGAACTGATGATGGCAAGGACACTAATAACCCAAACTCGTACTGCAAGATCATATATCGCTCCTCTTTCATCCAGCTAGCTGACCAAGCCGAGCTTTACAAACCAGGCACAGGTGAAAAAGTAGCCTTGCTTAAGAATTGGAGGGAGATATTTAAAGATTCTCAGCCTAAAAGAGATTATAGGCTTCAGAAAGCAGCCTCTCGTCTCTCGCCAACGGCGTCGTTTGCGAAATCTAAATCTGGACGGAAGCGAGGGCATCGGAGGAACACGGAAAGTGGGAATGTGGATGACAAGGGTTTTAGAAATGTTGAGGGCGATGGAGATAGCGATGTTGATGTTGATATTGATGAGGAACCGGTATTTGATGGCGAACAGGATATTGAAGAGGGATCGGAGCTTGGATCGGGATCGGGAGATGATGAAAGTATAGATGAACGTGGCAGTGAGGAAAGACTTACACCGCCACCGTCCTTCCTATCCGCATCCCAGCAAGTTATTTACGAGGAATCAAGAGCAAAACCGACTCAGCCATCCCGCCATAATAGTAGCAACAACAATGGCGACAAAAGCCATCTTGACCGCCGGGGATCGTATCTCAAATCCGTAATGTCAGCCGTAACAGAGAACGATGGTCCAGAATCATCGATACCCGGTTTCAGCTGCCGTTCCACACATTCAAGTCCTCAGAATGAGCAAGGATATGAAGGAGAAGAGCTCGAAGAACCCGACAGTTTGATTCAAGATGGCTATGAAGCTGACATCGGCGATATTAACAATACCCACGGCTTTGAACAGGGACATTCTCCTACCCCTTTGCAACACCTGAAACGAAAGGCCTCAAGCCCTCTCCCTAGTGCGGATGGAAGTGTGGATGGGAAGGAGAGGTCGAAACGAGCTGCGACTGCGGAAAAGCTGGATGGCGATGGCAGTTACAATAAGAAGGAGAATGCGAGGATGGGTGTGGGTAAGAAAATAGCTAAAGATGCTCAGGTTCAACCTGCGACGGGAACTGCGCGACGGTCTTTGAGGGAGAGGAAGTAGTTGGATTAGGGGAGGTAGGCCATATGATATGATATGGTATGAGACGTTATGATAGTTGATGCTTCGGATGGGTCATTGGGGTGGGATTTAGTGAATGGGTGGATATTTCGAGGCAGTTTATCATCTTGTTTTTCTGATTTTCATATTGTTATGGTGCGGGTGGCTATGTCGAAGTTGGAATACGTTGGACATATAGAGTGAAGACTTCTTCCTATAGTTACAGTCTAATTATTTACTCATTTTAATTTTAATTTTTTTTTTTTTTCCAAATTCAAGTTCAAATTCAAATTCAAATCCATAGAGCTAGTTTTAGGGAGAGGGATTTCAATCAGCTGGTAGTGTCGGGAGTGTGAGACTGTGATTTGTTTATTGATCCTTTCATGATGGTACGGCATTGATGACTATGATGATGACAGTAGTGCTATTAAGAACAGCAGATCTCATCATCATCATCATCATCATCATCATCATCATCATCATCATCATCATCATCATCATCATGGTCTCTACCTATCAAAATTCAATTGATGGATGATGCATGTAAGTGAGAATCAGTAGCAGCTTATTCACTAACAGCTGGTACGTTAAATTTATTTATCTCCACATCCCGCGATTGACTCTCGCCAAAGCCGTTCCTCCGCACCCCGGTTAACCTTGCCATTCCGCGCTCTGCCCGCCATTCCCCCACGTGGGAGCGTCGGGAGTCTTGGCTCGGCTGGTTGTTTGTTTGCGCTTTCCGTCGGCGAAAATCAATCAAATCAACAGCCAACTCTTTCAGCCGCTTCAACGGTTTCGTCAACATCCTCAATATTTACATCGTGCCGCCATAGTTCATGGTATATGCGATTTCATTGCTCACCGCCATCTCGTTTTAATATATATATATATATATATATATATAGATTTCCTTAACTCATTTTCAACTGGTTGTCGTCTTCTCCAGAAGAAACGGTTCCTTTTTCTCCCTCACCTGGGCGTTGATTGACTGTGGAATCAGTGCCTGCCCCAATGTCATTTATCGCTCGACTACCGGCCACCACCTCCCGCCTGGGATCGAGGGCAGCGGTTCTCAAACCAGCCTCAGCAACAGCAACAGTTCGTGCCAGTTCGTCACTGTCGAGTGGCCCCGAGAGCAGATCGCTCAATTCCATCCTCATCGCCAATCGCGGTGAGATTGCCCTGTGAGTTAACAAATCGCCCCACCACTGTCACAATTGGTAAACCGTACATACAGTGCGCATGGATGGGTGACGAGGGAAAAGAATCTTACGTATACCTTCACAGACGAGTAGGACGAACAGCTTCACAGCATGGCATTCGCGTAACGACTCTATATACAGACCCGGACGCCAGAGCCCAGCACGCGTTGAGCTCCCCATTCTCATTTAATTTGGGCGAAACATCAGCGTATCTCGACGGTGACCGCATTATTGAAATAGCGAAGAAGGAAGGGTGCCAGGGTATACATCCCGGTTACGGTTTTGTGAGGAATATTTATTTTATTTTTTCTTTTGCTCGCCCCGAGTTGGGGATTAATGGAAATGTTGTATGGACTGCAGGGCTGACAGTGAGGTTGATATTGTTTGTAGTTGAGCGAGAACTCGACGTTTGCGCAAAAATGCACCCAGGCTGGCTTGGTCTTCATTGGGCCGCCACCTAAAGCTATTGAGGCGATGGGTGATAAGAGGTATGTAGGTACATATTCCTTGGATGTGCTGCGTAACCTCTGTGGGCGCATGCTTATTTGCAATGAGTAGTCGATCAAAGGAGATTATGACAACAGCTGGCGTCCCATGCGTTCCCGGCTATCACGGAGAAAACCAAGATATGGATTTCCTCGAGGCGGAGGCGGAGAGGATTAAATTCCCTGTTCTAATCAAAGCGGTCAAGGGAGGTGGTGGCAAGGGAATGCGCATCGCAAGCTCCAAAGAGACATTCCGGGATCAACTTATCTCTGCTAAATCAGAGGCGATGAACTCATTTGGGAACGACACAATGCTGGTTGAGAAGTATATTACGACCCCACGACATATCGAGGTGCAAGTATTTGCAGATAAGCATGGGAACTGTGTAGCGTTAGGTGAGAGAGATTGCAGCATCCAGCGACGTCATCAGAAGATCCTCGAGGAGTCCCCTGCGCCGCACTTGCCGGAAGCTACGCGGAAGGATATTTGGGATAGGGCGCGTGCAGCGGCATTGGCTGTTGGTTACGAAGGAGCGGGGACTGTGGAATTCATCTTTGATAATGATACTGGGGAGTTCTTCTTCATGGAGATGAATACCCGGTTACAGGTCGAGCATCCAGTTACGGAAATGGTTACGGGTCAGGATCTGGTTCACTGGCAGATTTTGGTTGCGGAAGGTGCACCTTTGCCGTTGACACAGGATGAAATTGAAGCTATCATGGCGACAAAGGGCCACGCCATTGAGGCGCGAATCTACGCTGAAAATCCAGATCAAGGATTCATACCGGACTCCGGCCGTCTGCTACACGTTCGAACCCCAGAAACGACAGAGGATGTGCGGATTGATGCTGGTGTCATTGTTGGAGATGAAGTTTCGTCGCATTACGATCCCATGATCTCGAAGTTGATTGTCCGAGGATCAAACCGGACCGAAGCTCTACGGAACCTAGAAATGGCGCTGGAGCAATATGAAATCGCAGGACCCATCACCAACATAGAATTTTTGAAGCGGGTCTGCAGGAGTCCAGACTTCGTCTCCGGGAACGTGGAGACGGGGTACATCGAGAAGCACAAGGGAGAACTGTTTGCCAAGGAACCCATTGAAGATGAGGTTTTGGCACAGGTTGCATTATCTTGCCTTCTCAACGACGCAAGCGGTGTGAAGGTGGCGGGTCCAGCTGGGGCAACGGTTGGGTTTAGTCCTGCATATCAAGAGCGGCAGTTTGCGTTCGTAGAAGCCGCACAGACACCCTCAGAAACCACAGCGAGCGCTGCCCCTTTTAACGTCCAAATACAACAAACGGGCGACACAACATTCAACATCGTCGTCAATGGAAAGAGTTTTGAGAATGTTAAGGTTGAGCAGCAACATTCAGCCCCGTCTTCTAACGTTATCGCCTCGTTCTTCCCACATACGAGACTTAACACGACAATTATTCGCGATGAAGATATGATCACCGCATTCCAAAGGGGGAGGCAGTATCGGTTGAAGATCCCGCGGGCGAAATGGATGGAGAAGGCGTTGAGGATTAAGGATACGGCGAATAGCGTGTTGGCGCCGATGCCATGTAAGATATTGCGGGTGGAGGTTGCGGAGGGGGCGACGGTGGTGAAAGACCAGCCGCTCGTGGTTATTGAGAGTATGAAGATGGAGACTGTCATCCGGAGTCCACACGACGGGACGATTGAGAAGATTGTGCATAAAGCTGGGGTAAGTCTTTACACCTTAATTTTTCTTTATCTTTTGTTACTGCTTGCCTCTTCCGCTATTCTACGGGCGTTCCCCTAATATATTCGGGAGAACTTTCCGTTGCACCCATCCCCTCCAATCCCCTCCAATCCCCGGTTTTCTCAGGCTTTTATTTGTGGTTTCTGCTTTGGCTATCACTGCCATCCATGCACATGGGATACAACCATACAACTCCAACAAAAAATCCGCACTTAATCACCTACTAACCGGTGCAAACTACGACATTTAGGACATATGCAAAGCGGGGACAGCGCTTGTCGAGTTTGCAGACGCTTCCTCTAGGGCTGAGAAGGCTTCTTAGTCTATATATATATAATCTATTTGAAATTGCAGTGACGCGGTGAGCGATTACCTTCTGGCCACTTAATATGTCGATACGTGATGCGCAATGGTGTTCTTTCTGATATGGACATTGGATACAGCACTCATTATCAACCGGCATCATTGTTGAGAGGATGTTTAAGTTTGGACGATTTTTAACAGGAGTTCAGGAATATGTCTCATGATATATATATTTTTTTGGATTTGCTATGTATGTATGGACGTATATAGAGAGAAGGGGAAATACCATGTTCATATGGATGATGAAGTTTTAAATGTTATTTGTGGCATGAAGAGCAAAGTAGTTGTAAATATCTGACTTTAAAAGAGTTTAGGGATGATAGTTGAAAATCACCACTGACAAATTAACCTTGAAGTAATTATTAATCTGATACGAAACCGTGTTTCTAAAAAGAAAAATCTTAAGAGATGAGCTTACAAATAATATTTCCACAGTGTAATAATAAGAATTGGAGAATGATTAAGAAGAATTTCAGCTGCTTGTGCTGAGCAGGTGTTGAGCTCCCTTCCCATGCGGATTTCAAAACTGGTGCCAACATTTTGAGCAGGCAGCTCATGCGGAGGCAAACGCATACAACAGTTGGATTTTCATCAGAGATTGGTCTCGGCGTTTCCCTGAAGTGGCGAATGAGACGGTATTAGTTAAAATAGCTTGACATCTGAAGCTCCTTGAGTCACTTCTTGCTGCTAGACTGAGGGTCTTTTCGGGTCTGTTCAACCGTCTAGCAAGAGCCTGGCTCTTTTGGAAGCTCTATGGTTCTCCTCTCGCACATCTTCCACGCCGGGCTCCAAATGTCTTGATAGTTCCAAGATTGGAGAGAGTTCGTCATCTGATCCGACGATCCTCCAAGGTAGCCGACGGAGTAGTTGGTTATCATTAATAATCGTTGCTAGATTGGTCGCACGCAGATCCATCGAGCAATGCATGCTTTCTCCCCTGCGAGAAATATCTTTGACATCCGTCTGATGTCGGATAAAAGAGGAATTGAGTTTTTAACTAAGACAATGCCCGTTTTCTTGGATTTTGATATTTGTTAATTGAATTGGTTCGGGCTTTTGCGCTGAACTATTTTCCCGTGGGAAGATATCTGGCATTCTCCAGCCCGCAAGGTGTTTCTAGACTCCATTGGGCCAAATCCTGGTGAGTTTTGTTCCTTGGTGACATACATGGATGTCATAAATATCTCAATTTTCCAGATGTTTGGCAAACTATAATTCCCGACCCTGAAACCCTATTCCTACCTCATATGTATCAATGCCAAATACCCCCTATACGTCAACATGACTAACTCTTACTTTAATGCAGGATACCTCACTGATAAAATCATCCCAATCTCATCACAGTAAAAGGTATCATGTTCAATCCATCAATTACCGGCCAGGCAGTTCATCTTTCACGCCATGGCTCCAGGAGCACGGCAGCTGCTATCCGGTGCACGTCCAGGCGTTCTCTCGCCCGCTGCATCTCAGCAACCCCTTCTTTAATGGACAAGGGTAGAGACAGCAGTAGGAATAAGAGAGATGATGATGACCCTTTCAAGAAATCGAGCACCGCTGCGGCCGCAGGAGATACCGCACACCATGAGGGCATCTATGCCCGGACAGACGAGAGTGTTCGTGTAGAATATCCTGAGGCCCACGAGATGCCCCGTACTCCCATCGTGCTGGGCCGTGGTGGCATACATTTCAAGCGGACGCTGGCGTCTTTCTCATTGGAAGGGCGCGTTTCTGTCGTTACGGGCGGTGCCCGCGGGCTGGGGTTGGTTATGGGACAGGCGCTCGTGACGTCGGGATCTGAACTTGCCATTGTGGACTTGAATAGTACGTAATACAGACGGCAGTGACTTTTGTTCCCTTACTATCTCTCCGTTTATACAATTTATATAGCTGCTGGATGGCAGCAATGTAATGTACTCCTATCCACCTGTCCCCTTTATCAGTCATGTGACAACGCATGTATATGATCGCATCTTCCATTGCTTGTATCTAGATCTACTTCATATGCTAAGTATAATATCAGAGGAAGAAGCAGATGTGCAGGTGCAGAAACTGTTGGCGCAGCATAAGGAGGAAAATCCAGGCATTGAAGTGTAAAATTTTACCCCCTCCCTGAAAACAACGGCCCTCTTTGTCCCAAGTCTAACCATCCCGATTTCTCCAGCATGCCCAAAATAACATCCCACTATGCCGACGTTGCCAACCCTGACTCCGTTAATGCCTGCATCTCCAACATCCTCGCCACCCACAACCGCATTGACAATCTTGTCACCTCCGCCGGCTTCACGGAAAACTTCGACGCAATCTCTTACCCATACGACCGCATGAAGAAATTATGGGGTGTAAACGTCGACGGTTCCTACCTGTTCGCTGTAGGCGTTGCAAAACACTTACTCGAGCGCAAGTCTCCCGGCTCCATTGTCATGATCGGCAGCATGTCCGGTTCCATCGTCAACGTGCCACAACCGCAAGCCCCGTACAACGCGGCAAAGGCGGCTGTACGGCATCTCGCTGCGTCGTTGGCGGTTGAATGGGCGAGTGCGAATATTAGGGTTAATTGTATTAGTCCCGGGTACATGTTGACAGCGTTGTCAGTTCTTTTATTTCCTTCTTTCTTCCTCGTCCTGTTTGAGACTACGGCCCCTGCTCCGCCTACATAAAACTAACCTTCGTCACACGAATCCAGAACCCGCAAAATCCTTGACGATAACCCGGACCTCAACCGCCAATGGACCTCACTCATCCCACAGGGAAAAATGGGTGTTCCGGAGGACCTCATGGGTGCCGTCACATTTCTGCTCAGCGATGCGAGCAAGTATATCACCGGTGCTGATCTGAGGGTTGATGGCGGATATACTCTTACGTAGGCATTGATAATGGTACTAATAGATAAATAGTGAGGGTAATAGTACTTACTGCGTTAGTTTGGGCGTTTTAAAACCTTTCTTCTGTTTGATTTACCCTCCCTTGAACATGTGATGGTATCATTGATTTAACGTCACCTTGCTGCCCTTTTTAGTTTCGTTTAGAAAAGTTGAGGCATCATAACGGCTTTTCTTCGTACTGCAGATATAAAGCGGACGTCTGTTAACTGCCCCTCTGGCTGTTATTGATGTCGAGTTTTCAGACTGTTTGCGATATTTTCCTTGCCATTCGTGGTTTTCTACTAGTTACTGTTTCTGGGTTGGTATAACGTACTCCACTGAGTGGTGGATGCATTCTCCCTGAAAATCATCAAACATTCAACCCCAACTATCTTCAACACATCATTTCTTCACACTTTTTCTTCAAAATGTCTTTATCTCAAGAATCTCACATACAGTTGGCCATTGCTTCATATATATTTGAAAAAATATATCCAAGATGAAAGCTTTAAAGATATATAAGATTTTTAAAACTACTCTGTGCATATGACTTGCTGATATCAAATCACATTTAGAAACACATACAAATGATCACAAATTGATAGAAATTGAAGAGAAAATCCTTTTCAAGCAATTATTAAATGCAGATAGACAAGATTTTTCAATTTGATCAGAGTTTTTATATAAAATGACATAGATTCTACTTCAAGCATATACTTTTGATTCTATCATCATTTTTGAAGTCAACTGAACATCTATTCATTCAACATCATTCTCAACTACATATATACTATAATCATTGTATTTTCTATCAATGAGTGAAGCAGAAGAATTCAAAGGTTATAAAATAATAATTAGAAATAATATATAAAGCTATTTAAGAACATAATATTCATGAAAATGATATTTGAAACTTTGATAAAACTGACCTTGCAATGAGATTTTGTACAATCTCTAAAGTCATTACTATAGATGAGCACAATGAGAGTCATGTACAGTTATCCAGAGAAATTGTAAATGAGTCACAATTATTGAATATATAGAATTAAAAAGATGTTCTATTCTTCATCATCATTAAGAAATCAAGATTCTATAAGAAGAGAATGAGCAAAAGACAAAGAAAAATACATGAAAACATGTGAATCTAGATCAGAATACTATTCTATTTATACAAAAAGATTGTAGGTGTGTTCAGCAGCTTGATATGCAAATGAAGCTCAGATTGAAGTTATATCTCATCAGCAAGCTCTACTGCACTGCAGTAGCTATGGGACTATTGAACATACTATACACATTGTCCTAATAAATAGCTATATATCCAACTATTAAATAATCTTAATTTATTAATATATTAAATACTTAAGTGAGTTGTTTGTTGAATATGTTGAATATTTTATGATATTCAGAGAGAATCTGCTGCTTGGTGGTGTCCACTGCTCAGTGAAGTAGTTATGTTAATCAGAGTTTTAATGTAACTTGTTATATTTTAGTTACTTAGTTAACTAACTAGTTCTCATCTTCTAAGATTATTAACAACCCATGGCCTGTTAGTTCCATGCCCTTCATATCTTTCCCCTAGAGCTGAGTTTGTTCTATTTGTCAATGGCTAACATTGATACTCCAGGATCAACAATCCAAATCACACAGCATTTATTTTTCTGCCCAGCTAACAAATAACTATATCCTGCGTATGATCATTGGCCTGGGCATCAGCCCCTCAAAACCTTCACAAATCCCCACTCCACTATAAGAAGAAAATATGGGGGTTAGAGGTTGGGGATCCTTGGTATTCATGGATACTTATGGATAGGCTAGACTTCTTCCCCCACGTTACCCTGGATATAAAATGGGTAGTTTCTTTTTTGTGGGGAGGGGTGTGGTCAAGTATGAAATCATTAATTGGCTATTAAGTCGAGAACGCTAGGCAAATTGTCAGAGCTCATCTGATTAATGAGTGTTGCTGGTGGGGTTATGGATACCCTCAGAGTTGTAAACAGCCTCTACTTCTTTATTGTTATGGAGGAAGCTCTGAAGCGGTCCTTTAGCGAGATCTTGCATCCTCGGATACGAAATTGTTGTTGCCTCGGATTATTGCTCCTTCACACACGATATATTGTACGACTGTCCATGTACTGTATCGTGAAAGCAGTAGGTTTGCCTCCTTCACTATTTCATTCTCTTTTATTCATGCTGACAAATGAGAAACTGTATGAAGTATATATAAAATGTAAGATATTCATGCAAATGAATGTTCATTCAGTTCTTATCTACTAAACTCATCACCTAACCTCATCACCTAACGCCCGGCGGCTCTAATTTAGCTATATGGCAACCATGGAACCAACTCCCCATGCCAAAACTTTAAAATAAGACAAGTATTATTGGTCAGTTTTTGAAAAATCTGATAAGATAAAACTTGAAGTATATCAGAAGCTCCAACCGCTACTATTCTAGGCAAAATATACTTGCCAACAGGAATATGCAGATTTGGAGAGGGTGATTATCCGGTGACGGCTAGAGCAGGAGACACTGCACAAGGGACGTTGGACCGGGTAGAGGGCGGCCGACACTAATTATGCATGTGCCTAAGTAAGCTTGTAAAATTGAGTTTGCTTTTCAGTGAATGGGTAGGAACATGGATTTGAGTATATTATCTACGTCCCAAAAGGGAGATGATGGATTAAAAGGAGTCTACATGAAGAGTGTTTCAATTCAGTCTCAGCCAATCTTTCAAATAAAGGGGTCATATAGAATGCCACAGCTCTTCCAACTGCCTTAGAACATCAATTCGGCGCATCTGGATCCACCAGGGCATTTAGTAGAAACTGCCAAATTTTTCTGCAACTTGTGCTTGACAGTTTTGGAATACTCTATCGTTTAGCTTTGGCGTATATAATATCACAGGCGTGAATCAAGAATATCGGATATCAGCTTGGGGCGGTTGGTTCTATCACCCCTAGTTAACTAAATAACTCTCAAAAGAAATATCAAAATAATCCACAATGTGAAAATCCACCCCAAATCTTAAGATATGTAACTTTCCTAGAACCATTACACTGGGTACAGGATTAGAGGAAATAGCAGCCCCCTAAGTGTTTTTCAACCACGCCACGATGCTTGATTCGTTCTTGTTGGTCTAGATTGATGTTTGAGGGTATTAATTGGTGGACTCCTGTCTCAACAGTAAATGCTCAATCTTCCTCCTCCATAAAGAAAACGATAGCCCCTAAATAGATTCTGTCCATTAGCATATATACATATACATATGTCTTACAAGCGTAAATATGAAGTGGTTGGAACGTTGCCATCTGACGAGAACTGGAAGCCAACTGATGAAGCTCACCCCACCCTGCATCCAGCTAGCCCGACTCGGCAAATTCCTCCTGTAGGTGTGTCACAGACTCAATTTGCCAGACCGCCCCTCTGCCAACTCTCATTAGAGCCAAGAGAGGAAAATGAATCGCTCTTCCTCGTTCCCGGAAGGTTAAAAGACAACCAACAGGGTGGTTGAAAATAAACTCGGGGTGGAACAAAGGAGTCTGATAGGTATGCTAACTGGGCACGCAAACCGTATGAGAATCCCAGACCCCTTCTCTGTCCACTCCATTCCATTGCCATCAACCATAAACTAGGTGGGGAGGGATCATGTTGAATGTGGCGGTCCAGAGGTGAAACTCGATTAACCGCTATTTGACGATAGATGCACTGAGTGGTCCAGGAAAAAGGAGGGGAGTCTGGACGAGATTCGTATCCTGATAGTTAATTAACCAAGCGGCCAAGTTGAACTCTTAACGTTAGCCAACCTCCCACAGGCCTGGTATGCCGTATATCATTGGCAGAGCTTTCGAAGAGTCGAAGCAAGGTGAAAGAAGTGTGGCTGGAAATGAGGGTTAGTTATTCTGCTTGTTTACTCCGTCCAATAATACAGTTGGTGTCTCCTCGTTCTCCTTTCTTTCAGAGTTACCTATCGAATTACTCCGTGCTGATCAACGCCATCTCTCCACATTCATCAATCAAGTTTCTCCAAGAAGGTTTGTCGACAAAAGCCCTTGAGAACAGCACAACATTATCAAGTCCGCTATTGATCAGCGGTTTTCACCATGGATATCGCGGCGGTCCAGACTGATCGATATTGATATCCTGCAGGCGGAAGAAGTGAACCAGGGGAAACGGAACTCAATCAAAACACAGGAAAGGTTGCCAGTCAGAGTTGTCATATCAAACGTTGCAGAGCGTAGAATCTCATTGGTTTAGTAATCTCTGATCATTGTTCCTGTTCCCCTGCCATTCTCTGCAGATTTTTGAAGCTATATATTATTAAAAGTTGCCCCATTCCTCACACTGTCTATTAACTACTGGCCGCTCTCTGGCTGACTGCTCTCCCACAACTTCAACCTCACTCATATCCCACATTCTTGTATGTCTTTCTACTGCTAATTTACATACAAAACTCAATCTGGTAGCGTGTTTTAGAGCAACTAGTTCCGAAATTCGCAAAAATAAGGAATAAAAAGGAGGAGTGGGAGTTTTGATGTAGTTTTTGGTGGATCTTCTGTTAACGAATCGGGTGATTGAACTACGTCTGACATGCCACATGGCAAGGCTGGTATCAGCGAATCAGCCGCTGCAGACGGGACCGGCGTGCTTCTTAATTCTTAATTATTTAATTATTTATTATTATTATTATTATTATTTACTGGACGCAGATCAAGAATTAATCGCCTCTGATAACGTACTCAGCAGCTAGGCATCAACTCCCCCAATCAAATGGGAGAGATGTGCTATTCTCCATAACACTGGAACCTGGTTCCTGGGAGGTATTTATTTTCACGGAGCGGCGCGCTGGGCACCGATCAATTCCCGAACTTCGAAGTCTAACTAGTTGCATTATTTTCTTACACAAACTTCAAGGTCCAAAGCCATGTTTGGGAGTTCAACTGTCCAAGGATCAAGCAATTAGCATGGAACACGCTATCTTTCTAGAAGCGGCGTAGAAAATATTCCCGCCATCTCGTCTAAGCGAAAACCTAGCGCACGTTCGTCAGTCAGATACCCGGGCTGATGAGGGTGGTCTGCGTTTCTAGACCTTTTGTCCACAGGCTTTTCATCCATCCGCCACTGATCCACTCCATGCCCCAACCAAAAGCGCGGTAAAACGCGGCTCGTTCTGGAGATGGAATACGGTCCGCAGAGTTGCTTGGAGAGATGTAATGGTACCCCGGAATCAACAACCCACCTTGTTTATCGTCGTCGTCTTTATTGCTTGTTCTCATCTTAGCTGTCTGATTCAGTTCGCGTCCACGAAGGGTAGTTAGTTAACAAGACTGCAACCACGGCGTTCGTTGCAGCTGAATAGTGCTGACGAGAATCATGTTAATGAAATAACATTCCCGGTTAGTGAAGTGACATAGGAGCAAGATCTGATGCAACGATCCAGTTTTCAACACCATTTCCCCCGGATTATTTGCCGTGATACTGTAAATAGAATAAATAGCCTTCTTCTTCTTCTTCTTCTTCTTCTACTTCTTCTTCTTCTTCCTTCCGTTGATCCATTGCTATCATTTGAATCTTCTTCGTCCCCTTCCCTTTTTATTATTAGGCGTTTTTGCTCTTTATTCGTCGTGTAGCAATTGTCCCATTATTGTTTTGCAGTTCTGCTATTTCCTTATGACATGATTGCCTGTTACCTAATTGCTTGTCCGCCGTGTCCTCGTGCTGCCTGCGGTATTTAGACCAACCACATGACCGGCTGAGCCGACTTTGTCTCTGTTGATTTCAATCTCGACTCGACTCGACATCTGCATCTGCATCCTCCTCCGCTTTCTCCCTGTCCTATTATTTGGTTCCTCTTCCGTACCTGTAGCTGCAGCGTCCTCCTTGATTTGTTCATCTTTGCCTTGGGTGCATGCTTCCCGTGCCTCTGTCATCTTCAACGGAGCTGTCCATAGCTGTCCAATCCCTAGCACTGAAAATTTGCCATTTGGCTCTAACCATCTCTCTGGTTACTTTGGCGCTTGCTCGTCTGGTCCCCGAACTCTTTGTTTCACCTGCTGCGCTCTTCCCGGGGCAATTGTATGGTTCGAGGCCTTGCAAATCCTTGTTAACACGCTGAAACAGGACTACACTGGAAGCTCCTTGTCGACGCTGTTGAGTGACTTGAATCACCGTCGACACCACCGTCGCAGTGCTGGTCTGGAGACGCAGTCTCAAGGAGGCACAGCAACAGACAACAAGCAAATCACATTACCTGACCGCTCAATTTCAATCATTTGCCACTTCTTTGCGTCAATTTATTATTCTCTCTTCCCCTGTCGCTCCAAGCAATCCCCCCGCATCAAGTCCCACAGTCACCGACGAGGTCACCTGGACAAGCTCACGTGAGACTGCAACTCCCAAACCGTTTATCCGTCCATATAACTTCTCACTTTTTTCCAGCCATCCCATCCTGTCTGTATTCTGCGCCCATTTCTTTTATCCATCTTCTCTGTGTGACCGCATGCTTGCTCTCACATCCTCCTGCCGCATCACCATTGCAAATTTGGCCGTTCCATGTGTCCGGCTGTGGAATGCTCTGTCCCAATCTCCATGCACCTGCTGAACCGTGAGGTTCAGCCGATCTCAGACCAGTATCTGTTTCTCCCAGTCTGGTGTTGATCTGTTTTACTTTTGCTGTCTTCTCTCACTGCATATTCCCCCTTCTCCCTCCACAACCCCTCTTTCCCACAAGTTACCGCGATTCTTCATTTTTGCTCGCACCTATTCTCTTCCAACACTGTATACCTATGACAGTTTTGTGTGAAGTTTTAGAATTTGTTGAGTTTGCCTAATCCTTATGAAGATAACTTAGTTGTGTGGCTGTCAAACTGAAGAGAAGTGGATCTTGCGATTTTGGGCCTGGCAGTCTTTGTTATCTTAGTGGTTGTTGCCATGACGGAAGCTTTACCCAAAGGTATCGTCTTGCACACCGCACGTATTAGTTCCGAGATCGAGAACTTTGGCGGTATAGACGCTGAAGATCTCGCAAAGTTATGGCGAGGTAAGGATAACTTTCATTTTCACATTCTCAAGGAACAAAGAAAGCAAAAGAAAGAGCAAACTATTCCCGGATACAAGAGGAAAAGAATATGCGGTTTAAAAAAGCTAAGTGGAGAAACATAATATATTCTGACGCCTTTCTTTTGTGTGCCAGTCTACACCACCAACAGGTCCACTTTGAAGGAAGATGAGGGGAGGCGATTGGAGAATCTATTCTGGAGAATATGGAGCAACCAATCCATTTTCCGTTCTCTTCAAGGCACCACGTTAGCTAGACTCTTCTTACATATCGCTGAAGGAGAAAGCATCACCAGATTGAGCCCGCGAAGATTACGAGAAGTACGTTGGCCCGGATGGAGAATACGAATTTAAGAGGAAGGCCTTCTGATATTCTTAGGTCTCTCAATCAACGCCGCGGATTTCGTCAAGGCGACAAACCCCAGCTTCATCTACTAAATGCCTTCAGCCACAGAGTCCCACCCGAAAAACCACTCTGAGAAATAGCCTAAGGGTATCTCGGAAGTCATCAGGACCTGCGAGTCGGGCACCGCTGCCTCCTCCTATCTTGAAGAAGTCGCGACAAGTATTTGATGAGTCGCAGAAGACGCCCAAAACTTCTGTGATTAATAGTACTGAGGTTGGCACGTCACATAACTCACCTACATCTCCCTCTCTAATCGTAGGTCATGAATCTCCTATGGGAGAATCCGCGTCTGAGAGGCCACAAAGGAAAAAGACTACGTTTGCAACAAATTTGACGACGAGGGAAGTTGAGCCGGTGCCGGTGACAGTGCGAAAGAAATCTCCTTCGCCCACTTCAGCGCTTGTAGATTCAAGGTATTCACCAAGCGCTTCATCCCCAAGACCAATTCAGGACTCGGATTTCTACGGGCCACCTGCGTCTAAAGAGCAGGAAATTCTATTACCAGATAGTGAGACATCCTCTTTTCCCCCTTAAATTCTCACTTCAGAATAGCAATCTCATCCAGCCACACTGGATATTGTTGTCCTAACGCTGAAGTTTTTAAGATGCAGGTTCCGCAGTGTCCATAAGTCCTACCCCAACCTACACAAACCCACACCCCTGGCTGGGTCTAGCTATGCAGCGACGGGGTCCTACCTCAAACTCCACAACGCACCCCACCGCTACCGTTCCAAGCAAATATAGGCATGACCAATGGGCTCAGCTACAGAAGTGCAGCAATAGATCGTCTACCGCGCAAGATGTGCAACCTTCTGGAGTTACCTTGGTAGACAAGAATTTCCGTGCGCGCTTCGTTGAGAAACGATCACAAAAGTCACGCACACCATCTTTCACTAACGTAGGCAGTTTGTTATCCATGAAAGGAGAAAACAAGGAGAACACTATCACAACAGCTATGTCGAGAAATATGGATCCTTCGCACTCTCAGGACTGTCAATCACCAGGTATAGTGAACGCGATAGATTTTAATATTGTTGGAAACGGGGGAGTTATATCAGAAGGAAAATCCCATACGCAACAACCACCTCTTTTAGACAAATATTCGACAAAGGAGGACGATGAAGATGATATAGATGGAGAGTGGGAGGATATCGATAGTATGGACGGCCTCGGAGAAACAGATTCATCACAGCCATCGCAGCAGCAACCACAAGCGCCATTCCCGAAAAGCGGCACCCGATGCTAATCCCTTCGCAACTCTCCAACAGAGCCAATTAAGCTGATCGGTCAGGAAAGGATTATGGATGTGGCGAAGAAGAGGAAAGGGAAATATATATGATATGCTGAATAAAAACAGAGGGAAGGGCAACCGATTGATGAGACAGGGAAGCTAGAACACGGAGCAACATGCTCTGCACGTCGAAAGCACCACACCATAGTCATCAGCGTGATCGGAATATGCAAGAATTCGTGCTTTGAGATGCGCCTGGATGATATAGTTTTTTAGGAGTACAATATTTTTACTCTTCTCCCAACGATCAGAAATGGTTCTGTTCCATACATCCTTGAAGCGGAGTTTAATAAAGGCTCCCTTCCCTTCGACATCGAATTCAGATTCGAGATGAGAACAGCCCGGGAGTCCAAGGACTGGCGATAATTAACTCCAAACCCATCCCACACAACTAGTTAATCAGCGAGTTAACAGCCAAGATACGTGACTAAAGAGACCTCTACCTCAACCAGGGCTAGCCACAAGATATCTCTCACTTGGGGATCCACTCAGCGATCGCCTTGTAATAATAGTTCCATGCGGACATGTATGGACGCTGAGGAACACATATAGTAAATACAGTATATCATAATCTAACGTGAAACATGGCAGTGTAGATATGTGAAGATCCATCTAAACGTAATCACCTTCTAATCGGTTCCATATTTCCGACACTTGATCAGACATTCATACAATCACTGTGAGAAATTCTTGGCATGTGTAATATACATGTTTTGTCAAGTCGTATTCAGTTGCAAGGAAAAAAGGGATGTATCGGAAAGGGTCCTCAGGAAGAATCATCAGAAAGCATATTGATAGAAGTTACTCATCGGTTCTATTTCTTGTTCTTGTCTCCCTTACTCTGTAGCTATTCTGCAGAGGATGCAATGTTAATAATACAGACATTGTTTCATTGATCTCATATATCTCTACATGATTGATCAGCATCTTCATCGACAACGTGATACACTCTGAATTTATGATTATAAACCGCATTTATTCCTTCTGTTGAGGTCAAAGAGCTACCAACTTAATAATGTGTCAGAATTTTGACACGACGTTGTTTATGAAACATTAGGAGCTATAAAAACAGCTAGGTATAAAAAACAAAGATACCATACATAAAATAAGGATGATGATAGTTAAAATAAAAGAAGATCACAGAGCCAGAAAAAAAAAAAAAATGAAAAAATAGAGGCAACTCCCACTCCTTGGGCATGCAGATAATCCTTGGGGCTCATTAAAACAAAGAAAAGAGCAAGTGGTATGCAGAGCGCAAAAGGCTGACGGCAGCTGAAACGCAGCCAAACACCCCAAAAATCTAGGGATGAAGACGACAAGGAAAAAAAAAAAAAAAAAAAAGAAATCGCTCGCTCCCTCAAATCTGCCCCATCTCACTATCCTTCTTCTCGGCCCTGCTCCCCTTCCCACACTTCCAAAACCTAACTCCCGCCCATACAGCGGTAGCGGTCCACAGCGCCAAATTCGCCATATCCACCCAAACGGCATGCTTCATGCGAATGAGGTCCACATCTCCTTCCGTCGCCTCCTTGGAAATGTACAACTTGCCAAAGATGCCGAAGAGCGTGAGCCAGAGGATGCTGATGATGCTGTCAAGCATGAGGTTGGGGAGGTTGAAGCGGGGAAGCAGGGCGAGGGGACCTGATATCACGAGGGGAATTATAAAGTAGATTATGGCGAAGAAGGAGGAGAGGGTGCCTAGGGCAGTGGCATAAGTCTATTCTTTTGTTTTAGTAAAAAAAAAAAAAAAAAAAAAGTATCTGGGATTAGGGTGAGGGAGATGTAGACTGGACGTGGAAGGGGAAGTAGAAGGAGAAAGAAAGAGAGTACAACATACCCATTTGGGATCATATGGTTTACCATCCTTGTGCTGTTGTAGGAGATCTTGCGCATACAGGCCGATGACAGCGATGCCAAAGACGAACTGCAGGAAGCGAAGAAAGCATCCGACAACTGTGCCGACGGTAGAGCCGACGCTGTAGCGCTTCCTGACGCCGTTGAGGATGAGAGTTTTGAAATTCATGGCTGAGGTGTTTGGACGTCTATGTGCTTTCCGTTGTCTTTTGAAATGGGGGTGTTTTCTTTTTTTCCTTGGAGAGTGCTGGTGGATGACTCTACAGTTCGACTTTGTTTTGCGCTGGCAGATACTGGATATGTCAAGAACAGGTGGGTGAGCCGGCTAGAGGCAAGACTGAATTATCTTCGCCTTCGAAGCAGTGTGTAGCCTGATCGTCTGAGTGAATGGCGTTTGATATTCCGGTGAATCTCCTCAGTGGATGGTGTGTTCTTTCAAGGGACCTCTTCGAAATATCAAGGCAAATGCAGTGAATTGACACCGACAATAGCAGGTGGGCTTCCTGGTGCACCGCGGTTTCAAAGTTGGGATCCAGGATGAGGCGAGAAGTGAATGGATCGATGTTGTTATATGGACGTACAGAAATCCAGCATGTGTGTCTGTCCTTATTTTCTCGTGAAGCAGGGGCCGTATTACAGTTGTTGTTTCTATAGATAGGGAGAGAGTGCACGGCACTTCTGGTGGTATTCGCGTGATATTAAATACTCCTTTTCCTAACGCGCGAGATGTTATTATCCGGCAAACTCGTAGAAGGGAAAGGCGAAGAAGAAGAAGAAGAAGAAGAAGAAGAAGAAGAAGAAGAAGAAGAAGAAGAAGAGAATTGAAATGCTCGCAAAATGTGTGTACACAGTACAACAACAAACAGAGGTGGAGAGAATGAGATATTATGGGGAAGAAAGAGATGACCAGAATGAGGGAAAGAGGCAGCCCGCGCAAAAAGTCAAGACGAGACAGGAGAAGAGAGAGAAGGAAAGAGAAAAAGAGAAAGAAAAGGCGACTTTCTGCGACAAATAGTTTAGTACTTCTGAACAAGACAAAGAGTGGAGGGAGGGAGGGAGAGAGAGAAGTTCTTATATATCTGATATGAGTTGCATGAGGCGTAAAAAGTCAAGCTTCTGATCTGCGGGCCGATTAAAGCCATTCCTTGCGGTGATGCAGCATCACATCATCATCATCATCATCATCATCATCTTTATCATCCTCCATTGATTTGAAGAAACAAATATAAGCTGCCAATGAAGGTGCAGGCAGACATGCGGCATGACACGCGGGGTACGCAGATTGTAGCAGAAAAGGACACCGTTGGCGAATCATCTGTTGAGATGCCCCCGATGGAATCCTTGAAGCAAAACAAGAAACATCCTGAGGGTAGTTATTGTCTAACAATAGACCAAAGGAGGAAGAAAACAATGGAGGGGTAGACAGGTGGTTTTTCCGAGTTCCTCATGAAAGGGACAGACAGCCAGTTAAACTGCTGGGAGATCAACATATTGGTTAGCAGATGCTAGAGAAAGAAACAATTGGTCGTTTGTGGTCTTGGATGGTCGAGGGATTTCGGTTGGCTGTGAGCTGCTGAAGAATTTGAACGGTTTGAGATGCCAACAATGAGAAGGCTGCTTTAAGCGCCCGACGAAAAGTCACTTCGCGCAGTACATAAAAATTACGCTTGCAGGCGCCGTTGAGAAGGATGATACAACCACAAAAAATGAAGAATATGAAATATACAACTAGTTACTGTCTGAGGGAAATCATTTGTAGGCACCCCATCTAACTATTGGTTGGCATGACCTTAACCAACCCCCCCCCCCCCCCCCCCCTGGGGTCTCTATGAAACAAATGCAACCATCAGATAAACGCTTTGTCTCCCCTTCGGCCCTCTCCCTTAAACGCCAGCTGAAGCAAGGGTGAAAGAAAAGGCGGCATTTCTTCCTCTCTACGGCGATTCGCCCTCTGTCTTCCAACTCCGGTCAAGACGCCTGTCTCTTCTAGGGACCCCTTTGCCCTCGTGGGGAGGATTAAGCACTTTTAAAGAAGAAGAAAGAAAAAAGAAGAAACCAAAAAAAAAAAGAAAGAAAGAAAGAAAGAAAGAAAGAAAAAAGAAAAGGAAAAAGAAAGAAGTCAATAAAAGAGACGAACTGCATCGAATACGCCCAATTATTCTGCCCCTGATGGTCGAGCAAAAAAAAAAAAAAAAAAAAAAAAAAAAAAAAAAGAGAGATAGGATAGATTGTTACGACACAGGGAACCGAGGGGTTAAACTGTTGCTTTTCTCCTTTGTACTCCACCTCTCCCTTTTGTTTCTCTCCTCCACCTCTCCCTCTTGTTTCCTCTCCCCTTCCCCTCCCCCTGTTGCAAGTCCTTCAACTCCACGTCTGTCCCCCAAAGATACTTCGACAAACCACCAAACTCTCTTAAATCTCATATCTAACACCATCCAAGGGCCAAACCAAAATTCCCCAGCTATTGATTCCCGACCGTATACATCCCGCAAGCTCCGTCCAAGAGGTTCAACGTAACAAAATCGAGGGCAGGGGAAGAACTTTACTCCAAGACCACCGTTGGGCATGCAACCTAGAGCCGAGAACCAAAAAGAAAAACAGTTCTAAAAGGATGAAGAAAGAGAGAAGAAAAGAGATAAGCATCAAAAATATGCTTTGAAGAAAACCTTTCTCCTGGGACACAGAACACGGAACACCCACACACAAAGTCATATCCACCGCAAACCATACAACTATGGGCACGCGCAGCTTGACAGGTTCAAGTGTCAATTGTTTGCTTTTTAACATGGAAAAGAAGCCAATATCGTCATATCAAAAGCTACACGTATCCAGCCCCCCTCCCCCCCCACCAAAAAAAAAAAATTGAAAAAAAAAAAAATTAAAAAAGAAGTAATCCTGTGTATGTATGTATGATTTATAGGATTAATGACAAGTACGCCGGCTGTGCCTTTTCTGGGCTCAAGATGACTCATAATCCGACGGGAAACCCAAAAAAATAAATATAAAAAATAAAAAATAAAAAATAAAAAGGTATTATAAGGTGTGGGACAGGAAGAAAGGGGGAAGAGAGGAAACATGCCCTGCAAGAGATAAAGACCGTACCAACAAAATATAAAAAATAAATAAATAAAAAGGGAAGCTGTCCAAAAAACAAAAGAATAAAGGAGCGAGTGATTTATTCATAAAAGTGGTGCTTGTCCATGCTGTTGAGGGAAAACAAAAGCGAAAAAACGAAAAGAAGAAAAAAAGAAGAAAAAAGAAACAAGAAACAAGGAATATGAATAAAGAAAAGCCTACAAAACTGGAAAAGCAATAAACTTTGTCTACGTGGAAAGAAAGGGAAATATATCAGAACCAGAAGCAAGGCACCAGCCCCTATCGCAGCTAGCTTAGAGCACGAGCGTTGTGAAGGGGAATGCAAAAGGTAAAGGGATAATGTGACGCAGCAAACAGCAGCGTGGTTGATCAGGAACCCCTCTCCAGAACAGGAGCCGTAACGAGAACGAGAATGGAAACGGGAGGATTCCGACGTCCACATCGCTATCAATGCACCACCCTCTCTCTCCGTCCGAACAGGTACCCAAATAACATCTAAACATGTCTATTGAAGCTCCACCATACCGCGAGCCATCATCCAACCCGCCCAGTCCCATCGTCAGCCACGCCTTTGGTCGCAGAAGGTGTCCCTGCAGCGACTTTGGGATGGTTGCTGGCTGGTGCGGGTTGCTTGGCGGGGGCGCTATGGTGGGCTGCGGGCTGTGCGCGAGGTGCGGAGGAGACTGAGGCGTGATCTTCGTATTCCTCAGGGATATTGTCGTCACCGTAGCTGTCTCCTTGCAGTGTGCCAGTACTGGTGGGATCGAGATGATCGGCTGCCACTGCAGATGGGTGTCGATCGTATCCACCCTGTGGATGATGTGTCGATTGTTGTTGCTGTTGTTGTTGTTGTTGTTGTTGTTGCTGCTGCTGCTGCGCTGCGGCTTTAGCAGCATTTTTTGTTGCTTTCTTACCCTTTCGCCCCTTCATCTTTGCCTTTTCAAGCAATCTTCTCTTCTCCGCCAGCCGGCGCCGTTCTTTGCGATCTTTAATTTCATATTGCCTAATCAGTGCCTCGGGAGGGTGGCCGAAGATGCTTTCATATTCACAGAATTCGCAGATCCAGATTTCGTCGATGTTAGGGGGGTGGTGGAGGTTTGTATACTGTTGTTGGAGCCGACGTTGGCGAGCGGCCAAGGCATAGATGCTCGCGGGAGATCGTCGTGTCTTCTTGCCACTAGCTGCGGGAGGGTTTTGCCCGCTTTGGGAAGGGTGTTGGGGTAGTGCCTGGCCTTGGTGGTTTGGCTGCGAGGCCATGTTCGGGCTTGTCTGAGTCCCTTGTGTTGAGAATCCCTTTTGGCCAGGCGGCGCTGTAAAAAGCGGCGGATTGGCGACACGATGTTGTTGTTGAATCGTATAGACGTTTTGGGTTTGCCATGCCATGCCTTTGGATGAATCTGATTCACAAGTGAAGGTGAACTGCGTATTCGTCGGCGATGACTTCCTTGTTTGATCTAGCAGACTAGCGTTTTCATGTCCCTGTGGTGCTGATGATGAGAGGGCTGCTGCATTGGCTATTGCCGCAGAGATTATTCCTTGATCAGAATCGTTAGCGTATTTCACCTTGGCTTTTGTCCCCCCCCCCCCCCCCCGCGAAAGTAAGAAAAGAAACGGGTTGGGGGAGGGGAGGGTGGGTATGTTCAGTTTCAGAAAATGTGTGAGAGAGGTATACCAATTGATTCTTGAGCAAGTGAAGTTGCCACATCCTTGCGACCAGGCCCAGGCCGACCTCCTAACCAACTGTTAGGGTTTTGGGCTGCAAGGGGTGTCCTCCCGCTCACGGCACGACCAGCATTCCGTCCATAACGCCCTCTCCCGGGGCCTGATATGCCATTCCCCGCAGGAGAAGCCGGATTCCCCGTTCCGTAATATGAGCCGGTCCCGCTTCCATCATCCAAAGACGCTCCACTTCCGCCATTGGCGGAAATACCCATAGTCACCATATCCGCAGATATATTGGAGTGACTCCCAGGGTTCCCAGACGTGGGTATTTTCCTCTTTTTTTTATTGTTCGTATTCTCAAAGGCATCATAACCATCAAGCCCAGATGCAGTTTTGGTCGGAATGTCTTCCAAATGCTTTACGAATTTCTGACGAGTCTCACCAGTAGGGGAGAGGGACGATCGATGAAATCCCCCGCTCCGACGAACAACCACAGGACCGTCTTCATCACCACTGTCTCCACCATCATCGTACGGGTGACGATGGTCACCTTCAGGACTGTGTTCGTGTCCATAGTTGTTCTGTTGCACGTAAACCTTGGCATCATTTACGACATCGCCATTCCCAGCGTAGGAACCGTAGAAGACCTGAGTTGCAGGCGGGGTGGGCGGGGCGGGAGGGTATAGTATAGATTCCGCCGCCTCGGGAGATAGGCGCGAGCGTATAGGACGTTTCGGCAGGGGGCGGATTAAACGTTCTGGGAAAACGGGTGATGGAGTGTCAGGAGCGGAAGTAAAGGTCCCGCCTACGTGATGACCGCATCAGCATCCAGAGATCATATAAATATTTTAGGAGTAAGCGGATATCATCTGTGGTTTCCACGACATATTCCCTAGGCCAAGGGTGATTTTGGGAACTTGTTCGTCTTTCGTAATAATTTTCTTTCTTCTTCTTCTTTTCTTTTATTTTGTGTGTTCTTTATTTTATTTGTTTTCTTTATATTATTTTTTAATTATTAAATTTTCTTTTCTTTTCTTTTTCTTGTCTCTCCTTCCCACCGAACGAGAGCAGACAAGCTGGACCATCGAAATATTCGGGATATGGTGGGTCAACCACAGTGGAGGTGACATACTCAGCGTAGCAGCCATTTTCCAACTTTGTTAGATCCTATTGCTAGTGCAGACAAGATATCCAGGTTTGCTTGTTGAAAGACGACGATTCTCAAAAAGTATGCCTCGGGGAGACGGTTATAGGTGGAGGGGAGGGATGTGGTTGATAGGGGAACCAAAATATCGAGCCTGATAGAGCAATGCAATTAGCAGGATGAATCGTGTGGCAGGATATTTCGGGATCTCAACAGACCAGTCTCGTTGGACCGTAGATGTGGATATATCCAACTCGGCAAGACTGTAATAATAGCAAAATCCACGATTGCCGGGTGAGGGTTCAGGGTGGGACTTACACAGGAAGATGGGGATGACAAATACAGACGAGGGTGTCAACTGCCCACAGGCTGACTGGGCAGAAAGGGAGGGATATAAATAGATAATTCCAAGTGGCTGGCTGCAACAAGCCAGATAGACGATAACACAGAATGTCGACAGGAAGCAGCGCCAAGACAATTCAGTAGAATCGGGATGGCAATGGAAGAAGCGAGAGAGAGAGCGGAAGAAGAAGAGGAAGAAGAGAAAGAAGCAGACGAGGATATGGTCTGTGGTCTGTGGATGTGGATGTGGATGTTGGATGTGGAGGATGTGGATGTGGGTGTGGATGTTGGTTTGTGGTTGTCCGAGATGTGCCTCAGGCACGGGCATTCCAGTCTTTGAGCTTTCTCGGGGGCTTCCATGGAAGAACTGCCGCGCTAGGCCGCTTTGGGAAACGGGGCATCGGCCCGGGAACCTTCCATTGGGAACCTTTGGGGGAAAAGGGGGGATATAAGAACAAGAAGACATAAAAAAAAGTATGATAGGGAATAATGATGGGAGTAGGTGGAACTCTTTTTTTGTAGAAGGATGGGAAAATACCGTCCGCTGCTCTTGATTTTGCTCGTTGAGCTTTGCGGATAAGTTACATCGACAGCGATATCATAATTAGTGCTGGCTACCTGCAATTATGACCCCCAAGGCAAATTTTATTTGTCATGGAACGGCCGTGGCAAATCTTCCCTTTCCCCGATTTCACACGAATTATTAAGTATCTTCCTTCCTACAATGTTCTGCCGAATTCTCCATGTCGGAGAGACAGCAACTACAAACTAACCACGAACCACGCCGATGAGGGAGATACCTGCACATCGCCAGCACCGTTGCCCGCTGGACAAACATCGGACTGCCACCTGGAGAATATCCATTTCCTCCCAGTTTGAATAGCCAAAAGCCACTTAGCCAGAGACAACTTCTAACGACGGGGACGTCCGTGTAGCTGTGTGCCAGTATCTTGACCGTGAAAAGAAGAAGAAAGAAGAAGAAAGAAGAAGAAAGAAGAAGAGAGAAGAAAGAATAAAGGCATCTCCATTTTCATTCTTCCATCTGGTTGAATGAGACGAGACGGCCTTGGTAATTGGAACGATGTGGCTTCCTCCCCCCTCCTTTTCACTTACTGCTCCTCCGTATTAACCACAAAACAAGTCACTTGAAGCCATATATCAGTTCCATCACACCCGCCGTGTGACATTTTCAAGTTCCCTATGAATATTCCAGTTATGCCCGCCCTCGGTGCTGATCTGTTATTCTCAGTTCGTACCGTACAATTGATACAGATACAGGAGGAATGGAAATCGGTTTGACTGCTTGGGTCTCGAGTTACCAGCCTCCTTGGGAGGAGTGGCTAAAGCGTTCAGACCTAGTCGAGTGCTGTAGGTATGATGATACGCGGTGATGTTTGACTCGGGACTTCGGGGTAAATGTGATTTAGGCAGGAAACTGAATCTATGTAAATATATGATGTCAGTCAGGAACTGAGTAAGCGGATCGGAGTGACTGTATCAAGATCTCACCTCTCTTGTGATATCATATCCATATTAATTCAAGCATCGATGCTATTTCCCCTCTGTATCAGATCATTCTGCCAGAGATTTACCCAATTGCCCGCAGGTCGGCGCACAGAACGAGGGGGACAGACTATCAATGCCAGGAGTTGTCTGGGAGCATTCCTATACAGACACAGTCATTGATGGGAGGAGTGTCATGCATATTCAATTTCCTGAAGGTGGTGTCGTTATATGGGTAACTAGCCGTGAGCCGTGGGAGAAATGGAAAAACCTATTTACTAGTCCAGCTGCGGCTTGTGGCGTGGCCATTGCATGCACAAGTGTTTGGTTCAGCGTAGAATGATACCACAGCGCAACATTCGCTGTTGACCTGAGTTGAGTTGACTTGACTTGAAGCTAAAAGAAAGGAAAAGAAAAGAAATGCGCGGGGAAGACGGGAACAGCCAACCCGACATGTTAGCTTGGTGGAATGTTCATAGTTCAGTATTAGTTTTCTACGGAGCAGAAGTTTAGAAAGTTAACTGGTTAACTAGCGAACCCCAAGTCAGTGCCTTATGTAAGGTCTTTGTCTCCTCGCCCGCCGCTCGCTCACTCTCTTTGCAAAACTCGTCTACTGCAACATCCCCCTCCTCTGTACCTCTTTTCCAGAGCATGTACCTGTTCATTCAGCTTGTCATCTGTGGCTGTTTCTGGAGGTTTTGCTCTTTGTTCAACTCGTTCAAACTTCTTCCAATTGTCAGTCCACACACACACCAACCACGAAGCCCACCACTGCCGCCGCCCTTTTGCCCTCGACGCAAATTCCGCTCCGAAAACAGCTGCTCACTCCTCGACAATCAATCATTCTACTTCATTTCTAAATCAAAAATCCTCATCGAGGATCCTTCTGGCATCTCTATGACTTGCTAGAAAGCCGGGTTTGGAAGTTGTAGCAGGAGAATAGCCCAGCCCCCGCTCCCCCCCGTTCCAGTCATGACGCCTCGTCGCTCGTTCCGCGCTCGAACAACACAACCATCCGCCGCAATGCAGCATACAAATTCATCCAGCTCCTCAAATTCCTTCAGCCGTGCTGAAAGAAGCACCCGCTCAAATAACAAAATTCCCTCTCCACACATCTCTGCTAACTGCTCGCAGTCTATGGATGACGTCGAGCAAAATTCTCGACCCGACCTCCCGCTAACGCGCCATCGCCAACGAGGCCGCAATAACAGTGAACAAGGCAATGCGCTTCATGCTCCTGGCGCTGAGGAATACGACGATGAAGAAGGTGATGACGAAGAAATTACCAGATGTCTGTGTGGTCAGCAGGATTACCCCGGCCTTCCTCTCATCTACCAGGATGGAGGAAGTTCCGGTGCCACGAAACTGGGCATGAAGGATGACTTGGCCCCGGGTGCCTCGGCCTCTGCTGCTGAGGATATGCAGTCTGAGGAACCGGGGAGCTTGTTCATCCAATGCGACTCGTGTAAAGTCTGGCAGCATGGAGGTTGTGTTGGGATTATGGAGGAGGCCTCCAGTCCTGATGAATACTTTTGTGAAATGTGTCGGAAGGATTTGCACAAGATCATTGTAGCATCCAATGGGTGAGTGATAACTTTGTCATTCCCCATCACCTGAGTACTATTTACATTGTGAATGCCATCTTGGTCACTACCTGCCTGGCGATTGATGGGTTTGTGAATGTTCATCTGCTGGAATGGTTCAAGGGCGTCCCTCCAGACTCTTATGATGATGTTTCTCTCCTCAACTCCACAAACACGTATAAGCCTTCTACATTTTTATCTTCCTTCACCATAGCATAGCAGATACTTGCCTTTGTCCCCGTGTCATTCTCTACAGTTAAGATGTGGGCGTTACGCTTACGGTCGCGCAGTCAGAAATCTTCTCGCTACCTTCCCGTGGTCGGATCGTCGTCGGGATCCTCCTCTCGTTCCTCCTCCCTCGATAGCTCCAGAAACCTGAAAGATAAAAAGGGTCGCGGCAGCTCAGGGCCCCTCAGCACCAAACGACGCTCAACCATGAATAGCCGCGATGCGGCCTACGACGAAGAACAGTTGCGACGCGCGATTGAGGAGAGCAAGGAAGACTCCAAATCAGTGGCTGATGACCTTGGAAGCCGTAGAGGCAAACGGAGCCGTAGTGATAGCGAAGCGTATGTTGGCTCTCCCTGCGCGTTGGGACTTGCTGGCCTGTCTGACGGCTAGAGCAGCTACTAACTAACTCCCTGCGCTCACAAACAGGAATAAACAAACTGCTAAACGACAGCGTACTGGATCGCTCTCCTCTTCTCTTTCGAAACACAGCAACTCCCTATCACATCCACTGTCCGATGAGGAAAGCAAACCCAATAATGTCCCCGAGGGAAATGGCTCGAAGAAGACCAGAGGCGTGGTTCGAAACCAGCGCGAGAGAGAAGCTCAAGCCGCAGAGAAGGAGTTAGAGAAAGAGACGAATGAACCTATCAATAGACGCAAAAGCCGATCAGAACGCCGGAAAGACCGTGAGTGCCAATGCCACTAGTCATACAGTAGCAAAATCGGTTTGAACAGAAGGAGCAGACCAGGCTAACAGATCCAAATAGCAGACGAGGAGCCCACCGAGACAGCTTCACCTACAAAAACCATCGTAAATCCTCCCATCATCACCCAATCCGCTCCCGACACTCCCAGCATAACAAACGAACCCTCAAATACTAAGCCCGCCACGCGCAAAACCGGACGACCAGCCGCCCGTCGCGGCCGTCTAGGTCGAAACCAATACACCCGAGACCGCGACTCAGTAAACGGCAACGACATGAGTAACAACATCAACTCCCCCCGTCGCGGACAATCTCGAGACACGGGCAACGGCGATTCACCTACAAGAGGCCATCTAGGCGCAAACGGCATCTATCTTAACGGCGGGGAGTCTGGGAAACCGAGCAAACCTCGCTACATGAATCCGCAACGCACGACTATGAATGATATGAAGAGGCGGGTTGCTGCTATTCTTGAGTTTATTTCTCAGTTGCAGGTTGAAATGGCTTCGAGCGCGATGCAGACTCCCCTGAGTGGAGCAGGATCGGCAACGAAGGAGACGGGGGACCAGGGAGTCAATGGCGAGCAGACCACTGGCAGTGACGAAAATACAGAGGCAAATGGAACAAGCCCGCCGGCCAAGGAGAAGGATTTTAAGGATCTGACAAGTGTTGAGATGATGGATGTCTTGACGCGGGGTCTGCTGAAATGGCAACAGGAGTTTGGGAAGTATGGGGAGAAGTGAGGCATGTAGGGATTGATTGCAGTTCGGTTTGGGAACTTGCCGCTCTTCTACCACACCTACATGCCCTTCGTCAAATATATATATCCCCACGACGTTTTTCTCTGGCTCTGATACTTAACGGATTTTGAATCCACCCTGCGGAATTATTATATGAACCCTAACGAATGGAACAAATCGAATTCATCCGATTTTCCTCATATGTCGCGATGCCAGCGCCCCTCTGTACGATATAGCCATGTGCCTCGCGGGTCCCAATTTATTAATATTCACATGAATAAGTGGCTACCTGAGCCCTGTTAGCTCCCTCATCTTTCATTAACTTCCTTTCCCGATGACAGAAACGCCTTGCCGTTCATGTTCCCCAGCTTTGATTACGATACCCCGACGACACGATTCACAGGTTCTCTGCTCTGCTATATTCGAACCATTGTAAACGGCGCCTGGACCTACTCCGGAATGACTCTTCAAGGGCCTGCAGGAGCATTTGTGTTTTATATCTCTCCTTCAATTTTGTTATGGATCCCGTTCCGTTTCCTACGCACCAAGCTGCCCTCCTGTCCCCTGCCTCCCATCTCTTTCCATTCACCATACTCCATCACAGTTCTCCAATACACCATATAATTGATGCATTATCGACTTATAATATCATATTTATTAGGAATCAGTGGTGCTGGTGCCTCTGAACAGCGAGGATACGAACTGCATATCCCATTATTATACCTTTGAGATCTTTCATGCACGTTTTTTTATAAAGTTTTATTTTACCCTTCGTTTTTGCTATTCGTCCTGTTCATGACTGTTTACCTTGTTTCGTGAATTTCCACGTAACGAAATTGCTGGGGCGCAGGTAGGGATTGGAGGCGGGTGACTATGGATGGTGCTTTGATTTTCAATTCTTGGGATGTTTTGTTTACCCTCCTCTTCTTATTCTCCTCCTTCCTTCGTTTTGTATTTCGTTTTATATGTTTAAGCCTTTCAATTGCACTGGGACAGGAAATGGGACTGTGGGTAATGGTGTCATGGTTCTATTTCTTCTCCAGTCCATTGTCAACTTTTTATATGTTTTCATTCTTGTTATTTTTGATGATGTTGTTTAATGTTTATTTTCTCCTTACTTGTTGGCTGATATATAATGTTTTTGCGATACCTCCCCGCCTTCTTTTCTTCGACATTCCCCTTCTTTTCCCCATCCCTTCACTACTATCAAATCTCTCCCCACCCAACTCTCCTCTGCCCCCCTCCCACCTCGCCTTTGCTCTTAATGTGTACTTCGTATGTGATGATACTCTCTTGTGTGAAGGGCATGTGTTCTATACTACTTCCACGTCTTTGCCCTTTCTGCTTCTCCGTGGAAACCGATTTGAGAAATCCTGTGTTTTAGTAGCAGTTCAATATACCATATGAAGAACATATATATCCTTCGTATATATTTTATCAAACCTACCTATCTCAAACAGTTATAGATAGCCTAGTGTGGATATTCAATATAATAGCAACTCTCATGTTTTCTTAAAAAATTACTTATAGGCGGTTTAAATTTTAGGCGCCACACGCAGAACATGAAGTGTAAAATAGAGATCGGTTGAATAAGTGAAGATTCCCAAATAAACAAAAGGGAAGGAAACAAATCAAGAGATGAGGTTAATGGGGAAAAAGTACGAAAAAGTTTTTGAAGAGAAATAATAAAGAAAGTGCTGTGTAGAGCTGCAAAATCTTGATGCTCACGGGAAGAGATGCCGGCGAGGTCTGGAAAAGCAGGGAGTGAAATGAAAGCGAAGATATTAGCGAAAAGAGGAATAGCTGAGGTATCCAACACAGAGTGAGAAATCCCACAGACGGAGAGCAGAGTGTAGAGGGAGTGAAATCGCAAGCAAGCCTTAGAAAGAACACTCGTAGGGCCGCAGGGGACCTGAAAGGCTGGTTGTTTTGGACCTTTGTCCATTATTGCATCAAATTCGAAATCTCCCACCCTGACGCGGATGCCCACAAGCCAGTTATCCGACTCCTTCAATTTCGCTTGACGACATGAGTTGTTTTATATCGGGTCCGATGTCTGTTAAACCAATTTCTGGACTTGGATCGACACACGAATAAAAAGTAAGACGGGACGGGATAATGACATGGCCAGGATCTCAATCTCTTTTGGCTTGTGATGTTGTTGTAAATTTCGTCCCAAGGGTTGTTTCCACCCTGTGTTTGAAGGTTGGCATGATATTAAAAATGCAGCGAGTCCGCTAGGATCTCGGACTAGGATCGGAGGAACCTCTTAGTTAGCCATGATTCACACCTTAGAGTCCGGAAAACTGTTGAAAAGATGTTGTAACCTTGGATGGGTATCGTGATGGATATATCTGATATCGTCTGCGTATGGTGGTTTGGGACTTCAGCCACTATTGCGGTCACTAGAGCCATGAATGAGATAGCCACGGTTGGCTCTGCTAAGTCAGACAGGACTTTTGATTTCCTTTCCGATTTTGGCCATTTACTGGGGGAGTGTTTATCCAGCCGGTCTGGATAAGATGTAGAGGTTTTTTTTATGGTTTGTATTGCAAGGGGGTCGAAGATCTATAACTCGATATCAGGTAGATAGGAGAGTAGAGTTGTAGAAGAAATATGATAGATAGATAGGGAGAGGGTGCGCTTGACACGATATTATATATTCCATCCTCTTGCCCTCCAACACAGAGCGAGAGTTTTCATGTTAAACAGTGCGTATATGAAGGACTTCATAGCACTTATGCTCTATGCAGTTAACCACAAGGTGGAAGATCTCACTATCTGACATTGAGACATAAGGGAAACCAGCATGGGACCGTGGTGCTTCCCTGATTTCGAGGGAAATGTATCAAGCTTTTAGCAGTTTGGCGAAGTATCAAAAGTGCAGTTTGTCTTTCTTGGCTTTCTGACAGCAAATATTCAATCAGTGATAACGTATATTTGTCTCGCAAAGTTTCTTTTGATCAGCGTCACTCGTTGTGAATGTAGGGTAGCTATCTCCTCCACTCTGCTGTCGAGATAAGGTCTTGGTTCAACCATGCTTCCAATTTGATATTAAAGTATTCTCTCATCCCTGAGTTGCCCGCGGTTAAGCTTTGAGGTCAAGGATCTCATTCTAATAGTGGGGGATTTCCCATATCTTTCCAGTTTCCATTGTTTTGTTCTCGTTGCATACGCAATTCAACTGTTGGAATGACGTTGGAAGGTCTCGCAGTTGGGCCACGTAAATAATCGACAGACCTGCTTCTGAAAGGAGCCCAATAAGATATTGGGACCGAGGGTCAACTTCTTCTGATTCCCGGATATTCTCCATGCGCCTCACATTCCACATTCATAATGTGCGCCAATTTTGACGAACAGAGAGAGCAGAGAAAGCAAAGAAAGAAATCTTTCTCCTCTACTTTCGGTAATTAGCTCTTCTGGTGCGACTTTGTTCCAAATAAAGTTAGTAAAGCCATCACTTAAAGAAGAAAGAAGTGAAGTGAAAATTCTGTATGAAAATACAGTTGGGCATTTAGAGACCCAACCGAAAATAAGAATGTAAAGCCTCAAATGAGATGAAAGCTCAACTTAAGACATGGAAGCGGACTACATACCAATGTCCAGCACCCCTACTCAAACATGAAGGGCACTGCAACCAACTACAAAGCCTCTTACATAAACGTAGATGGAGAAGAAAACAATGTAGAGCAGGCAACATAAAATTGATTCTTCAATTACGACGTACTCAAGGGGGTGTTTAGGCAGATACAAGACGGGGGAAAAGTTGCGAAAAGCCGGTCACATGATCATCCACAAAACATAAACCTAAAAAGGGGGGAAAAAATGATTATTTGTTCATCAATTCCAAAATAGCAAACAAAAATATACCCTTGACTTCACGATTTGCCATTCCTCAAATTTTGTTTTCATAGTTGGTCACTGAAAATTAAAATAAAAGGGTTCAGAAATTGCTCTAAATGTGCTGCGGGTTCATCGAAACATGAAATTCTCGCCTGACGATTCGGTAGTTAGCAGCTGGGAGCTTGCAGACACAAAGCTAGACACTCTGAGGGGTGCAAGGGAGATAAGTAACTAACCAATTGTTCATCTACAGACGGGATCCGTGGATAACCTTGTAGTCAACAACCAGCTCACGGCCACCATCATTGATGACGAGAGCGCGGATGCTTCCACGGCCATCACTGAAGGCATCGCTGATACGGTTGAACAGATTGCCCTGGTCAACGACGGGAAGACCTTGCTTGACATCACCAGTTTCGGTCATGGCAACAATACGGCCATCCTCGCGGATGTCCAGAATGCGGTAGGTCTTGTAGACAGGGCCCAGCATGCTCTGGACAACGACGGAGGAAGAGGGGTGAGAGATGAAGCTAGACTCCTCATGAAGCTGGCGGGTGAAAAGGTCGACACCAAGGTAACGGTGCTGGTCAGTCTGTGGAGAGACGGAGATGCGAATGACCTGACATGGGCGGCCCTGGAGGATCAACAGATCACCAACGCGTATAAAGTGGCATGGGATGGTGATGGTGTCGGGTAGATGACCACCACGAGGCTGCACGACTCTCACAGACTCGCGGACGCCATCGCGGACACGGGTGGGGCCACGCTCGTCGCTAATGACGACCTCTTCCTTTCTGTCGTGGTGATGGTGGAGAGGATGGAGGATGCGGTCAGCAGCGCGCTCAACGCCGCGGCGGAAGGAATGGTAGTGGCCTTCGTCGTCGTAGTAACCCATTTTGCGAGGAGAAGATTGTTCGATAACGATGCGTCGATTCGCGTTGACGTCTCTGGAAGCTCTTTCGCTGCCTTGGTCTGCGTAATCGACTTCACTGACGTGGCTGGGGGCTCCGGCAGTGTCGATCTGCTGGAACTGGTTGTTGTACGAAACGTCGATGTCACGGACCTGGTTTGGCGGGTTGATGTATTCGACTTGATAGTTGGGATCGGTGCGTTGACGGTATTCACGTTCAGTAATATCAAGCTGAGTTTCCCAGGCTTTTCGGTCTTGATTGCCGTAGTGTCTGATCGAATTGATTAGCAACGAAGATTTATTGCAACAGGGGTTTCGACTTCTTACCGTTCTCTTGTAAGTTCTACTTCAGGATAACGAGATCGGGGGAACTCGTCGTGTTGACGGCGATCAGAGTGAATATGAACGTCAACCTCTTGATGGCTATGAGACGGGAATGGGCCTTCGTATGCAGTATCTTCCCGTCCGACGCGCGAAGCACCTGTTAACTTGACCTCTCCCTCTACTCTCGTATGAGTAGTCTCAGAGACAGCGTCACTCCGGTACGACGACGGGAAGACACTGAAGGGAATGGGGACGCGAGCGTCAAAGTCCAGATTGACTGTGCTAATGTGTCCTTTCTCGAATGCCTTTCGAAGTGTTAAAGAACAATTCGAAAGACGAGACAAGAAAATGACAGCTGCTGTCTCTTAGGAGTGGTGAAATAGAGGGATAAGGTTGTTGATGGAATATGAATGTCTGAGGATGAAGAGGAGGAGGAAGAGAGGAAGAGGAAGAAGAGGAACGAGCCGGGAGGGGGGCAAGCGAAGTTATTTGTTGGCTAAAGTTCCTGGAGGACGAGGCTGGAGGCTGGTTGTGTGCAGCTGGCTGTGATTGGCTTCATCCGCTGCCCTGTCGACGTTGTGCTCCAGTGCTGCTGGTCGTTTGTTTATGTTTATCCAGATGCGGTAAGCCTGTAATCCACAAATTGGCTTAGCGTGTGGCAGTTTTGTCGTTTGCGATCAAAATATGTCAAAGGTTCATCGCCTCGGCCCGGTCCCATAAAGTGCAACCCAATCCTTTCCCCAGAGAAAAAAGACCCACACAGAGTTCTTTTCATCTCTGGCTCAAATCATCCAGAATCCATTGTGGATGGGCAATGTTCAATCCTCGGCCCAGTGTGGATGGAAATTCGTGCCCATTCTCTCCGCCTATTGATCCAGCTGTGCTCCGTAGCCCGTATACCGGATAATTGGCCCTGGCCCTGGCCCAGCCCAGCCACTGGAGTTATTTTATCAGGCATCGTCGTTTGACTAGGCTGGTCGCTTGTTGTGCCCGCTCAAAACTGTCAGCATGAAAATTCCTGTGGCCGGTCGACTGGCTTACTGATCCCCACACCAAGCCAGGTCTACAGTTTTATCACACTGAAGCAAGGTAGGTCCCTTTTTCTCTCCTCTGTTCTCCTTTCCTTCAATCGATGATATGTCTCTTTAGCTACCCATCTTTCAATCTCCTCTGAGCTCCACGAATTTCCAAAGATCTCTCGTTTCTTAACCTCGGGTTATTCGGTACCAACCGCCTCGAAAGATTGGCGCAATTCTCCGCTCAGTTGCTACGTCAACCGCCCTAGTAGTTTTTGCACTGGCCAGACTCCTTGTTCTAAGTTTCAGTCAACACGCCAAAAAAAAAAAAAAAAGGCGGAGACATCTATTTGACACTAGGTGGGTCCTTGGTGGGTTCCAGGAGGAACTTGTTATGAGGGCTCGTCATTGGCTCAGAACCATCTTGGTCTAGCGGCTTGCTGCATTATCGGCTCGATTTGGTGAAGTTGAATGTGCGCGCCACCACTGGCGCGCTGCTGACATCACCTTTTGATAACGAAAACTAGCAACAGTGTCAAAACACAGACTTTTCTTTTTAAAACTTGAAAGAGAGTGTGGATATCCAAGTAAAGTATTTCCGTGGAGCCGGAACACCCATAACTATAAGTTATGGATTCTGTGGTTAGATCAGCAACCTCGGAATTGCGTCAACGGAAGTCATTCAGAACCAGCAACCAGCAAAGCAATGAACACATGTAATTTTGAATGCCGAAACACGATGCTAAAATAAAAATTAGGATTAACGCTCATCAAGAGCTATGGAACGGAGAGCCAAAGAGACAAGCAAGGATGGTGTCCATCGGCAGCGCGAGATGCGTAAACGTATAATTTCGTATTTCAAAGCGCAAATTCTTCATATATTGACCTTCCGCCCCATCCGTCCAAGCAAGAGAAACAACAAAGCCAAATTAATATTCCGAGCTAATACAAATCCAGAAAAGTAAGAAAGGGGGGGGGGGGGGGGAGGGTATGGAAGATATCGCTTTTTTAAAGAACAAGAATATATTGGTATCCTTCACAAGAAAACAAAATGGTATCAAACAACTTAATCCAATGAAGAAAAGAGAAACGAAGAGGATAGAAGTAGATAAGAAAAATTATTTAGGAAGATTAGAAGGGTGGCATTTTCATAATGAAAAAGATTTTAATATATCGTAAGGAAATATCATGCCTTGTAAGCTGAGCAGCAGAGCGAAAACCAGGGTACAGCCAGAATGAATATGCTTTCCTTTTTACGTTCTCTCTCTCTCTCTCTTTTATTTTTTTATTTTTATTTATTTTTTTTTTTTCACTTGCTCATTCCCAGCGCTTTTCTGAGAAGTAAGAGCTTTTTCTTCTTCTTCTCACCCGAGCCAAGAACTGACGAGCTTACATCTGATTGTATCGAAGAACTGGGGAGTTTCTGGCCGACAGTGCTGTCCGTTCCCCGACGTGTTTGCATCCGTGGACGGAAACATGATGCCCAGTTAGAAGACTCAGTTGATCCATGTGTTGATCCAATGACTGCTCCAGCAATTGAAGCGCTGCAATTGATGCTCCCGTTCCTTTTCGCCATGCCATCGGAGGTATATGGCCGTTCTTGGTCAGGCTTGCTGTTTTCAGGAATATGTGGAGGAGCGGAAGCACCTACTGGTACGGTGTTGCTTCCGTGATGAGATCGAAATGGCCATGAACTGGATTCCAGGATATCAGAGGATTTTTGGATGTCGGTTTGCTTTTCGGTTGTAGCTTCAGCATATCTTTCAGATGTGCCTGTTGCAAAACCGGATTGGGGAGGTTTGTCGCCGCCGTGGTTCGTGGTCGTTGAGCTTCTATTCCGTCGGAGTTCCATGGGTGAACGCTCCAGCGGAGTATCACGCCTTGCCGCACTATCGAGTTCGGACTTTCGGATTCTATTATCACCCCCGCTTTTATGAACTGAGATACTTAGTCTACTAAAAATACCCCGTTGCCTTTTCGGAAGCTGGGAGAAAAGCCCCCCAGGCCCTTTGGGCACATCATCAGTTGACCGGTTGGTAGCGTCTGCGGTTGTAGCGCCGTCCGCATTAGCCTCAGACGCAGATACTGGTTTAGTTATCGGGGTGCTTCGAATTATTGACGGATGTTGGGAGCAAGGTCGTCTCAAGACCTTTTGAGGAATCTCATTGTCCGAGCTATCGTCGAGATCCGTAGAATCTCCATCAACCTTACCCCTTAGTTTAGGGATACCGCGAACTGGACTGAATTTCATAGGGACTACCTCATCGTCGCTCGAGTCGTCATAACGGCTACGGAATGAATATCTCAAGCCGACCTCGTCATCGCTCGGATGACCAAAGCGAGACTTCAGCTTCTTCCCTGCTTGGGGGCTCAATCCAGTTGCGGTACCCTTGACTTTCGAGTGTTTTCCAAAGCCAGAAAACGACGATGCTTTCGTATGGAACCCGCTTCTTGGGTCACGTAACGTTTTTCGCATTTGGGCGTTGCGATCCGAAGAAAACGAACTCCCCTGGTCAGGAGGCGTCGTTGATCGTCGTCCAACAGCAGCAGGATACCTGCCCAACGATTGTGGCCTGTTGTCAGTGTTTCTCATCGTGCGTCTCAAAAAATAATGCGTAGTGCTCTGTGGCGGACTCTTGGCGCCCTTGAAGCTGCTGGAGGAATCGCTATCATATGCGTGAGCTTGAGTATGATGTTTTGAGGTGAATCCAAAATCCCAATTTTCCTCTACACCAGATGGATGAACATGGCCATTTATATAGAGTTTGTTTGCAGAAGGACCTTTAGGTGTCCGAGTAGAGGTCTCCTGTTTGCGGTAGGTTGTCGGACCTTCTGGATTTTCTTTAGGGGGTCGTAATTTTGTCCCCTTTTGCTTGCTGGTAACATAGTTACTCTCCTCTGAAGTATGGGTGTGTTGCCCATTGCATGTGATGTGATCCAATCGTGATTGTGCCGGTTTCGAGTTTAATGACGAGGCGGTCGTACCAGCAAAAGCTGCCCAAACGGGTTCCTGACTGGGAGAGAGCATCCGCTGGCTTTCAGGATTGCGCAGGTCATTACTACCTTCTATTTCCCTCGTATTTCCACTGGAGACTGTCAAATTCGAAGCCTCCTCCTTGACAACTGGTAAAGGGGAGCTTATATTTACGGTTCCTGAAGAAGAAGAATTGCGGGGATCAGCGTGTTGTAGGGGCAACTCTGGTGGCCTCTTTTTATCCGTCTTCGAACGAGCAGGGCTGTCGGGCGGGGTAGCATGAGAATGGCTGGAAACATGAGAGATGGGACTATCAACGATTGCATCTATGGAGCCGAAAACATCGCCTTCAATCTCTGCCAAATTTTCAGCGGCATCACTATAAACACTCTCGCCGGAATCGTCAGATTCATCATCATCATCATCATCATCCACGGATTGAATTGAAAATGTGTTGGAAGAAGTGCCAGAGTCTGGGTTAACGGGGCGTTGTTGCGTATCGTCCATGGGTTGATCAGGTGTTTCGTCTTCCCCTGGAGGTGATGAGGGAGGAAACTCTCCCGGTATCCTCCCCCACTCGTTGCTACTCTTTTCATCGGTAGGAGCAGCTGGTGTAGCTAGCTGAACTGAAATGACGGGAACGTTTTCGCTCTGGCTAGGGTTTCCAACAGTGTCAAGCTGAGTCTCCTTAGGATTGCTGGGGCGTGGCTGTGCCTCCACAGTAGCTAAACCAGAAAGGTCATCACCTTGCGAAGCAGATTCGTCAAGATTCGTCAAATCATCACTAGATGAGCTATGTTCAGATATGGAATCATAACCTGTCCCTTCAACTGATGTGACCTCGGGGGGTATTGGATCACCAGGAGTAAGAGAGATAGTGTCGTGGGGACGGGTATGTTTGCTCTGACTCTGGTTTAGCATTCCACGAAATCCACTCTCACTAGAACCCGGGAGTGTGCTCGGAGGAGGAAAGCCATGGAGCTGTCGCTCATCATGATCCTCGACTTGGAACCTTCTTCTTCCCCTCACGCTGTCAAACGAAGGGAGCGGCGGCCGAGGTTTCATGACTTCATCGAACACGTCCTCACCATCCCCATTATTCACATAAAGGCGGTTACCGTTCTTTATGAAGCGTGCATATTTTGATCCCAGCTTCCACTGGGGGCTTGCGGAAAAGTGTAGCTCTGGAGATATTGGCGGCGTGGCAGCTGTCCCCACTACCTCGGGTTCATCTTCGAAGCTGACTCTAGGGACTCTATTTTTGACCTCCGCCCTTCGACCATCATCGGATTGTGTCGAAGCACCATCTGAAGAATCACTGAGTGCCCTAGTTGACTTGGATTGATTGATCGCATGGCCGCCCGGACTTGTTGGAGAACTTGGATGTTTTAACGCTGATTTTGCATGGGACATAGAGCGTGGAGGTGGGTCGTGGAGCTTCTCCCCTGTAATCGGAACAGTAAGGTGGGAGGAGAAGCGTGTGATGCGGTTGGGGCTAAGTGAATGGAGTCTTTCACCGTTAGGAATTGGGACACTGGAGCTCACGATGTCATGCGAGATGTTCTGCAATGGCGTCGTTGAAGGACTATATTGTACAGTGCTAATACCTGGTGATAGCGATGTATTGATCGCGGGCAAAGCTGACAAAAGCCCCTTGTCGCCATTGTTACCAACTATAGAACGATCAAGCGCTTGCTTTTTGGGTAACTCTGCGTTTTTCGTAGATGTATCCAGATCACACCCTCTGGGGTCATCTACTACTATATGGTTTATCTCAGTGCCTTCTTCCACCATTTGAAGTTCTCGATCTTCATTCTGTGCAAGGGTTCGCACTTTCAGGAGGGCTAATTTGGGTGAAGGATGACGATCTGGATCGGCTCCATCCAATTGTGAACTTAAGTCCGTAGGATGAGGTTGCTGTGTCAGATCAATATCTTGTTCTTGAGGAGAATCGACCGTCTCCCTTTCAGCAATCGCATAGGCAGATCCACTCAAAGGCGACTTCCATTCCGATTCGCCACATAGAGTATCACCCGTCAGCAGATCTCTATAAGATTGAATTTCCTTCGCATCCATTAGAGCAGGAGGTGTAATTTCGGATGTTCGAGGAACGTTGTGGTTTTGAACAGGCCTCTCCTCTGGATATCTTCCAACATCAGGGCTTGGAGATTTCGCGACAAACATTTTTGTCGGCGATTGCAGTGGAGAGTTAGGGCGCGCATGTGTTGGATAGGAAAAGTTAATCGAGCTCCTGCTGCCTTTCCGTTCCAGTTCCGGAAGACTATTTAAAGCTCGAGATGCTCGAGGGGAGCTACGGTTAGGTGAGATTGGCGACCATCTGGGGCTTGTTCCGCCGCCTTGGCCTGTTCTATCAGGAGGATGGATCGCTCTATAGAAAGTATCCAGGCTGACGGTTCGTCGATGCGGTGTGTGGTGCTCAGGGAGTGGCGGCACAGGGGTTATCTCTATCGAGGAAGATCCAGTGACGGAAGCCGCACGAGCGGGGGGTTGCTCTCGAAAAGTTCGGGTTGTCATCGAACCAAAACTACTTACCCGATGTATCCGTCCATTTTGAGAATGAGGGAGAGCCGCTTTTCCTTTTCCTTTCCCGCTACCTGTGGACAATTGCCTCTCTAGCATACGTTTCGTCTGGACGTTTTCAACGGAGGTAGGGGTAGGGGTATGTCTGCGAAGGGCTGTTGCCGCAGCGGCTGTAGATATGTTGGCATTGGCCTGGGAAGCTCTAAATGCCTGAACAGCGGCTGTTTGGGCGGAGGGAGACGGATTGGAATTTATGGGCTAAAGGCAATGCGACCCTTGCATCAGTAACCAGGTAGGTTCGCAGCAAAAAAGGGAAATAGATAGGAGGGTGGTTGGGAGGCTGTGGCCTGGTGTGGGACAGGCTCCCAAAGCTGTTCAATTCGGGACAGACATGTGGAGTAACTCACCGCATGCGCAGAGGCTCTTTTGCGACGGAACATAGTGTGAGGTTCACTAGCCAGGAGAGGTTACCGTCCATGGGAGGAATAGCTGCAGCGCATTCGAGATGTTAAAATGACTGTACAACGGAGCTTGGTTGAGAACAGAGGCACCTCGGGCAATATTTTCAGCTTGGACTTATTAGAGCTTCATGGAGAAATGACTTAATCGCAGGCAGTTTTGTTGGTTAGTTCGTTAACTAGTTTCTTTACTACCATCATCGTAGGGACCCACCGCGCTTCGTCTGGTCACCCAACAAAGGAACAAGAAACACTGCACCGGGCAGCTAAGAAATTGGAAGTGATACGATGGTTTGGAAAAGCAAAATTATTGTGAGGGTTCTTTGGTTGTGGCAGGAGATTGTAAAATAACTAGTCGTGAGTTGTCTAAATAAGCTGACGAGAGATGAGCGAAAAGAGAGATGGGAGGTTGGTGTCGTCACTTTTGGGATGGCCATGAATGACATCAATGGCCCGTAACTTACAGTTATATACAAAGAATTACAAATGTCTTAAAGATGGAAAAAATATTATGAATGACGAATGAAAAATGAAATTTGTTTGTCTACCCTCTCAAACATCATATTCAATGTTCCTGTAGAACGACAAAAAAAAGATAATGTAAATGAATAAAGTTGTGGAACCTCCTAACTCCTGCCAGATCACCTGATCGAGATGCGAAATCTTCCAGCTCCACATGATAGATACACAAAACTCTTCTTATCTCTTTATCCGTCTGAAATGCTTCTTCTCCCCAACTTCTAGGTTTCTGTTTTCCTACCTTGGAACTGGAACTGTCACCAAGGGCTTAATTCCCTGGGATCCTGAAATCCTTCTCGGAATGGCGCTACTTAGGGACAAAAACCGGTTTTTTATGGCACGAAAAATTATCTCGCCGGCCAGATGCAGAGTGAGTGCCTTAGGTATTTCAACCCATGGTGGGCCCTCCAGCCTCTTCCAAATCGGGGTTAGCGCAATATAGCTGGTCTTTTCAGCTGAAACCCGAAACTCCGCCGCTCGAATACATATCTTCATCCATGCTTTGACCTGTCTCCCTCTTAAAGAGCAGGGGGAGGAATTTCTATTCAACTCAGATTGTGCTCTGTTTGGTGATGTTGAAATCAATCAGCATAGACTCAGAAGTTCTCGTCCATACATGCGGAAAGGTTAAGAGCGGGCATCAACACTCTTAAATGTCAGCAGATTCTATCATGAATCTGATATGCATGGGACTCACAGATCCCAGAAGTGCTGAACATGATTTATAGCAGTAGATGTGGCATCAGCATATTTCTTGCCTCTGACCTGGAATTGATTCAATCTGACGGCATCTCTCGCGCGGTATTCATCTGGGGTGGGCTCCTTGTCTATCATCTTCCGGTCGCGTCGACACTCCATGGTGCGTCCGGAGGACTTCCAGTGGCATGTCCATCAGGAAAACATGCTATCCGTATAGCAGGAGGAAGCAGAGACTGTAAAGAGATGTAGTGACTAGTACAGAGAGATTGAAAATGAAGCCGTGTGAACAAGACGTGCGGAAAGAGTAGAGACAGTGTCGCTTGAGGGATGTGAAGCCCAGAGGAAGAGAAGCGCTCGCAAGGAGCGGAAGGTGTTGTATTTATGCCTTTTGAAGAGCAGAGAACTACCACCAACGAGGTTAAGTATAAGTAAGTCGTAGGACGTCGCGACGTTCGCTTGCTATGTGCGAGGGCCAATGAACTGAAAGCAAAGAGTATCGAATTTCCAGGAATCTCTCTCCCCATCCATGGATAAGTTAAATCATCGGTCTGGTACTGAGCGGAACCGGCCGGAAAATAAACATGGAACCTGACGTGACATAAAACGCAATAGGTGGGGTTACTTACGTAGCTACAGCATGATCCCCGAGGCTCACAGTGCCGTTGGTTTATGCCACAAGACTACGGTGGTAATACCAGAATTGGAATTCGGAACAGAAAGATATTCTGCATATTCCGCCCCAATCCTTTGAACCTCATTTTAAACATATTAGAGCGACGGATTGCGTTAGCTGAATCCAGCTGTCAAAACTGGGCCCTCCAAAAAAAAAAAAGAATAAAAGAAGTAATTTTAGATCCAACTACTCCGCCCACTCCCGCTCCCAAAAGGGGTCTCCTCAACGCAAATTGATTACCAGCCCAATAGGCTTATCCTTCCACATCCTCGAAGCCGGCTATACACCCGCCAGACCGGCCTTTAATTGTGCTTCTGCATGGCTTCCCCCAGCTGGCTTTTTTCATGGCGGAAAGTCATGCCATTACTAGCGGACACAGGCTATCATGTTGTTGCTCCTGATCAACGCGGCTATGGCCGTACAACAACAGGCTGGGATACCCGAGAATTCGCAGATGTTGACCTTGACAGCTTCTCCTGCATAAAACCTGATCCGCGACGTTCTCGTCCTTGTTCACGCCTTGGGATATCAAAAGTGTCAAGTGTCTGGTAGGACATGACTTTGGCGCAGTCTCAGCGAGCACGACCAGATATCTTCCAAAGGGTCGTTCCTGATTAGTCACCCGTTCAGAAAGGTCCCGAGTCTTCCAATATTCAACAATAAAATAGACCAGACCACCGAAACGGCCGACGGAAAACCACCCTCGTCCCCAAATATCCATACAGAGCTGGCATCGCTGGGCCGTAAGCACCACAAATGGTACTACTCAACCGAACCAGCAAATTCAGAATGACCAGCCCACCTTATGGCTTGGTTTCGCGGGCCACACGCATCCGTGACTTTGGCATCTTTTCCAGGAAGAAAATAGAGTGTCCAATCGCATTTTTCTCTGGACGCCAGGATTGGGGAACGTATCAGGAGCCTGGTGTCGTAGAAAGGATGGCGAGGAAGGAGGTCTGCACTTTCGAGGATTGACGATTGTGGATGGTGCGGGGCATTGGGTAATTTAATTAACCTTTAATCTTTTAACTCCCTTATATATTTAATTAATTACCCCAGGAGAAGTCGGAGCAGGTTGCCAAAGACATCTTGGAATTGATACGTAGTTCGGGATAAGAAATGCGCGAATCTTCGAGGTTCCGTTGGTGGTGGTGGTGACGTCGTGATGATGATGCTAGTTGCTAACTACGCAAGTTAGATGTCTTGAACTTCATATTTATCACAATGACATTCATGCAAATGGTTTTATCACGCTCCACCTTCCATAGAATGGTACCCGCTACCATCTCATATAATCGTGTGCCGGGCGTAGGTAAAGTTTTAGAAGTTGTGGCACTTTGCTCCATGGAGAAAGTGTACTGCCCATCCACGTTAATGCCAGACAATCTCTCAGCCTATGAGAAAAATTTCAATCATATTTGCTTTCTATGGAGTAGATAGGAATATTGTGGACCATGTTTCATCTATAAAGTTGGGAATGCCAGAGCTCGATGTCGCCTGTAAAGTTGCCATGGGACCATTCGGTGGAATATCCCTAGTGCCTTTGGCCTTTAAGAACTTCAGAAGCCATTATAGACATAACTAGCATTACGATTGAGTATTCCAGGAGTGTTTTTCCGAAGTGAGATAGAAGGGAACTTGTCAACTGTTATGTCGAGTGCTAATGAACACTGGCTCCATACGTCAAGACATGTTTCCAAGGACGTAAGCAGGGCACTTGGAATTTAACAGGTGAAGAGCTGCGCGAGGGGTTAAAGAATTTGAATAGTTTTGAGTTTTGTATTGTATTTTTGGCTAATAACCTCCAAATTACCCAAATGACACCCTATTGCAAAAGGAAAGGGGGTTGGGGTGGATACAGTATAAAAAGAGAACAGCCGGCATGACGAACGCCTACCGAACACGCTTTGCCGGTTGAGGTATAAAACAACTTGGAGAATAAGGTAAAACTATCCGGAATTAGAGTGATAGGAAGAAGGAGTTCCACGTTAATCACAAAGATATGGGTGTTAAGATGGCACGATCAAATTAAAATAGAAATACGACGACAGAGCACATATTTTGGCACCGTTCTAAAACAGGAGGGCAAAAGAGCCGGCCAGCAGCAATGGAACGACAACGAGACTCATTCCTGGTGATGAAACGATGGAAGCGGTATTTGAGATATCCATGGCAAAAATGTATCTGGCGGATAATTCAGAGGAGTTGAAGCAATTTTCTCTGGTCACCTCTTCGACATCGCCGGGTTCTGCTAATGTAACATCGACACACTGTAAAGCGGATTTCGGTTAGACACAGAGAAGATGTTTTCATGTCCCCACAGATATCTATAACATAAAAAATAAAAAAAAAACAATAAATAAAATAAATAATAATAAATGAGAGGGATAACGCGAAAGAAAGTCTTTTAAATCAACATACATTATAAAGGGCAGCACCATGAATGGCAGTTTCGATGATTTGTATTGTCACATTGTCACCAACTTTGTATTCGAAACCCGCGGGGGGCGCAACTTGCCGAAGGCAAAACGTGCCGGGATATTCCTCTTTTGTAGGTCCGATTAATTGAAATGGGGCAATCATCGGATGGCTCATGTTGGGAGCAATAGTTCCGAATCCCATATTCATGTAGATAAAGGCAGTTTTATGGCCAGGAAACCAGCCAGGTTGGAAGGCAATTGCACCTCCTTTAACGGGCCATTTCGTTCGATTCTGTGTAACTGGCATTCCACCACCTAAAAGGGTTTGACATCGCTAGTTAGGAACGCTGGTATTCAAACATGGAAACTTTCCCGTGGACCAGACGCTATGAGGGGAAAAACAATACGGACATGGATAGGCCCATTGCATCCCTAGAGGATATAGCAATTCCGATTCATTGTTTGGTGATCTTGCAATAGCCATGCCTTGTAAAGAGCTCATGTTTCCAGTGGAGTGGAGGTTGTTTCCTCTCCATCCGGGATAGGTGATGACAGTATGAGCCGTGACTGACGAAGCGAAGAAGGTGATGAGGAGGATTGCCCACCAGGGCTTTAACGACTGATTTCGCCGCATTTTGTGTTCGGATATATGTGAAGGGGAAGGAGAAATGATATGTAGAATATCCAAGAAGTGTCGCTTTGATCAAGGGAAAACCCTTGGCGACTCTATCTTCACTGATCTAGTTTCTTGGTCAAAAATTAAATTCTAAAGATTTATTCCATTTCACTTTTAATCTGGTTCCCAAAATAACCAATGTCGCGTCAATCAGCGCAGATGAGTTGCGAAAACAATAACGGCTGTGCCGACGACAACGACGACGACGACAGCGACAGTGACAGCAACGACGGCGACGACGAAGGGTAGTAGGGTCAAACTGGTAAAATCAGACACTACCAACACTCCAGTTTGGTGGGTTGCGCAGGCCTTAAGAGGGGAAAGCGGGAGGTGACGAGGTTGAGAGTTCACAATGCAGCCCACCCTTGGCAGGATGTTCGACGGGCTACAAATTACAGTCCAACGATACATCAAACACAGAAGGGAAAAGGGGGCAAAAGAGAGAGAAGAGATCGAGGGTGGGTTGACGACCCATGGGCCTCCCAAAGGGGGCCTTCCCAATCGCCTCTTCCCCCATGATATGAGCCAATCGATATGGATGCGCCGTTGGCCATGGTGCAAATCAATCTGAGGAGTCACCAAAGACCATTATTCACGAGATACCAATCACGAAGCCAGAACGCAGCAATGCAAACTGCGACGGGGAGGGGGATCATGCCCGTTCCCCGACGTGGGATACAGCAAGTCAAACCTTTGGACCGGCCACTAAAACTGCAGCAACTGGGATTGCAGGTTAGGCTAAGGAAGCCGTGTCACATTTTCCGCAAATTAGCAACTAGATCTTCCGATTTTGAAGAAACATGACCTGTAGGTTGGCTAGCCTGATTGGATGGCTAGATGTGAAGAATAGGTTGTTGATGCATGTTCAACCCTGACTTGATTGGTGCATTCCATGCGTCCTAAGCTTTGTTCAAGAAGCGCCCGCACTATCCAGAGGGAATGCTAGAAGTGAGCCGGCGAATGATCAGGGCAGAAGAGGGGCTTTAGCGCCCATAGCTTGGCTTTCCCAGGGCCTAAATTTCCGACGAGAGGAGGATTGAGCCATGAATCGATTTTATTGAGATAATTTCGTGTGGTGCTCAACTTAGATGAGAGCGAGTGTATGGAGCCCCATCGCAGCTGTAAGTTAACTAGCAGCAGGTCATTCAAGATCAGTAATCTGTTCCAAACCTGTGAAGCGCTATTTAATAAAGCCTGCCATGCTTTTGGTCGTTGGTCACAAACCAGCTGCTTCATAGCGAGTCACTCCATGGCAGCGGGAGCTCTATGCTTGAATGAAGCCTTACAGAACAAGCTACCAAAACACGGAGATTGGAGGAGAATTGTGTGAGGAGAGCCGCGAGGCTCGAGACGATAACCGCGAAGTTAGACACGATCGCTGACATAAAATGTGTCCAATGAAGTGGACGTGACAGTCCAAGAAGGATATCATAACAAGTTATCTCAATGCATTAATGCTATGACATTGTACATATATCCCTTGATAGCGGGTCTAATTTCATCATAGCATATCTTCAGCCTAGAGGGTCACGTATATCACAGGCTCTCATCCATTGACCACATTAAACCCCTTACTGCGGTTGATTTTTCTTCCTTCAATTTATTGATTCTCCAACTGTTCTAATACCAGATCACCAGTATCAGAGGAGTCATGGGAATCGTTTTCATGAAATATATCCACCAATAAGCGAATATCTGATGCATGCCTCAGGCTCATTTCTGCTAATCATGCCGTCCCCTGCTGGTCGTTAAGGGTTCGCCTCGAATGTCTTCTTGTCGGTCGGGGTCCTAACCTATCCTCGATTTTGGAATGGGTATCATAACTGAAATCAGAAAACCAAAAGTAATCTTGATTGAGTGAATATAAGATAAAATATGCACTGGTAGCTACATGCAATATTTATAACGTCGAAGAACTCAAATGTCATAAATTGAAGATGAAGATGTGTGTTTAACGCCAGAGATTCAATGCCCAGAGTTGGAATATCACGTATCAGAAAAGAGACAGAATGTCGCTTGAATTACCAATTAATTAGTCCTAGGGCGCCCAATTGATTTCATAATTATAAGCTCACTTTTGTTCTCAGGGGAATGAAGTGAAGAAGAAGAGAAAGACTGAACTGCGAGTGTGACAGAGGGACACTAGAGTTGGGGTCCTCGTTTAACTAGTTATAGTTAAGCTACTAACTAACATTTGACTAAGCCAGATTCATCTTCCATGAATGGAGCCCTTGAAGCGTAAATGAGCTTTAAACACCTTGGGATTTTCACAAGTGTATCGTGGGAACAGCAACGTTTTTATTAATTTACCTCGTTGCATGGCCGGTCAATCAATAGATGGAGATGCGCCAATCCTCCGCACGTAGGAAAGGGAGGTCTTGCCAGCCAAAGCGAGTTCAGGTCCACGATGACGACGGCTGGACTCACATCACGACTACGCGACATGCGACAGCTAACAAGCCATGCCTACCCCCCGTCCGGGACGTATTAGCACCCGCCGAAGCCCCTGATGGCTTGTCTCTCAAGACGCTAAAAAAGCAGTTTGAATGGCACAAAAAGGTCTGGGAGGAATCACAGAGCTGGAAGACCTTGAGGGAAGTCCTTGGTACCGCGCTTAGTACAGGCGCTTTACGGACAATCGACAAATGTGTCTGTGTCGGTCTGGGGAGTCCCAGTGGTTTCCTGAGAGGGGGCTGGGTTGATCGCAGGGCTGTATCCCTATACCAGCTGGCTGCACTGGTGACTATTCTGGAATATTTCGGTGCGTTTTTCAATCAGCGAGTCTAAACGTTGGATTGTCCGAGAGTTGATTGATGGGGGCTACAATTTACAAAGAGTACCACTGATCGACAGAATATTCAATGACTCATAGCCTGGGAAGATACACCGTCAAATGCCATCAAAGATTGTTACGCCCAGGATCCGGTTTTCAACATGTTGGATAAACAGCTTCTTGAATCCGTCGGTGTCCATGTTGTTGAGGACCCCAAGGCCTTTGCCCTGATCAACGAGGGAACTTTTCTCTACTCTCCCGGAGCAGAAAGGAGCCACCTTTTGGTTATGCTCTCTTCGAACCCCGCCCTGTTTTTTGGAGGGCCATTGGACGGTGAAAACCTCGTTCGACTGTAAGATATATATCTCTGGCTATTATTGTTCAATTTAATAAAACTAACTTCATGGTGAACTTAGACCTGATACCAGAGAAGACGTCCTGTCAGGATTCCTTAAATCGAGGCGGTCAATGCTACTTCCACCGTTCGACTCGAATGTAAACGCTTTTTGGATGACAAGCTTATTTTGGAGATCTGAAGACACCTGACGCGATACTATCGTCGCATTTACGTAATGATGAAGGCTGCACGTGCTGGATATTTTGAATGTAGAAGGCTTGCGGACATAACAACTGCGACCCCCAAGGTTGCACAAGTATTCACGAATGATGGGCCAACCTTGATTAACACCGTTGAAATTCCGAGAAAACTCGAACCAGCGAACGGTGAACGCAGGGTTCTTAGTTGATGTCCTGGCTTAATACCAGCGTTCCAAAAAAGTCCGCTAATTCTAACAGTGCGACCTGTACAACAGTATTAGCACCGAAGCCAACTCAAGGGGCGGGTGAAGCGCATGTGTGTACCTTGGCAATTTCTTCACCTGAGTATCCAGGAAGGGGACGATCTCCTACCCCATCCTGGGCAATTACGATATCATATGCAAGCTCTCCAGCCCGCCTAGCCGTAGTAGAAACACAAACGTGGGCCTAGAATTTGACGGGATGATGCACATCAGTAGCGCCCCATCGATCTTCAATCTTTTGATGGGTCGACTTCTTTGAAAGTGGGATTACTCGCCATATACCCTACGAGGACAATCTTCTTTGCGCCAAGACTCTGCAGGTATTCGTGAAGATCCGTCTCCGCAAAGGAACTGGGGAATCGTTTTGTGATAACCTATGCCCGGGATAGTATCTTCTTGTCAGGCGCTACACCGCAGTCTGCTAGGGCCAATTCCTTCTCATAAAGTGATATAGGAGGAAGGAAAGAGAGAAACGAACCTTTTCACCCTTCAGAGGCTTCAGTTCATCAAACTCGTCCTCCAGCGGAGTCCCAGAGGTAAAAACAGGAGCGCCCTCGGGCGTCCTATGTACAATATGAACGACGTTCTGCTTGCCCGTGATTTTGGCAGTGGCACGGTATTTTTCGAGGAGAGATTTAATGACTGCCCGGCTCGAGTCGACATTGCTGACTTTCAAAACACCATGTGCATATCTATTTTTTGTTTTAGAAACCGGAGTTGTGAATCTAGGGTCACGAATCAAAAGATCTAGATTTTATAATCCTTCGTCCTTGTCCGATTTCACGGATAATGAGAGCAAATGAAGAGACGGAGGGAAAGCTATTCGTACTCATTTTGTGCATCGATGATAATAAGGACACTATCGGTTGTCGAGGCAGTCAAGGGCGGAATGCCCGCCATATCCCTAAACAGAGCCATGTTGCGTTGTCCGATACGGCGCTCTCTCTCTCAATCTCAATCTCTTTGACAAAAGTTTTGACTTAAACACAAATTCCACTCTATTTTATTTGCGTTTGATGTCAAGTCTGCGAATCCATGGGATCACTGCTCTGGAGTTTATTCGCCTTTGTATATCGTTTCACACCTCGGCCTTTGCAAAACGGGGTAAGCGACCAATCGGGGGATTATTCACCAAGACGTTATCCTACAAGGCTATTCTCTCGTGGTGTGAAGGGGAATTCTTGGTTATTACCAATAAACTGGATTGCTGACAGATACGGAGATTTTATTACTTTATTCTTTCGGTTCTCTCATACCCTCTCCACATTGCCCCTCTTTTTCCTCCTCTGGTGAGAGGATCTTGCTAGTCCCCTCCGCCCGTTTTTCTTTAGTACGGTAATGCAAGAAGTGAGATAGTCTCCAGGAAGGTAGCGAAGTTTGGAATATTGGGGATCACGTGCCGAGATCTGGAACTTCTTTAATTTCTAATATTGGAAGGCAGCAGCCCAGCTTATCTGCCTGCGCTTATCACGTGCGGCCCTCCTGCCCGAGCAGCGGCTAAACAGTTCTACGCCCAATACCCGAAGTTGAGCCCTTGATATTAGAGTTGAGACTTGTAACATTCGAGTGTGGAGAACGGGCTGGCGGTTGCATGTCTTAATACCTTCTAAGCATGTTGCGCCTGAATCCAGTTTGTTTAAAATTAAGAGTTTGTGGCTCAGCGAAGAAAAAAAGAGAAATATGTTTTAGGCCGGGCTTTGCGGAAAAAGCTGGTAGTGGTGTTATGGCAACGCTGCGAACTGGCTCCCTGATTTTATGATCTCATTTGACAGGCAATATCCAGCTCTGCGTATACTGTTTATGTTCAAATTGAGAGGAAACCAGCGATGAGGCTCAAACATGCTCCAGGATGACCGTGCTGGGAGTCGACGAGATATTAATGTACCCGTGATGAAGGACGAGGGAGCTCAGAGAATGGAGAAGAAGATGTTGTTTGCTAAGTTATGGGGTCTGGATTGTATAGTTTTATATCATATTTCAACGTTTTTTCTACACGCTTATTTAAACTTACGAAAGAGAGAGAACATTAGCGGCAGATCCCCACAGTACAAGCAGATGGTGAAAAATGGAATACAGCATTGCCAAACGAGGAGCAAGACGGGAAAAAGAAAGGTGGAGATGACAAGAGAAATAGGGACACATGCCGCATATTAAGACCCTCTGGTTCTTCTCTCCCACACATCAGCCGTTGAGATGGTTCCTGTATAGACGGCCTGGATGAAAAGGGAGAGGAAAGCTGGAATAACAGGAGAAAGAGAAAACTCTGCCTGTGCAAGTATATTAAGCCGGTAAAAAAAAGAAAAGAAAAGAAAAGAAAAGAAAAAAGAAAAAGAAAATAGGGGATATACAAGTGTTGGAAACTGGGTAACTTTTTCTTTCGGTTGGTTTTGGGAAATTAAAAAAAAAGAAATACTCCTCCTGAATTATATATGCATACAAACGAATAGATATGCAAAGGAAGGACCAAGTGAATGTGGAATTTCGCTCCCATATTTATGAAGCGGTCTTACCACCGCAATCAGGGATTTTCAGACCGGCCTTCAGATTGCGGCCGGGATCCATCAAACCCCATTTATCCTCCCATTCCTTTCCCTTGACTGGCTCGTTGTGGATCACTTTCCAGGGCTCGTCAAAGGCTTCAAACCTGTTTCGGAGAGATAGTTAAACATAATGCTGTAGGGATGTGTTGTAGGATGGCAAACCGGGGAATCCAAACACGGCAAAGGGAAGATTGGGTATTTTGTTCTTCTCTTTTTGGTTAAAAAAGGGAGGGGGGAATTCATACCAGAAGTAATTCGTCCCATTTAGCAAGCTCTGACACACCCAAGATTCCATGAACTGATTCAATTGCTCGACGCCAGCAACGGAACCAGACGTCCTGTCCGGGCACGGGTCGGGCGAACAATTGTTGCCTCCCCCACTGGGCCAGCCAACTTCAGAGATAATCTGCTGCTTACTCGTGCCCTTGGTCAAGGGAACATTATGCTCCTGCCAGAAATTCCACGTCCACGCGGCAGCTTCTGCAACGGTCACGCCCGCGAAGAACGGATGCACGTTCGCCATGACTACATCGGATACGCTTACCAGCTCCGAGGTCCAGTTGTCACCAAGATCGGACGTGGCGACGGGTATGTTGACGTTCAATTCTGTCAACCGGGATTTGACACTCTCAATGTATTTTTTCAACGAGGGTATGGTCCTTAAGGTCGATGCGCCATCCTTGCCGCGGAAGAGAACCTCGTTGCCGACAATGACGCCCTTGAAGACCGACTTGTCCTTGGTGTCCTGGATGATTTTGTACAGCTGCTCGATCTGCCGGTCATTTGTCGTGGCATTGTTATCGATCCACACGCCCAGCCAGAGCTTCATATCCGTCAATTCCAATCTGTTGAAGGCATGGAGGACCATCTCAGTCTGGTTGCAGTCTGTGCCGTAGAGGCGCACGGTGTTGGTTAACTTGGAGAGAACGGCGATGTCCCGCGTAACATTATTTTGACTGGGAGGGTATTGGAGGCATAGGGGGTACTGTGTGCCCCAGGGGGTATAGTCAATGCCCGGGAACACCTTGTGCAAACCGTTCATAGCCATCAAGTTCTTAATTTCCGCAGAATCCTTTCCGAGGTCCCCGTTTCTGGCCAGGTCCTGGTCAGCAGTATTCCCACCACCGCCTCCACCTGAGCGGTTTTGCTGAGCATTCAAAACGCCACCAACCACTCCGCCAACGATAGCACCAACCACTACCAGGGCAATTATAATGCCAACAATCCATTTAAGTTTCTTGTTGCCATTTTTCTGGTTATTTAGCCATTCGCTCTTTTCCGTAGAAACGACATCATAATCAGGGGGATCACTCGTGGCGGGCTTTGGACCTTGAACACGTCCCAGATTGCCTTTGAGAATCGCGCCTCCAGGAGCAGCAGGAGCCGCCCCAGCAGGCAGACTGTTATGGCTAGAGTTTCTCCCAAGGCTTAGGATCGATCGTCTTTGGGGATTGCGCATAAATCCATCGTCCCCGTCATCAAGGATATCATTGGGGTTAATATGTTCAGCTTTCACTGGGCCCCACGAGCTATGGGGAGGTCTTACATAGGGGTCATCGTAGAAGCCCCCTGCGCCTCCATATTGGTTCCATTGTTGATGTCCATTATTGTTCGAGTAAAGGCTTCTTTGACCGGGAGTGGTCTGTCCAGGACCATCCATCGCGGCACCTAAAGCGATGTTAGATGAATAAGAGTCATTGGCGCCTGTCATTCGAGAAGGGCCCGTGGGGGGCATACCCGGACCTGAGGGGCCGTAAGGATAATCTGAGCCTACTGTGTGTCCATTTCCATTTCCATCCCAACCACGCTCAGATGGGCCATAGTTGTACTGGGGATTTCCCATGCCCATGCCATCATCATGTGCACCGCTCATGGCGTCAAGTCCACTTCGCTGGCGTCCATTTGGAGAATGAGCCAATCCAACGCCGGTGCCTGCGATCCCTCCTGCAGCTGCAGCTGGACCTAAATGATCTCTTCCCGAAGTGGCAGTCACAGTTGTTCGTGTGAGACGCGGGTAACTAGTGTCTTGTGCGGTTGGGGGCCTTCTCTGAGAGTGAAGGGGGGGTGGGGGGCCAGCGAAGTTGGAAGACTCAGAGGACATGGGTGGGACGGGGTAGGTATTTAGATCTTGGTGCTCTCCGGCCCGCTGGATTCGAAGTCTATTGAAGGCACTGTCTGGATGGGCAGAAGGATGCGAACGGGCAGAGGAGAGATGTGAATGGGACTGTGGGTAGTCGGAATGAGTATGGGGTGGAGATGAGTGTTGTTGCGGCCTCTCGCTTCGACCTATGGGCTCGTCATGGGAAGCATTGTAGCCAGAGACATTATTAGCCATGCGTGGAATTCTCCAACCATTCAAGGTTTCAAGGGTATCCTTTGAATCCCAGTTGTCAAACCAGCCGAAAGAAGGGTGATACTGGACGGAGGGGAAAATGCAGCTTAGAAAGATGACGACGATGACGATGACGCTGATCGGTGCTCTGGGCGCTCCAGGTGCTCTATATACTCCACTTTGCAATGAGTGTGATAAGAGAGTGATTTGTAGGGAGAGTATTGAGATGATAAACCGATGGCAGGACTTCCTCCTATGGGAGAATCGCGGAATATGCGTTGCATAGGAGAACTCGGGGCTCCGGGAACTATAATTGGTGACAAATGGGTCCTGGACACTTTCTCGGCGAGACTCAATTCCTAATTAGCTTTTTTAAGACGGCTTCGCTCGAACCTCTGTAGCCTCGGTGGCGGTTGAAAAGGGTAGAACGACAGAACTAGGTATATATCTAAGACACCTTTTTTTTGTTTTCTTTCCTGATTATCACGTATATGAGCAACCCAACACCAGATTAGGGAAAGGTAGCTGGAATTTAACAAGAGAAGGGAAGAGGGAAATGACGTGAAAATCCCAGCTGGGTGTTGGAGGGCAACTGTAAATTATGATATTGACTTCGCCCGTGGAATCTTGTCGGCTGTGCAGTGGACCAACTAAATGTTGTTTAAGCTTTTATACGAAACGGAGTTACCAAATTATAACAACCACGGCAAATATAACCAGTGCGAAGATAGAAGCCAAAGAGAACCCAACCCCTATTATCTGTCACTCCAGGGAGGAGGAAGAAACGGAATAATACAGAGAGAGAGAGAGAGAGGATGGTGGTTGTGGATTGCGAGGCAGCATGTACAGCCGTAGCGAAAAGGACCGTTATAGATGGAATTGTACACCCACGAGCTGGAACTGTTTGAAACACAGAAAGAAAGGACGGAGGGCGTTTTGCTCTTCGAAGACAAAAAGCTTTTAAGCGGTCGACTTATCAAAACACCCTGGTAGGTGGTACTGTACAGACTGGACTTTGATGTGTGCAGTTGGTGGCTGGTGATAGGAGCTGAGTTGTGGTTGGACTAGTTCAAGAGTAGTGATGCAATACCTCTCTCTTATCTTGTGGCTGGGGAGCAACGAACCTTGGAACAAACAGGCTTGGGAACAAGCTGAGTGCAGATTGCCGCGACATACGCAGCGCCCGCAGCACACGGAGCACCTGAAGAAGCACATGAAGAAGCACATGAACCCCTACGAAGCTACCACATGGGGGCAGGGATATGCAACATCAGACTCCAACCGTTGGAGGCTGAAGCAGACGCGAGGAGGAAGATGCCCTGCCCCAGCCACCACCAGCACCAGCACCAGCACCAGCACCAGCAGTATCAGCATGATGCCCCGCATCAGTATTATTTCCAGTGGGTAGAGATCAAAATAAGCATTATTGGCCGTACATAATACGACATAAGACGATGCTCAAAGGGCTGATTCAATTGTCAAGCGCTCGGCTAGCTCAATCTTTAATATCGGGTGTAGCGCTCTACATAAGGAGTTCTCGACATGACCCTTATTTAGTTACATGATCTACCCGTTGGAACATAACGTCTCCATAAGAGCTGCGATAAAGATTCTGCTCTATTATCCCGCCGCCTGGCCCAACCCCGAGACCTTCCACTCCTCCGAGCAATCGAAATCTCCGCCGGGCAACGACCTTTTGTGCAAATACGCAAAGACGCAAACGACCGTCTCTGCCGGGTCGCGACAACACCCCATCCACAACAGTAGACGCACCCAGTAACAATAACATCAACAATGTTGATAACATTAATGAAACATTCAGTTGCCTACCTCCTTGCAAACTGCGTGGATGGCACAGTGCATGTAGATCAGACAGATCTCCGTAACTACTCACTACGGCTGCTCGTCAGTGTTTGGGCGCCGCACTCGTCGATCACCTTGCGCTCCGGGCCGTTGCGGAGTGCATGAAGTCTCGCGCTTGTATGCGCCGTGAATTGCTGATGGGATGTTTAAGAGCAGCTGGTATCAACGGGAAGGTAACTCTGAATCAACGATTTATGCATTAAATATGTAGTTATGGCCGAGAAAGCGCCACGACAGAGTGGGCTAGTAGTTTTTTTTTTTTTTTTTTTTTTTTTTTTTTTTTTTTAAATCTTTTGTCTCAATTTAGTCTTCCAAATTCCACGATTCTGAAGGATGGAAGCATCTAGTTATTTCGGTTCACGGTGAGATTAATCTCACATGAAAATCGGTTTTAAACATGTGCTCGGTGCAGACTCGGGGTAGAGAAATGAAGTCAAGCAAACTTTTGTCAAATGCCGGGGGCAAGCTGGCCAATAAGTATCTGATGTACAAATAAACTGTCTGCTCTGGGACAATACTGATAAAAAAAATCTGCTTCATGATCGTCTCCCATCTGTCCTCTGTTCATGAGGTTCCGAGGAGTCTTATTTGCCTCAGATGGCAAATCTCGTTCCATGACAGAAATATAATCTCCCACGATCTCCACCCTCAAAACAAGAGGTTCCACGGGTGTTTATTTTCACTTCATTTTATTATTTACTTTTATTTATTTATTTACTTATTTCTCTATTTAAGAAAGCAGTCGTATTAAGTGCGGCGAAATACTTCCTCAGATCTTATGCATCGCATATAATCATTTATGGCCAAGTTAACGCCAGGATTTTCTTGCGAACGGCTCGATGCACCCGCGAACACATCTTCGCGACCACTGTTTTACCACCCCTGTTTGCCTCAGCTACAGAATTTGCAGTGCAAATGATTCTCTCGAAGAGCCCATTTTTGGCATCCCTCCTGGAATTCAGAACTTGGACGACGACAGGAAGACTGCCTAATGCAGCAAGCGATAGTTACCCGGGATCGAATCAACTGGAGGAGGTTCTCGCAGTGAGCAAAATCACACCGACGCGCATCTCCAAAAGGAGCAGATTACGAGCCGTTGTTGGTTCAAGAATATCAGAACAAGGAGCCTTACTGAACCTGTTGAACAGAGAGCTCTCTCCGGCCAACTTTCCAATCTCCAAGGTTGATTGTAGTTAATTTGTTACCTCGGTTGACCCAGTGATCGTGTGATAACTAGCCTACCCCGGGGCTGGTGTCAAAATATTGTCTCCTATCTGGCTTGGGATAGTATCATCCTTGCCTATATATTCCCTCTCTCTTTACGAACATAGGGTGTGGAATAGCGCTTCCCGTACGCTCAGCCGTACTCAAGCCACTCGCCAGCCTGGGTTGGTAGTTAGTTGGGTGGGTGACCACCAGCGAATCTGAGCTTTCGTATGTACTTTTTTTTGACTCTGCCTTTTGCAACCCCGAACACCGCGACATTGGATCTGAAATTTTCCTCCAAGACGCCATTTTCTTCCCGTCTGGGCCGATGCTACAACACATGTCGAGCGTCTCTCTAACACGACCGTTGACTGTAAGTGATAGAGCTGATAGAAGACTATCAAGATTAGACTAATTTCTAAGTTAATACGGCCTGAAGGATGAACCATCCCGGTTCCGGAATATTTGAGATAAGGAGATTGCATTCCATTTTATTTCTAAAATTTTCAACTCCAAGAATAAACAGATTGATTGTATAATCTAATTGTTAATTAGTCAGTTATTCAATCCACTAATTATAAAAGATTATAACTACTCTCTAATTAATATATCAATTTGAATTAATTATAAAAGATAACATGATTAATCATACTAACTAATCGTGCCACTGCGCAACCCACACCTTGTGCGGGCGCACCACACCAAAATGATAAAAACACTGAAATTGTGGCGTTCCGCCCCTATTCTTCCGCCCCTTCCTATATTAGTATCCGCTCTCTATTCGCCCCTCCCTAATCCACTCAGGGGCCCCAATCTTTCCTATATTTCCTATCCTATGCGATCGCTCCTACCATATAGAGTGATTATAGTGTGTATATATAGCAGGGCGTCCGCCCATCTTATTAGAAGAGAATCAGACATGATTTATCCTACCTATTCAATTGCTCGTACGCATTAGAAATGATAAAAATTTTGAATCACATCCTTATTATTGCACTCTATATCAACAATCAGTAGCTAATCTATAATAAAAAGATTATCTACATCATTCTCAGTATGCGTGTCATCTCTAAATTGATTTAATTCCTCTTCTGTCAGTGATGTGAGTGAGTTATTATCAATTTTCATAGAATCAACTTCAAGTCTCTGTCACTTTTTATTCTGCTCTTTTTCAGCTTCATTATTCTTATACTGCTTGATTTTTCTATTAGCATCTTTAATAGTGAGGACTCTCTCTACTTGAATCTGATGACAGATTGTTTTAGCTCTGCAGTATTTACTGACATTGAAAAAGTTCTTTAATTCAGTGATCTATTGCTTATTAAGTTCTACATTGATTAGACTTACTTTGAATATCTTGTTCAAACAACATGTCAAAGTGAGTGATTTCAAATCAAGAGTATGTCTAATACTTTATATGATGTTATCTGCAATATTTAATCAAATTATCTCAACATCACAACACTTAATTAAATTAATTTATTTTACACTAGATTGAGAACATCTTATTCTTGTATGTCTAAGAGTGTCATAATTACTACAGCATTATAGAGCTCATTAAAGTCATGCAAACTCAAATAATAAAGACTTACAAAGTTGAATAATTATCTATTCAACAGATGTATCAGATGGAATAATAAGATTCTGAGCTTCATTTCCAGTTAGATCTACTGTATGTCAAATTTAATGTATAGATCTATTCTGCTTTTACATCTTTATCTCATTCACATTGAATATATGAGAATATAGTTCATTCTGATATATTGACTAATATAATTGCAGTTACTCATTTTTAATTTCCAGAGTATAAAAGCTTTGTCTGACTGTAGCACTCACTGCTAGTAATAATTTTAAGAGAATAGAGTCTTATTACAAAGTCAATTTCATTAAAGTTATATATATTCTCTGACAGAATCTCATACTTAGTAATTATATTTTTCAAGATCTTAAATCAAGTCTGAATAATCTTTATATCCTAATATTTAGTCTGGTCATGATTATAATGTCTAGAGTAATGGGTCGGAAGCTCAGGACAGTGTGCCACTAGATTTGACAATCAGTTCTTGCCAACACAAGAGGGGAGAAGGAAGGATAGTGATAAAGGTGGTGGAATTCTGTATAATAAGAAGATAATTAGCTATATTCTCAATAAATACTAGCTGTAGAGGAAATCCTTTTTTAGCTTGATTTAGCATTTATTCAACTAGTCTATTCTCTTCAGCCTGGGTTAATTTGATTTGAATTTATATGTAGATTCATATAAGCAGTCTGACTATTGAGTTGATAAATTATAGTAGATAATAATATATTAAATACATATGTAGCTTCACAAATTGAGTAGATTTCTTGATTTTTCAAAACATTTATCATAATTTCAAGCCTCCTCTCTCTCTTAAGAGAATTTAAAATGTTTTTATTGCAAATTGATAGCATAATTGCATGTTAAGATGGATAAATAGTTAAATGAGAAGATATTTTTGAATTGATGATCTACTTGCTTGAGTGTTCTACTCACTTGAGAATTACATTAGTTAATTTAGTTACAATTATCAATATTAATAATAAATTTAAATAACTACTTAATTATTTTTATATTCAATATAATTAGTAATTATACTATGTATCTAAATAATATATTAAATTAAATTTATTTAAAATATTTAATTTTATTTTAGATATAAAGATTTGAGTATTGGAAGTAATAGTAACAACAGGTTTAGAAAGTTCATTATTTTGAATTCTAACTTCAAGATCTCTTGAGAATGTTAAAGCATTAATATAATCAATTTTATATTATTCATAAACTTTTTTGGAAATTTCAGATATTTAAAAGAAAGATAGAATCAAGTTTACGAATTTATTTAATGTATTCTATTTTTCTTTAAAAAATAAAAATTTAGCTAATTTATTAGATAGATAGTTTAAAACTTACTCAAAGTATTTTTTATTGCTTTAATACCAAGACCTTTTATAAGTTTTTAAGATCTTTAAAGAAGAAGGATTATATTAATGCTTTGATATCCTTAAAAGATCTTGAAGTTAGAAATCAATAATGAAGTTTCTTTTAATTATTAGTCATGATTTTGGCAACTGTCTTGCGGCCTATCTTGATATGCATGCTGGTAAGGTCATCGATGCTCAATGGTGATACTTCCAGTATCGCCATCCCCTGCTTCCATTTTCTAGCAACATTTTGCTCGTCACGAGAAATTGTCATCATGAGAATATGACTGCATGTCTATTTTGCGCAGGGAAGATGGAAAAGAACCCACGGACCACTGGACATGCGCGCTGAAATCTCTTCAGCTGCAAACATCGAACCAGGAGTGGTGAGAGTAGAAGAAAACATGTTGGCAGGCTACCAAAGCCGTTTGACAACATTTGATTAAAACATTTGTTCACATCAGATCTGTCACACCAACATGATCATTGAACCTGCGTGGGATTAAAGACGTTGGATAGAAAGATCCTCTGACCTTCAGCACCAACGACCGGATAGGGCCCAATATGCGGTGGAATGTCCATGCATCTCCATGCTAATAATATTCACCCCAAACTGACAAGTGCAGTTGCCGGCTGTCCCTGGAAGGCAGACAGACCAGCTGGCCATTTCTCTAAATCTGTGAACAGGATGATCTCTGGTTTCATTGTTTGACTCTATTTCAGTTTGGACATGTCAGTCATGACAAGTCGGATGCTCCGGCCTCCATGTATAAATAACTGACCTAGGATTGCTGGCTTTCTCGGTTCCCTAAACAATGCTTACCATGGTCTGCACCATGCAGTCAGTCCCTGTTCATTATGCTGGTGAATATTGCATGCAGAAATTCATTTCCTGAGCCAAGTCATGCTGTGCCATGTGTGATTGATTTTATATTTTATATTTTATTTTTCATGTTTTCAACGCAGAGTTCATGGTTCAGCTGTGAATGTGTACTCACACTTGCAAGAAAAGAGCCGAAGATACTATGATATGTATTTATCCATATCAGATTTTCCTGGATCTATTCAACTATTGTGTGAGATGATATACTTGATGCAGAAAATGCAAGTCTTCACCAGAAATACTTTAACATATACATTGAAAGGCCGTAAGTGATAATGGCTACGGGCGCTCGAGGGCCCTCTATTCAGGTTGTGTCACTGTGAACGGACTTCTGTTTGGGAAATGACAGAGCTATTCGCGCGTGATTTCCTTGGGAAACACCAAATGTCAAGCATTTATTTGATATCTATTTTTTGTTCTGTGCCAATCTCGTTAAATGAGCACTGGCATGCAGCTCTAATACATCTATGACCTTAAACAGCATTGGGGCAAATATATCGAACCTCATACAATAAGCCAATTGTTATCCTTCAGGTATAAACCTCTCTTGCGTGCTCTTCTGATGGTAATAATGCCACCCTTCCAAAGAGGATGGTTAACAGTGGGATGGTTGTGAAAGAGAGAGCGGGTTTTATTGCATACGGGGCTTTTAACGACCTGGAATAGGCCCAATTATCAAAACACACTGGCATTCTTTGGTCTACCGCCAGGGTTATGCTATTTGTTTCTGTTTGTGCTCATTTTCTCTGGGAATTAGTCTTCCGAACAGGCTAACTACTGGATCCAAGCCTCTGTGTCGCCGACTTTCTTACCCTGACTTGATTCTCCCTGGCCAATGGACAGTGAAGAGCCTTTATGGTGGCAGATAAGCTCTGTTGACATATCTACTAAACATGAGCTCGTCCTTGTTTCTTGCTCTCTTCTGAGTGTTCACCTTCATCCTTTTTTGAAACTCTCTGCTATGTCGTTCTTTCATCAAGGGCCAGCGTTCGAGCTTTGTTGCTAACACTTTTACTATCCCTGCGAGCACATGTCGACGGACCGTCCTTTCGCGGCTACCCTGAAGGCATCTGGCAGCATAGGATGGCCAATTGCTGATATTGTGGCTAAAAATCATTTTGTCTCTGGAGAATCCCGTTCAAATAAAATCGAGAATGCGTCAGCGAACGTAAATCTCAAGGAGCCGCCGGACTTGGTCAGACCGAAGCAAGCAAGACTAAGAATGCTATATATCTCAGTGAGACCATACATATATATGCTATATGACATCCTAGTCTGCAGGTGCATGTATAGATTGCCTTGAAGATGACTATGCCTGAAAGATTAATGGACCACTAGTTAGTTGAAAATCTAAATGTTAGGCATAGGCGAAGATGGAGATTTTGAAATAGTACGGCGATCTCGTAGTTTGCCATCCCATTGCCAGAAAACCAAAACATTCAGTTATAAATCATGCTTGGCTTGCCGTGCGTGCAGTCTCCAACACTGCGGTTGCTATTCCACTCCGAATGGTCGAGTAGTTATTTCCGACATTTCCTCCTAATGTGAAATTGGATGCATGTTCCTCTCCCGCTAACCCGTATCAAAATATCTGTTGTCTGCCCGTAGTTACTACTCACGCCCTCACGATGCGCCCTGCCACAGTGCCCTTAATCGAAAGGTGAAGCGAAGATGGAATAGGATAGTAATCTCGTGATAAAAAGGCCCCAGTTTTATTCTTTGGGTGCCACACTTCGTCCGATTTTGGGAATTAAGCCTATTCCGCATCCATATCAAGGGTGTTAGAAACAGTCTACTAAGAAGGATGAAGGTCGTGAAGGTTGCCCGCCTTTAGAGCGACGTCTGCCACTTATTGGGTGGTGCTTTTTTTGCGAAGGCGCATCGTGTCTGTTGGAGAACGCGCCGCATTTCCATACCACCGTTGCATCGATGCCGGTTAGGCAAACGGGAAGCTACGGTTCTTCTCTCAATCATGACGCCAACAATTCTCCCCTTTCTTCGGCGAAAAAAGAAATCTCATGACAGTTCTATCATAAGCGACCACGAACTTGTCTGTGGCTGTACCGACTGTTTAGCCCCTCACAGCCTTCTACAGAGTCAAGGATACTTGGAAATAACAAGAAAATTGCTTACCCGACACCAGATCGGTAACAAATGCGATGAGGCGCAGAAATATGGACTGCTCAAAACACGGTGCTGGGTTCATGGTAAGCCGTAATTAGACGGAACAAGGCTTGTTCTACGGAGTAGACAGTACATATATGAAAATGAAATCAGATCCAGTTCCCTTCATAGCATGCAAATTGTAAGTGAAGGTTTTACTCCTCCTGCTGGAGCAGTGAAGGAAGAGAAGAGACTAGGAAGCGGAAAGCAGGTAGCAGGATATTGATCCACTGTGTATTTTCCATGTCCAAGCCCAAAACTCTGTAATCTGAGGAAGTTGGTAATTTTATCAAGGTAATGAAGGCCAGTATAGTCAGAGATACAAGAAGTGATTGGGGTAGAATGCAGCTGTTTAGTTTTCAGAACTTGATCCCGTTATCAATCTTCAATCCTTTGTGAACAAAAACTTGGAGATAGAAGACATGAAGGAAGATGAAGATGAAGATGGTACAATATAATTTATCATTAATAGAAATGACAATAGAACAACCCAAATAGGTAAGGTGTGTTAAAACACTGAGGTTGAAAAAGGCGTAATTGAGCAGAAGAGGAACGAAAAAAAAAAAAAAAAGAAAGAAAGATACAATTTGCAGAACGGCAGAGTGGAGGCTAGAGAAGCATCAGGAGAAGTAAATACAGACAAGAAGAGAAGAGAATATGGGCGAAACAAATCAAACTCCCACCAACATTTACAGTCAGAAAAGGTGTGGAAAGAAGATAAGAGAAGGAAAAGAAGACATAAAATAATGAAGCAAAGAGCAAAGGGAAAATACCATTTTCTCCCATCCATTTTTCTCTTTCCCTGTCCACCCACCCCATTGGCCAAGTGCGCACGCAACAAGTTTAAAAGAGGAGAAGAAGTAAAACAAAAAGCAAAGCAAGCAATACAAATGCAACCCCCATATTCCATTACATTTCCCATCCATCCCACTTCCTATTCCTCGATTTTCACCCCACAAAATCAGAGATAAAATAAGAAGAGGGTATATACAGCTATTAGGTATAATCCCCATATGATTTTCTTTCTTTTTTTTTTTTTTTATACCAATGTCCCATTTCCCAATCCCGCAATGTATCCGACATATATATGACAACAAAAAAGAGAAGAAATGAATGAAGACAAGTATTTACCTATAATAACAAAGATTTTAAGTGCAAGGTTTCGACATAAAAGGTAGAGATAGACCGGATTGGAGGTATATGGATATCGAGATTCGAGGTTGGATATCCTATTCCTGTCTATCTCATCACCTGGACAGAAAATTTGTGGTTTAAATGAGGAGGGCGGTTGTGTGGAAAAACAATACATAATATCTAATATATGCAATGTTGTTGTTGTTGTTGTTGCTGCCGCCGCTCGCTTTCATAGTTCCGTGGGAACTCCTAAAAAGATTCCATGGATTCGTTCGCGGGAACATCCGTTCCTGGTTCCATGGTTTTCGGTCTGGGGATCGAAATCTAACCCACCACCTCCTCCGCATTTCTTGTGGAAGATAACGTAGCGACAGCTGGTGTGCTGGGTCCACTGAATCCCCCACTGGTGGCTCTAGCAGCTCGAGACCTCCTGTTGCGTTCCAGCCACTTGCGTTTTCCAACGCGGGTCTCGAAGTGCGGTGCGACAGAGGTGAGTTCTTGGCCTGTGGTGGTCATCGTGCTGCGCATTTTATTGCGGTATGCGTCCACTGTAATGGGGGGAAAAGATTAGTAAAAATCGGGTTCTTCTCTTATATCTGTAGAAAGTAAGGAAACCGGAAGTCACATACAAGATCTCTGCAGGAATAGAGTCCTCCCTGCGAAGACTCTGCTCTGTCCCCAGCTCATACGGTATCCCAGATCGTTCAGCATAACTTCCTTATCACGTTTTCTCCTCGCAATCTTAGGAACTGCCAAGTTCGCCTCTCCATCCGGCATCGGCACGGGGACTAGCGTTCGACCAACCGTCGCCTCCACATCGTCATCGCTCTCTCCATGATACCCACCAACATCATCGATGAATCTTCCACCACGGTTGCCACGTCCAAAAGGGCTTTGGACCGGGAAATAAGTTCGCGGGAATACGGAGTTGGATTTTCGATACGAGTCCGGGATCTCCTTCATGTCCACCTGGTCTAGCATGACTTTTACACGAACTCTACAACCACGTTGCGGATCCTCGACGAGGATGAATTTCCGACGACTTCCCTCCGGAAGATCACCGAAAAGAGCTGCATTGTCGGGATTGCGTTCGTCGCTTTCTCCGCGTGAGTGGGAGGTGGCGACGATGGAATGGCGACCTAGGTGATCGAGACCTGTCTCACGCAGGGGAGGCGGCATGGAAGGTCCTGTTGGGTTGTTGGACGAGGCCTGGCTTGGATATTTTGGATAGCCGTGGAATATTTGAGCTGGGCGATTATCCGCTGTGAATGGCGCAGAGGTGGCATAGGCGTTTTGGGGAGGTGATGGGCGGTGAGTACTGCTCGAGTATTCAGGCTTGCCTATATATGGATAATGTCAAATGAATGGTGTGATATTAGCCTACGCTGTCTGACCTGATCTGGGCAAGTTCGCCAGAACGAGAGTCGGGAATAAACTGCATATAAAAATCATACCACGATGAAAGGTTTCATCCTTCCCATTTTGCCGTATAAAGAGTCAAGGAGGGAAAAGAAGGGGAAAAAAAATAAAAAGTAAAAAATGCGGGTAACATAGGTACACATCAGCAGTTCCGTTCATCCAATTCTTCACAAAACATATTACATAAAAAAGCCATGAGATTCCTCCACCCGCCATAAAAATAACAAGACAGTAGTGGACAGCATAAGTATATAATAAGTGCCATCAATAAAAACAGATATAAAAAAAAAATTAATAAGTAGAGAAAAACATCACATCTGGTGAAACATACCGCTAACATCCTCTCCGCTCTGAGATGCCCCAGATTCCGACGGGTGCGCATGATGATGATGAAGCTGTGGGCCACCTATACCTAAACTTCCGGTGGGAGCCAGTCCCGCACTACCAGGAACCCCTACTGCTGAAGGTGGCCCCGCCAAGTGATTTGGATGTTGTGAAGAAACAGATTTCCTGTTATTTATCTTCGCCATCCTCCTCACTCTCCGGCTGCGCAGTCGTGGGTCCTGGTTGCTATTCCGCCAACTGTCGACAGCCCTCTGAATAAGTCCTCGCTTGCCACGCAGACAGGAATTGAGCTCCGCCAACGCCCACCCTACAGCATTGCATTCGGTTTCATAGACCAGACGGTTCCCTCTGTACTGATCCTTCGAGCAACATGCGCGCGGATACACGCAATTCTCTGTCTTGAACTCCTGGCTCAAGTTTTCAATGTTGATGTTTTCAACATCACACCGAATTGTGTATTCCATTTTCACGCGATCGCGCGAATATTCAAACGCAATCCACTGAACTCCATTCTGGTCCTGCCTAACAACAAGTGGAGTGGTTGCAGGAATTGGGCCGGGGGCAGCACTCGTGTTACTTCCTCCCGGGCCTGAATGAACAGTACCGCCTGAAACTGGGGGTGGTAGGTGCGATGAATTTAATGGTGTTCTTTGTGGAGGAGTTGGTTGCTGCGGGGTTGGGTCATACTTCATGCGTGGACTGCTCGTGATTGCGACTGGGTGCTGCTGTGTTTGCTGGTGTTGATGTTGCAATTGTCCAGGCGAGCCTTGGTGCCCAGCAAGAAGAGGCTGAGGCTGAGATGTGAGCTGCGCATGTGGATGAGCAGGATGAGGCCCATAAGGGCCTGAATGGATTGGGTTCATGGGAGGAAACTGCGGGTACCCATACATCCCTTGGGCCATTTGAGGAGGTTGCCCGTATAAGGTTCTGCCATGGGGATCGTGACTTTGGGGAGAGGGGACGGAGGCTGGAGAATTGGACTGTGGGGTATGGTAAATAGGAGGATATGGGCGTTGCATCTGGGCGGTTGCTGCCATAAGATCTGGCGCTTCTATAGGAGTTAGTACCTGATATGTTATGTTTGGGCTGCTATGCTAAATATCACCCAAAACCTTTAAATAAAAAATTACACGGAATTTCGTCTCCGAAACAACCCAAATAACAAGGGAAATTGCCCAGTGAAAATATGTAAATTACTTCCGCTTGCCTACACACCATCCCCATCTTTGTGAATCACTCAATGTGCCCGGAAACTGCGAAGGAAATCGGGGCATCCATACCACTTGAGGGATAATTGCCCGGATTGCTTGTCGTGGTATAAGCACTGGGGTGAGAAGAATAATAGGCAGGTTCCTGGGCAGGAGTTCCGTAAGGTGATTGACGATGTAGCTGGAGACCGTTTCCTAGCACATGTGGTGAAGCGTAGGGGGATTGTGAAATGGATGTATCTGGATGGAGTGGAGACTTTGGAGGTTGCTTCTGATGCTGAAGGATGCCTGCAGATCTAGGATGGTGTAAATGAAGGGGTTGATGTATGGAGTGCGAGTGTTGGGATTGTCGCTGCTGGCCCGGAAGTTTTACGGTCAGTTATAGGAGCTCTTGAGAAGAAGTTTTCTGTATCTGCAATACACCCAGGCAGAATGAAATATTGGGATTCAACCAAAGCAGAAACGATCGACGATTTCGCACCCCCAGAATCAAATGGCAATAAAAACAGAAGAAAAGTATGTATATCGGTTTAAGTAAGAAGGAAATGCAAGAGAGCGGTAGTGAAGTTTGATCAGACGTAATGCATGATTACAACAGGGAGTAGGAGCAAGTATAAAAGGATATCGGTAAGGGAGGTCAATGTCACTGGATAAACATGCTAGTGACAAAGTTTTGAGGGGATAGAATATAGATCAGAGTCAGTTACCAACGGAGCTGTTCAACGAACGACTCGGTAGATCACCCCCTCCACAACCTTGGCTCTGTCTGGAGTTAATGATTGTGGGGGAATGCCGGGTAGACTGGCAGATCTTGAGGGTAAGGCAAGGATAGATCACCACACAACATGGGAAGCCGGGGAGAAGTGTGACTAGATCTGACCAGCACCGTCATATTTTAACCAAGAAAAGAGCAACGGCGGAACAGGACAGGACAGGGTAGGGTGTGTGAAGAAGATAAGGAAAATAGTAGGATCTTTTTGTCAGCATAAAATGAAGGGATCCAAGCTGACAGGGACGGGGGCTGACTCTCATGTGATCCCAGTCAGCGCAGCACACCTGGAAAAATTGCAAGAAGAAGAGTGCGTGTGCAATGGAGATATGGGTCCGTAGCAATATGCATGCCGCAGCGATGTTGCCCAACTAGCGCGGGTGGTGGTTGGTGGAATGTGACGAAGCCGTCGACTTTGTTTCCGGCATTTGCAGCCCACCATTGCCGCCAAAAGAAGTGCGCTAAGGACGGGCGGGCATCATCTTTGCTTAAGAACCAGCGAAGCATCATGCACGTGCAGACTAAGCCGTTGCAAAATTCAAAGGCAAAAATCAAGAAAAAAAAGCAAAGAAAAAGCGTGTGTAAGACGTGAGAAGGCAATGGAGGGAGACCCTGCTTAGCTGCATATCCCTCCGGAGGACGGAAGATACCACACGACAACCCGGGTGAGATACAACGTTCTGACCCGCAGAAAGTGAGAGTGTATGGAGCGTGGCGTAGTCGCATGTTCAACCAATTGTTCCCAAGGCTGAAGACGGGTGTAAAGAGACAAAGGACAAAAGCGATTGCAGAATCAAAGTATCCGAAGCGTCATGAAGCGCACAGAAGAAGTCAAGTAGTTCGTCCCTTGCGAGTTTGAACCTCTCCTCACGTGATCTCTCGTTCATCAAACTGCGATCACTACCGCAGAGCATCAGGGTTCTTCACCCCCTGTTGGACGCGAGAGGTACAGGAAGAACCCGAGGGAAAGGGAACAATAAAGGCAGAAGATGACCCACCAAAACTCAGATCAGGTCTGCTGCAGCTTCTGCTGTGGCAAGGGAGGGGATGATCCCGAGGAACCAGATGAAGGGTGGTTGATCCAGGTACAGAACAAGGTAGAGGAGAGAAAAAAAAAACTGGGAAAGGGTGGGAGGGAACAAAGAAGATCGATCCCCAGATTAATGCCAGGCAGGGGAACCGTAGGTATAGTACGCACGAATAAAGAAGAAATACAAGCACAAGTATCGCAAGGGAGAGAATGCGACCAAGACGAATGGAAGGTAGGAGAAACAATGAAGAGAAAGTAGAGTAGAAAAACGAAAAAACATAAACGACAATAAGACACCAGGTGTTACTGATACAAGCTGCAAATATTATCATGCTTTTGCTCGGAATCGTTTCACTTTTTTTTTTTTTTTTTTTTTTTTTTTTTTTTTTTTTTTTGGGCCCAACCTCCCTTCTTCTGCCCTTCTGTGTTGCGCTTTCGATTCTTCTTTTTTCCTTTTTGCTTTTTTATTGTGCCCTAGTGGCGGATATTTGCTTTTTCTTTCCCTGTTTTTGTTTTTCATTCTGCTCGGCAAGGCAAAACAAGAAAAATATATATATATATATATATAAAAAGCAGCATCGAATAAAATGGAAAGGTTGGCACTCACTGAATCATCAAGCGGCGAGGGCACTGGTAGCTGCTGATCCTCCTTTTGGTACTTTGACACAGGCAGACCTAGGTTGGCTGGTTGAACCATGGCAGCCATTGGATCGCTGGGAGGAACAGCTAGGAATCTTTATATCGGGACGCGTAGTAGTAGAAGTAGTAGAAGTAGTAGTAGCAGTAGAAGCAGAAGAAGCAGAAGCAGTGGAAGCAGTGGAAGCAGTAGAAGTAGAAGTAGAAGCAGTAGAAGTAGTAGAAGTAGAAGCAGAAGCAGTAGAAGTAGTAGAAGTAGTAAAGGACAGTATATAATCAAATAGTACCTAGTGTGGTGGGATGAGGAATGATGATTGATGGCTTGGTAATCTGATATTGAAAAAAGACCGCGTTCGCAACAGTGGTTCTACTATCAGATATGACACCTAGGCAGTCCCAATGGTGCATGCATATGTGTGCAGAATCTGACAGGATCAAAAGCTTTTTGCTGTTCCCTTGTACCGTTTTTTTTTTATTTTTATTTTTATTTTATTTTTATTTTTGGAGAGGGTAGGGGATGCGGGAGAAAAGGGGGGGGGGAAGGGTGGGATGGATGGGATGGCCTTGCTGGATTGTGTGATGTGATTTGAAGAGACTCAGGAACTAGGAGAAGGGAATGGCTGGAGTAGCAATTGTGGGAATGGATTAGGCTGCGGGACTGACGAGGATCAGTGCTGGGGGGAGAGGGGGGATCAAGTAAGGCACACTCTGGGACAGTTAAGAACGGGCAACGGCTGGAACGCAGCAAAGGGAGTGTGTGGATGGGCAGGGAAATGAGAGAACACACTGGAACATGCGACTATTGGAGGAAGGGGGAAAAGGTGATGGTTAATCTGACAGGCATAAGGAAAATTTGGGCCTGGGTTAGCGCGAGTTAAGGGATGGGGAGAGAAGAGATGGCCCATACCATAAGGGGGGCGGCGGGCGGGGAGGGGGGCGAAAAAGAAAAATATTTTTATAGAAAATAACGGATGGTGCGGTTGAACAAGCGAGCCTGCAGGAGGCAGACCACAGTCGAATTATATGGTGGAGGAGGAAGAGAGAGAAGAGTGGATGGATCAGGGAGTCTGTCCTTATTATTTAGTTCGACTGCTCGGGGAAAGCAGGAGGAGAGGTGAGAGAGTGACATAGACATAGATGAGGCTAGTGGACACTCGGAGGGTTGTTATTTTTTTGAAAGGAAGCTTGGAAAATAATTGGACTCATAATAATAATAATAATAATAATAATAATAATAAGTTCATCACGGAATGTGTGAGAATGCTGAGAGAAAAGAGCGGGCCGCGAGCGTTGCATCAGCAGCGGATGTTAATTAGCTATGGAGTGATCGGTTGATCGAGGCAGCATTAATAATAATACTAATAATAATAATAATAACCAATACCACAGCCGGGAGGGCTGACTTAGTTAGCAGAAGAAAAGCAACAGAGAGAGAGAAAGGGAAAAAAAATTTAAAAAAAAAAAATATATCTATAAAAAATAATATTAAAAATAATAAAAAAAAGAAACTTCAGGCGAAAAAAAGGTTTAGGCTGCTTTCGATATCCCATCAAAAAGCAAAAAAGCAAAAAGAAAAAAGAATAGAGAAAAGATAGAAGAAAAAAGCAAAAATGCAAAAAAGGGCGCAGATTGTTGGAAAAGTTGGTGGAGGCATTCTTTGGCTGATAAGCTTGATATAGGCGGGGATCCGGCTTTAGGTGATGGAACTAATTCTGACAGACTCCACCGAGGCCAATCAATCCGTCGACACGCCCAGCGGCAACAATGCAACCAGCCCATCGCATTTGCTTTTGGCTGCCACGCAATCCGGGTTGTCTGTACGGAGTTATGTATGTGTGTGGGCAGTGCTGCCGCTGTGCCTCTGCTCTGCATTTCATTTGTATGCACATACGTCTAGTCTTTTACAACAAACGTCTGGACATTGCGTGCGGTGTTCTTTTTTTTCTCATCGCGTGTGGTTTCTTGGCAGGTTGTATGTACTTGTAAGCAAACCTGTGTTGCTTTTTGGTCTGCATTCATGTCTCCACAGCGTGCAAACAGCATGAGAACGGCCTGAGGGACATAACCTCAAAGTTAGTAATATCTAACGCGATGGATTCCCCTCTCCCACAATGGCGAACGGGAGTACACGGGAGATGTTGATTTTCCGTAAATTCTCATTGGTTTCCCATCCCCAAAACTCGAGGTAGGGAGTTAAAAGATTGATGGGAGACGACCATACCCGTATTAACAGCCACAGTGTAGAATCTATCGCTTCAAGAAACGTAGTAAAGCCGGAGAGGGGGAATTATTTTCATCAAAAGTTTAATGTTTAGCTTATTATTCAGCTTCCGGATTCCGAAGGCTAAACATCCTTAACCCATTTGCCATAGTTGACTAGCTGAGGCATCTCTA